TCTCCCCCCACCCCACCACCTGCTGCAATCCGGCGTGTCGTTGCGGCTCGCCGGCCCCCTCCCCCTCCCCCTCCCCTACTCTGATGCGTACCCGCCCACTCCTGCTCGCGTGGGCTATACGACGTGTGCCGCACTGGCGAGATTTTTGCCGGCGCTTTTTGCGCTTTTTGCGTCGTTTTCTGCGCACCCCTACACCTTTTCGTTACATTGTACATATTTACTACGCTCTATATTCATTTGCTTTCTTTTTCGAACGACGCGACGCGACGCGCATAGCGGCGGCGGCGACCCACGCGCACGCGCGAGCGTGCGCATGACGCCCCCCGACGCGCTGACTAAGCAGCCGCGACGCGCGCGAGGGCGGCGCATCAGCCGCCGCAGTGCGCGTGGCAACGGCGGCGGCGGCGGAGCGCGCGCGTCGCGCGACGCGTGCTGCGGGAAACCCCGAGCGGCGACGTCGGGGGGTCACCTTCCGCATAAGGCGGCAGCCGGGGGCTCGCCGGCGACGTGCCGGGGGCCTGTGGCTGTGAGGACGGACCTGTCGCGAGATTTGCAAAAGACCTTTGGACAAATGCCAAGGTCTTTTGCAAAAGAGCTACTTCCACAGCTGTGCACATTTCTTATCTCTCAACGCCAAGTTGCACTACCATGACATCGTTGCAAACGACGGCGGTCGTCTTCTTGGGGATCCTACGCAGAACGCGACAGTCCTTATAGACTTCAGCGTGCTCCCGGCCCGACACACCATCCGCTATCATGCCGGACATGGGGGGGGCAGCACGAGCCTAACCTTGAGGGCATCTGTCAGGAAGGGATTCAAGAACGGGACGGGTCTTGTCATAGTCAGTCGCGAACGCGTCTGACGGTGCGCCGGTATACATATCATGGAAGCGTGACAATTTGACTTGCTCACGACAATACAAGAGTCTGTGTCAGAGTTGAGCAGGGCCCGTACGCGGCTCGTACAACCCGCTGATCTCAAATATCGAAGCGGGGGTATCGAAGTCACGCAGAGCAGCGCCTGCAAGATGGACTGAAGGGAGGCTGCAGATACCCAAGATCAGAGGGAGCTTCACACGCCGTTGTTCCTGTTTAGGGACCTCGCCCGCGAATAACTCCTTTCCTTTTCGTGCGCGATACGCATGAGGCGTGCCTGCATAAGCGAGGACGAAGTGCAACCCCACCATACCCTATGTGTGTGGGTGATACAAGCCCTGAGAGTTGCGACTCCCCAAGCAGCATCAACAATAGCTTACACTTAGAAAACAAGTTGCGCTTTACAGTCAGCTCGCCTCTAAAGCAAGCGGAAAGTTCAGGCGGATTCAGACATTCAGCAGAGGTGAATCTTACGCACGACGGTAATGTGCGTAAGAGTCAGTGAGCGTGCTCAGAATCGTTCATCTGCACGATGTACTGTAGGCGAAGCTCTGGGATGATAGGCTTTAGCTCCTTGGTAGGCACGTGCCTGGGAAATCACCTGAGCCGCCAGTTTTCTCAGATCCAATCGATCTGTTTGCCCAAGCTACACGGCCTGTCTTCCTACCGCTTCGTCGCATGGTAAGCTAGAGCGCCGAACTCTTGAGTGAGGATACTCAGCGAGTCCTGCCGCCACAGTGCATATATACACAATGTGTGGCCTTCTCTCGATCTTGCGAGGGTAAGACGATTGAATAACTTCCACAGGCAAGAAGGTTACATCACTCCGCACGAACAAGAGATGCATGCAAATCCGAGCAATAATTCGACGACATCTGTTTCAGACGACCTGAGTCGCCTGATGCAAGTTGTCCAGGCATCCTTGGCCAAGTTGGACGGCTTGGTCGATGCCCGTTCTCCCGCACTCCTGCAGGCAGCGGAAGAATCTCTCTCACACCTACGCTCACGAGTATCTCGGCTTGCAGAGAATATGGCATCCCTCGAGGCCGATCTTCACGAGACAGTCAATGCCATGCTATCACACATTGCTGCAGCCGAGGATCGACTGCGAACCTATAACCATCGCGTTGTTGCCGGTGTGCTCCAAAGCACGGATAAAGGTACGAATGCCTCAAGTCTGTCTGGTTCTAATTGCCGAACTATCTGACTCGTCCTCTTATGTCGGTCTAGGCATAACACATCTTTCTGGGACGCGCTACCCAGAGCTCTGGCGCCTACCGTATTGGCACGCAAGCAGTCTACAGACATCGCAGGTACTGTTCATTTTGTTTGATCTCACGGACTCATGCGTACTAACCTTGCTTTTATACATGGTCGATCAGCCCCAACCACCGCCCATGCTGGAACTCATCTTTGACCTTCAAAAATGAAGGGCGACTATGATTGGCGACGAAATTTGGGACAATTGCTGGTAGGATGGACCGAAATTGCGAGGGGTTGTAGGTCAATGATGGGCGTTCCAGTACCGCACCCTGAGCCACGTTCCATGATCGGCCCTCTACCATACATCACCAGTGAGAATCGTCCTGTTTACATATCGTCTTCCAGTCATGCACGCAATCCTTGTCTGCGTGAATCTCGGTTGGTCGAAATGCGACGTTGCACAGGAGCATGTCGAAGGCTGGATCAACAGCCGTCGAAGGCTCATGATGCTTTTAAGCTCGGGCGAGTATGACATAAGCTCGCTCATCCATGGGAGGCGACCTCCTCTTCGTGCACGAAACTCCGCCTTTGAAATGCAGATGTCAGGGCAGGGAGCTCGTACCTTGTGTCTCCACGAAGGCAGTAGGCAAGATTTCGAGGTGGTGAAGGCATTCCTTCGGCAGCGGAGGCGGAAATCTATCTCTATCTTTGGCTAGTCGCTCCACCACGGCTTCATGAGCCCCGTTCTTCAAGCCTTCGAAAATTTATAGGCCGCGCCAGGAAGCTTACATATCTCGCTTACTGCCAGTAGATTGGGATCATGATCCACCTTTTATCCCACCGTAGACATTGAAATCGATCAAGGGAAGTAATTTACCGCCTGAACTAAAGTATAATGAACCGTGTGCGTGGAGGGACGAAAGTCACAAGTCGAACAATGACTGTGACGGCAGTCACATGATATCCGCATGGCATTGCGTTTACCAAAAAAGGCAGATTTCGGCTCGTAGGACGCCGTGCCGGTGATGGCTGGCTGCCAGCTCAGCCGACGATGAGGAGCGTAGGCTGATCTCTTCTGCTAACGTCCGGATGTCTACGCCGTCTCGCATGCAAGGGAAGACGCCGCCGACGACGACGCGCACCACCGACGACGCTGTACTCGCGGGGTCAGCTGAATAAGGACGCTCAGCGATCGCGCGACGTAGCTAGCCGCGCTCCCCCTTCTCCCCTCGCTGTCCGGTTCGCAGGAGGATCCACCGGGCAAGCGTCTTCTCAGGGACTCTGGTGAGTGTCACGGCCCCTTCTCTGATAACGACTGATGGGCTGAGAGGAGGCGGGTCTTGCAGCGAGCGCGCCCAGCGTGGCCGGCTGGCCGTCGTCGATGGCTGCCGTTGCGCGACAGACGGCATCGCGGATATCGGTAAGGGATGGAGGGGGAGAAGGCCGGGAAGGGGGAGGAGAGGGAGGAGGAATGAGGGCCTTGGTGCGTTGTCGACTGGGTGCGCAGTGCGCGAGGCTGACGGTCCTGATTCTCAGTAGCCTGATCAGCGGCGGTCGTCGGCTCGGCGAGATTGCAGGACCTCTTCTCATTGGTGTGCTTCGGGGTAGAAGGCATCCGCTGCTGTATGCCATATGCCTGGAGCATTTCTCTCCGCCATTGCCCATCACTCCGCGGGTGTCGGTGGCCGTGACTGAGCCTGCGATGGTGGTCACATATCGGTACCGTGTACGACCGGCGCAGCCCGCGCATCGAGACACGCACCGCCACCGCCATCGTCGAGCTTTCGAATCACTGGTTCACGTATCGAGATCTCCGAACGATTTACCTGTCGACGCCTTCCTTGTACTCAGTGGAGCTCGCCCTGTTTTGGCGCCGTAGGCTGCGTGCGCAACATCTGCCAGATGCGTTTAGCGCCGCAGATCGCCCTGTACAATGAGCGCCGCGAGCGCAAGGACGCGGAGGAGGGCGCGTTATCCATGAAAATTGTGATTCGTGACCAGGCTAGCTCCGGGCTGACGCGCGACCAGGGAGTCGTGTATGCAAGGGCGAAGGGCTCACATTCGAGGCTTACATTCCAATCAAATAACAATATTGCTTTGTCTACCTCTGAAGCTCTTTGGACGATTTTGCCATGGTTCTCCGTGTGCGTCAGGAAATCACCAGCATGGGCGGTGAGGGCTGATTTCAACCCAAGGACGCAGAATATCTGCCACATTCTGACGTCGTCATTCAAGAAACCCAGCACTCTCGTATTGCAGCGGCGCTGAGCCTGCCCCGCCGCGTGATACAGAAACTGCACGGTCTCATGCGTTGATTGCTGGGCTCGTACCACGTTCTCGCTTCCTGCTACATGGTGCTTGCCACTTTGTCCAAGCACGATAGACTTCGTTTGTCATTTCCTCCGGCATGTTAAACTCAGTTTCGCTTACCATCATCTCACCGTTTCTTTAGGCAAGGTCATTCGTCCTCGTCGCTCTCACGGTGCATCCGTCAACCACCATATGCGGATCAATGCTTTATGAGACTGCATTGATTATTATCGCCTTACACATACATTGTATCTGGCTGATGTGGGAAAAGATAGTGCAAAGCATGAAAAAGGAATGTGCCGCCATAAGGTCCTAAGGGCAGTGTGGGGCTACAGCTGTGAGTGAGTGAGAGTTGGGCATGTGGCAGTGTAGGTTACTTCTGCACACGGCGTTCTTCGCAGCATGCGTTTACGAAGGGCGGGATGGTAAGGTGGAGGGGTAGGATATCGAGGAGGCCGCCACGGGTCTGTAGGGGCGTATACAGAGCGGAGGGAACTTGATGTAACGAGGAAGGATGTAAGAACTGGAGGTAGTTCATTTAAACTCTCAAGGCTGGTGTTAGTCTGGAGAGCGGCCTGGGCTTTGCCTATGCTCGGCTCGTGTTCGTCATGTGCACGGCTCGTGTACGGCCCGTGCACGGCCCGTGCACGTTCTGTCACGGGCCGTTTTGTTTCGTGATGGAAATAGATTATCTATTTTCTCTGAAATACAACATTAATAATCGACCTTTTTCCCACAAGAATAAAATATGTACGCTGAGTCTTACTTCGCAAGGGATACATGTCCTATCGCTGTCGCTATGTACGGACATATAAACTACATCTTCTTCCTCGAATACGTATTATAAACGTGAGAGAATGAGATTCGTACGTATGCAGTGATAAAGGATATTTTCACCTGGGAATTCAATACCTACCTGTGCTTATACGCCCAGACTTATTCTCACTGTGATAAGTGGGGCTGCCCGTGGTGTAGGCTTGGGCGCCGGTCCAGCCTGAGATTATAAGGAGCTTGGGAGGACAAGGATTGCGAGAGGATAACTGCAGTAATGAATCCCGATGATCTTCGAAGGGCAAAATCGTGGTGATTGTTGATGCGCAAGGGACATTCGGCCAAGGCCGTGAGCGCCTCAGGCTAAGCATGGGAACGAGATCGGTAAATCCCGAGGAAATTCCCACAGTTGTCCAACTGAGGCTCCATTTGTGGCACTCGCTAGTTTATCGATATTATCCATCTCCGAACCGTCATTGACCACCGTCATGTCGGCCGCTGTCCCGATCCCAGATGGCTTTGAGACGCGGTGCGGCGTATGCGCCGCTCCGACTAGCATGCGCTGCTCTCGCTGTGGTTCAGCTTATTATTGCAGTAAGGATCACAGTGCGATGGTCAGTCGACGCGACTGCATAGAGTTGTCTCTCTTATCCGAGAAATATGACTCACCTATACGCGTCAAAGGATTGGAAGTATCACAAGAAGCAGTGCAATTCAAATGAAGCCAACCCGTTGGCGGCGGCGCCCTTCCTATGGCCAACGAAGGATACCCTTCAGGCCATCCTCCTTCCCGCGGACGAAGACGAGCCCCGGATGGTAGACGTGCAGTACGAATGGGGCACGGACAGCGGTATCACTGGCTTCCCTATACACGTCCAGAACCTCAAGCGCAAAGTCCCTGGCCTTTTCCACGATCGCGCGCTCGTATACGAGGAGCATGTCGGGACCTTCGGGATACACGGTCGCGCATTGAAGGATGAAGAGCACCTGGTCATCATGTATAACGATTTGGGCTCCATGCATACGGACCATCCCAACCGCTGTGTGCAGCATCTCACGAAGGGTACGAGTGGTCCTTAGCGTAAGTCGTGAACACGGCGAGCTGAACGGGGGTCCTGTAGGCAAGGCGCCGCACGAATGGACGGACACTCTTCTTGTGCTCCGCCAGCGGCCGCGCGATAGGCTTTTGCGGTACCAGAGCGCGAATTTAGATGAGGATATCGAGATTCTTAGACAATACTTTTTGGAATATGACGTCGGTGTAAGTGACTGATAGTTCGCAGTCGACCAGATGTTGACGAGTGTATCGCAGGGCGGAGGAGGGAGGGTTCTTACCTTCTGAAGTGATTGAATACACGGCCGAACTCGATGACAGGGTTTGACGATAGACGAAGTTGCACAGTGACCAGCTTGCATGACACGCTCAGAAAGTGTACAATCAGTGTTTCTTCGGACAGGCGATTCCCAACCGCCAGCTGAACAAGGTTCTTGAGGAAGCGATTGATAATAGATATCATACACGCCGTTCTAAAGCGTTTCTATACTTCAGTATGTCGGATGATGTACGCCTTCAGCCGCTCCAAACAGCGGGGCCCGGCTGGCTGTAGTTGGCAGGGATAGCTGGTGGAAAGGCTCATCAAGGACGTCTCTCGGCAGGAAATCAATACGGCCACTCACGACTGTAGATGTTGAGCTTGATGCCCGGCTCATTACCGTCGTACACGCCCGGGATGGAGACAAGCGGACCCGGTGTGCCGTTGCCGCCGCCGGTGACCTTGACCTGGGCGCAGCTGAGGTAGAACTGGGCTCCACCCTTGTTCGCTGCGTTGTGGAGAGCGATGTGCTCAGCGCGAACGAGATACTCGCCACTCGGTAGGGCCTTGGGAATGTCGAAGGTGATCTCCGTTATGTCTGTGAGCCATAAGCGTCAGCGCTTGATTCATCCTCAATAGACCGCAAAAAATCACTCACTCGTCCCCGGAAACTCAATCGTGCTCCCCCCGTCCGTCACCGCCGGGATCTCATACACCTTAAACCACTTCTCGCCCGAGCCGTCATACGACGCCGCGTCCCCGTCCGCGTCCGCCATGTACACATTGACAACGCCCTGGTGGTACATGGGCCCGTTCGCCTTGATGCTGACGGAGGAGCCGGCGGCGACCTCGGCGGTCTCGGCCGTCGCCTGCGTCTCGGTGGTGTAGCAAGTGAAGTCGGGGGAGGTGACGTCGGTGACCTGGAGCGTAAGTCAGTGAGGGTTCGAAGGGAGAGATCATGAAGGACGAAAGTCGCATACTGGCTGCTGCGAATAATAGTTGTTCGTGCGGCGGATGTTCACCCACTCGCCGGAGGGCTCACCATTGACGACGAGGACGGGGAGGGTGTCTGTGATGTAGATGATGAGCGCCAGCCATCACGAGACCACGTCCAATTCGCTCACAGTGCGCTAACGCCGTGGTAGCCAAAGGGGCAGCAGCGAGAAGGGTAGGGACCCGCATTGTGAGAATCGGTGGTGAGGTCGAGTGGTGAGGTACGTATAGAGTGTATCTGTAGAGAGCCTTTATATGCCTCGAATAGACGACGTCGGCGAGGAGAAGTTGAGAGACATAACGGCCGGAGAGCGAGTGAATGTAGGTGATGCCGAAGGAACATCGAGAATTCCCCTGCGAGGCCAGGAGCGCAAGTAGAGTGATTGCGTTTGTCCGGATCGCAAAGGAGCATCGACGTGAGGCATTTTTGATCTCAGCCAAGGGAAAGGCCTTTTCGAGTACCTCGCACGCCAGAGTCCACACCAAGTCGGTTCTTCCGACGATAGTCCTCAGAAGTTTTGAGACCATAGCGCCATCGCGAGGAGAGTTGGCGCATTATGCGATCGGGCACCTCGGGGAAGAGCATGAAGTGGTTGGCGTCATTGCATGAGGCGTGAGGGAGGACCTACGAGGGCCCTAGGATACTTGGTCGAGAGCCAGTGCTCGGAGATATACAACCTGTACGCAAGGTGGAATCGAAATGTCGAGCGTATCGCAGTTGCTTGGCAGTGATAGATTTTCGACATAGATTCCAGGGAGGCAGAAAGTTGTCGAATCCCGATTGAATGCAATCGCTAACCATGATGTCGAAGAGCCGTATACGTTTGCTGAGCATTCGACAGGTCTCATCAAGAGTATCCTATACCTTGCCTTGTGGAGATTCGAGGGATATTGCTTGGGTACATGACGGGCACCGCGAAACATCGGAAACGCCAGAAACGGAGCCGTATCTGTGGGACGGCATTTGCCGAACGATGTTCGTCCGCCCCATGTGCGTCGCATCCGCATCCTAAGATCAACTTTAAGGTAACAGTCTACAGCTACTTGTAATCTGGAGCTCGCGTATACTCCCTCTCAGCTTTTGAAGGGTCTTGATGTCGACGTGGCTGGCTACTTCAACCTGATCACGTGCAGCTGTCTCGGCTGCGGCCCGGCAAGTTGCGCAGGCTCTAGCGCTTGTTGCCTGCAACAATCGTCGAGCGTCCGACAATGGCGAGCAATGGAGTTCCCTCCCCGCCACCCCTTTCCCCCGGCTCAGCCTCAAGAAACTCGATGGACCGCCTCGGCTCGCCATCGCTCGAGGCGAACGGGCTGTCCGGACAGACACCAGTCGACGTAAATGGGCACGGCGCCGATGAGACGACGGTGGAGGGACTGCAACAGGAGCTCCAGCGCACCCGGGAGGAGAAGGAGGCGCTCGCGGGGCAGTACCGCAACCTGCTCGCGAAGCTGCAGACAATGCGCACGACCCTGGGGAACAAGCTGCAGAAGGATGCGGTGCGTGGCGCCCCCGTGCGCGGCGAGGCGAACGTGCTGACGAGACAGACAGGAAGAGCTCGACCGGCGCGAGCAGCAGATCCAGCAGCTCTCGGCGCAGAGCGAGGAGTTCGCGGCGACGATCGAGGCGCTCAAGGAGGAGGTCATGACGTCCAATGAGGAGGCGGCGCGGTTATCGAATGAGCTATCCGACCTGCGCACGCGCGCGCTGCAGGAGAACGCCCAGGAGAGCATGATGCGGGAGCGGGAGCTTCGGGAGACGCAGATGGAGCTCGAGCGCTGTCGAATGGAGCGGGACGAGTGGGAGCGCGTCGCATTGCAAGAGCGTGTAGCGGCTGATGAGGCTGAGAGCGTCAAGCGAGAGATCGAGCGGGAACGCGAGCTTTCCGAGCGATTGCAAGCAGAGCTTGCATTGGAGAAGGAGAATGAGGCCAACTTGCAGAGCGTGTTGCAGGACTTCCAAGCAGGTGCGTATTGTATGCTCTGAGATCCGTACTTCTCTAATACTATGTCACAGCGAAGGACCACGAGCTCAAGCAAGCTGTAAAGGACTACGAAACGCAGCTCCTTCAAGTAACCCAATCGCTTGCAGAGTACAAGCATCGAGCTCTGACTGCTGAGGTACGCGTGCCACTATCACATTAGTACCATCCATTAAAACCATCCCGTATAGCTGAAACTCGAAGAGAACGCGTCAAATACCTCCCGCACCGAAGAGCTCGAGAAGGAGGTCAAAGAGAAGACCATTCTCATCAACAAGCTTCGACACGAAGGTTTGTCGTCTCCTGACCAGATAAGACAACTCCTGACCGCGACATTCCAGCTGTCATAATGAACGAGCACCTCACCGAGTCTTTGCGGCGACTACGTGCATCCTCCATGTCAACATCACAAAACGTTGACCGGCGACTTGTTACGAATGTCTTGCTGTCCTTCATTACGACGCCACGCGAGGACTCGAAGCGGTTTGAGATGCTTGGGTTGCTGGCGACGATCTTGGGATGGAGCGATGCAGAACGCGTGAAGGCAGGACTGCAGCGGTCCAATAGTGGCACTGCGTCCGCGCTGGGAAGCTTCTGGGGGCGCAAGAGCCAGAGCCAGCAGAACGACCGTGTCGAGCAGACGGATGAGACCGAGGTAGCCTCTTACCCCAACACGCATCATTACTTGCTTACCACCTCATTCAGTCTTTCTCCCGCCTATGGGTCGAATTTCTCCTCACCGAGACGTCCTCCGGTACCGATGAGCGCCCAAAACCTGGCCAATTTCTCTCTGGCTCCCGCCTCCCCCACACCCCCTCGCGCACCTCCTTCCAGACCCGCCGCCCCGGCGAGGGTTACGCCCCCTCGGAGGGCACCCCCAGCCCGACGCGGAGCACTTTTGGGATCCCTACCTCGAATACGTTTTCGAGCCCGATACGGCTCGGTTCACGTTCGTTGTCCTCCTCCGCGATGGCGTCGTCGCCGAACCTCTCTCTAGGATCATTCGGCAACGGTCACGGGGGCTCGCCGCCTCCGCCTGTGCCGCCACTGCCGCCATCGGTGAAGGGCAAGGAGCGAGCGACAGAGGAGTAGGGGATGCGCTGGATCTCGGACTGTATGTGTACATATTTAACGCCAACTGGACTTTGCATGTTCACGGACTTCATTCTTGTGGCGACAACATTGACGGAGAGGACAACAACCCGCGAACACGCCGACAAGCGCCGTAAGTATGCGACCGAGCAACTGAAGTCAAGTGTGACTCCGCAGGCAGACTCATACGTCCACTCGTGGCCGACTAGACGCCGCTACCGGTCTTCAAGGACTCATAAGCGTCGGAACTGAAGCCATAGCTCGTATGCGGTCTTCCCGTATTCTCATTGTTCAGTCATTAGATGGAGACCACCTGATAGCGGGTCGCCACGTGGATAGACAATAACCCTCTGATTCACACCTCCGAAACCGGCGTTTGCCTCGGTATGCACGCACGTCTTCCCCTCAACTTTTGCGCATTCCCAGCGCTGTGGATGACAAGGGAGACATGGAAGGTGTCTCTAGGTCGCCGGGGGCGGCGGACGTTCTTATCCATGTGGTCGGCCGGGTTGCTGAGGTACACCCCGGGTCGACTTATTGTCTCGGAGACATCCATCACAACGCAGCCGTGGCGGTCCCGCTGATTACTATTGTCGCGCTATTGTTCTTCGGGCATAAAACACAATAGGTCCGGATTATGGGTGACGGCGCCGCGGGGTACATAAGGTGCGCATACGGACTGCGTTTCTCACCGCCCTCCGCCTCCCGCCCTCTCCCCCTTACGCCTACAACCTCGTCCCCCTCACCAATCCTCTTCACAAACGCCAATCATGTCTGCCGACGAAGATGTTCTCTACGGTCTCTATGATGATGATATCAGTATCATCAAGGAGTGGACGAAGGCGACCGCCGTCACGCATACCTTCTTTGGTGGGTGTTGTGCTACTCGCTGAGATAGCCTGCGTGCTAACAAGTTTCCCCTTCAGGCATCCACGCCACCTTGTACTTTATCGCGGCGTACCTCCTCATCAACCAGGGCATCCGCAACAACAAGTCGCGGCTCTTCCTCTTCATCTGCAGCACCATCATGTTCTTGACGTCGATCGCGTACATGTGTGTCTACAACGAATACGTGCAGCTCAACTGGGAGCTGCTGCTCATCACCCCGCCGGACATCGAGATCAAGCAGCGCAACCTGCAGATTGTGACGAACTGCTTGCTCCGTTTGAACGTTAGTTTTTCCTCCTGTTTGTGGAGTTCCAGGTTCTCATTGCCTTGTAGTTCATGCTCAGCGACGCTATCGTCGTCTGGCGCGCCTGGGCCTTGTTCAAGGACGAGGCGCGCGTTCAATGGGGTCTCATTAGCTGCCTTGCTGTCTCATACGGTCAGTATCTTCGTCACGTCTCCCAGCCGCACGCACTTACGCTCTCACAGTGGGCACCATCATCGACATCGTGCTCCTCGTTCTGGTCTATATGCTCGTGCTCGAGGACGTCCCGGAGTACAGTCTGATCATGACGATTCCCCTTCTCTTGACCAACGTGATCGCTACGGCGGCCATCGGCTACAAGACCTGGGGCTACAAGAAGATGGTCGGCGACCTCCTCCGGCAGGCGAAGCGCATGACGGCCACTGAGCTCACCATGCTGCTCCTTGTCGAGTCGGGCGCCATCTACTGCATCATCTGGGTAAGTTCTTCCCAGCAGTCGATCGTTCCCCCTTAATAACGACTGACTCCAGGCCCTCACCCTCGCCTCCGCTCTCGGCGTCATGCCCGACACCGTCACGAGCCTGCTGCTCGAGGTGCTCTGCATCATCGCCGGCCTCTACCCGACGCTCGTCGTCATTATCGTCGCACTTCAGAAGTCCGTCATCGACAGCGTCGCCTACAGCAGCGGTGGCAGCGACGTCCTCCCCACCTCCGCGCCGGCCTCGCTCCCCTCAAAGTCCGTACCCGCGTACATTCCGTACCAGCAGACGATGCAGATCTCGACCACGGGCGCGAACTCGTTCACGGGTGCCAACTCGTACGCGGACAACAAGCTGGAGAAGGCGGAGTCAACGTCGTCGACCGGCCGCCGGTCGCCCCAGGACTTCAGCTTCGCATGAAGGACTGGGGGATTGATGCCAACTGTCGAATGATGTCCTGTTTTCATGCCTTGAACTTTCTATGATCACTCTATGGTTGCCGCGTATAGAGTCCGGCGCTTACTTATGCACCACTCGCGGCTGTAGGGTCGGGGGATGGACCTTTCGTTTGTAAAACCGTGCTGCGCACGATCTTCTTCCTTTTTTGTACACTCCCTCTTGTAGCATTATCACGAACGTCTTCCGAACGCAATGCAATTTACGAACTTTGAAATGGGATAACTTAGCGAGAGGGAAAGCTAGACTGAAGCTGGAGGCGAAAAGACGAATCAGACAAAGATGTGCGCCGTACATGCACCTGACGAGGTCACGGTGAGCAACGGCGCGTCGTAGTACACAGGATAGGAAGCAGATGAAAAATGTAAGTAGAGGATTATACTGCCCTCGAACCCCCTTCAGAAAGGCTGCTCCGCCAGAGGCTCCAGCTTGATTACTAGCTCCTCCTTGGTCCTCAGCTCCGCCGCAAAGTACGCCTTCGCCCCATTCACCCCTCCGTCCTTCACCACCTGCCACAGCTTCTCATAGTACACGCCATTATCGTCCCACCGAAGGTGGCACACCAGATCCCGCTTCTTCGTGTAGACCATCATCGGCCCGCGTTCGCGGTAAATTCCCGGGTGTCCGCCGCCGGGCATGATGTGGTAGGGCAGCTGCACTTTGACGACAAGGTTTTTAGCAGAGCCGGCGAGGGTGTCCTTGGGGACGTGGCGCATGCGATGGTGGGCGGCGGGGGTGGGGGCTTGGGGGACCTGAAGTACAGAGCGCACAAGATCGGCTGTGGGTTGGAGGCCGATAGGGCCTGACTTGACATAGAAGGGCTTCACTACGACGCAGTTGTCGGCGGTAAATGGCCTGCAGGATTTCTTGTGCGATGGCCAGTGCGTCCCTGCCATTGCGTATTAGCGAAAGCTGCAGCGGCAAGCAACACCTAAGCTTACGCTGGCAGTCCGCATTACAGTACCTCGCCGTCCGACACTTGCCGCACATCTTCAGCACCTCCGAGTCCTTCGCCACCGTCCCACAGGCATCGCATCGCTTCGTATTCTCCATCGGCCTTGTCTCCCCGCTCCTCTTCCTCAGCCACTTCTGCACGCACGCCACGACCTGCGGGCCGCACTTGATCATAAAGTTCCTCGGCGTCAGCCCGTCCGCGTCCGCAATGTCTACGTCCGCTCCGTGCTCCATCAGCAGGTCGACCGACGGGATGATATTGCTCTGAAAGCACAGCAGCAGCGCGACCTCGCCGTAGCGGTTGCGCGTGTTCACGTCCGCGCCGCCGCCTTCGATGAGGAGGCGCGCAAGGTCGGGGCGCGCGGTGTGGTTCATGGTGACGTGCTGGAGCGCGGTGTAGCCGGCGATGTCGGGCTTGTCGACTGGTGCGCCTATGGAGAGGAGGTAGCTCAGAGTAGCCGCGTGTCTATACGAGCCACTACTGGAAGCACCCTCCAAACGCTGACCGCCAGATACAGTCAAGGTGATGTACCCGAACTGGTACGGCGTCTCCGTGCCTTCGATGTCAGGTGCATTGCCGGATTCGACGGCCTGGGATTGTGGGTGAGATCATGGTGTGCACATTTGTGGCACACCGCTCACCCGCCTCACATACTCCACCTCCCCCATATAGCAGTACAGCCCAAACGTGGTCAACTTGCGCGAATCAAAGTAGGCAGAGTCTACCTTCGTGTCAGTATTCGCTCATGTCCTGACGGCGCAACTTACTATCCACATAAAGTTCCCGGAGCGTCTGCCCTCCCTTCGCAATGGACAGGTACCCTGGCTTCTGAAGGATATTCTGCATCTGCGCTGTCACCTTCAGTCCACCAGACCCGTCTCCCCTGTACGACGGTATGTCTTGCGTGTAGATGATACGCGGACATCTACAGGGCTTGCCCGCGGGACATTCTGAGCACTGCATCTCCATCTCGTCCACTCCTTTGACGCAGGGTCAGCCTGCAGATACCTCAACGCTACAGAAAACTCACCACGACGGCAGAAGCCAAGTCCCTTCCACCTCCGTGTCACGATTCTGAGCCGCGACCCTTGTTTACTCACCTGTCTCGCATCCTTTGCTTCCGATTGTCACATCCCCTTTCGGCAATCTTTGTTCTTAGGCTGCTCATTGACCGCACGAAGAGACGCACCTTCGCTGAACGAAACGCAGAAGACTCGTATCAGACCAAGGATTCAGCGCAGCGCCATAAGTATATCATGAGTCCATGGTGGTGGGTTTATATGTAAGATACGGGTAACGACAAGGCGACGAGAACGACAGACGGAATGCACACATAGGTTGACCAGAGAAGCGGTTTAGCGGTACAGTGGCGATGAGAAGGGGATCACTAGCGACGAGAAGAGTACCACCAGCTATGAGAACGGGGCTCGATAGCAATGAGAAGAGGATCACTAGCTTTGAAAAGGGGATCACAGAACAACAGAGACAAGCCCGCCTTGGGCATTCCTACATACCCAAACCTTAGGCGGCAGCGGCTGGTGCGCTCGCCTGCTGGGTGTAATCCTGGGGCGACGTCAGCTATGATTTGAGCAGACGGAAGAGCAAGGCATACCTCCATCTCGGCATCCAGATCAGCAGCGCTCTTGGGCGGACGCTCGCTCGTGCGGCGCCCACCACGACCGCGACGGCCAGCTCGTCCACGTCCACCCGCTGCGCCCCTTCATGCTCGTCAGCAACAGAATATATCCAGCGATGACTGCACTACTCACCTAGCAGGAGCGTTAGTAGGAGCTGCCGCAGCCGCCGCAGGGGCGACGCGCTGAACCAGAGACTGCGCGGCGGGGCGCGAGGGGTCGAAGACGATCTCAACCTTCATCGGGCGTTCTGTTGACGAAGCGGTTATTGACACGAACGGACAAGGAACCGTTAGCTCGGGGTGGGAAGGGTCGGTTGCGGATGTGAGCAAAGCAAGAGGGATGCGGACAACGACATTGAGCCGCCTCCTGGGTGACCGTGAACCTGTGCTGCCTCCTGCCGTCTCTACCCTCCCCTCCGTACATCTTCGCCGTCGGTACATGCTCCACGTCCAGTTGTTGCCCATATGCCAGTGATTCCTTTGCGGAGATCACTCTCGAGCTCCGGAGAGACAGCATGGTAGCCGTTCGCTCCTATGCGCGCCCGTGTCCTTGTCGGACAGCCATTGCGAAGCGCCGTGCCGTTCGGTATCGCAGCTCTTGGAACTGTTCGCCATGCAGCTTGGGTCGCCCTGCAGTCGCGCATGATGGCGCGCCGCATATGCAATGTAGGTCATCTGTGCGACCGAGGTACGCGTGAGTCGTTCGACAGCACAGCGACCTTTCGAGGCTTTTCTTCACTCGGCGTCTCTACTAAAGCCTGACGGCAGCGTTCGAATGCCCGTGCGCCAGAGTGGTGGGTTGTACAGCAGGAAGCAGCATCAAGGTCCCGTGGAACTCAGAAGGAGGTTTGTGCCGACGCGCAACCGAGACCATGAAGTGAAGGGGTGGGGATGAGAAGAGGCGATACTAACTGCCGTCGATGAGCCGGTTGTTGTACTGCTGGTAGGCCTTGTTGCCGTCTCCAGAACGTTGGAAGTTGACGACGGCGATGCCCTTGGAGCGACCGCCCGCGTCGTAGTGGATCATGACGGAGCGGAGGGGACCGACAGTGGTGGCGAAGAGCTCCTGGAGTCGGGGTCAGCAGCTGAAGAAAGCCAACCTCGTTATCGACACGAACCTTCACAGCGGCTTCGTTCACGTCAAGGGGGAGGTTGGAGACGATGATTTTGTCGGACGGCTGCGTGGACACGGCTGCCGGGCGCCCGGTCACAACTGGCACCTTCGGGCGGTTGGTCCCGAGCACCTGCGCCTTCGCGCCAGCGCCACGACGTGCGCCACCGCGACGGCCACCACGGGGACGGGAGGTGATGAGCTATAGCCGCAAGGTCAACATGCTTCGCCAGGCGCCACGAAAAAGACGACGACGCACCTCATCAAGCGACTTGTCCATTGCTTCTGCTGTTGATACTAGGGGCTAAAGTCGGGGGGCAACGACGAGGGGCGACGGAGGCGACGAGGGGCGGCTTTGCTGGACGAGGTGACCGTTGGGAGCAAGGGATGGGCGGAATTTGGTCGTGCTTGGCGTCACAGCTGAGGCAGACGCGTGCGCGGCCAAACACGCGCAAACCCGATCCTCTTTCTTCTCCGTCCCGCGCTTCGAATACAATGGGCGGTCGCGGAAGGGGCCGAGGCGGAGGTCGCGGCGGCGGGCGCGGCGGCTTTGGCGCCGGGAACCAACCCCCTATGGGCCTCACGTTTGCCGACATCCAGTCGTTGTCGAGGGAGGGGACGGCGCTGTATCCAGTATGTATGTGCGCGGGTCGAAAGCAAAGAAGTCATGTTGACGGGATGATAACCAGTGCAGCAGCCTGTGATGGAGGAATATACGGAGGATGAAAAGCGCATTGCGGCCCTGCAGATAGGCTTCTCGGCGCGTTTGCGCGGCTCCGCTTACTATGTCGTCGAGACCACGAAGAGTGACGGTAAGTGGTCTGCATAGATGATCGGTGGCGCGCATTTCATGCAAGTGTAGATCTCCCTCGATACTCTGATCGATATCGACAGTCTGAAGCGTCGCAGCCAACTCTCAAGCGCAAAGGCCTTCATGCACCATTCTTCCCTCCGGAGTTGCTTGAGGATTACTTCAACCCGGGCCGGAAACGACGTAGTGAGTGCCGTCTTGATATTTGTATGCTCGCAGCCCAGCTCACCACAGTGCAGACATCGGAGCGGCCAAGCTCAAGAGTAGAATTAACCTCGACAAGTTCGACGAAGGCGATGAAGAGAAGGTATGCCACCCCCACTCTTCCTACAAGCCATATCTGACATCACCTCAGGAAGGATCAGAAAAGGAAGGCTCCCAAGTCGGCTCCGACGCCGAGCAGGACGACTACGACGTCGACGAAGAGTACGACAACGACTACGCAGAGAACTACTTTGACAATGGCGAGGGAGACGACGCGGACAACCTTGGTGATGGTGGTGGTGGCGATGACGGCGGAGGAGGTATGTTGCATCTCAACGCTGCATCGTCACGCGACTAACACTTTTCAGGAGGGGATTATGACTGAAAATGTATTCCGACCAATGAGATTGTACTTGCTGTCAGTTCGTCCACGTTTCGCGTGAGCAAACTGCCGCCTCCCTGCTCTAGAACGCTATCCCTCACCCGCGAGATCTGCGTCGCCGCCCTCCCCAACCTACGCGCGTGAGTTGTACAGCTATTTTGACCTGTCCAGGGGCACACCTTGCGTATCTGCCTGCTTTTCATCTCTTCAACTGCACTGATGCTCGAGATGCGCCCCTGGACGGACCCCCGCTCGCCAGCGCAGGCTCTTCGCTCACCCCTACGCCCTGGTGGCCTCAAGCATCAAGCGTTGGCGTACTTCGGGATCGCCCACCGCAGCGCCCACAGGTCACCGGTGACCGATCGGCGCACCGGTTAACAGCACGTTCAGTCTTGGCAAACATCTACGTTACCGGTTTGCGCAACAACTTTGCCCCTGTCCCCGCTTTGAGGCGGTCGCGTCTCGACGGGCGGGGCTGATACTCGACGAGCGGGGCGATAAGGTCGTACGTGCGAGGTCGCAACGGTGGCGGTTGGTCTGCTGACCTTGTTGACCTATGGATAGCTTCTTCAGCGCGAAGGTCTGCGACCACCGAGCTTCCATCAAGCATAGGAAGGTCGTACCTTCGTGAAGACATGACAGAACGCCTTCCTTATGTAACGCATCTGCTTCTCAATACTCTGTTCTGTTGCAGCCCCGTTGGTCCGCTGACGGCGGGCAACAAACGGTGTATGAACTGACAGTGCGAGTTTACTCATGGATGGCGTCGGGACTTCATTGCTCACAGACTTCTGCAGGGAAAGGTCTACTATACTACACCCTTAGCCCTGCCCCTCCGCGCCAGCCCGCCATACCACTCGCTACGAAATGAAGACGCCCTTACCTCTATACAAATGACGCCGCAAGCCTACTCTCCCACCGTCCATATCTCTTGATCGGGCGTCCGTCCCCATCGTACGAGCGCCTAACACTTCGTCCGGCCCGGGCCTCCGATCACAGTGATCTCAGAAAAATCTCCTTTTCTGGAGATCTGATTGCCTTTCCTGGCGACTACCGGCCACGTTTTCTGACATGGCGCCCACGTTTTTGACTCAACACTGCTGAGTCGCGTCCGTGATATCGTCGCATCACCCGCCCCCCTCGCGCGTCGACTACAACCTTCTCCCGCCGCCTATCATATAAGGGCACGATGCGATTTACTGTTTCCCCGCGTCCAGCTTGCCCGTCCTCACAGGATTCGCTCGTCCTCGCAGGGTTTAACTCGTCTTCGGAGGCTCTCTCCCCACCCTCGTCGTCTGCGTCGCCTGCAGCATCCCCTCGTCAATCCCTGAGGTTTTCCCTTTGTCTGCAACGCCACCATGCCGTCTGAGCCTCTCGAAGCCGAGTTCGCGCAGCCGCCCGCGCTGTCGCGCGCCCAGGAGGACGAACTCCGCAAGCTTGAGCGTGAAGGCCCCCTCGACGTCTCTGTTGCGCCCTCCCTCAGCGAGACTGTGGATGTCACTTACGATGCGAATGCGCCACCTGATCTCGACCGACTAGCCACGCGGCGAACGCAGCAGGGTTATCACATTGTCGATTTTGAGAAGGGGAAGGGGGAGGACCCGCGAGAGTGGAGCAAGTTCCGAAAGTGGTGAGTACGATGGTCGGGGAGTTTGTTGCAGCGAGCTGACGAATTTGATAGGGTCGTAACACTCACGACGGCATTCTTGTGTCTTGCGGTCGCTTTGGGTAGCTCAATCATCACTGGAGAGTACGTCGTTAGTACGTGTCCGCAGCACGCTGCTAACTAATGCCTCCCACAGTATGGAGGGTCCCGCAGAGGACTTGCATGCTGAGCAGGAGGTCGTCAATCTCACGGTCACTTGCTTCGTTATCGGCTTCGGATTGGGGCAAGCGGCTTCCTCAAAGTTCCACCTGTTCATCGCTGATCTTTCTGCAGGCCACTTTTCTTCGCACCACTATCCGAGGTCGTAGGGCGGAAGCCGATCTACATCATCAGGTATGTTTTTCTCAAGCCTGCCAATCACTGCTTTTGTGACATGATTTGCCCAGCATCTTCTTCTACTTCATTTTCACGTTACCAAGCGCGCTCGCCAAAAATGTGGCCACCCTCGTCGTCTCTCGTCAAATCGCCGGCATTGCTTCCTCCGCCCCGATGTGCAACGTCGGCGGTAGCGTCGCGGATGTGTGGTCTGTAGAGGAGCGTGGTGTTCCCATGGCCGTGTTTTCCTTGACCATCTTGTAAGTCGCCTCGTCTCCTTCAACTTGAATATCCCGCTCACGATTTCGTAGCATTGGCCGTACGTGGCTTCGCTGGCTGCTATCTAACATTGCGTTGACTGTCCTGCAGCATGCATCGGGCCCCTCATCGGCGGTTTCATTGGTCAGACGATTGGATGGCGATGGATCTGTGAGTATCTCTCTTAGCGCCAGCGAGCGCATCTGACATCCTCCAGACTGGGTCCTCTTCATCTTCCTCGGCTGCTGCGTCATTCTCACCCTGATCATGCCCGAGACGCTTGCCCCCGTCCTCCTCCACCGCAAGGCCGAGCGCATCCGCAAGGAGACCGGCGATCAGTCTTACCGCACGCTCGCCGAGATTGAACACCGCCCGTTTAAGGTCGTCATCAGGGAAGCGCTCCTCCGCCCGCTCATCATGCTCGTGACGGAGCCCGTGATGTTCTTCATGTCGTTCTACCTCTCGTTCATCTACAGTATTCTCTGTAAGTGGACATCAGTGACTGGCTGTAGGGGGCGGCAAGGATGCTCATTGATCTGGCAGATCTGCTCTTCTTTGCTTTCCCGATTGCTTTCGCGGAGGTCCGCGGTTTCTCGCCAGGAATTACTGGCGTTACGTTCGTCAGCGTTGTGGTATGTTGCCTTTTCCGTGTTGTCAGAATGATTAGTGTTGATAGATGGTTAGCTCGGTATCTTGCTTGCGATGGTCATCGCAGTGCCAGCACAGGAGAAGATCTATGCTGCCGCCACCAAGCATGGCACGTATCCTGAGGCTCGCCTCTACACTATGATGGTCGGCTCCATGTACGCGATCTCATTCTCGACATGTTCACCGTGCTGAACGAAGCCCTCCAGCTTCCTGCCCATTGCTCTATTTATTTTCGCCTTTACCGGCGGCTACGAGTGGGTGCACTGGATAGGTCCCTGTTTCGGTGGCGGCGTTTTCGGTTGGGCCATGATCCTCATGTACGTTGCACCTCTCCTACCCTTTCCTCCCGCCATCTCACCTGCCTCCCTCAGCTACATCTCGGCCAACTCCTACATCGTCGACAGCTACAGCAATTTCGCCGCCTCCGCCATCGCCGCAAAGACGCTCATGCGCTCCGAGATCGGCGCGATGGTGCCCTTATACGTGAATCAGATGTTCCACAACATGGGCTTCCAGTACGCAGGGCTCCTCCTCGCGCTCATCTCCGTCGCGATCATGCCCATCCCCTTCGTGTTCTTCTTCTACGGCGAGCGCATCCGGCAGAAGAGCAAGCTTGCGACGAAGACGCGCAAGTTGGCGGCGCATGATCCGGAGGTGTTGGCGAAGGAGAAGCTGTAGAAGTCGATGCGATGAGTGATCGTCGGTAATGGGTGATGTAGAGGAGGTAGAGGATGCTAGAGGAGGTGGAGGGTGAATAGAGGTTCTGGTTGGCTGTGCGACACCTAACGTGTATCCTGCGCGGTCTTGGGAAGACCACCCACATGTATCATATACTACTGCTCCAGGTAATGCATAACATATCTTCTATGAGCTCGCATGTGGCTACAGCTTTTCGACATTGGTCGCGTATACCTCAAGCAGAGAGCATAGGAATCGATGTATCTTGGCGCTGCCATCTGCGTGGACTTATATACTGACTCGATTCCTAGGCTCTCTGTGCCACAACGGCGACGAGTTCCAATGGATGAGACCCGTTAACCCCCACCTTGAATTCCCTATCCAGCTCATCAAGCAGCGCGTCGTATTCTTCGCCCGACTACACGATTCCAAAGCCTCCTTCCTAAACAATGGCTTGCTTAAGACTGCGACATGCTCCAATCATGCTCTGCCTAGCCACGATCGCCTCCGCCGTCGATCCAGCCATCTCGATCTGTACGAGCTCCGTTCGCATGTTACGGAAACCGGCGTCCTCAAGCATCTGCGGTACGAGCTCGGCGCACGTCCAGAGCATGCCTCGCGCCTCGTACAACGCGCGGTGTGCATCCCAAAAGCGCTTTCCGACAGGGCCGTGCCGTAGCCATGATACACCAACCTCAATGAGTTGTGCCCATCCACCCGGCTTTAGGACGCGATGTGCTTCTCCGATTGCTCGGCGCACAATGAAGATATGAGCAGGCGCTGGTGAACGAGGTCGAACGTGCTGGACCACTCCTCAGGCAGTGCAGTGATACTGTGGACAAGGAACTCGGTGTCTGGGGGTGGGGATACGGGGAAGTTTGCTGATTCAATGTCGATGCCGGTGAAGCTAGCATCTGGATATCGAGCAGATGCTTGCAGTGTCCAGATACCTGAAGGCCGCTATAAGCTGGTCTACCCTCCACCCGTGGTCTTCACAAAACTCACCTGTTCCGGTCGCGCTATCCAGGACCTTTGTGCTGGGCAAGATATCTACCGGGGCCGTGATTAAACGCCCATCAAAGGCGCGTATGATCATGTCATGTTGCGACTGAGGCCTGAGATCGTCAGACATCCCAAGCAGCCTGGTATATTGGAAAGAACTTCACTTCTGTACCTCCTCCGAATCGTAGGTGAGCAGATAATGCGAACGGTGGCTTTCAGCTTCCATCGCACAGTCCTGAGGCCACGGGGATGGCATCTGAGCCGGTCAGTAGCGTCCTTTATACGGTCACCACAGGGACGCAAGGAACACCTTGCTGCAATGACCGCGTGAAGGGCTGGACAGCGGGGTGTTATCAGGCTTTCTACGCAGCTGATAAAGCCATTTACGCGGTGGGCGGCGCGATTGGGCTCTTTCTAGGTCGATATCGACGCTAGTATTGACATCGGGTGTCGTTGTGCCGCCAATGTACATGAGTTCTTGTTTGAGGCGAACCCGAATCCTGATAATGCGTAGTTAGTACAAATCTATCCCAAAAGCCCTCCTAAAGGACATCTGACCGTTGTTCGAAGGACGCGATAGCAATCTCGGGTGCACAGGTTGGAGGGTAGGACAAGCAACGAGAGCATGTCGCATAACAGGTAGCTCTGCAATGAACCGACTGCGTGAATATCGTCCTGACGAAATGAATTATCAGGGAGCAGGCGCCGCCCTGCAGGACGCTGCCGAAAGCAGAGCATAGGTATACTCCGCTTCATCGAGAGCTTGCGGACAACAGGCCCCCCATGGAAGCACGATTCGTGTTCTTCAAGGTGTGCTGGTCTTATTTCCTTCTGGTTTTCGCGCTGAAGTTCACCTGAAGCGTGCTTCGTGAGGGAACGACCCAGGCAGCAAATCGCGAATCGATTAGAAAATGATTCTGAAATGCATTAGCGCCCTACAAAGAGCCCTTCGACATGCCTGGTATACGATAGTAATCCTCCCGTGCCCTATATTGTACATCACGACTGGTCCATCATGCGGTATAAGGTCTGCAGGACTTCCTCCCTGTCCGGTAAAGTCCTGTTCACGACTGCCAGCGACGCTGTCTTGTCGTCCATGGTAGCGTGGAAGATGAGGCGGGCGACGACCTCTCCCTGAGAGATGGTCAGTCAAAAAGAGAGGGAAAAAACAAGCTCGAACGTACCAGGTCAACCAGTATAGCGACGACAATCAACCCTGTAACCAGGGTCAGATAGACGATAGACTAGTCGAGTAGGAAAACTCACAAATGACAATCCAAGTGATGCGTTCCATAGCCGAGTTGTTCAGGTGGTCGTGGATTGCGTCCAACTGGATAGATATTAGCACATATGCACAACGATACATCGTCGTACGCACGAAGTCGCTTGCCATCATGAGCTTCTCGTTGATGACCTGCACGCGTGGGCCAAGCTCCATGTACTCCCGCACCGCATCGTACAGCTCCTTCAAGCTTGCCTCGCTCCAGAAGAGCTCAGGGACATCGAGGACATTGCTAACTAGGTTGACATCGCGCCGCAAGCGGAAGAGGCGCCCCGTCAACTTCAGCGCCTCATGCCGCTTCATCTTCAATTTTCCCGACATCGCGAGCTGCTTCGGGATGGACAGCGTCTGCGGCGACGACAGCACGCGCTGCGCCACCGTCTCAAAGCGCGCCAGGAGCGTCGACTGCGCGAGCGCGTGCGCGATCGAGAGCTTGAGCAGGTGCGAGTGCGACTTCAGCGTGAAGAAATCGTTGTAGATGCGCGGAAAGGGAATGTGCGGGTCGACGGTGTAGTGACATTCCTCGATTTCGAAGTCGTCGGTGACGAAGGGGCGCTTGTACACAGAGACGTTCGCAATGTCGTCGAGGATGCTCTGCTCCTGGTCCTCGGTGAAGCCGAAGAAGACGACGACGCCGTATTCGAAGAAAATGGCTTCCGCGATATCGCCGGCGTCGTGGTGCTCGGTGTCGTGGTGAGGGACTTCTTCGGTGGTGGGTGATTGCACCCGAGGGGCGGGTGATCGGCGCGCTCTCGGTGTTGCTGTTGAGTCGTCCGTCTCGTCCTCGGAGCTAGCGCCATTACTGCCAGGTGATTCATCCGGCGTGAGGAAGGTCTCCGAGGGCGGAGATTCGACAGGGTGCGACGTGAAGTATGTGCCCTGGTAGCCATTCTCCTCTGCTTCTGACAGTCGCACGGATATCCTGCCCTCGCGCTTCGGCGGTGGCGCGGACGAGCGAATATTCGAATTCGGCCCATACCCAGGAAGGAGGGGAAGGTGATACATCTTGCAAGACAATCAATACACAAAGCTTCTATCCCATAGCACAATTCACGCACCACATACAACGCCTCATCGAACGCGCGCGGCGCGACATTATGCTCACGCGTGAGATACGACGACAGGTGCTTCATCCTGAACCCCTCTGCGACGCAGTAGGCCGTAATCCGCTTGAAGCCCGCCTTCTTGCGCTCCTCCTTCGACATGCGCTCCGCTTCGCTCTTGTACTCGCGCACGCCCGCGTCGGTTTCGTAACCAAATGTCGGGTCATCGACTTCTTCGGGTGCCAGAGGTTTTGTTTGCGGTGCAGAGGGCAGCACGACGAGCTTCTGCGAGGTCTTCGAGGTACGCTGGGCCTTCTGTCCTGGCGCCAGACCGGAGGCAGACGAGCGCCGCGGGCGGTTGGCGTCGCTGGTAGACGCGTCCTTTGGCATCGTGAGGGACGACAGGCGCGTCTGTCGGTTCCTCGCCGCGCTTGACGACGGGAAGCGAGGTGGGGGCCCCGGTCGTTGCATATCGCCGCAGCTCAAGGATATGCCAAGACGAGATGGCGGTCGAGAACAAAGAGAACAATGGGAACTTCCCAAAGCGTCACCAGGACGTCATGTCGCAGTGATCTTCGTCGGCCCAAAAAGGCACTCCCCCGACGTCCGAACTGTGAAAGGCTTTCGCATGCGGAATATTACACGATTATTGCAGGTATTAGCTTGTACAGTAGTCGTAGATCGCAGCGTCCGCCGCAGCCATATCACATATCTAGGACATCCTGCTCATCTAAGTGTGCTGTAGCTCATGTCCATCTCCTCCCGCCATCAGCGTCGTCGCTATGTGTTCATGACCCCATTCAGCCGCTCGTCGTACTTCTTCAGTAGCAAGCGCTCCACCCAGCCGCCTGGCGGGAAGAGCTTTTCCCACTGGTTATGCAGGTGGATGCCGAATATTTTCCTCGTCAATATGAGGTCGAGGTCCCCGCCGTCGTCCATGTCCAGCCCCATCAGCGGCTTTACTCCCCTTCTGTTATCCGCATCGGTTACGAAGGGATCCGGTAATCGCGTGTCTAGGCGACAGCTGCGGCCCTCGGTGAAGCAGAAGGGGAGGACCTTGAAGGGCGGAATGCCGACTGCGACCAGTCGGCGCCATAGCTTGAAGTAGAGCAGGGAGCCCCAGTCGGTAGACTTGGGCCGTGGCGGGGGCGAAGTGGCCATTATGTGGAATGCTTCGCAGATGTAGGGGGAATGTCGGCGGAAGCGCATGAGAGCGCCGTTGAACGGAGTATACGGTTTGTCTGAGTGCATGTCAGTATGAGCGTGTACGAGCGAAGGTCTGCCGCACCATAACAGTCCCATTGCGTGACGAACTCGTGCTCGAGCAGCGGCTCGAGATCGCGCGTGAGCAACGAGTCCATGTCCACCCACACGCCTCCGTAGTTCCACAGCACGAGAAGTCTGATGAGGTCGCCGTCGATCCACGCCTTGTCGTCGCGCGTCTGCAGCAGTGGCAGCACGCCGTCGAGCTCCGTGCCCTTCGCCAGCCCCGGAATATCGATCCGCTGTATCGCGAACGCGTTTGGGAAGCTGCGCACGTACTTCTGGAGGATGGGGTTGTGTGAGAGGTCCCCGTTCGACCAGAGCACGAGACGCGTGCGGGCAATGTTCTGCGTCGCGAAGAACGACTTGAGCATCCATTCCTGGCGCTGGCCGAAGGGGGCGAGGTCGGCGCGCCAGTAAGTGTGGTACTGGGTACGCTGATCGACGGGGAGGGTACCCACGCTAAGATCGAGCAGGTCGTACATTGTTGGACCCTCGATCGTCCCAGCGAAGTTGTAGCAGTCGAGACCGACGCGCATGGGCAGCCCCGCATGTATCTCCGTCTTCTTTGCGCCGTAGACGTGCTGGGAGATGTTGTAGCCGCTGCTCGGGCGGTCCGCGGAGAAACAGCCACCGAGCGGGGCCAGCTCTTCGATCTCGCGTGCGACCCAGCGCCTGCTGTAGAACGCAATCTCGATGTGCGGCTCGTAGAAGTAGAGGCCGAAGAGGAGGAGGAGTAGGGGCAAGCCCAGGAGGATAAGTGAGCGCCAGAAGCGGCCCATGTTGCGGAAGAAGCGGAAGACGCGCTTGTGGGGTGGATGTCGGAAGTATGGAGGGTATCGGGACGGGCGCTGGTGCGCGTGGACGCGCATCGCGGGGGAGGGGGAGCGGGGGACATCGTGCATTTCGTCGAGAGTGGTGGAGCGGGTGCGGTTGAAGAGGCTTGAGTTCGAGTTGAGACGGTGCATCTTGGGCGGCGAGTCGTTATACATTGGCAGGTCATTGTGCGCTCCCTGAGCCATTTTCCACGCGGCCGCGAGGCGCCGCCACCAAAGCCACACTTTGACCTGCTCGGGCATGGCGAAAGGGAGGAGCATTATGGTACAGGCAGGCGCATTTCTTCGTCAGCGCATGGGTTCTGGTGGTCAGAGGAGAGACGCACTGCTCAAACGCGGTTATGCAATGCAGTCGCGAGAGACTCTGATTCGGAAACGTTCCGGGTTTTTAGCGGGATGATACGTCCGCCATGGGCGTCAGAACAAAGAACTTCCCTCCCATTCGCAGCAGCCAGAGCTCGGAGACCGCGCGCCGCCAATCACGTGGGCCGGTTTCGACCAAATATTTGTCGCCTTTTCTGGGCTGCATCTTGTCCTCGACGCTCGCCACGCCGAATTTCTGACCTTCGACTTGGCACTGCAGACGCTGGAAACATTCCCTGTGAGTCACCTTCTTCAACATTCTCGGCGCGCCCTCGGCTAATCACATAAGTAGTGCATGTCATTGTCATCTGCTTTCTATCAGCAAGCCCGCCGCGCCGTAAATACGCGTGCATCCACGGTTTGACCCCGAATTTCTATACCGCCATACGTACGATATCTTGCGAAACGGACGCCGTGAAATCAGAGGGCATTGAATGGTGTCGAACTCCGTGTGAAGGCGGTGCGGGGCATACAGTTGAATTTCGGTCTACGATCCATCGACCTCGACCTCCAACGAGAGATCGCCATGAACGTCGTATCTGTGCCCAGGAGGACCAGCACTTAGTCGTGCATTTTAGCTGAGCATAACTTCCGCCCAAGGAACCTTCGGCCTCTTGTCTGCCTCTGCGACCGTGCTCTCAGCTGTTCTATGGCAGACCTATCTGCGGATCCGATTCGCGTATCCTTGGCGTGCTCCGGCCATCGATTTCTGCGGCTTCCTCCTACCTCTGCACGACCTCTGCGGGCTCCGAACGCTCAAAGACTCCGAGGGCTTGCTGGGCTCTGCTACTACGCGTTCCTTATATCAATATAGCAGCCTCCTGCAAGATGGTCAGATGCGCTGCATGAAGCACCGGATCAAAGCTTCATCGACCAAGCTCTGCGTCGGCCACCTGTGAAGCCGGAAGACTGGCCTACATTAGCGACACTTGCGACACCCGACGTCGGCCTTGACGGGGATGAAGGGCTAATCGAAACTCACCAGACGCATCCGGCCTGACTAGTGAGCCTTTCATGACCCTGGCGTGCATGCTGTTCATACTGCTAGTACAGTAGGGCCTTCCTTGCGTCCCTGTCGAGGCGGTATAAAGGACGCTGCTGACCCGCCGGATGCCAGTCTCAGAGCCCCGGAACATGGACGCCAGCAGACATCCCGACTATCTGCTCACATACGATGCGGCGGAGGTTCAAAGGTAAATTCATCTGCATGGCTATGCTGGTCGCTGGACTTATTCAACACTACCTAGGCTCCAATTGCAGCACAATATGATCATACGCGCCTTTGGCGGGCATCTTATTGTCGCCTCCATAGAACTCTCACCCGGGATGAACGTCCTCGATAGCGCAGCGGGAACAGGTGCGTCTGAGAGAGGCCATGAAAGGGAGAACAATACGGACTCACAGCAGACGCTTAGGCGTATGGACTCTTCAGGCTGCTGCCCAACACCCGAACGCCAAATTCTCCGGCATCGACATCGAATCTAGGGATTTCCCCATCTCGCCGCCTTCAAACGCCCGATTCCTAGTCGAAGATATCACTGCTTTACCAGAGGAATGGTTCGACACATTCGACCTCGTCCACCAGCGCCTTCTCATTGCCGCACTTCGCGCTGAGGAATGGCCGCAAGCCATCGCCGAAGCGCACCGCGCGCTGCGACTCGGCGGATGGGCTCAGTTCGTCGAGTGCAGCACGCTATGGCTACGCGGACCCATCGCGAGGTGCTTCCTCGAGATATACCGCGCGCTATACAACTCTCGAAACATGCTCCTGACATGCGCGGAGGATATCCCGCAGATGCTCGAGGATGCCGGCTTCCGCAACGTGCGCAGCGAGCGCGTGTATATCGAGATGGCTGGAACGACGCCGGAAGCGACTGCGGCCAGGACGACCATCGTCGGAGTATACAGACAGTTTAAGGACGCGATTATGCAGGCGGGGGGCTTCGGTCTTGTGGAGTCGGGAGAGGAATATGATGCACTGATGAGCGAGCTGGAGAAGGAAATAAAGACGGGAATCGACGGGACTTACCCATTGGAGTAAGTCGCCGTCGTGGCACAGAAGCCTTAGGTGCGATGTTGGATGTGGTTATAGAACGCTACCAAAGTTCGTATGCTAATCATGTCGACCGCCTGAATAATTGTAAATCGCCACCTTCGTCCCAAAGACTTATCGCCAGCCTCAGACGCGCCTCATATCCTCCCATATTTCTGCGTATTCTTCCGGCGAGAGATCATATTTGATGCTCACAGTACACGGTCTACCTGAATCGAAGAGTCCTTCCCTGGCCGTTAGGTCGTACTGACCGACAACTGTATAGAGGCTGACCGCGCGCAGCGCGCCGTCACGAGAAGCGATCGCATCCGCCAAACTTTGGAATCCATCCAGCGGACGACACACAAGGGTCATAATCGTCAATTCTTCGAGTTTCGGGACCAGAGGCAGCGCATCTTCGCGGATGATGAGAGTTGTGAAGAGTTCGATTAGCAGTGCGCTAGCATCCCCGTCGTCAAAGAGCTCGTACTGGAGCCTGAGCCGCAGCACGCGCAGGTTTGGGCAGGCGACCAGGACACGAGAGAGCGCCTCCGCACTCGCGGCCTTGTGATACAGGTATATCGATAGAGCTGTAAGCGAGCAGGGGCCGGCGCTGAGTGCGTTCGCGAGCTCGTGAACGGACTCTACTGTCTCTAGATGGCCGTAGATATGACATTCGGTAAGCGCAGGTGCCCGCAAGGTCGATAGGTCAACCGCGGCGATGAACGCTCTCTCCAGGCTGGGCAGGTGGAGCTGAGAGCTTCGTTGCTCGGAGGTGAAGTCATTAACAAGTACGGTCTGAAGCTCCAGCGCGCGGACGTTCTTCAAGCCCTTCAGGTCATGGAACTGAAGCGGCAGCAACGGTCTCGCAGAATAGCGAATGAGCTGCTTCCACGGCAAGTCAAAATTCTGGCCGACGTGCTCGAAGGACTCCAGAGCCGGGCACTCGACGAAGAGGCCGCGATACGGATCCCACTGTGCGCCAATGATATAGCCTCTGATGTAAATGGTGGCCCTTCTCAGGAGAGGAAGGCATCCGCGGATCGAGGTGAGGTTGCAGAAGTGGTTGTTCCTCAGCGCGATGTCGGCATGTTCCCAGCGCGTGCTATGTGATGCTAGGAGCTGCAGCGCCGGTACTAAGCCTGAGAGGGGCGCGATGCCGTGATTTCGTACGATCACGGAGAGTGGGAGGTCTCCGGAGCGCTCGAGGAGGCTCTGCAGGCGCGCGATCACGTCCCCGAGCGGATGAGGATAGATGTTGAGGTGTACGTCCGTCCAGAGGGTCGGTGTGCTGAGAGCTACATGGCGCCAGCGCTGGCAGACGGATGTCACAGACAGCGGGCCGCCGCGAACAGAAATGGAATCCAGGGCAAAATCGTAGTATTTGACGCGACAGTGGTCGAAGATGTCGAGCAGCGTCTCCGTGGGGAGCGACGATATGCGTCGCTCAGCGCCAACCAGATCTGCTTCCATGGGCCGAAATGGTGGATGAGACGGAGATAGTGCCCGAAGATGGCGAGGTTTTGAACTGGCAGAAGTAAAGCACAAAAGCAACCAAGGGTGGGCGACAAGATTAGCGATGGTTCGGCAAGCCGGATGAGCTTTACGCACAGGCAAGACTTCCTCGTTGAAGAAGCAGGATACAATATCGCTAGAAGGTAAAGTGCACCTTTTCTAGGACGACGCCTTGTGTGTTTGAGAGAGTAGAAGGGAAGGAGAGGGCCCCACGTTTTACTCACGCAATCGATATCGCTGACTCAGGCACCGGGCTCGGCGCTGGCGACAAGATTGGGTCCAAGCAACGACCTCTGCAAGCACACGGTTTTTGCTTGTGGTAAAGGCATACAGTGATACCCATGAAGCTGAAGTTTACTCTCAGTTAGATGAGGCATTGGACGAACCAGGGAGAACGGCAATTGCCGACCATAACTTTTTCGGAAGCGGCAACTGCCGCATCTTTCCTGCAAGCAACCACGACGGCCTTCGAAATCGACATGTCTGCCTTTCTTCTCGGGTTGAATTCACCTCTGCATCTGTGTCCTAGTACAGGTCTCGATACTCCTATGGCTATGTAATACACTGCGTCGTCCCACAATTTTCCCAAAACTACATGCTAATTGTACACCTCTTCTCGTCTCGAGTCAAAGGGCCTGCGCAGCTTCGATCTGGTCGGAATCTGTCTGTTTATTGACCCAGAACTACGCCGCGATTCTCAGATCAACGACTTTGGTTAACATTGGCCGTACCTCCCGACCGCGGTGACGCCGGTCGATGTCGTTGTATCCCCACCAGTAGGAAAGGACCGTGATGCCCATGAACGCGCCAATTCCGAACATCTGCAGAGGCATATCAGCATGTCAACTCTCGAGTACGTGCAAGTATTATAGGCATTACCATCCAACCCTTCCCGGGCTCCTGCGGGAGGCCTCCCATGCCTCCCATGAAGTGCGACGGGTTGGCGCCGAACGTCGCCGAACGATAGTGGCTAGGGTACATGGTCGTTCGAGACAAGTATGTGGCAATTCTCCCTCGCCTTCCTCACTTATATACGGTGTCATGTCGGTCATGGGTCGAGCGCAGCTGTATTCGAGGCGGGGCGCGCCCTGCGCCCCGTGACACAGAAGTTCGAAGTCGCTCCAAACTGAAGTTCTCCCCGGTTATAGAACGGCCTCGCTGGCAGTCAAGAGGTCAGGAGCTGCGAACTCAAGACCTGCTCCCTCCATATTCAAGAAGCGCGTCGCGGGAAAGCTCAGTAGGCGCAACCGCGCTGGCGCACGTGGTATGACGGTGGGTGGCTGGTCAACGGGCACGCGCTTTCACGACTGTCTGACTTGCCACTTTGCAAGATCCTATGCACCCCCGAAGCCACATCATGTCCGAGCGCGTGACTTGCAAGTTCTTCATGCACAGTAGAAACTCGCTCGCAGCAGTCCTGTCGTTCTTCGACTCATTGGCGACTTTGGACGTGCTCTTCACGAGACGTCCGTACAACTTCAACCCTGGCTTGTCACGTCTGAACACAATGACGCGTACAGAGGTCCGGCGGTCATCGCGCAAGAACTTGGGTCATCCGCATCCGACCCGCATATGAAGCTTTTTTTTCCTCGACAAACCCAATTACTAGTTTAGCTACCTACCACGGATCTCTCTATTCCGGTTCTTCGCTCAAGCCTGACCTAAATGTATAGTACGTCTCTACATCGGCTATGGATCGGTATCATCGCTTGCCGGAGGTCAGAGCCATTACCAACTCCCATTGGCACTCCCTCCGACAGAGCTCTTGATTCCCTGTGGTCTTCCCGCGGTCCCGATATCCCAAATGAACAGTAACATCCCCAAACGTCTGCCTCAGGAATTCGACGACGTCCCCTGCACTCGAAATCTCGCACGGTGCAGTCAACACGATGGTCACGCGCCGATTGGCAAGAGGCTCGCGAGGAGGCAGAGCCGAACTGGGCGGAATTGTGGAAGCGTCAATTTGCAGCCGCATCTCCTCAATGTTCGGGCAGAACTTCGCGAAGGAGGAAAGTGTTGCTAGAGAACAGGTGGGGTGGGTGGTCGCGTCGACGTCGACTGTGATCCAAGAAAATCGGCGAAGCTTAGGCCATGATTTAGCCCAGTGTTCCCACTGCTCTTCGGCGATGCGTACGCCGCGGAATGTCTCAAAGCGCGCGACTTCAATGTGCGGGAAATTGACGAGAGGGGCAGCGTGGTCGAACAGTACCGGCTGGGGCTCCCCAAGATCAGGCACATCGTAAAAGCATCGAGAGAAATCCACTTCGAGGAGGTGGTCCGGGTTGCAATGAAGTCCGAGTGCTGTCACTAGCGTGTGCAGGGTCTCAGGGCTCTCTCGCCCCAGGGTCACGACGGCGAGCTTTCCCAACGCGCGATCCTTGCCGGTTTCGATAATGTCCTTCGCATCCTCCAAGGACACCTTGATGAGTATAAGCCTTCGAAGAGCGGGAAAGGCATGCCGAGGGTATCTCGGAGGGCCACCACTCCATGACATTTGCGTGGTAAAGGCGAAGCTGACGTCGACCGAGCTCAGATTTGGGAAGGTCGCCAGGATTTCCATCACTTTTGAGTGGCGAGGGAACGGCAGGACGAGAGTGACTTCAGTCAATTGCTGGCAGCGAGGAAGGCACTGAAGCAGAGAGTCTCGCGCGTGCTCGTGTAGAGAGTAGAACGCGGGCCCGTCTCTAAACTCCATGATGGAAAGTCTACTGATCTGCGTGCAGTGGTCCAAGATGCCACCGAGCGCGAGCGAGTTCCACAAATCAAGTTCTTGGAGGTCGGATGGTATTGTCGCCTTGAAGAGTTTGATGTAATCAAGATACAGGCTACTTTGGCGACTGAAAAGACGCTGACGCTGTGAATAGTCGAGGAAAATGCGGAGCCGGCGCAATGAAGGCAGAAGGGTGGCAGCAGGAGGACAGTCGATGATCCTTCGCAGGACCGTGCGCGGAATTTGGGGCAGGCAAAAAATCTTAATGAGCGAGGTGAGCTTGTAGATGGGCGTCCAGTGGTCTACCGTTAGGGGCAGCCTATCGATCGGGAGCTGCGAATGGAGGTTAGCATAAGGAGTCTTGCGCCACAGCAAGTGCTGACTCACATCATCTAATTTCCCATAGTCCTCGACCTTCATGCCTGCAATCCACGTTCATAAGTATGTACGCTACGATGCCGACGTAGTGCCTACCGTTCCATACATCCACCGGCATGAGTTTGAGAAGGGTATCGATACCCGCAACGTTCCTCCAGATAAAGGGATTCGCTGACTTATAGCACGCTTTGCTAGTCAATGCGAGACGGGCTAGGTTGCGCAGCTCCAGGTATCCGACAATCATGTCATGGAGTTCCTGAGGGAGGTCGAGGAAAGAGGCCGACTCGACTGGCATTCTGATCGAATGACGGGGAGTTGAGTGCGACTGGAAAGGCGGGTACAGGCAAAGCGGACAAGAAGGAGAGCGAGCAAGCCGGATGAACACCTTTTAAAGGCCATGTTTGTGGCTCACGTGGATGGTACCTGCGGTCAAAGCCACAATGGACAATGCTGAAGCATGAATGAAATGCTGGTCCGTCGAAATGGAGCCTTGCACACTGCATAGCAGCACAATAGCTGGACCACAGAACGTTCGAGACGCTCCCATTGGCCCCTAAAAAGCATGCATGCCTTGCTCATGCTGAGTAATTTCGAGTACCAGGTCTGCGCGCGTAGATGAGAGCCCATACTTGTTCAGTAAATAAAAGTGCATATTCGTCCCACCATACTACCTAATCATACCATTGACGGCTGCTTTCTTTTCTTCTTGGGATGAACAAGGTCATTGCGCGCTTCCGACTTCTTCAACCCGATGAGTGAGTCATTGCCTGAAAAGATATGTTCGTTAGCTTCTGCTCGAGGCCGGTCACAGCAACACGTACTCTCTCCCGCCTACAAATCGTCAACAATGAGCCGACTCCCCGAAGTGATATACTTCGTCGACACGCCAAGAGCGATCAGTGGCTGCGCTAGCAGCTCTGTCAGCTGTGCCTTGAGCGCCGCCGCCTTCGTGTTTGACGCCTTCTTCTGCCGCTTGCTCGGCGCTTCGCTCTCCGAGTCGCTAGAAGAGCAACATCAGTAAACCGCGCCGCGCACATGATAGCCCACCCTTACGACATGAAGTCCGAGTCGAGCTCGACCTCCATCGCGTCCGCGGCCTCGCGCATCCACTTCCGCTCGTGCTTCTCCTTCTTCACGCGGTGCTGCGCCGTATCGATCTGCTTTGCGAGCTGGATGCGCGCCTTGAGCTTGTCGAAGAGGCTGCGCTCTACAGGGAGCTCAGGAATGTCGTCAAACTGCAAAAGGAGCGTAAACCCCTTGACGACCACTCATCCTCGACTGAGGACTTACGCCTCCCGACGCTGCTGAGCAATGAGCGCGCAACCTTGCGCTCATCCGGCGCGCACATGAGCATGCTGAAGCCCGCCGCGTTGGCGCGCGCCGTGCGGCCGTTCCGGTGGATATACGTCTCGGCCGAGCGCGGTATCTGGTAATGCAGGACGTGATCGACCGCGGGTATGTCCAGTCCGCGCGCGGCAATGTCCATCGCGAAGAGTACGCAGTTCGGCGTCGACTTGAGCCCAGTGAACCATGGTCGGCGAGCAAGGCCAATCGCTAGAGCGGGAACGCCAGTCACATGAGCGGCTTTGCCATAGACCATCCGCAGACACCCACCTATAAATCTTCCCAAGAAGTTGGTGGCGCATTTCGCGTCGAAGCCCGCGCCGCCCATGGACTGCGGGTCTTCTTGCGATTCAAGTTCGCCTTCAGATCTTTGCTGTCTCTTCGTCGTATCGCGTCCACGAGTTATCCAATATCGATATGACCTCAATCATGTCTGGTGAGACAATCATTGAGCGGAATCGGCGACGAAAATTGAGGAGGAAGGGAGGGAATAGCTGGGAAGATGAGGCATACTTACGGTGTGCTTATGCAGTTTTGAGTATTAGCTAGAAGGTTGGAGAGCGCCAGCCAGCGCGGCCGCGGCCTGTGCAAAGACCTCTCCTGTTGCCATGAAGGACTGAAGGAAGCGGCGGTCGGCAAATGCCGACCACGTGAACTCCTTTTCCGTGATCCGGCAACTGCCGCATCACTGTTGCAACCGACGACGACGGCCTTCCACATCTCTGGCCTGCACCTTAGGCTCTGCAAGCCATTGACAACAGGCATCTCTCAGAATTGTGCCTTGAGAGGGTACCATATCGGCAGGACTAGCGTACACCGCGCGGAATTCGTTTCGCTCGAGAATTCATGCTAATTGAACATCTCTTCTCGCCTTCGCGTCCTCATAGGGCTTGTGCGGCTTCGTGCTGGTTGACTTCAGTATGTTTATTGTCCCAAAGCTACGAAGACGCATCGGACTTGCCGCTGGCATCTGCGGATATGAACGTGTTGCCGTACCTCCCGACCGGTCGATGTCGTTGTATGGCCACCAATTGGAAGGACTGTGACGTCCATAAACGCTCCAATTCCGAACATCTGCAGAGGCCTGTCGGAAACCCGACGTTTAGATACCTGTAATTGCGGGCATCACCACCCAGCCCTTGCTGGGCTCCTGCGGAAGGCTTCACCTGCCGCCCATAAAGTGCGACGGGTAGGCTAGGGTGCATGGTAATTTAAGACAGGTATGTGGCCTATCCATCAGGCATTCGACGTTTATATACGGTGTCATGTCGGCCATGGGTCCAGCACGGCTGTATTCGATGCAGCGCGCTCTGCGCCCCGTGACACAGAAGTTCGAAGTCGCTCCAAACTGGAGCTCTCCCAGGTCATCGAACAATTCTCGCTGGCGGTCGAGAGGTCAGCAGTCGTGGTCTCAGGACCTGCTCAGTTCATATTCGAGAAGTGCGTCGCGGGAAAGCTCACTGTCAGGTCTGTGAATCCGAGTGGGTGCAACGGCACTGGTATGACGGTGCGTGTCTGGTGGACGACCACTCCCCTTCGCGACTAGGTCTGACTTGGTTACCCTTCCTGCGCAGACTCGAGGTGACGCCGTGTCCGACGCCGCGACGCGTGACTTCCGTATTCTGCGGCCACAGAAAGACAGCGGAAATACGAGCCAACAGACAGATACTTCAAGTAGGAGGCGACATCCTTCGTCGCCACATATTCTCAAAAGGTTAGTCAATTTTCCACCCTCTTGAACGCTCGGCGCTCGCCAAGGACTTGAACTCCTCTCAATACGCCCACAGGCTCGCGATGGGCCTGGTCTGGTAGTTGTTGTTCTTCGACATCGGCAAATTTCTGGCCTGCTCTTCACGAGGTGTCTGAACTCTGATTCGAGGCTACAGTCAACACAATTGTGCGTCTAGAGGTCATTAGTGACGTCCTCTGCTCGCGCCGCGCAGATTCTCCGAGAGCCATGAACCGGTCAAACGCCAGCTGAGCCACTGGCCACGCTGGTGCGCTACGACCATCCATGTATGTGCCGATCAGCACCGAAATAACGATCAGCGCTTCGGATCCCGCTCAAAAAGGAAGTGCTTGTTGAGAGGGAATGCTCTAGGACACTAAATTATGGTGAGAACTCGATCTGCGTTGCATGGAGGTTTCATGTGCTCCCTATACTCACCTCCACCATCCCGGTTTCCAGATACCGCAATATTCTCACGTACTAGGACTTCACCGCGCGTGAAATTTCCCATCGCGTAGTTGTTCGAGGGGTTTCGAGCGAGAGTCGCGTCCGCAAGGTCAAGCGACTAGAATCCTCCCCTTCACACGTTCGTCCCTTCTGTGACTGCACTTCTAACGGACGATGCGGTCAATGGACGTCGCCATGTATTCGTCGGTGTCGGTCACCTCGTCGTACAAAATCCAGCGGAGTCCCGCTTCGCAAGGCTGCGCTGACCAGTGTCTATGAATGCTTCTCCGGACGCCCGCAGGCTTTGCAGCATGGTAGGCGTCAATGACTACGTAGCCGCCGACATACTCACGCAAGTAATTCACAGAAGAAGGCGTTGTTCACGAGCAGCTGTCTGCCCTGTTCTCGGCGCCTGGAATCAACTGTACATACCGAAGTCCCCATGAGCTTACGACTCTATCGCAAGCCATACGTGTACGTCTTACTGCGTCAGGCGGTCAGCGCAAATTCCTATGGCAGAAGTAGCGCTCCTTGCCTAGGCCTACCCTGGTCACGACCGCCTGTCGGGTGCTGTCATAACTTCTAGGTCGCTCGACCGACCCAACCCGCGACGCTCGCAGGCGAATCCGAGCCCCCATCTATGGCAAACCTTCCAACCAGCGGTGCCACAATACAGGACGCAAATAACTGTCTCCCCTCCCATTCACCAGCTTTCGCGGGAGAAGGCGACAACGACCCTCGATCCCACGGCGCGCACGCTGGGCCTGAACGATACACAGCCGCAGCACACCCATGACTAGGCGCTGAATAGGCACGACAACTCTTGGGGCCGGGCGCGTCGCAGATATCTCTAGCGCCGATCGAACGTACGCGCAATCTCTCGCAATCACCCCGTAGCAGACGACTACGTGCCCCTGCGACGACGAGGCGCTTCAGTTAGTTCACTTCTTGTAGAGTTCCTCTCGGCAGTCTCCGCTCGCGCAACATAGCCTGACACCTAAGCGAACCTTACTTACCCTAGGCGCTCAGCCTGTGGCGCTGCCACAAGTATACAGCTTTCGGTGTGTGCCCTTGCACCTTGCCTGTCGTTAACTAGACTGAAAATGGCTTCGTCTCACTGGTCAGCTCAGTAGGTGCCTCGGGTCGTTCAGGACGGTGGAACAGAGTTTCGTTCGAATAGTCGCGGCCCCGCCTCAGTCGGAACGTACCTCCCTGTCGTGTAGTCTCCTACCGCCCGCCGACGCTCTCTTCGAACCCACAGGAACACCCCTCAACACCCGCCCCGCGACAGCGATTTATATGCCCGATTTCGCATGTGGCCTGCAGACGGAGATTCCGCTTGCGCTTCTCCGCCTTGTCGGCGACTTGCACGCCGCCCTCCGCTGCAGCGGCGTCGCAAGGGCCAGGGGCTCTGTACGGGATCCTCCTCTGTCGGCGGTCATGCGCAGGTACGCGGCTTGGCCAACTCTACTATCCTCTCGTCCTTCCAGAGTTCGCCTGCCTCTGACCGAAGGTTTCGATAGAACGCCGACCACCGATAATGCCCTGCTGACCGATTGTTGCCTCAAATTGCGCCTCTGGAGGATCGCCTTAATCCCAATCTAGCTTATAGCATGCGCCTACTATTCAGGTGTGTCTCGACTCAGTATACAGCTCGCCTATCATGCTCAAGTCGACCTCGAGCAACTTCTAGAGTCCAGCGACAAGTCAGGCGAGCTCGCGTGCCGTCTTCGTAGGCTTTGAACCCGTGCACAAAGCAGCGCACGTGCAGACTCTTCGCGCGAACTCTACTTTACTCTACGCGTGACATGACGCTTTCACTCGCACGTTGGTATGAATCCGAGCTGCCTTCAGCCGGCTCGCTGAGCCACCGACTATCCCGTGCGTCTCCACTCTTGCTCTTCTCTCTTCAACGCCCGCCTCCTCTTCAGTCCCTATGCTCCTCCCGTTACTCCAAGCCACGTTCAGTTGTTCTTATCTTTCTATTTTCGCTCTTCGCTGATGTCTGTCTGCCAGCATGCCTCCGCTCCAACGCTACTCCTATGGTACCGACGCAGCTTTCTCTGACGATCCCAGCCGGGCTACGCGGAAAACTCGGAGGGGAGCTGGAGTTGCTACCATACAATGGATGCTTGAGACGGCGGCTCACACCTTTGACCATCGCCCTTTCTCCTCACTTCCCAGAAGATTACGTCGCCATAATTTTCCTTTCATCCTATCCTCACCCTCAAGCTCTCTTCTTAGTCCAGTGGCGCAGCACCAAGTTGAACTTCCCACGAACTTCCCTTCTTTCATATCACTCAATGAACTTGTCTTTCCCCTTGGAGTTCCAGCTATTCATCTTCCCCATCCATCCGAAGCCCTTCTCTGAGTTGCCGTCATCACCATCTCCGCCTTCTCTCACGCCGCCGGTCCACAAAGCATGTCCCCCAAAGCCACTTTGGCAGTTCGCATCTTCCCTTACCTGCCCATCACACGTACGCGCCGCCCACACCGGCGGCATACGCTTCGAGAAGCCCTCCTGCGGCCCCGCGATGTACGTGCGCCGCACCTCTGAAGTTGAAGTCCTTCTGAAGATGCCCACCTATGGCAGGTCGCTGATCCTTCGCGTCTTCGCGCTCGTCATCAGTCGAACGCTGGTCACCGTCCAGCAGCTTCTCGCCCATCGGGTGATAAGCCGCGTCCCGGAGCGCGCCAGGCCTCGATTCCCCTCGTCAATCAGGCGTAGCGCGTCGCCCGATATCGCGCGATATAGGAATCCATCCTGCCAGTGTCAAGCATCTCCGGCGTTAGCACATTGCTTCATGATCTACGTAACGAAGAGGGCGACTCGGACGCCGGTCCCCTCGGCTTCCTCTTGTCATGGTACGCATCCCCTCTCGCCATTCAAAGACCGGATGTTCACGTTCTTGCAAGGCGCTGCGCTTTGTTCTGCTCGGAGTGCACGGGACCGCATACATCTTCCCATGATGTACGCCCGCCAGGCTTCTAGGTTGTCGCTCGCCTTCTTCGCGGGGCGGCCTTATGCATGGACACACAGAGGAAGCCCGTGTCGCCACTCAAAGAGCATCTACCCACAGCGCTTTGTTGTCCAAGGTCCCGAGGAGCGCACGAGACTCGCTATACCTTCCCAGGATATGCACCCGTCGGTCTTCTGAGGCGTTCGACGCCTTCTTTGCGCGGCTACCTTGTGCATGGACACACACTCATCACAGCCCTCTATTCAGGACCTCACCCATCTATTCAGAGCATACCGGTCATACCGACTTCTGTGGGCGCCCGCGACCGACACCTGCACCCATCCACGACCGGCCCACCAGCTCGCCTGCAATCGGCCCACCGACCTCCCCGTCCGGCCTTCTCTTTCACCATCTACCCGTCACCTTCTCTCCTTGCTGCTTCCTATACGAATTGGCCCTCTCTCATCTCTTCTTTCCCATCCATCCCGGCCTCCCGCGTTCTTCCCACCGAGTCTTCCCCATTCCCTCTTCCCTCTGATCATTATCTCTGAATGAGGCGGGTGATGATGGGCTGCGAACGGGATCAACACCCTCGCGCGGGGGTGCCAATCACCGACGTAAGTGCCCATGCATCCCCCCTCGCCCGCGCATCACATCCCACGCTAACAGGGACCGGCGCGCGAATCTCGTGAATTCGAGTTAGCGCAGCCATTGTTCTCAGGGAGGGAAGACGCCTGATCATTGTGCAATTTCCGCGCACCGAGACCCTGCAGGTCCGCAGGCTATTCTCAGGTCAAGGGTCCTTAGTGTGAGTCCCTACTAGACTACGCGCGAGTCCGTTGACTACACGCGAGCCCGTTGACTACGCGCAGATACATCGAAGTGGACTACGCAGGACCCGTGGTCGATCATAAACGAAAGACTCCACCGGACGTGCGTCGTCCGCTGCGACTAGGCTGGCGTGCGGAGTCCGTTGGTAGACTGGCGGACATGGCTGTCATCGCGCTGGCGTGTGGCTCTCCTTGACTAGCGCCCTTGGCCATTGTTCTCTACGGAGACTTGGCTCCACAGCGGGGCCGAGCGCGTGATCATGATCCTCTCGCGCTCGAACCATCCTCTCAACAGTCGATTCAATTCCTCGACGCTCGATCTATCGTCTCGACGCTCCTGATCCGTCCTCCCGACGCGCCTGACCTGCCTTGAGCTCTCCGTTAATCCATCCTGGAGCTCTCGCGTTGAGCCATCTTGGAGCTTTCCGAGAGCGCTTGATCCACCTCCGACCTCGAGGCCCGCGCGCGAACGGCTGCCAAGGCCCGCACGTTCGACCCCACGATCCACCTCGCCCCCTCCCCCGCATTCGGATGGTCGCACTTTGCAGGCTCAAGCCGCCCCGCGTTCGAGCTCGTAACACGCTTCTGTAACACCCAAGCCCTCCTCGCACCTTGCCGTCGGCGATCGCCAACCCCAGCTTAGTTTGTTACACTCCTACACTCATATGATCTTGACTTACCGACGAGTAGGGCCCTAGTTATATTTGCCAAGGAGTCGTACACAGTGAAGTGTAACACGCCCTTATTCCTCTAACATCGTTCAAATCCGACCTGATTGATCTCTCTTCACCTGAGTCAGATGTACTCACCACCATAGGGTCAGGCGAGCTGACGACTGGAGGATCAGGCGCACTCGCCACCGGAGGGTCAGATGCGCCCATCACTGAGTGTCAGCCGGGCCAAGATACTCAAGAGACGCAGGGACGCGAGCAGCCGGCGTCCTGAGTGGTCCCCCTGGCGAAAGAGTCGGACATGGAGTCTGTTGATTATTGAGGGACGAAGTATACCAGCCGCGTCGTCGGGTCGACATATGAGAAAATGGCGTATATTGCGCTGGACGGGGCGCGATCGTCGCGCGAGAAGAACAAGTCGATATCATCCTGCGCAGACACAAGTCGTGCGCGATCTGTGACGATAGGCCAACGGTGGACCTGTACAGGCTCGTATCGTACTGCGCAGTTCCGTCGAGTCGTGCGCGGCCTGTTCCGAGCTCGAGTTCATGGTAAGCCACGAGTCGCAGCTCAAGTCGGTCGAGTATGAATCGTCGATAATAAGCATCCTCGTTCGACTACTACTCGTCTGAGCCGCCAGGATTGGTAGTCGTCTGAGCCGCTAGAACGCTAGCCGTCTGAGCCGCCTGGAGTGGTAGTCGTCCGAGTCACCTGACGCGGTCCCCGTCCAAACCGCTGCGCGAGGGAAACCGATAATACGACTTGCGCGACGATGCCCGATACCGAAGGAACGAGGTCGGGTCGGAATCAGCAGCAGGTCAAGGATAGTCGCTGGATAAGCAGGGGTCGTACTTGGATAAGCAAGATATTCAGTGTTCTCAGCAGGCGATGACATTGACACGGCAGTCACCCGCGGCTGTGGATATTCCGTCGCGTCGGGAAGATCCTGTCGTAGCGGCTGGCGCGTATATTCCGTCATATCGGTGGGTGTGTGTATTCCGTCGTAGCGGCCGACACCTGTATTTCGTCGTATCGGTGGGTGCGAATCGGCCGTTGCTGGTGGGTGCGAATCATCCGTCGCGGCGCACTGGCAGACTGTCGAGGTGCTCGACTCCGGCGGATAATAAGCAGCCTGCAGCTGACGGGCAGAGTCAGTAATCGCCTGAGAAGTCGAGTAAGCAGTGATCGTCTGACAAGTCAAGTAAGCAGGGCATCCAGTGAAGCGCCAGACAACGTTGAGTGACTTGTCAGACAGCGTCGAGTGACTTGTCAAATGAGTTCACGAGTTCATTGAAACTCCTCCCCAAGCAGCTTACCGTACCCACAGTCATCGCCAGGTCATCAATGAGCTTGTCCTCGTCACTGGGTTTGCGGGAGCGCCCGTCAGACCCAGTGACGACGTCGGCAAATCCACTGACAAGCCCGAGCCCATTGACTAGCCCAAGTCCATTGACGAGCCCAAAGCCATTGACGAGTTCGAACTCAATATTGACGAGAACAAGTCCATCAGCGAGAACAAACCCATTAGTGAGAATAAGACCCGGTGACGATAACCAGCACCGAAAGTCACTTGCCCCAAGACGAGCCCATTGACAAGCCCTTTGAGACTTGGCTCCTGACGGGCCATCTTCGATGGTGGCGCGACCACCGCAACCGGCGATTAGCAGCGCATCAGCGCGAACTAATTGAGCTGCGCTGATGATTGCACTTCGCTGGGCTCCTGATTGCACTTGATTGCTCTAATGCGCTGACCTGGTGATTGTTCTAACCTACTTCGCTGCTTGGATGAGGACTTTCGCTGAGTTCATTGACCTGATGATTGCGCTAATTCACTGACCTAACTTATTTCGCTGCTCGGATGCTTGCTTCGCCATCGTGACCCCTGCGGCGGCGCTAGCACGCATCGGGGAACGTGGGCCCACGTTCCGGGATCGCGCGCCCACACCCCGGGATCGCACCCCGCATCCGGAAAGCCTCGCGCGCCCCGCATCCCTCGCGCCCTGGACGCCTGAGGGAATTCCCCGGAGCGCCGCTGAGGAGGGGAGTACCGTCAGCGAGGAGGTCAATACCGCTGAGGAGGTTAGTACCGCTAAGGAGGTCAGTACTGCTGAGGAGGTTCAAAGCACCGCTGAGGAGGTCGGCACCCTCCCGGGAACTAGGACGCTGTACAGCTGATTGTCGGCTTGGTTAGGTCCTCGTCAAGCGCCTGATCATGATTGAATGGCGGTCGGCAAGTATAGGGTAGGAACTGGCTGTACAAGTACAGGGCAGGAACTGGCTGTACAAGTATAGGGTAAGAACTTGCTGTACTTGCAATTGGAACTGCACTATGGCGAGCGCGCGCCGGTAAGTATAGCAATAGGCCTTGCTAGCGCGCACACCCCGGCAGCACGACGCCGACCTACCCAAGCACGGTCTCGGGCCGCGATATTCAGTGAAGCCCGCGCGCTGACCCATGACCGACGCACGGGGAACCCAATCCTACGCACGGGGGCTCTGACCGACACAGGGGAGAACACCGGGACGCTGACCGACACGCGGGAGCGCACCGACGCGCCGAGCAGCGCCCCGGTGCGCAGGGCACCCTCGAACAGCCGGCCTTCTGTCAGAGCCACTGGGAGCGCGGCATCTCCCGGGCCTCGCGACGGGTGGTGAATTGGGCGCGCGACGATTGTGAATCCGGCGCGCGACGATTGTGAATTTGGCGCGCGACGATGATGAATCCGGCGTGCGATGGTTCTGAATTACCGGCACCGGGCGATTGGGAAGGAGAGGGGGCGAGGATGAGCTTGTAGGATGCCGGGTTCAGGTGATGGGCCGCGTTCAGCAGGTGATCGGTCGTCTCGCAGGTGATGGGCCGCCTTCAGCAGGTGATGTTCGACGAAGGTCCCTCAAGTTCAAGATGGCGCACCGCCCCGGACAGGGACGCGATCGAGGAAGCGTCCAGGCGATATCGCACGCGCTGCGCGATGCCGGACGGATCGTGTCAGCGACGGGCTCGATCCCGGTTCCTGGGCGCAAGCAAGCTGGACAGGCAGCGTCCACGGAACGCCGGGGAACGCACGCGCAGGTGAGTATCGCCAGAAGTGGGCGCGTTCCCATGCACTGAGGTACGCGCGCCGCCGAAGAGCTCGGGGCGCGCCGCCACCATCAGGAATACACTGTCAGAGGGCGAGGAGGGGCGCGGCGGGCGAGTGACGGGCTCGGATAGCACGATCAGCACATCAAGTGGGGGACGCGGGGGTGGGAAGCCTCAGCCTCGGGCGGGGAGAAGACGCGCACACGCCTGACGTAACAAACGCGCGAGATCTGACGTCACACAGGACAGCGATAATAGAGCGATATCTGTGATTCGAGTGTGCGTGCTACAAGTACATGTCGGGGGCAGTGATGGAGAAGGCGGAGGCGAATAAGTTAGGCAACTAAAGTGAATATACATCTAAAGGACGCGCAGGGAAAGCAGAGACTCGAGCAGAACCCATAGCGAAGAACACAAGAGACCAAAAGAAAACGCGCATGTCAGATCCCCTCCTCCCCCATTGCCGGTGGCGGCCCAAGAACAACATGCATCGGGGTCCCCCCTCTCTCCTCTCCTCCTCTTCGTCTTCTCCCTCCGCCGCGTCGTCGTGGCGCGCCTTCGAGCGCTGCCGTGTACGACAGTCGCGAAGTGGATGGTGGTGCGGCGGCAAGTGTGCATAAATACGGATCCATGCGATGCGTGTGCGTGTGCGCGTGCGCTATTGTGGGGGACAGCGCGTCTGCGCGAGAGATCGGCGTCCGTCGACCCGGGGGGGACGGCGGACGGGGGCACCAGGCGGCCCGTCGCCTATCTCCTCCCGATGAACTGCCAGTAGGGCGACCCTGGTCGGGGCTGTGTGGCGGTGGACGAGACGTCTGGGGGGATCGGGTCAGACATGAAAGAGATAGCGATGCGCAGATAGACGCACGGGCAACGATGCATGCGTAGACGTCGACGCCCCCATTGACCCAGAGTGAGCAGTGCTCCCCCACCCTCCAAGCCCGGTTCTTGTCCCAGATGGGGGTCGCGGACCCGATGCGTGTCTGGATAGCTGCGGTTGCCATTGGATATCGAGAGTCGCGGTCGGAGAGGCTGCAGCGGGCGACGAGCGCGGTGGTGTGGGTGGCGGGCGGTGGAGCGACGAGTGACGGGGCTTGGCCAGGGGGGCACCCGCTCTTTATATGCGCGCCCGGCCAAATTCGAAAGCAAACCGGTTCGGGGTGAATCAAGCCGCACAGCCATCACGGACGGGCGATCTCAGATCGGGTTGTCACGAAGGGGCGCTCACCCGCCGCCGGCTCTCGTCGGAGCTTGTGCTGCCTGATCAGGCGTGTGTGTCCACCGTGGGTGTCGACCCCGTTGCAGCCCTCCCCCAAGGCCACCCTCACACCCCCAGAGCCACCCCCAGAGGCCAGCCAGACAACGGGCCAATTCGCAATTCCAGCCAGCTCTTTTTCCGCCGCGTTTGGAAATTGCGGTCCAGCGCGACGGTCGCCACGCAACGTCAGCAGCATCACGGCGGGGAATGAAGACGAAAATGCCCGAATCTATCACCCGAATCAGCTCGATCGCGGCGAGAATACTGCACGATCGCGGCGAGGCGGAGGGAACGCACTCGATCGCGCCGCGAATACCATGATTGCGACGCGAATAACATGATTGCGCCGTGAATACTACAATCGCGGCAGGCGCCCGGCACCCTTTGTTCCTCGACCCTCGCGAGAAGAATGGACCCCGGCAGTCTTTGACTCATCCCGTTTGCTCGCGATTGCGCTTTGGCGGCCGTGTTTTTGGGCCTTCTCTGCTGTTCCTATCGTAGGCTCTGGCTGCCGTCCATTCGCTTTGGCCGCCGTCCATAGGCTTTGGCTGCTGTCCATTACCTTTCGCTGCCGTGCCAATCCATTTTGGCTGCTGACCCTGAAGGCTTTGGCTGCCATCCCCAGAAGCTTTGGCTGTCGTTCCTCGAAGCTTTCGCTGCCGTTTCCATCCCAAGCTTTGACTGCCGTCCGATTACTAGGCTTCAGCCGTCCTATTCCGACCCATTCATTCTTCCTCTTTCGATTGTCCCTTTTCGAGCAGCCTAGCCTGCGCTCTCTTCTTTCCCTCGCACCCGACCTTATCCTCGCACTATTCCTTTTCCCTCGCTCGCGCCTTTCCCTCCGAGTCACGGTCGTGCCTTTCCCTCTGAACCTTCGCGCCGTTCCCTCCGAGTCACGCTCGCGTCTTTCCCTCTGAACCTTCGTGCCGTTCCCTCGCCTTCGCGCCCTTTCTCTTTTGACAGAGCCTCGTCTTCTGCGCAACCCTCGCCAACAATCCAGACCCTGAGGCAGTCCCCCGATACAGTTCGTCTTCATTGACATGCACTCGCTTCATTTCCCTCGCGCCTCGCCTCATATCATTCAAGGTATTCAACGGACCGCGCCTGATATTCACCACCATGCCTCACCTGACACGACCACCGTTGCTACGCTCTTTTGTCTGAACTGCCTCCCTTACGTTTATCGACTGCACGCTACGTTTATCGACTGCCTGCTACGGTGATCGCCTGCCTGCTACGTTCATCGCCTGCCTAAGCTTCATCCCACGCGGTTGATCGGCTCCCACAATCCTGCGCTCTCCCTTTGTCTTTCGCCTTCCCTTCATGTCGACAATCCCGCCCGTTAGTCAAGTGGACAACCCCGCCTCGCCGCAAACGACCGGACGTCACTTACGTGCAGCGCGCACCACTGGGCCAGCGAGCCTCAATCAGCTTCATCGCGCATCATCAGGCCAGCTTCATCGCGCATCAGGCCAGCCGCGTCGCGCATCAGGCCACCTCCGCTGCGCACAGCAGGCCACCTCCGTCGCCCATTAGGTCAGCTTCATTGAGCTGGCCAGGTACGAGTTCTTCGACCAGGGTCCAGTCAAGTCACGGTCCCTCGACGCGACTGCGCGCGCTGCGCAGGGCGGCCTTTGCGCAGTGGGTGGCGTGCCGCTGTTTGTCACTCTGTTTGTCAAGCCACGCTCGTCTGTTTGTCCCTCAGTGCCGACCCACGATGCCGACCCTGTTTGCTCGTCGGCCCCATCCTCGTCGGCATCCTTCCTCTGTTTGCTCGTTGGCATCGACTCTCTGTTTGTCACCCCATCCACCGATGTTTGTCCCTCGCCGCCACTTATTCCGATTTGTTTGCCCCCTTGTGACACGCCCGTGACGCGCCACCCCGTTACCCGCCGCGCCTTCATCCCGACCCTGCCCTCCTCCCGACCCTAGCCTGAGTCCCGATCCTTGACCGCTTCCCCGAGCCCCGACTCCGGCCGCCCCGCTGCGCTTCATCGACGGAACTTGCTAGCACTGTGCTCATTGCCGCCCGACATCGAGTCAGCCTCATCCGACGTGAAGTCTTCGCTACCCTGGACTCGCTGCTACCCTGCTCACTGGCCGCTACCCTGCTCACTTACTGCGCTCATCACCGTCAACGAAGCCCATCACACCGTCGCCGCCTCGCTCTCTGCCCAAATTGCTCGCCTTGTTTATTCATTCATTGTTGCTTGTTGACATCCCCAATTGGGTAATTCCATCCATCCTATTGTCGTCCCCCCACGTTTTGCTCCCTTCGTGCGGTTGGCGCGCGTTCTGCTCCCTTCGCGCAGTTTGCGCACATTTTGCTCCCTTCGCCGCTTATTATTTTGTGGTCATTGCGCTCCCGCACACAATAAATTGATCGGCGTATTTCCGCAATCCTCGGACTTCTGGGATCGGTGCGGAAATTTGCGTGCGTTTATTGTTCGCGCGCGGAATTAGGCTCGTGAACCGCGAACCGTCCTCCTTCATGTCGGCGCGTCGAGGAGCCTTCGAGCATTGCTGCCTTGTCGTCGTCGAGAAAGATCGAGCTCGGGAGGGTCATTGCACGTTGCCGCTAATGAGCGGACGAGCCCGGCGACGACCCCCGCGTCAAGGTGGGCGCGGTTGCCGGCACCGGGTACCGACCCAGTACCGGGTGGAAGTGCGCCGCCGTCGACGTTGACGTTCACCCAGCTCACCCGGACGCCCAAAAACGAGAGTGGGTGTGCTGAAGATAGACATTGAGGTACGAGGCTGACGGCATCTCTGACGGTCCTCGTAGGATTTCGGCGGCGCTCTCGCCTGAGGATGACGGCGCGTTCCCCCTCCCAGGTATGACTCGACCTCGGTCAGGACGAACCGACTGTACTCGGGCACGACGAACTGCGATAGCATTGCATGTCCGCCGCGCGAGCATACAAACGATGAGGCGTGTATACATTGACAAGCAACGAGGGTCACCATACAAACAATGCTCGAGTTACGAGGGTCGCACGACCAGGTCCAGCTGCACTGAACCTCAAGCATACAGCGCTTACGACGGGGTCTAGCACACCACAGCGTTCATTACTATCAAGCATACAACGCCTGCGACGGGGTCCAGCTCACAGCGAGGATATGCACAAAACCAGCATACGCGGCCCAGCGCAGGGGCAAACACACGACTAGCAAGCGACCTACCGTCCTCGCGCGCGGTAACCTGCGATGCTCGCGGGTGACAACGTCTTGGTACTGTACCCACGGCTTTCATACAACATCCTCTGCGGACAAACGACCAGCACGCGTATAGGACCGTCGACCAGCACCCGAGTACGTACATTTATGGCAACCACGCGAGTATCACAACCACGCGCAGACAACGCGCACACGACCTACGCGTGTCCGGAGGACCTGTCGGTGCGTGGGCGCATACAAACACGCAGGACCGTGGGTACAACGAACATACCGCTCACCCTGCAACCGTTGAATAGCTGCTGCGTGTCGCGTACTTCACGGCGCGTCGTATATGTCCGTATACGGCTGCTCGTACCCATGGACCGGCTGGTGCGCTGGTGAGTCTGATAACAACACGGTCAGTGGCCGCTGGCTGCAGGCGCAGCAGTCGGAATTCACCATGACTTCTCGGCACCCTCCGGCGCGCATTCATCGCAGGTCCTGCATAGATTCGGTACCTCCCTTGCGCTCGGGACTATCAGTGTAGTCGGTACGTTCGGCGGTTCAGTGTACTTGATACGTCCGGCACTTCCTAGGTACGTCCGATAATCCATTGAGTTCGGTACGTCGGGCCTTCCCAGTCTAATACATCGCCTGATGGATCTCACGAGTGTATGCTGTTTGATGAATCTGTGCAGAATACAACGTATTCCGCCTCGCGCGCCAATATAGCACGCCACGTACTTCGCGATAGCTTGCCACGCCGTTCAACATAGCCTACCGCGCGCATCATCCCGACCACGACACGCATCAGGCCTACCACACCCTCGAAGCTTCAACATAGTCCGCCCGCGCATCAACATAGCCCGCCACGCGCGCACCCTCGGGGGCGCGCTATCAGCGCGTCCCTTGAGATTCCCTCTCGCGGTAAGGTCCGTGGCTGTTCGCAGCATATTCAAGGTTTGTCTGCGCTGTCCGCGGTATGCTCACGGCTCTCCGGGCGTCGGGAAGGTCGGAATTGGTGCGCCTATATTCAGGAAGCGTGATGTGCTTACTGTGTATAGTTTACTGTGTATAGTCGGTTGGTCAATACATGTCGGCAGTTCCTTCGACTGCGCAACGGGAAGCCCTCATTCATGGCGGAAGCCCAAGTGAGTGTCGGTGATCCTTATGGCGGCAGTCCTAATAAACACTTCTCTCGCCTAGCACTGCAGCCCGGTCCCTCGGCCGAGTGTGATTGTCGCGCGCGGCCGAGGGCCTCGGGTAGGAGTTAGCTCGAGCGCTTCAAAGGAGGCGCTCACAAATCCCTGGAAGCGCTGGAAGTCTCGTTAAGCGCCTAAGCAGAGTATAATTGAACACAATTAGATCGTCTCGTAATAAACCAGCTCTTCCATCGAACCAGAGTACGACTTCCCTTGAACCGGGACGACGATCCCCGCTAAGCGCCGCAGGAAGGAGAAGGGGCGGAGCCGCGTACGAGAAGGGTGGAAGGTGAGTCCGCGAAGGTATGTATGGCATGACGAGATCGGCAGGCTGAGCTCCGAGGGCGGTGGCGGCGGGATATGAGGGAGGTGGCCAGGAGGCGGACAATGGCAACGTGCGCAGACAATGCGCAGGCGAGCCGTAACAATACAACCGCAATTGCGGTGGCGAGTCGGCTAAGACTACGGAGGAAAGGTGTCCGTGAATACTGCGGCGAGAAATCTGCTCTCAGGTAACGAGGAGGGAGTCCGTGACCGTAGGAGGCGGAAATGAAAAGCCAGGCAGGCTGGTGGTTCGAATTACTGGGAATGGCCATGAACTGATGAATAGCCTTCATTCAGTCTGATCCTATGTCGCAGGCTTTACGACCTAGAGCCACAGCACGCGCAAATTGATGAAGGCCCTGTCAGTGTCAAGAGGTCGCAGGTTGAGCACGACCATCCTCAAAGGCAGCTGAAGTTGCCCTTCTCACCTGTCGCGCACGTCTCACGCACCCGCCTGTCCGCACGCTGGTAGGCCCAGGCCACGTCGCGCAAGCAAAAAAGCAATCAACGCCCCCCGTCGCGGCGCAACGAGGGTGGCAGACACCTCTCATACTTTAGCGACGCGTCGTCCCCCGCAAAGCAACACGCACGCACGCGCAGTCCAGCCCCCGCCCTCTATGCGGCGCGCAGCGCCCCCTTGGCGCGGCGGCAACGAGCAGAGTTTACCTCCGCGGAACGTTTTTTCGGAGGTCACGTTCGGGAGGAACCCGCGCGCTCGCGAGCTGGTACGCATCGGGGGCGCGGGCTGGGAGAGACTGGGGCGCATGTGCTGAGAGGAATTTGGCGAGTCAGCAAGTCAGCTCTGCACGGGGGTCGGGGAACTGGGGCGCGTGGGCGGGGGCAGAGAATTAGAAAGGTAGTCAGCGAGGGTTATGGGGCGCGCATAGCTCGGAATGGCATCATGGGGGCGTAAGCGGAGGAGTATGGGGTGCGCGGAGAGGCGGAGGAGGGCGCGGAGAGTGTGTATAAGCAGGAAGTACCGCAGCACGTTCGACGTCCTTCACGGACCCCGCGCCACCCTGGCTCAGCGCGCGGTTCGCACCCCATTGCGGAACTAGGAAGGTATCGCAGGGTGAGACTTCATCTGGGTCCTAATCTCGGCGCGCTCTGGGGACTACGCGAAGCATCGGAGGGTAGCTCAGAAATAGGATTGCGCAAGCAGAGGTGGGATGCTAACGAGCGCCACGGGCGCGGCCTTTGAGGCCTGAGTCAGCCGTCAGGTATTGGAAGTTGGGCTTTCGGCAGTTGCCGAGCGCCACAGTTGTACATACGCCACGAATGACGGTGGCACGCTGCCTTTGCTGAGTACGACCATCGCAGTCTTCAGAGCGCGCTGAGGAATGCAAAGGCCACAGGACTAGAGAGATCGAGGGCGTCCTTCCCGCCGTGGCCAGCGAAGGTTTGCCTCCTGCGGTTCCTGCGTTCGCGGCTGTGGGCACTTGGCAGGGGTCCGGCAGGCGAGAGGGTTCTGGCAGTCGTTCTCGCTGAGTAAACGTGTGTCCTTCGCCGAGGTCGTAACTGAAAGCTGTTGGCGAAGACGAATGAAGGGGACGTCTTGGGCATGGAAGTACGCAGAAGTGAGTCATTAGGGTCCCTCAAAGCTCGTTTCGTGTCTTCGTATTTTTCCTGTGCGCAAAGGGAAAAATCTGAAAAAGGTACCGTTTGGCGGGGAAAACGGGCGAGAATCCTGTTCGACACAGCCACATGTCCTTCCTCTGTGTTCAAACCTCTGTTCAGAATAATCGAATTCTTCCTTTTCTCGCGAAAAATCACTCGAAAAGGCCGAATCCCGCGCCAAAAGTTCTGTTCGAAAGAGCCGAATTTTTCCTTTTCGCGAAATTCCGCCAGGTTTGAACGACCCTATTGATGATCGGCGGGCAGGGGAGTCGTGACGAAAAACACGAAAGTGAAAGTCATCCGCGCTAGTGCGAATCTGAAACATGCGACTTTCGCTGGCGAAAGTGATCCTCGGCACCTGCCGAACGTACTTGATTTACACGATTCGCTAAGCTGTACAGCGGCGCATACGGTATCAAGGCGAGGAGTGCTGTGTTAATTATGACTATGTATACATTTCGCAAGTGTAGTCGATGTATCTCTAAAAAGCAAAGGCGGGGCGTCGGGGAAGGGCGAGCTGGAAAGGGCGAGCGCGGCAGTCGATGTGTGGATGGTGTCGTGGGACCTCAGGCTAGTCATGTTCGAGCTCGTTTTCATGCGCGAAAAGACGTGGCGGGTGCGCTGTTTGTGCGGTATATGGGCTTTGCGAGTCATTGCTACGATTACACCTTCAGCGAGGGAGAAGGAGAGTGTCTGTCACGCACCCAGTCCATTGTGCCCGGCTAGGACCTCAGAGATCCATGAAGACCGCTTGTCCGTCATGGAGGGGTACTATAATGTAAGGCGGGGGCGCAGAGGACGATGAAAGCGACGCCAACATGCGGGTAGGAGGCAAGGATGATAGGCGCCGGCTGCAGCGCGTGCGGCCATCCCCGCCACCGGATTAAGTAATCCGCGAAAGTCAATTCGGCGGCGACTTTCACTTTCGCCGCGGACGGCACTTACTCACTTTCCCACTTTCACTTTCGTGTATTTCACCTATACCCCGGGCAGGGTTTGAGTGATCGGGGAAGGTTTAGGACCAGGTCACGGTCGAACGAGACACGCGGTTCGAATTCTGGCATCGAGGACTCGAGGACGATGGCGGCAGAAGATAACCTGAAGATATGAGATTAGATGTCGAGAGGCGGGGAAGGAAGCAGATTGAAAGGTAGATAATCAGGACGACTCTGCACCGCCTCCAGGTGAGCTGGGTAGCTGACTGGCACGGGGTCATCTCCGTAAATTCCAGGAGGACTCGAGGCCGCTCGAGCGCAAACCCTACGCCCTCTGCACACCTCGAACGTCCACGAATCCCTCGTGAATGCGATGTTCTACCCAGTTCTCATGAGCTGCCGATGGCGGCAAGTATGGCAATGGAGAGCGTTTCAGCTTCCTCATACCAGGGGACTGTAACACCATCTTCCCTCCTGGTGAGCAGTGTTCGTCATAGGTCGATAGCCGATGCATCGCTTGCCCTCGCAGCAGGCAATTCAGACGTCGCCTTGCCCTTGGTCCTGATGGAACATACGGCGCGGCTTCCTATTCGACTTCCCTTTCTCGTCCTCGAGATCCGATTGTTGATCAGTGACCCATTAGGTAGGTGCATAAGCGTGGTGCGCCGCGCCTTCTTCATATCGCGCTCAATCAAGAGACAATGAGTTCCATTCGGAGACAAAGCAGTTATCTGAGCCTAACGCGAAGCCTATCGCCCCCGCATCGCAATACGTCTCCAGGGCGGTCGGCGGGTAGTGGGAGCTCGGGGCGCGTAGAGGAGAGGGTTCCTGGAAAATTGACAGTGAACTCCCGCCTTCGCGACGAGCGGAAGTAACAGAGGGCATCGTGAAGAGGCTGCGGTCCTCGGTCGACAAGATGACTTGGCGAACCGGTGGACGAATTGGTTCGGGGGAGGCTCGGGTACGGGGTAAGCACTGCGCAGGGAGGGAATGTCGAACTTTGAAAGGGCCTCGGCGCAGATAGAGCTCGAAGACGAGGAGGGCGATCTTGCATCTGTCAGCCGAGGTGTACAAAGACTGAATAGAGAGCGAAACAGGGACGACTTGGGAGGGCACGAGCAGGAGGACGCTTACTCGAAGCGGACGACAAAGAGCGGTGCCGTCGGGGAGAAGAAAGGAGGCGGTAGGCTCACCTCGGGCACGTTACAACACCGGCGAGGTGAGCCGGTCGTTGAGAGTCCAGAGCGCGCAAATTCGGCGTGAAAACAGGGCAGCTGGAAAGAGTCGAATAGGCGTAGGTTGGGAGACATATGCGCGTGGAAGAATAGCGCGCGGATGTCGAGGAGGGAGGCAACGAGAGGCTGCGATCTGTCGCGGGACGAGTGCCTCCCCGATAGGTGGGTCCAAGTTGAACATGCAAATGCACGTGCAACGGTGCCGGGCGACCTGGCCCCGTTCAATATTGGTCTCCGGTGAGTTCGGGATCGACACGGCCTGCAAAGGAGCGCGAAAAGACGCACAAGGGAGGCACACTAAAGGGCGGAAGCATAGACGTTGGAAGATGAGCGTGACTCACAAGGATCCTCCAGGGCGCGACCGGCGGAAATTGAGCAGGTCCTTGTTTGTGGGTGTTGATTCGCCTCCGATTGCCGAACTTCCACGACCAGTCACCGGCGGCGCGTCTGCGGTCTCTCTGTTGCGGTCAGCGTCAAGGACGGACCCGTCGTCGCCGTAGCGCCTGCTGCTCTCGTGTATCTGGATACAAACTGCGTCTCTGGCCGGTCAGCCAAGCTTTCGCTGTCTCCGAGTCCGACTGAGCCGCAATGTTCTCCGCGATTAATCAAGCCCTGAATGGCCCTCGGCGGATGGTGCGTGGCCTGCCGTGCTTCTCAGCGCGTACCTGACCCTCCATCGCAGCTGTGGACTTTCTCCGCCGTGCTCGCAGTGGCTGGCGGCGTCATGTACAAAGCCAAGCAATCTGTCGACGCGCGCCGCAAGGCAGATCTGGAGGCGTTCCGAGCTGGTGAGCTGCCCTATCTCCTGCTTCTTGGAGGCTTTCGGGCTGCATCGGACGACTTGACGGGCGCTGAGGGGACTTGGCGGCGCTGAGCAGGTCGGGAGGATCGTGAACGACGGCACTAGCGATGCCGTTATGACGCGTGACATGTCGCGCGCAGTCTGTCTGTCCTGCTTCGCGCCCTCCTTTCATCAGCAGGAATGCCTTTCGACGCAGTGCTGACGCGTGCATCACAGAGCAAGCCGCCAAGATACGCGAAGAGCGCGCAAGAGCTGCAAATCCCTAATGATAATGCATCCCTGCTTTCTTCCACATCTCCTATCGCCGCCGCGACTGTTCTGTGAACCAGCAGCTCTTTCTGAGCCAGCAATCGAGCTCAAGTCATCGCCACTCAGGCCCTTCCTCCAGCCTCAGTGAAGCATCGTTGACCAGATGGCCGCGCGTCGATGACCCGTCGCAAGACGGGCGCTGCAATCGGCTCGCGCGCATCTGCATAACACGCGCGGTGCCCTCGTCGCTCAATATCTTCAGTGACAGACCCTTGCGCGCGTCTCAAACCGCGTCAACCGAACCAAAACAACCTCAACTACGAGAGCCTCCGTATGTCCCGTGAAAGTCTCGTGCCGCCATATACCCCCGTGACGTATGAATCTGCGCCCTCCTGCCATCACCATCGACAGTTTAGGAGGCGTTTTGCGTGTTCAGCTGCTCGGAAGGAAGTCCATTAGTCTCACTACCTGTCGCGGATTGGGGCCTTCGGGCTTGCATATATAAACACTGTTTCTGTCATCATCGTCCCTTTTCCCGCCCACTTCGAAGTCTTTGCGAGCGTGCCACAAATCAATCGCTCTCCATCTTACTCTATCCAGCGTTCCTATACAATGTCGCACGTCCCTACGGGTCAGCTTCCTAGGTCGGCGCCCGGAGCCGGAGCTCCTCCCTCAGGGATGGGCAAGGTGCGTCTTCCGTTGTTCTCGTGCTACGCGTGCTCATCATCCGTACTTCCAGGCATTTGTTGTAGGCGGTTCGGCCGTTGCACTCTTGCTGGGTTCGTGGATATACAGCCAACATCACGTCCAGAAACGCAATGGAACGCGCAACACTCGTGAGTCGCACGTTCATCTCCGCCGCGCCCTTCCATTGTCCTTCCTTGCGTCCTGCATTCCTCCGTGCGGGCGAGTTTGTTCGCCGTCCGCAATAATGATGTAGCAGCCTCGGTGCCTTGTCCAGCCACGCCTTTTCCCGCGTTTCCCTCGCGCGTGCTATCTCGAAGTGCGCCGCAGAATCACTCGCATACTCACGCTTTTCTTGCAGACGAGTTCGTCTCGAAGTACGGCGGGCGGAACAATGTGATGCTCGAAGGCGCGCCGACGACTCGCGTTCCTCCCAACCTTGTCACGGCCGAGGAGCGCGGCAAGGTCCACTATACCATCCCCCAGTTCCTCGCGTCGGACGACCCATCCCCCGAGCGCCGTCGCATGCAGCCTGCTCCCGGCCGTGAGGCGTACGGCCGCGCGTATACGAAGAAGGGCGATATCAACGGACCTCCCAACGTCCCCCTCCCCAAGCTTGACTCGCCGGCGGACGTCGTCTGAAGATACGACGACTGAATGCCTGTCCGTGAGTGCCCCTTCAAGGGCTTAGCTCGGAACCGCCCTGCACAACGTGGCTGCTCGAACGTGGTCTGTATTGGTGTTGGACGATGGAAGTCTGTATTTTTACCTGCAAGGTTTATTGTTGTAAGATATCGGTAGCATACGCTGGAGGAGTTCTGTACGTAGTCGGGATACACAGATGGATTATCGGATGGATAAAGCTGCCAGCACGCACCCCACGCCGCCGCCCTATCGAGGTGGCTGGACGACATCTGTGCGCCCATCGACCGGTTCGCCGCAGAACTGGAAGTTCATCAAGCAAAATGAATGGCTGACGGGGGGAAGGCGCGGGTCGTCCGTCGGCTCGGTCGCGGTGGGGCGGCTCGACTTGTTGATGTCGGCGTCGGACGTGGGAGTGATGTCATCCTGCCAAGCTGACGGTCGATGAGCCCGGTGACGATGGGCCCGATGGCGTGCAGCCCAGGCGTGGCGGCATCGCAGGTCCTCGTTGCTCTCTTCTTGCCATCATGCCGCTCGGATACCAGTGAGTTGCGGTAGGCTTCGTACCTGTGCGTCGTGGCTGACGGCGCGGACAGCTTGCAAGGGCCCAGGGTGACGCGTGAGTAGGACGTTCCTCGTCATGGTCAGGGGCGGCGCGCGCGAGGGGGAGGGGAAGGGCACTGCGCGCTTGACGACGCGTCCTTGACGAGGTTGAGCGCGAGCAACAGTAGGGACTGACGCCTTGAGCATTAGACGCCCACAAGCGCCATACAATCATCCCCGGCTTCCTCTACGTGACCTTCATACATATGCGGCCGCGCTTTCACGTGCAGCTCGGAAGGCATGTCAACATCCACTGAGCAGAAACAGAAGCGCCTGCACTGAGTAAACCTCGGTGAGTACCCTGTCGATATCGAGGGACCGAGGAACTCACGACGTACCTTGCGCAGTGCAGCGCGAAGCGCCACCTCCGCGCGCTGCCCAGGATTCTCCATGTACGCCGGTGCCGTACCTTGCCTCGCATAGGACACGTTCCCGCCATATCTTCGAGGCCCCTGGATATCTTCAGCGCCTCGGTACCATATCTTCAGGACCCTACTCGCATGTTGAAGGGACCCTATAACTTAGTACGCCATATCTGCGGCGCTGCTCTTCAGTATTATCCCCGGACGCTCCCGCCATACACACGATGTTGAATCTTGGTCCCCTTCTCGCCCGCACATGTATCGATCCGACGTCGGACTGGGTTCTCTCTTCTCTGTTGTACTATCTCTTGCTTGTGATACTGATACTGCGGTTGTCGACTGAATAGGATAGCTGGGTACTTGCTGTGAAGAGATGGAGCCCCGTCAGCCCGTTGGGAGGGAAAGAATCAGTGTTCGCCGCCAGCTATTTCGGAAGTCTGCCGGCGAGCTAGGTTCGAGTCCCTCCCAGCCACACAAGCGTATCGTCTTCGGGCTTATCGCCTCCCGCGTTGATCCTCCCTAGCGCGTCATGAGCGTAGGCTTCGTGCGACGCGCGCAGTCATGAAGCATTAGAAGGGGGACCACGGCTGGCGACGCGATATCGGGCGCGCTAATGAATTGAATGGCGAGGGGCGCGTTCCCGCGGTGGACCCACAGGGCGTGGCGGCGAGAAGCTGGGATCCGCGACAGGGATGGCAGGTCGGGCGGCGGCGGGCACTGCGCCTGCGGGGGGAGGAGTGAGAGGGAGAAATGGGGGCGAAACTGGACACACACTGGCGGTCCGGCGGGGGCAGTAAGTGTCGGATGACTGGGACGGGGGTGACTAGGGAGCGAGATGGCGTGAGACGCGCTGCGCGGGGCAGGTAGAAGCCGGGGGTGCGAGCTTATAGGTGTGGGGAAGCGGGGGATGGGAAGGGAGCCTTGCGATGGCTGTCATATCGGGCGCTATACCAGTGAACTTGGTCGGTGATCAAGAAGATGGGGAGCGCGCTGTGAACCAGTTACGAGTCGGCTCGGTTGGGTGAAGGTTTGTCGGTGAATGTGAGGGTACGTACATGGGTATGACAGCACACGCTAGGGAAGGAGAAGCTGGGAAGGTTGCAAGGATAGGCGCGCGCGGTGACAAATGTCCATGATCAAGTTCAACTTCAACTGTGACTTTCTATCACCCGTGGGAAGGAATCCCGGTCCGCGTCCCGTCCGCCGATCGTCATTGATCCACCGATCACGAAGCAGCTTGCTTGTTTGGCGCGTTCAGCAAACTTCAATCTCTTCCTCCTTGCTTGCGGCCCTTACTTCGCTGAAAATGGGAAAGCGCAAGGCTTCGTCGAAGAAAGCAGAAGGCTCGCGCAAAAAGACGAAGATTGTCCACAAAAACCCAGATGATCTGCCCTGGAAGACTGTCAAGCGCCCGGTAGTCGCGGGGTTGGACGGCGACGATGGTATCCTGGAACTGGAGGAGGTGGAGGATGTGGAGGTGGTGTACGAGGAAACGGAAGGGGGAAGAGTCGCGCGATTCAATGTGAGTGTGATTGACGGGTATGGACGAGGGGGAGGACTGACACGAAGGAAGGTCCTACGCGCCGGGGGCGAAGACGAAGGCGACTTCGATATGAAGGAGATCAGCGGGTTAGAGGAGGAGATGGAGGATGATGAGGACGCCGATCAGGAGCCGTCACCATCAGAGTTGGGCGAAGGTCAGTTCGAGACTCATCATCCTTCCGAACGCCCTTCTCAATCTTGATGTAGCGCCTAACTTCGAGGGACTCGAGGAGGGATCCTCGGAATACCACGAGGTGACTCCTGAGGGTGATTACGAGGAATGGGTGCCGTTCACCCAGACAGGCTTAGCTGTGGACGAAGAGCCGAACGCGCTCGATAGTGAGCCTTCTCCTCTGCGCCTTCGATCAATTCTGACCGCCACAGCGCCCACATCATTGGAGGAATGGGAACCTTACGCGCTGCATCCCCAACTACTAAAGACACTGCAAGCGCGCAACTTCCTCAAACCGACACCCATCCAGGCCGCCGCCCTCATCCCCGCCCTTGCTGGTCGTGACGTCGTCGGTGTCGCTCAGACAGTGCGTTCATGTTCTACTTCACATCAGCACATCTCTCAACTCGTATCAGGGCTCCGGAAAAACCCTCGCGTACGGTCTCCCCATCCTCCACCATCTCCTCGAGAACCCCCACAAGTCCACGACCGGTGAGAAGCGCCCCGTCCGCGCCCTCATTCTCGCACCTACGCGCGAGCTTGCACTGCAAGTGTCCTCGCATCTGAACGCGTGTCTCAACACCGTCGATGAGGCGCCTGAAAGCAGGCCCGAGGCAGCTGAAGTCAAGTCTGACGCGCCTAGCAAGTCGGCGAAGAAGGGGAAGAAGGGTGGCAAGGGTGACAAGAATTCGGATGCGCAGACGAATGCCAAGAAGCCGCCTCCTCCGGTCAGCGTTGCCGCGCTCGTTGGAGGGATGTCACTGCAGAAGCAGAAGCGGATCCTGGGGCGCGGGGTGGATGTGTTGGTGGCGACGCCCGGGCGGTTGTGGGATGTCATCCAGGAGGTATGCAATTGAAATATGCTGGTTGTGATATGGCAATGCGTGGTCTGGTATGCTAATTTTCGAGTAGGATGACGACCTTGCGAGGAGTATCAAGAACCTGAAGTTCCTCGTCCTCGACGAGGCGGACCGCATGATCGAAGCCGGTCATTTCGCCGAGCTCGACAACGTCCTCCGGCTAACGCTTAGGGCTAACAAGTATGTTTTTCCTTCTACATTCCTTCTTTCCTTCCGCCATCCTTCCCTCCTCTCCCATCCCACCCCTTTGTCCTCGCCTCCCCTTCCTACTTACTGACCAACTCTTCACCACCAGAAACGACCAAATCCAGACCGAAGTTGGCGAGGAAGTCGAGGACGAACGCGAAGATGACGACGAGAACATCCAAGACGGTCTTCAGACCTTCGTCTTCTCGGCCACCCTCAGCAAGGATTTGCAGCGCAACCTCAAGAAGCGCAAGGCCCCCGGGAAGAGTCGCAAGCCGCGCGCAGCGCCTGCTTCGACGCTAGGTAAGTGCGCCACCAAATTTTTAACTGGCTCGGATGGGCGTCCGCTGGTTGTCCGTGGCATAGCCGCTCAGGCGATTGGTGTTGCTGCTCGGTCGTTAGGCGTTGCCGATCGTCCGCTAAGTTTACCGCATAAGCGACTAACTTTCCCGCTAGATGACCTTCTTATGCGTCTGGACTTCCGCGACGAAGAACCAGAAGTGATCGACCTGAGCCCGAAGGGCGGCGTGGTCTCTACACTGAAGGAGAGCAAGGTTGAGTGTGTGGTGTCGGATAAGGTCCGTCTGGTTAATGTTTTTTTTCGAGGTACAACTAACATTTCGTGTTCATCCAGGATGTGTATCTGTATTACTTCCTATTGCGCTACCCTGGGCGATCGCTTGTCTTCCTCTCCGCCATCGACGGTATCCGGCGTCTACTACCCCTTATGGAACTTCTGGAGATCAAAGCGTTCCCCCTCCATTCCCAACTCGAGCAAAGGCAACGATTGAAAAACCTGGATCGGTGAGTTCCTTGTATACCTTAGTAGCGGAACCTACCGACCCATGATCCACTAGGTTCAAGTCGACGCCGAACTGCGTACTCCTCGCGACGGACATTGCCGCGCGCGGACTGGACATACCCGCGGTCGACCACGTCCTACATTACCAGATACCGCGCTCGGCCGACGCGTACATCCACCGGAACGGCCGCACGGCGCGCGCCAACGCGGCGGGCTTCAGCATGCTCATGTGCGCGCCGGATGAGCGCAAGGTGGCGCGCTCATTGCTCAACAGCGTCGGGAGGCGTAAGTTCCTTAGTCGAGGATCGGTGGTCGTCAAGGGGCTTACGCTTACGCTCGGTTCTCTGTAGAATTTGACGACATACCCGAGCTCCCTGTGGAGCGCAGCCTCTTCGACAAGCTCAAGGCGCGCATCCAGCTCGCAAAGCAGATTGATACGGCGCAGCACCGCGTGAAGAAGGAGAAGCACGAGCGGAAGTGGATGCGCGAGGCCGCGGACGCGATGGAGGTCGAGCTCGACTCGGACTTCATGTCGTAAGGGCGGGCTATCATGTGCGCGGCACCGTTTACTGATGTTGCTCTTCTAGCGACTCGGAGAGCGAAGCGCCGAGCAAGCGACAGAAGAAGGCGGCAAATTCGAAGACGGCAGCGCTCAAGGCGCAGCTCAAAGAGCTGCTAGCTCAGCCACTGGTCGCTCGTGGCGTGTCGACGAAGTATATCACTTCGGGGAGTCGGCCCATTGTTGACGACTTATTGGCGGGAGAGAGTGCGTGTTGTCTTGGATGGTTCTCAGCAATGGCTAACGATGGTTCTTGCCAGGCAATGAGTCGCTCATCGGGCTCAAGAAATCGGAGGCGCGCAATGACCTTGTTCATACCAAGAAGAAAAGAAAGCAGCCGTCATGATTAGGTAGTATTATGTGACGCATTCACGCCCTTGCGAATATCGCCCTTGCAAGCCACCTTCAGCCACATTCGGCAAGTAGTGCACTCATCTATATGCACAGACAAAGGGCTCGAACTAATATAGCAGAAATGAAGCGCGCGTGCATTCATCATGAAAGCCACTGCATCGCCTGGAATGTTGCTTTTGTCTGGCGTTCATTTCGCTACGCGGCGTTGTCGCAGCGCCTTTTGCGTATTCATGAATCTTGTCGTGCATCAGGTCTGTGGAATGTGGCTTTGACCAGCGAGTGGCACTCAGGTGATTCATCTCCGAAACATAAACACCGACTTTAAAAGGCGTTCACTCGGCTTTCTCGTTCCCCCCGTTTCCCTCTCCACCCACGCCTTGCTTCTTATTGCGCTCACATCTCCGCCTCTCAACGAGAAATGCCCTTCTCCGACCTCCCTCAGGAGCTTCACAATTCGATCTGCGATGTCGCAGAGCAAGACAGCCTGGCTCGCCTTGCATTGACCAGCAAAGCCTGCTACGACTCTGCCAATCCAGTTCTCTGGAGCTATGTCTGGACGCTCAACGCTCTCCTCAAACTCATGCCAGCGGATGCGTGGAATGGTGCGTATAGTGATGGCATCGTCGCTCATGGGCTTATGAACCATCAACTGCAGGAATGAGCGTTGAGGACTACGGAAAACTGGAGAATGTACGTTTGCACCTGCTGTGACTGACGACTTTCTCATGCTCATCTCTTCCCGCAGCTCCCGGCCGACCAAATCCCCTTGACCGCCGATCACTGGAAGCCTGCCTATAAGCTCTCCTCGTTCGTCAAGGAGCTCTCGCTAGATCGCATTCCGCAAACGATCCTGCGAAGGGTTGCCGGTTGTCCCCCTCCTGCCACTCTTCTGCCATCCTTGCGCAAATTCTTTATCCTCCTCGACGACCAGCAGCGTCTCTTACTTCTTAGGGGACAAGGTGACCTGCTCGCCGACTACCTCAAGTTCCTCCAGGCCATCATACCGTCCAACCTCCAGCAACTCATCCTGAAGAACTCGCTCGTGCTCGCTGGCATCATGGATCACTGCACGCAAATCACTAGTCTTGCTATCGAAGACAGCGGAAGCCTACCCGACGCCTTCTACGCGCATGCCCGAGAATCCCTGCTTCAGTCCCTTCCACGCTGCCAACATCTGACGATGGTCAACCTCCTCCTGCCGTTCTCTCGCCACCCGGTAGTGATGGAGGTCCTCTCAACGTTGCCGGCTCTATGTATCGTCAGGGCTGGTTTCAGCGATTTTGAGGGCAAGCCATGGTATGGTCGCCCTCCGAAGTACGCTCAAGACGCGTTTCCTGCTCTGCGAGAACTCGAACTGGTCAACATGACTCTCGAGGACGCGACAGCCATCATCGAGACCGGTGATAAGCGACCCTTGGAAAGCATCTCGGTCGCAACTGCGCGGTCGACGGGTCCCGAAGCCCTGTATGCGCTAGCAACAGCCCTGCGGCGCTACTGCGATCCAAAGTACCTTCGCCAAGTGATGTTCACCACATGCACGTACGAGCGGAACCCGGCTCTGTGGCCCAGAGACCCCACGCCTTTCAGCTTCGAACATATCGAGCCTCTCACCGCTTTCCCCAACGTCGAAGTCGCCTGCCTCTGCACGTCCAGCGAAATCCGCATCACGCCGGCTGAATGGGAGCACTTGGCGCAGTCTTGGCCTCAGCTTCGTCGGCTCGACTGCCTCACCTACGACTTCGACATGGCCGGCCAGCCAGTCTTGTCCTTGGCGGCGCTTGCTTTCTTTGCGAAGTTCTGCCCTAATATCGAGGAGATTTGCGTCCAACTTGACGCGTCGACCATCCCGCCCATGCCGTCATCAGATTCTGACGGGTCCGAAAATCGATGCGTGCGTCTCGCAGCAGCGGCACCGTGCGAGATCTCCCGTGCGGAGGACGTTGTCGAATTTTTGCGGTCGGCATTCGGGAATGTCACTGTCAATCTCCTTTACTTCGACAAAGCGAATGAGATAGGAGATGAGCAGCTCCGTCGGAGGGAAGAGCAATGGGATTTAGTCAGGTCACTGACGTCTGGCAAGCGACCGCAACCAAATGAGGACATGGTATGGGACGAGGCTGCTCAGGCTTCTAATGTGCAGGGTCCGTAGTTGGGAAGACTGATATAGACATACTCGAGCGAATGGCACATGGTAGTATGTGGGAGGTTAATTTGTATCGTAGAAAGGATATAGAGCTTCATGTTATGCGACATACGAGTTTATTGCGCCGAACAAGTCGACGCAGGTTCAAGCGCTCAAGCGAACCTCAGTCTGAGGCTTGAGACAGAGTTCGTGTCAGACGCAGACGATGCTAGCGCTTCTGGATCTACGCGAGCCGCGAAGTCATGGGGCGAACCTGACATAGAACTGGAGGACGAGCGGGTGGCCTGTCACGGTAACGGACATAGGTCACAGCGGAAAGTTCCGCTAGTTTCAACCGGCGCTCGCTCTTGTCGTTATGACCGGCAATGCTGCACTTTTGTCTGGCCTTTGCGTGTGTCGCTCTTGACCGCGCCAGCATGGTCCTGATTCTGTTTGTTCGCTGCGCTTCGTTCTTCTGTGCGGACTGTCAAGTGATCTAACTCCGAAACATAAACACTGTCTTCAAAAGGCGACTTCGCGCCGCCGCCATTCGTTGTCCCCATCCCTGTTCCTACCGCTAGTCTCTTCAAAATCGACAAAACATGTCCTCATCCCCCGTCGAAGCACTGCCTTTCTTTCGTCTCCCACAGGAGCTGCATAACTTGATATACGAGGACTTGGAGAAGAGCGACCTAATCAACGTCGCATTGGCTAGCAAGGCCTGCTACGACTCGACGACCCCGCTTATTTGGGAGAATATAAATGGCCTCGACGCCATTCTCAATCTCATGCCAGCGGATGCATGGGAAGGTGCGCCCTGAGCCGTCATCATTAGTGAACGCTTATAGACTGCTCGATGCAGGCACGAAGGTCGAAGATTATGTGGGCCTGTATCAGGTCCGTCATTTCCTTGGTGGCTTTTCGTCTTTTGTGCTTACATTCCTTTGCAGCACCCTATCATCGAAACTCCCTTGACCGTGGACGATTGGGCATCTGTATCCAAGATCTCACCCTTCGTGAAGAACTTCTCTCTGGGGGTAATTCCGGTGCCTATCTGGGGCAGGGTTGCCAACTATCCGCCCTCCACCACCATTCTGCCATCTTTGCGTCGGCTCTGCTTCCACGGCGAACAAGGACGATTGTCCGGTTTTCAACAACCCTGGTGTGATAACCTTATAGCCGGTCAGGTCGAGTGCCTTCGAGCGTTTGTCCCGCATGACCTCCAGGAACTCGAGCTAAAAGATTCACTTGCTTTCGTCAGCATTCTGAATCACTGCTCGCAGATCACCAGCTTCACCGGATCGGATCGCCGCAGCTGGGACGACAAGGACCGTGACGTAACTTACGAGCGCGCGCAACTAAACCTAGTTCAATGCCTCTCTCGCTGCGAACTTCTGACGAAAGTCACGCTCTCCCTGCCGTTCTCTAACTTCTCGGCGACAATGGAAGGCCTTGCGACGCTGCCTGCTCTGGATTCTCTGACGATGAGCATCGACAGTTGGAGCGTAGAAAAACTGCAAGGAGACCCTCCGAAGTACCATCAACACGCTTTTCCCGCTTTGCGAAAGCTCGAACTCGAAAACCTGCGGTACGAGGACGCGGTAGCTATCCTTGAGTCTGGCGGCGGGCGTGCATTGGAAAGCATCACGGTCGTGACCTTCAAACCTGAGGCTCCCACGGCCTGGTATGCGTTAGCGACAGCGCTCCAGCAGCACTGCGACCCAGAGCACCTCCTTGAGGTCTACCTAACGCAGTATGCTATCGAGGGGCAGGTTCTGCAAGGCCGACGTGGGGAAACCCCTCCGTTGCTCTTCGATCACATTGCGCCTCTCACCAAGCTCTCTCGTCTCAGAGTCGCCCGCTTTGGCACGTCTGGCGATATACACATCACGGACGAGCAATGGGAACGCCTTGCGCAGGCCTGGCCTGAACTTCGCCAATTCGAGTGCCTCGCCTACGACCTCATCCCGACCACCCAGCCCGCCGTCGCTTCTCTCGCGACTCTCGCATCCATCGCAAAGTTCTGTCCGGACATCGAGGAAATTTGCCTGCAGTTCGACGCTTCGTCCATCCCGCCCTTCCCGTCAACGCCCGCCGATCCGTTCAATCGACCTACGATTATCGCGATAGCCGCACCGTGCGGGATCTCGCGCGCGGAGGACGTCGTCGAATTTCTGCGGCGGGCGTTTGGAAATGTCACGGTGAATCAGGCATTTGCATGGGTATGGGTTACGTGGGAATCACTGGAGGAAGATGGGGGGAGTGAACAATGGAACCTAGTCAGGTCTCTGACGTCCGGCCAGCGACCGCTATATTGGAACATAGGTGGTGATGCTCCTGCTGCCACGTAGTTGGATGGGTACATGAAGCAGCAGACAGAAGGGGAATGCAGGGGAACGCAGCGGATGGGGCGTCTGGCGCGGCGAGAGGAGGTTGAGCGTAGAATAGTATCGCGTTGGTATTAGGTCTTGACTCTTGAGAGAGAAAACAATGTCTGTCCAAACTCCTTAAGACGATGTTCCTCCGGGTCACTCAAACGGATTATCGATCTTCCAAAGATATCGTGCCACACTGACTGGGATGGCAAGCCAAGTACGTTGCATAATGAATTGTTGTATTACTTTGGCCGGCCGAGTTGCTATTTTGTGGCGATTTTGTGGCAATTCTCGATGTGACTCCGGCAAATGCCGATGTGACTGATTGATGCGCCTCCGACGCCTCTCCCGCCTATTCCATGTGAAGTGTGCAGCACCGATACCAGCTCGATGTTGCGAGAGAACGCATCGAAGAATATCTCTCAACAGTGCCACCTCAGCTGCTACGTCGTCGAAAGTGACCCAGGGAGGGCCTCCTCGGCGGTCTTCCGAGGGCTTTGCGGATGTAACAGTCTTGCAGGATCGTCACTCCCAGTACCTTCGCAGACTCAGCGTACCTCGCTCCTTTCTATGTCTTGCATGGTGCCAAGCCAACGCCTGCCTTTGTCCTCCCTCGTCTACACCCTGTCAACTCGCACTGCCCACTTATACAATGCATTCGCAATACCTACTCCGTGGACGCGTTTCGCAAGTTTCCCCCTGGCTGCGCGGCTCAATCGCACCCTATAGCACCGCCAATCGCAGTGATAACGATGTCTATGCGGTGCCGATTCCGCTACGTGGTGGGAAGGAAGGTAGGATTGGTCATGACATGGTAAGGCTTAGATGGGCGCGCCGGAAACACGGGTGCCCCAGATGTAGCACAAAGACTTGGGACGATCCCTTTCCGGAACCCCGCCCAGGGGTCCTTGACAGCACGACCCACCTACCTTATTCTAACCAACGAGGATTTACTGTGGCAGTGGTATATAAGACTCTACGCGGTGACTGACTCACCATCCGCCCCCTCCCCCTCCTCCCCTCACCTTCTCGTCCCTCTCTCCCATACGACAGCACCCCAATTCCAATCATGTCCGACGAATACGCCAACATCACCCTCTCGGACTTGACACCAGAGCAGATTGACGAGCTTTCCTCGTACGGCTATGTCCCAACAGAGTGGATATGTATCCTGTATCTCGTTCTCTTTGGTCTCACCACTGGTAAGCTCAACTCCTTCCCCTTCCTTAAATCTTCTGCTCACCCTTCTTTTCAGCCGCCCACTTCGGCCAAACAATCTGGTATCGACAATGGTGGCTCTTCGCGACCGCCGTGCTCTGCGGCGCGCTCGAGTGCCTGGGATGGGTGGGCAGGCTGTGGAGCAATCGCAACATCCTCGCGGACGATCCGTACATGATTCAGTAAGCGCTTCACCAGGCTATGCTCAGGTCATTGCTCACCGCGTCTCATAGGATTGTTACCACGATTATCGCGCCCACGCCACTGCTGGCCGCTAACTTCGTCATGATGGGACGACTTGTGCGCCGCTTGGGTCCCGCGTACAGCCGTTTGAGCCCACGGTGGTGTAAGTAGTCATGCCGTTGAACGCGCGTACGCCTTACTGACTGGCGTTGCAGATACGATTATCTTTTGCTCTTGCGTATGTTACTGAATACGCGCCGCGTCTTATCTCGGCTAACCCCAGGTATAGGATGTCATCTCGCTTGTGGTTCAAGGCGCAGGCGGTGGCATTGCTGCCTCCGCTGACGACCACGACGGCGCTGAGCTCGTGAGTCACTCGTGCCTTTGACCAGGTGGCGTTCCTCACCCTTTAATCTCCTTGTAGGGCGGCAACATCATGCTCGGCGGTATCGCGTTCCAGCTCGCCGTCATCGTCTTTTTCACGCTCTTCGCCATCGAGTTCCTCTGGCGCTACTTCACCGACCGTCCGCACCCCAAGCAGGCCGCCGCCGCCGCCTCGTCAACGACGACGCTCACTCCTCCTCGCGGCGCGCTCACGACGCTGCTCAAGCTCACCATCGCGTGCTTGACGGTGACGACGGTGCTGCTGTGCATCCGGGCGGTCTACCGCCTGATTGAGCTCTCGGATGGCTGGAACGGCGAGATCATCACGACGGAAGTGTGGTTCAGTGAGTATTTGGTTTTGGGATTGGGTTGTAAGAGCGCATACTGACGGTCATTGCAGATGTCTTCGACGCGGCGATGGTGGTTGTTGCGATGTACTGCCTGAACTTCCTCCACCCCGGCTGGACGCTGCGCGAGCCGGCGTCGATCATGCAGGAGAAGCCCTTTGAGTACAGTACGGCAACTGTCGCATGAGAGCGCCACTGACCGTGCACGCGCTTCTTTTCCTTTGAGCACATTTTCCTCGCCGCCCTCATCCTTTCCCCATTCCCCTTCCTACCCTACTAGCCGCGGATCACTTATTTGTCACGATTTATTTAGAGATTACGACCCACGCTACGGACACTCAAAGGACTATAACTTATTTTACACCGACAGTAGCTATGCTGAATGCTGTACTAGGCAGCGATCCTCATGTAGTGTACTCAACCCAGAGATGCAGCGGCGCCTGTGCGCGCTTCCAAAGACTTTACACATGATCTGCGGGCTTGAGCATCTCTGACATTGGCAAAGGAAAGCGAAGAAGTCAAAGGGACGGATGCAAATGAAACGAACGACGAATGATCGATTGGAGTATAGAATTCATTGATCAAGGGTATACCTAGCAAGGCGTCCGAATCCGCCTCCTTACGAACACTCCCATGCACTCTCATCCTCATAGTTCCCCGGCCCGACATACTTGTTCGTCTTCGGCCACTTGCAATGCGCGCGCCAATACGTCGCATTCGCATCCGCCCCGCGCACGACCTCCGGCGCCACGCCCTCCTCGACCCACCGCACCATCGACATCAGGACATTGTCGTCCGGACTCGTCCCCGCGCCGCCCTCGACATTCCCGATGCGGTACGCGCCGTCGCCGCCGCTGCAGTGCGACATGCCGCTGATCGGGAAGAAGCGATAGAACTCATCGAGCTCGGACGAGTCCTTCGAAAGAGTGTCCTGCACGAGCTTGTAGTACCGCTTCGAGTTATCCGAGGAGATCAGGCCGTCCATCAGTCCGTGGTAGTGCAGGACCTTGCCGCCAGCGGCGGCGAAGGCGGAGATGTCGCCCTCGAAGGTCTCGACGTTGGCGGGGTTCTGGGCGCGGGCGACGGCGTAGTCGTCGATAGTGAGCGTCATGGGGTCCCAGTTCGAGTCGTTGTAGACGACGTAGCGATACCAGTCCTTGTATATGGGAGTTGAGAGCGAGATTCAAGGCCCGCGGGAAGTCAGCTCACCGTGGAATACAGGAAGGGCTGGCCGCCGAACTGGGCAACGCCGGCGAGGACCTCCGCGCCAGGCTGCAAGCGCGGATACACGAGGGTACCGTTCTTGTCGTAGATGGGGCTGAGGACTGTGCGCACGGTCTCCGCCTGCGTCTCCGTCAAGCAATCCGTTGTGTTCCCGTCCGTGCAGACGAGTGGCGTCACGTCGAAGTTGCATAAGTCCGGGTTCTCCAACACCCCATCCGTCGCGCCGTCGAGCGCATCGCATTGCTTGAGGACCTCCGCGTGGATATTCTGCGTCCAGAAGTCCGTGGGCACGAAGGTCGGATCCTCCGAGGTTCCGGTGACCGGCAGGAACGAGCCGCTCCAATAGAGCAGCCCAGCGAACGCGAAGGCCGGCGCACCCGCGACGACGCCATCGAAGTCGTCCGGGAATTCCTGCACGGCCTTAAAGCCCTGCCGACCACCGGTCGAGCAGCCGAGGTAGTACGACTTGTTGTGCGGTGCGCCGTAGAAGGTCTCCGTGAGCTGCTTGCCGACGACGACGCCGGTGTGCAGCGAGCGCCAGGAGTAGTCGGTGACGACGTCCGGGTTGTTGAGGAAGGGCTCGCCGGTCATGCCGTCGTGACCGTTGTTGGCGCCGACGGTGGCAAAGCCTAACGAGGCAGCATAGTCGATGTCGCTATATTGGATGCCTGCGCGTGCGCGTGTTAGCCAAGGCATACTAACTCCGGGTTGATGATGTTGGCTTGTACTTACATCCTCCTATACCACCGTTACCAGTGCTCAGGAAGCGACCGGTGTAGTTCTGCGGGAACCAGGCCTCGAGGCGAATGCCGCTGCGCTCAGAGGTCGTGACATCCATGATCGCGCGGCAGAAGTCGGTGCTGGCGACCTGATACGACGGCGACCCGCATGAGTCGGGGACGACCACGGTCAAGTTCGTACCCGCTGACACAAACATCGTCGAGGTGACAGTGACATTTTCAAGGCTTATCTTGTCGAACAACGCCGAGCAGTCCGAGGCAAAGTCGTCCTGGGCATGCGCAGCGCGCAGGAGGGCGAGAGCACCCAGCAACACGCTGGAAAATGAGCGGAAGGGCGCCATGAGGGAGTAGACGAGAGCTCCATAATACCCCACATCCGTATTTATATGCGGAGTGCGCGGGACGACTTCGGAAACGTCCCAGCAACGAGAACACGAGGGTCAGAATCAAACCTTGCAAAAGTTCGATGGAGCAGCCCGTGACCGGTCGACCGTCGCCAGCAAGGAGAGGGCGGGTAAATTGATCTCGAGGAAACTGACACAAGAAGCCTGATCATGCGGGCCGGACAGAATACTTGGCCAGCGGAGTTGCACAGGAGGAGGTCATGGTTGCTCTGAGCGAGAGGTCGCATCACAAAATCTGATAAGATATTCACCACGTGCGCTTCCGTGGGCCATCTATCCGCAGCTTCCGCAGGAGTCTGCCTTGTTATCCGCAATCTCTGTGTCAACCGTTCTACAGTCTTTACATGGAATAGACGGGTACATGGCTGTGACTCTGTGGGAGGCGCAATGATTGACTAACCCGGTCAACGCCGAAATGACGCCGGTCGCCACAAATTTGCCACCAAATGGCGGCGCTGGACAAGCGTCGAGCGCTACTTCCACGACTATACAATGCCTGTAGGATCTCGTCTCACCCTCAGCTTCCTCTGCATCCTCAAATAGGATCAATGGGCCTGGCTGACCATCTCGAGATTCCTTGCGACGAACATGAGCTTGATTGAGCCAGCTCGTCCGCATCTGAGGCTGGGACTGTTGGATGAGTATTCGGCGAGACATTTTGATACATCCACCATCTCGCATGCAACTTCCCTTCTGCCGGGCTCGCCGCTCAGCAGGAGGATACTTGCAGACAACGAGCGGGAGGACAGGGGCTTAGTCGAATTAGTCTTTTGATCCGCGGAACTTTCCGATGTGACATTCAGCCAAACAAACAACGACAATTACTTTTCAGCCACTCTCACGACTTCGCCACGAAGTGCACCCATTGTGGACGCTGCTCGCCATACAGCAATTGTCAGGCTAGTAGTCACCCTTCCGCTCGTGGAGCGGTCTTGATTTTTGTTTAGTTGGAGCGTGTGCAAACAAACGAAGTCAGCGCTCGGCAGGCGGGGCTCCTGGGCTTCTGGACTTCCTTCGTAGCGGGAGGGGCCCTGATCACACGCTTCCACCTTCTTGTGGCCTCCGACAGCAGTAGGAGGACGAGCAGAAGAGAGAGCTAACTACGGCTCACCATCCATGTCTCCGCCGTGCGCTATTAGCTCTGTTTGTACGTGCTCCAACTAAACAAAAATCACCGCCGCTCCACAAGGAGGGAGGTGACTACGAGCCTGACGATCGCTGTAAGGCTTCACCTCGATTACGTCAAAGCTCAAAGTTGACGGAGTGACAATATCTCTGCAGGGGCTCATGCGTTCCGGGTCCGTTTGACGCTGGAAAGTCCACAGCATCTATAAACTCCAGATCCCCTCCGACCACACAGCATGCAGTAACACATGAGAGACATCTTGCGCGGTCGATATAAAACCGCTCGCTGGCGCTCGCAACAGCACCTCACTCTCGACTCTCTTTTCCATCTCATCCCCGCTACCTCCCAGTCTCCCTCCCTCGCTCCACATTTGCGACGGCTGTCTTTCGGGACGTAATTCGAAGTGGCCACAGAGTGATCACGCTACGCGTGTACCTGTGCTGCTGCGACGGGCATTAGCTGGTGGACGCGTACGCCGATTTATCAGCTGGCTTTGCTGTACCGCAGGCGCTTGACTCGCTCAAGGGGTCCTGTGGTGCTACCACTGTCTTCTGGTCCGGCGGAAACTCCTCCTCTCATTCTGACCTCTCTCACCCTCTACCCCATCTTTTTTCCCTCGCTGCTCCTCTGCCCTTCGCGGCTTCACGCCGCCTTGCGCATTGACCCAGCTACTTTCTTGCGCCTCTAACTAGCGACACTCGACTAGCTCGAGGGGTTCGTCTGGCGAGGATAGTAGGCGTTATCCGCATTAGGGCTCAGAGTTTGGCTGTGATTTGGCTCGCGGTAGGAGCAAGCACGTGGCTCCGTTTCATCCCGTTATGGAAGGTTTTGTACGGACGCACATACAGTATGCTATCTTAATCAAAATCAGAGGTACAGCAAATTAGGTCTCTGACCGCTGCGAGTATTGTAGGTGTGCTCCGAGTCCCCGGGCTTTAAGAACACTGCCAGGCCGCCTCGTCCTCGTAATCCCCTGGCCCAACGTACTTGTTCGTCTTCGGCCACTTGCAGTGCGCACGCCAGTACCTCCCGTTCGCGTCCGCACCGCGCACGACCTCTGGCGCCACGCCCTCCTCCACCCACCGCACCATCGACATTAACACGTTCTCGTCCGCGCTTGTACCCGCCGCACCTGCGACGTTCCCGATGCGGTGCGTGCCATCGCCGCCGCTGCAGTGCGACATACCGCTGATGGGGAAGAAGCGGTAGAACTCGTCGAGTTCGGAGGGCCCCTTTGCGAGCGTATCCTGCACGAGCTTGTAGTACCGCTTGGAGTTTTCCGAAGAGATGAGACCGTCCATGAGCCCGTGATAGTGCAGGACCTTGCTGCCGGAGGCCGCGAAGGCGGATATATTGCCCTCGAAGGTCTCGACGTTGGCGGGGTTCTGGGCGCGGGCGATGGCGTAGTCGTCGAGGGAGAGGGTCATGGGGTCCCAGGTGGTGTCGTTGTATACGACGTAGCGGTACCAATCCTGATGGCAAGGGGATGAGAGCGAGATCGAAGGCTTGTAGGAATTAGAATTACCGTGGAGTACAGGAAGGGCTGGCCCCCGAACTGTGCACGGCCAGCAAGAACCTCTGCGCCCGGCTGCATGCGTGGGTATACGAGGGTGCCGTTCTTGTCGTAGATGGGGCTGAGCACGGTGCGCACGGTCTCCGCCTGTGTCTCGGTCAGGCAGCCGGTCGTGTTGCCGTCGGTGCAGACGAGCGGGGTTAAGTCGAACTCGCACAGATCCGGGTTCTCCAGGACGCCATCGGTCGCGCCGTCGAGCGAATCACACTGCTTAAGTACCTCCGCGTGGATGTTCTGCGCCCAAAAATCCGTGGGCACGAATGTTGGGTCCTGCGGGGTTCCGGTGACAGGCAGGAACGAGCCGCTCCAATACTGCAGCCCATTGAATGCGAACGCCGGGGCACCCGCCACAATACCGTCAAAGTCATCCGGGAAGTCCTGCACGGCCTTGAAGCCCTGCCGGCCTCCAGTAGAGCAGCCAAGGTAGTACGACTTGTTGTGCGGGGCGCCATAGAGGGTCTCGGTCAACTGCTTGCCGACGACGACGCCCGTGTGCAGCGAGCGCCAGGAGTAGTCGGTGACGACGTCCGGGTTGTTGAGGAAGGGCTCGCCGGTCATCCCGTCGTGACCATTGTTCGCGCCGACGGCGGCGAAGCCTAGAGAGGCGGCATAGTCGATGTCGCTGTACTGGATGCCTGAGCGTACGTTAGACAAGATCCCCTAAATTCGGATTGATGATGGTAGGGATGCACTCACATCCTCCGATACCACCATTACCGGTGCTCAGGAAGCGGCCAGTGTAGTTCTGCGGGAACCAGGCCTCGAGACGTATGCCGCTGCGCTCAGAGGTCGTGACGTTCATGGTCGCACGACAGAGGTCGGTGCTGACGACCTGATACGACGGCGACCCGCACGAGGCAGGGACGTACACGGTCAAGTTAGTACCCGCTGCCACGAAGTCGGTCGAGGTGACGGTGACGTTGTCGAGGCTTATCTTGTCGATGAATGCCGAGCAGTCCGAGGCGAAGTCGTCCTGGGCATTCACGGCGCGCAAGAGGGCGAGCGCGCCCACTAGCGCGCCTGGAAATGAGCGGAGGGGCGCCATGAGTGGAGTACACGGAATCCATGACCTTCCACGTCGGTATTTATATGCGGAGCGCGCGGGATAACTTCGAATTCATCCCAGCAACGCGAACAGGAACACGAGAGCCAGTATCATTCCCTCCGATAGTTCGTTGGAGCCCGTGACCGTCGCCAGCAAGGATACGGCGGGTAAATTGTACTCGAGGAAAATGACGAGAAGCCTGGCCATAAGGCCGGCCATGCGGTCGTGGTCATCGACATGACAGGATTATTGGGAAACGGAGCCAAGGACAAAGGTCATGAACTCATGGTTGCTTTGGACGAGGGGTCGCCGCAGCAAATCTGATAAGATATGCACCACGTGTGCCATAAATAAAGGGCTGTTCCCCGATTCGGAAATTGAGACTTGCCTTTGTACCACGACGTGCTCCCGCCCGACCTTCAGACTCACATGCATCGCGTCGTGCAAATTCTGGAACTGCGCACCCTCATCTTTGCGGACTGTAACAACAGGTCCCTGGTCGCTCTGGCGCAAACATGTAGTGATTTCTTTGAGACCGCTGCACCCATAATATGGCGTTCACTCTCGTCGCTGGGTCCGCTCTTTGCCTGCTTGCCACAATCAGTAGCAGACCTCACAGACCCGAGTCAGACAGTAAGTTCATCGCGACATTACATCGAGAACAAGACTCATGTTATGTAGATGGTCTTTCGCGAGAATCCGCAACCACATCACCTTCTAAAGCTACGCATGTATGCAAGCTTCGTCAAAAATCTCTCTCTGAAGGGGTAGGGTACGAAGGCGTGGGAGTCACTCCCATCCCACCGCCCAAGCGCGGACGGTCCAATCGACAACAAGGCACTCTTATATACTCCGTACTCATCATGCGTCCTGCGTCTGTCGCGGAAGTCCATCCCACAACAGAGGCCATTGCCACCATCCTCTCGGCACTCGATGGCGACGTACTTCTGCCTAACCTTCGGGAGTTGACCTGCGAGAGTGATCCTTCGCTGAGCTTTGCACTGCTGCCGTGCCTCGAGGACCCTCATCACTCGATTACAAAACCAGTAGGCGCCACGAAGATAAGGCAGCTGTCAAAAATTGGTACCTCGACTTGACCGTTCTCAAGGCGCTACAGCAACAAACTCCCCAGTTGTCCTCCTTCACCCTTGACTGCCACCTAGCTAAGTGCCCAGCCGACCTGTTCCTCGGCTGCGATACTCTCAAAAGCCTTCACCTGTCCAGCGTGGACCGTGGAATCATGAAGGCGATAGCGCGACTTCCACGACTCCAAGAACTTCACATTGCCTTCCCTTTCTCCCTATCCTTTGACACATCTGCGTTCACGGCACGCGCATTTGCGTCCCTAACATCCCTGACCATCAGCCAAGGACGGGACAGCACAATCATCGCCTTTCTCTCATTGCTCTCGGTCGTCAGTCTCGTTTCGGTGACCATACGAAGCAGTTTCGAATGCTCGCCGCGCTATCTCTGCGAGAACCTCAAAAAACACGGCGCGAAGATGCGCCAGCTAAAGATCGAGGCCGCAGGAACGGATATATCCCCTGGCAGGACGTCGAGCCACTATTTTCCTGCCACAACCTCGTCGCCGTCTGCCTCATTCCATCGCGCCATGTCAAGCTGGACGGTGCGTGCCTCGCAAGGCTGGCGAAGGCGTGGCCTCTTCTGGAGGAGCTCTGGATTCGTAGCTCGGGCTCGGGCTCTGTACATGACTTTCCGCTCGCCCTCGAAGACCTTCAGGTGTTGGCTAAGAGGACCCCGCGCCTCCGCCGCCTGTCAATTGATTTCGATGCGACCCGGGTCGTCGCCTTGCCCGACCTCGACGAGACCCTACGCAACCCGCGCAGCGCCCTCGCCTACCTCAACGTCGGCTACTCGCCCATTGGCGACGCCGACGCAGTCGCGTCCATTCTTTCCACTTGGTTCCCAAAACTCCAGGCCGTCAACTATCTCCGGCACTACCCAGAGAAGCAGTATGGTTTCGATGGCTGGGCTCAGGTCATGAACAAGGTCTCTGGTGGGAGGGAGCCGCCTGCTTCGGTCGTTCGCTCGGTTCTCTACTCATAGGGTGTGAGATGATGTACTGCACGGTACGCCTTGTTCTCCTTCTTCCCTTCGCGTTCGGTGCACTTGCTATCGCGCGCGCGTATGATTCAATTGAATTATTGCAGTTAGAGGTAGGATGCCACACATATATATGGATGATAGGCGAATTATTCACAAATAGTAAGAGTTACGAGCTTCCGATTGAAAGGCGTCGACCAAGGGAATGTTTTCTATGCTATCTCGATTAAATTTAGAGGTGCAGTAAGTTGAGCATCTGACCCCGAAGAATATACAGTAGTGTGTTCCTCGAGCTTCAAGAGCACTGCCAGGCTGACTCGTCTTCGTAGGCCCCTGGCCCAACGTACTTGTTCGTCTTCGGCCACTTGCAGTGCGCGCGCCAATACGTCCCGTTTGCGTCCACACCGCGCACGACCTCCGGCGCCACGCCCTCCTCCACCCACCGCACCATCGACATTAGCACATTCTCATCCGCGCTCATCCCCGCCGCACCCGCGACGTTGCCGATGCGGTATGCGCCCTGCCCGTCAATGCAGTGCGACATGCCGCTGATGGGGAAGAAGCGGTAAAAGTCGTCGAGCTCGGCGGGCTGTTTGTTCATGGTTTGCTGGACGTGGGCGTAGTAGCGCTTCGAGTTGTCGGAGGTGATGAGGCCGTCCGCGAGGCCGTGGTAGTGGAGGACTTTGCCGCCGGAGGCGGCGAAGGCGGAGAGGTCGCCCTTGTAGGAGTCGACGCCAGCGGGGTTCTGCACTCTGGCGGCGGTGTAGTCGTCGAGGGAAAGGGTGGTGGGGTCCCAGGTGGTATCATTATAGATGACGTAGCGGTACCAATCCTAGCAGTTCTTGTGAGCAAGGATTAAGTGGCCAAGAGTACCGAATGACTGACCGTGGTGACCGCACTGGGCTGCCCGGTGGACGCAACCAGGCCCGCAAGGTATTCGGCGCCTGGTTGCATCCGTGGGTGCAGAACTGAGCCGTCCTTATCGTAGACGGGGCTGAGTACCGCGCGTACGGTCTCCGCCTGTGTCTCCGTTAGGCAGTTCGTCGCGTTGTCGTCTGCGCAGATGAGCGACGTCAAGTCGAAATTGCAGAGGTCGGGATTTTCGAGGATGCCATCTGCTGCACCGTCGAGCGCGTCGCACTGCTTGAGCACCTCGTCATGGATGATTGTCCACCCGTCATGAGTCGACACGAAGGTCGGGTCCTCCGGCGTCCCGGTCGTCATGAACAGCGTGCCGGCCCAGAACAACATCTCCGTCCAAGCGAAGGCGGGCGCACCCGCGACGACGCCATCAAAGTCGTCGGGGAAGTCCTGCACCGCTTTGAAGCCTTGTCGGCCACCCGTGGAGCATCCCAAGTAGTATGACTTGTTGTGCGGGACGCCGTAAAAGGTCTCGACAAGCTGCTTGCCGACGACGACACCAGTGTGCAGCGAACGCCAGGCGAAGTCGGCAACGACATCCGGGTTGTTGAAGAAGGGCTCGCCGGTTATGCCGTCGTGCCCGTTGTTCGCGCCGACGGCAGCAAAGCCTAGCGAAGCAGCGTAGTCGAGGTCGTCGTGCTGAATGCCTGCACTCATATCAGACGAGATATGCTGGGTAACTATATAAAACTTACATCCTCCGAGACCGCCGTTCCCTGCACTCAAGAATCGACCGGTATAGTTCTTCGGGAACCATGCCTCCATACGTATTCCGCTACGTGCAGAGGTCGAGACATTCATGACCGCGCGACAGAGGTCAGAACTGGCGACATGGTGCGATGGCCGTTTGCACGAAGCAGGGACGTTCCCGAGGCTCACATTCGTGCCAGCCGCTACGAAGTCCGTCGAGAGCACGGTGACGTTGTCGAGGCTGATCTGGTCAATGAGCGCGGAGCAGTCGGAGGCGAAGTCTCCTCGGACATGCGTGACACCCAAGAGCGCGAGCGTGCTGAGCAGCACTCCGGGTATCGAGCGGTAGGATGACATGAGGGAGTGAGGGGTACGTTGTCCATGAGCCCTCATATATATATTTATCCCGAGCGGGACTTCGGCTACATCCCAGCGAGAAGAACCGATTGTTTTCGTAACAGAATAGCACCCTGCTGAGCGAAGCTCGCTTCAGGCCCATGTCCGCACCCGGCAACGCAGAGGTCGTTAGTGCCGCTTTCTGGCAGCAATAGGGGGATATTGAGGAAAGGCGCAAGCTCCCAACAAGCGGTCCGAAGGGTGTACCGTCAACCAGTCAGTCCGAGGTCGCCAATAATTTCGCCAGGGTTACCCTGAGCTTGAGGCTTCGCCTATTCATCAAAAGCCCACCATAGGCGTACAGCAGGCGCCGGCGAGTGCTCAAGTGGGGTCGGGTGCAAGGAGCCAATCGGGAGAGCACCAATCTTGCTTTAAGTAATCGTCAGCCCTCATCTCGACAACGAAACTGCGCCCAAGACCGCGCCCTTTGGACGAGACGAGTAGCATACATGCGCCCGGGCCCCTGGACCGGAGCCCATGCACTCGAATCGAAGCTCATTGGGAGGGGATAAGAGCACACGAGTGCCAGATGCAGTGGTATAGAGGAAGGTCGCACCGACTCACTCTGCATCCTGTACACTTGAGGTATGATGAGGGGCGTAGTCAAGCTGTAGCTGGCCGATCGGTCTGATGCTGTTACAATCACGTGGCATCCTTGCTATTGTTCCAAAATGGCAACTCCAATATTGGCCCAGACTTACAGGCCTTACGGGAGGGGACGACGTGTACGAAGATGAGGAAGGTGCGCAGAGAGCAATCAGTTCTATTGATACAAGACGTGCGTAGTTGGATACAGCGTGCAGTGCGTAAGTAGATCAGAGCGTGGTAGTTGGATACACGGCAAAGCATTGTAGTTGGATACAAAATGCAAAAGATGAGTTGGATCAAATGGGAGAGAAACACAACCTTCCGTCCATGGAAAACAGCGACAGTATACCAGGCTCCATAGCCAACAACTTCTCCGCCATCTGAAGAACCGTCAGCCCTTCAAGCAGAGGCCTGAACAGCCTTCTCCGCCGCCTCCAGCGCGATCGCAAAGTTGCTCATCAACTTCTCCCTCTCCTCCATCCCTACACTGATACGGACCAAGCTCGCTTCCACCCCATACTGGGCCGCCCAATCCAGCTCCGCATAGTGCGCCAGGATCGCGTACGGGCTCGCCAGCGTGAAGTTCGTTCCCAGCGACGGACCCTTGCAGCACGCGAGCGCATCGTAGAACGCCCTCGCTGCGTCCATGCTCGTGAACGTCAGCGTGAAGAGCCCGCCGTAGCCGCCGCCGGGGAGCCGGCATGCCGCGTAGTGCTGCGGGGTCTCGAACTTGGGGTAGTACACGTTCTTAATCACGGCGGTAGGGGGAGGGGACGGGGAGGCGAGGGAGCGGGCGTGGAAAAAGTCGCAGGCGGCTTCGGTATTGGCGTCTATGACTTTGATGCGCCGGCGGAAGTCGCGGGAGTTGCGCTCGAGGTAGAGGGCGTCTTGTTCGAAGACGACGTCTTCATAGGTGGAGTCGAGGTGTGCTCTGAGCTTGGCATAGTGTCGGCCGCGGGGGTTGAGGACCAGCCTGAAAGAATGCGTTAGCAGTCCGTCGGGGGGCGAGGGACAGGCAATGGACGTACCCGCCACCCATGACATTCGCATCCCCGCTAAAGATCTTCGTCAAGCTGCTCACGACGATGTCTGCGTACGGCAGCACATCGACATTGACAAAGTTGCCAATCGTCTCGTCCACGGCAACCAGGAAGTCGTACTTGTCCGCCAAACGTCGCAAACGCGGCAGGTCTGCAGTACGAAGAAGCGGGTTTGACGGGAATTCAGTGAAGAGCGCGAGGACGGGCGGCTTCGACGGGTCGGCCGCGGCTTCCCGCTCCAGTAGCTGCTCTAGCTCGTCCAGCTCTGCATCCGTGCCCAGCCCGAGGAAGTGGCAGCCCGGGCCCCACTTCTGTAGGATCTTCAAGGTGTCGGTGTAGGGGAAGCTGTCGCAGTCATCATCAGTATAGATACATCGCATTCATTCAACGCAACAGAACTCACCCAAAGCACACACTTTTGGCAGGTGGGAGCGCCGCCAGCGCCGTCTGATGCGCTGCCCAGATCGCCGCCATGCCAGTGGGGTATAGGAACACATCGTCCTCCGACAAGTCTGCCACCCCGCGGGAGCTAGGGCCCACGGCGGCGTCCTGCTGCCCCGCCGACGGCTCTGGACGCCGGTCGTCCGGGGTGTCATGTAGTAGCACGCCTGATATTCTGCGGCGCAGCGCGCGTTTGGCAGCGGTGGCGGCAGCGAGCGGCAGGTTGCGCCCATAGCGCTCTTCCAGGTAGTAGGATGTGTCGAGGCTGATGTCGTCTACTTCGTCGATGGACGGCTGGCGCTGCTTCTTGACCGCGTAATGCTTATTCACGGCCTTGAAGGAGGGTCGTGTGCCGTTGGTGGGGGACGTGGGTGGGACCTGAACGTCCTCGGGTGATAGGATCGTCAAGCAGTGCTCGGCCAGTCGACTCGAGACGCCCATGCCAGAGTGCTGCCAGAACTGCTTGGCGTAGGGGAAGAAGTCCTTCGGGAAAAGCACAAGGTAGAGATCGACTTCCTGCGCAGCGACCGTACCGCGGGGGAGCTGTCGGTGCACCTCTTCATCAGGCGAGATCTTGTACTGCACGATCCGCGGCGCGACAGGCGTGGGCGATTGCGCCTTCATGAACGAGCGGCACTCATCCGCAACCTTCCGCGTCGCGAAGAGCATGCATGACTCACCCTCCGTGCCGAATTTGCGCGCGCAGAACGCTGCGAGCTGATCATCATGAGCACCCTCGCTGACCATCATGACTTCCAACGCACCTTCTGCGCCGGCAAGGGTATAAAGAACCGGGGGTATCCAGAGACCATGGCGTCCGTGACGCGTGGGTTTCCCTCTTCATAGTCAACGTTGTCCTGCCATTTCGGCAGCGATACAGAAATCGCGTGAGGGGTGAATGGGGGTACCCCAAGACCGAGGGGCACGTTGGGAATCTCAGCAGCCTTCGCAGTCTCGACGGCCATTACGAATGTATGTCCGTGGTACCGGGTGTGAGGGTCAAGAGCAAGCAGTAGTGCAGGTCCGTCGACATGATCGACGGGAATCCGACTGACTCCACTGATCGTCGGCCGACGGCTTCTGTTCCTTCAATTCCGATGTTCGTCCCGATGAGATGCTTCACCAAGCTCTTCCGCTGTCCATCGCACAAGGTAGAAGTCCAACAAAAGAAACCAATGCATGATTACTAGAACCGTCTGAGAGCGAAGTACAGTACACAGGAAATTTGTTACGGGGTATGGAAACAAGTGTCGACATCTGCAGGATACTTACGCGTGTATGGCAAGAGGGATCTACGCAGGAAACACAGAGCGATGGTCATAAAGATACACTACCTCTAACGGATGAAGAAGCTGTGAAGCAGCGCCACGGCAGTGAAGCCCGCGCAACAGGCGAAGCCGATCCAGTAGCCGCCAGGATTACCCTCCGTGCTGACGGACCAGAGCTATGAGGAACGTCAGCACCACTTTTACAAACCTCGACACAGCAGTCAACGTACCGTGCCACCCAAGATCGGCCCAAAGAAGCGTGCCAAACTAACGATACTCTGCGCAATGCCATTCGCCAAACTGACAGTCTGCGGCGGAGTCACTGACAAACGAAGTTGAGCAAACGGTCGACAACAGCAGCCGGCAAGGAGCGACGTACTGTAGTTCAACAAGACGGAGACAGCCGTATACCCGAACGTAGCGCCACAGAAACGGACGGCCATGCTCACGGCGAGACCTGGACGACTCAGACGTCAGCCTCGAGTCCGCCCCACGGACCAGCGTACGCACCCGTCATCAACAGGAAGTTACCACCGTCACCCTCGCTCGCAAAGACGCGGAAGAGCACCACGACGAGGTATGACGGGATGAAGAGGAAGGAGCCGATACGGAACATCGCCAAGTGCGAGAAGCGGCCACGAGGAGGGCCGATATTTCTATATTGGCATAAACATGCTTGCCATCTCCAGACCGAGGAAATCACTTACGGATACAGCACAAACTGGTACGCAATCTGCGCCAAGCACATGAGCGCGACTGTGGGCAGGGTTAGCGTCTTCGTCAATCACTCCAGCGCAATGCAGAGCCCTAGTGCGCGATGTCCTAGAGGTCTCGTATAATGCAGATCACTCACTCAGCTGAGCGAAATGCCCCGCCGTCAGATTTAGGCCTCCCGACTTGTAGTCCCTGTCGAGATTCGGGTTAGCGTACCGTCCGTCACATTAAGCCGCTAGCGCCAATGCACGGCAAAAAGGCAACAAGCGAATCCACAAAACGACAGCCGTTAGCTAAGATTTAGACGAGCGAATAGCCCACAATCAAGCAAGTCCTCTGGACGTCCAACTAGCAAGTTCGTCAATCAAGCCCAAGCCCTTCGGGCAATAATAGACGAAGAGCCCTCGGACAATCAAGCGCAGAAGATACCCTCGGACTTACGTGACCAAATACGACATGAACAACTGATCATGCGTCGTACTATGCAGCGCCAACAGCCCATACTGCACAATCACCAAGATCGGCAGCTGCGACGCCAGCGACGGCGACTTCTCCCCCAGCGCCGCCTCCGCATCCATTTCCTCCCCCCTCACATGCCCCTCCGCCACCGAGTGCCCTCGCGACTCGAGGATGGGCGCAAGAGAGTCGCCCTGCGGCGTCTCGGGGTCGCCGCCGCGCTGCAGAAGCTGCTGCGCGTCGAGCACGGCGGGAGGGGTTTTGACGCCCGCGTGCGAGAAGATGGTCGGCGTGTTCGAGGCGCGGCGCGTGAGCGTGGGATGCCCATCGGGCGACTGAAGTGTGAAGGAGGGCGTGCGGCCGGGGAGCTGCATCGCGGTCGGGCGGCGCATCGTCCCGAGGGGAGCTTGCCGATTGGTGCTGAAGGAGGCGCGGTGGCCGGTGGATTGGCGGCGCGTCGATTGTGAGACGCTCGATGGACGCCGACCGCGGGTGGGGCTGGAGGTGGGCGAGGATGGTGCGTCCTCTTGGGTGTCGTCCTCGAGGACGTCGCCGAAGTCCGTGCCCTCTTCGTCCGAGCCGTAGTCTGACTCGCTCTCGAAGACCTCCTCGTTATCGACATTCATCGCAGCAGCGACCCACAGGTCAGCAATATGCGTGACCGCGTTCTCATTTGCCATGAGCAGGCGCTGAGCAAAGTTCATATCGCTCGGGTCCGACTCGCGCAGCGCATCCCAGTTGCTCCCGCGCCGACGTCGACCTGCGCTGCTCATGCTTGCACGACGAAGTGTAGCATTGAGCGTGCTGCTGCTGGTGCTACCACGGCGTACAGCAGCACTGCTGCTGGCGACGCGGTTGCGATAGGTGCTATAGCCATACGCCGACCCGTTCGCGCGACTCGTGCGCGAGAAAGTCCGCCTATCCATACGCGAGCCCGATGTCAATGGTACGGGAGGCTGAGGGGATGAGGATGGAGGTGAACCAGCGATATCAGGCGACCCGAGAATACCGGAAAGCCGCTGTGAAATCTTTTTCTTCAGAGTCCCAGTCAGACTCGTCGGGCGCTCAAGGTCCTCGAAAAGTGGGCCCGGAGAGGGTGGCGCCGCAGTCCCCTCCGCGACAGGTTCGGAATCGAGCTTCTCGGGCGGTAGCTGAATAGCCCCCTCGCGCGGACCTCCATTCGGACCTAGGAATAGGGATAGGAAGGAGCCTGCAAATGATTAGATCTGAACCACGTCCAAGCCAGTGGTAGGAGGCGTACCAATGAAGGTGATCGATGCAGCGATAAGACTAGGTAACAAGTACGGGTATGTGGTGAAGAGTGGGATGCTCGCGAAGGTTTCCGGCCACTTGTCCGCTGGCCGCTCAACTAGACTAAATGTTAGCACAAGTCCCTCGCTGCGACATATCACGCACAAGTTCCACCAATGATGGCACCAGCCACACCTCCGAAGCCCCAGCAGAAGCTGCGACGAGTTAGAACTGAAGAAGTAGCAAGCTAAGGGAAAGAACTCACCCGAGGATAGCATATGCGCGACCTTCATTGCTGGGATCTGTGATGAACGCAACGCTTCCACGAGCAACACCGACAGCACCACCAAAGATACCCTGCAGCAGGCGGACGCAAAGGGCCTGCTTCAGAGATGTAGAAGTGCCGAAGATAGCAACTGTAGCTGCGCTTCCCAGCAAGGAAGTTGTGAGGACGATCCTTGTGCCGTGCTTCTGAGCGATAGTAGCCTGGAAGCCGGTCAGTGGATGCGTCGGGCATGTGGAGAAGCGGAGCATACCCAGAGTAGGGAAGTCAAGAACTGGGTGAGGAAGAAGACAGAGACTATGGCGCACAATGAGTAATCGCGATGGAACCAGACCATATGCGCGCTCACCCAATACGCCCGTGTTGAACGCAATCTCTGCCTCGTCCTCTGTCTCGCCAAAGCCTACACACCATGAGCACATGAACATCAGGATGAGAATTTGTAGACGCACTTTCCACCATGAATAACAGGAATGGAGTACAGACGTTCGCGCAAAGGAATTCGCCGAGCATGGTCTACGATCGGATCGTAAGTAAGACATAGCTGGGAGTACGCGACGCGACACAAAACGCACTATGCAGAAGACGATCATGGAGAGCTTGGGTAGTGGCGTCGACTCTGGCTCATTTGCTGGCTGGATCATGGAGGGGATGGGAGGGCGCTCGGGCATAGGACTGCGAGGGGTTGCTCCTGCACTCTCCTCGTCTTGTCCTCCGCGACGCCATCTGGCGAGGAAGCTCGGTCGGTGGTTCATGGTTCCAAACGAGACCCGTCCAGCGCCTCCGAGCGTCCGGGGAGACGCCACCTCATTCGGCGAGAGATTGTCGTTCACATCAAGCGCGGATTCGTCCGTGGGCCCGCCAAAGGACCTGCGCGGGAGCTGACCCTTGCCGCGGACGCTCATTGTGGTCGTCGAGGGAGAGTGTGATGTTATATGCGCATATATGCACTTTGAACAGCAGCGCGGGTGGTGGGAAGAGCGAAGTCGCGTCGCGCCGGTGTTGAGCAGCCAGAGCGGCAATCACGCAGCGGCTATGACGCGTTAATAAACACGCTTGGACGTCCGGTGATGTCCGCAAAAGGGAGCCTTTGTTCTCCTTCCTGTCCGCTGCATCCATCTCCGAGCCCTGAATCAACTCCGCTGCCGTTCCTCCCGCCCTCGAATCATGCACTCAAGTCTCTTCTAGCTGCCTCTGCACCTCTTAGGGTCTCTTCGTGTGCGCCGTATAGGTCCATGGTAGACCCGGATTGAACACTGAAAACCGAGAAGCGTCGTCTTTCCACCGCCCTCGTCAGCGAAAAACCACCGACGACCGTCCTGAATTCCCGGTCAAATCGTGCATCCCCAATCCAGCCTGAGTTCTGGCGCCAATAAAGTGACCGTAGCCTGCGCGGTGACATGCGCGCGTTCAATGCAACATGTGTTTCGAGCCATCTCGGGACGACCATATCACATCATACCCGCGAAGAATGTGGACGCCGTGCATCCTGTCCGTGCTGTGCGCAATTTGTGGCTTACGGGGATCTTGCCCAACCCAGAGGACGGCCGACTCTGTCTCAGCTTTTTTGGAACACGCGCTGGTGGATGGTGGCAATTGTGGCACACTCCAGATGCATGTTGCAGTGGACCAAGTGCAAGTCAATCTCGACACGCTGTCCATGGATCCCTCGGTAATGTCCAGACAGGCGAGACCTGCTCACCATACTTCCTCTCCGCGGTCGTCAATAAATCCGCAGGATATGCAGGAAAATATACTCCACTGTTCATGAACGTCGTCTGCTCCGCTCAGCATAGCCCGCGCCTGTCAAGTGCGTGTGACTGCTCTATTCCGTTAATTATCACCTTCCCCTGACGTTAATCGTGTCGGAATCAAGCATTACGTTGTGCGTGCCCCGTCCGCGCCGACAGGGTACCGACCCGCCCGGATATCCTGGGACCGTTGATTGATTCTGCCTCGGCATTGGAACCCTCCGCAAGGGAAGGACGGTATGGACTTGCAGTACAGCGTGTTCCAGGTCGTCATCGATGCCTGCACGGTGTTATGAACCTGTTGATGGATTGCTCGTCTATGTGCCTCCAGGTGGTTATCGAAGAACGAAGCGAAAGCGTAGATCATTAAAAGTCAAAAATTTCGCTAGAGAGATCGCCGTGTAAGTGCCAGTGTATGCCTTTGCAGGGTGCTATAGTAGTGCAAGTGGGGAGGCTAGGGTCGATATGGCAGCCCTTGTTCAATGTGAGCGACGCGGACAAAAGTCAACCGCCACAAAATGTGCGATCGAAGCGCGATCAGATCCCGCTGTTCCCCAACTTATCCCAATCAACCACCTCCGCTGCCGCTGCCAGGACCTCCTTCCGCTCATCGGACCGCTGGACGGGCTGCCTCCTTTCTCAGCCTTTTGCGCCCGACGTCCGGCTTCTGTGACATCTGCAAGAGATATGTGGCAAGCTCCGTCATCACCATTCGGCGCCCGGGACGATCTGAATGGCGCTACGTGTTCTCCATGCGCTCTGTCCGAGGATAAGATCTCCAGCGGAATGCTATACCATACCGCTTCATACCTGCTATACGTCCTGGACTACGCCTGATCCACTCGAGACGCGACCGCAGGACGATGCAGCCCTGCACTCTGAATATCCCTCCGGCGGGCGGGGGCCTGTCATCAATTTCAGACCACCGGCTACACTGGGCTACAACATTGCTGGGGCGCCGACAGCCACGACATACTCGGATCGGATACGGAGACGCTCGGCCAAGTCTCCCAAAATGACATCTCGCGATCGGGCACGCCCCGCCCCGCGTCCATTGCTCTCAATGCAATGTCTGTCGCGCCTCGCTGCCACGGGGTGGCTCGCCCTAGCATCTCATCTGCCGTATCTCGCAATTGCGCTTGAGATCTCTCCGGCTTGGGTACGATAAATATATAAGGGCGCGATGAGAAGAAGGGCAAGAACCGTCAACACCTTTGAGCTAGCCCGCCGCGCACTGTGGCCTCCTATTCAGGACCCGCTCTGCTTTCGACGCCCACGCCCTGCCCGCCCTAAGGCCCACTCTCCCTTGCCTGCTCTGCTCGAACTTTAGCTCTCTACACTTGCTATGTCGTCCCCAGCTATCGCCCCGCGCCCGGACGCGCCTCCTGCCCCTGCCCCCGCCCCCACCTCTGCCCCCACGAAGTTCATCATGCCCGATCTCGTCTCGCACTGCACCTTCAAGCTGCGCATAAACAGGCACAGGAAGCAGATCACCAGCGAGACGAAGAAGTGGCTCTTCCAGGGCGATAACCTCGTTGGCAAGGCGCGCGACAAGTATCACGGCCTCAAGGCTGGCCTGTTGACCTCCATGTGCTACCCCGACGCCGCGGCCCCGCAGCTGCGCGTCTGCAACGACTACCTCACCTACCTCTTCCACCTCGACAACCTATCCGATGACATGGACAACTTCGGGACGACGACGACCGCCGACGTCGTGCTCAACTCGCTCTACCACCCCTACACGTACCGCTGCCCCGCACGCGTCGGGCGTATGACCCGCGAGTGCGTAATCTCCCCGCCCGCGCGCTGTGAATCCCACTGACAATATGTGCGCTACTGCAGCTACTACAAGCGGATGCTGCCCACCGCGTCGGCCGGCTGCCAGCAGCGCTTCATCGAGACGTTCGACTTCTTCTTCCAGAGCGTCACGCAGCAGGCGATAGACCGTGCGTCGGGCGTGATCCCCGACCTCGAGTCGTATGTAGCGCTGAGGAGGGACACTTCTGGTGAGTGCGGCTCTGCCCCGGGGCTTGCGGAGCCGGTAATCTGACGAAAATATCCTGAAGGCTGCAAGCCCTGCTGGGCCCTCATCGAGTACGCCAACAACCTTGACATCCCGGACGCGGTGATGGACCACCCGGTCCTGCGCGAGATGGGCGAGGCGGCGAATGACCTTGTCACCTGGTCCAATGTGAATATGCCTCGGCAGCCGTGTACAGTGCTTTGGGCTTACAGTCATCTCAGGACATCTTCTCCTACAACGTCGAGCAGTCGAAGGGCGACACGCACAACATGATCCCTGTCGTCATGAACGAGCGTGGCCTTGACCTTCAAGGTGCCGTCGACTTCGTCGGCGAGCTCTGCAAGCAAGCCATCGACCGCTTCAACTATGCGCGCTCGTGCTTGCCGTCGTGGTCGCCCAAGATCGACCGCGACGTCGACGTATACGCCGACGGCCTAGCGAACTGGATGGTTGGATCACTACACTGGTCCTTCGAGACAGAGCGGTACTTCGGGAAGGATGGGCACACGGTCAAGGCGACGCGGGTAATCAACCTGCTCCCTCGACGCGCGTCAGCACCACCTGCGGAGTACCCTGTTCTGCCCCCTGCAACGCGCAATGCGCGTGTTTCCCGTACGCCCATCCCATTCATCGCTGCTATACACGGTCCTGACGATTGTATAGCCCCTAGCAAGCGCCGTCCGCGTCGGAGTGCAACCGGTGCCGGTGTAAAGAAGCACCGCTCCATCGTTACTCTCTGCTCCCCCATGCCTAATAGTAGGCTTGGTGTTCCTGTCATCTCTGTGCTTTCTGAATCTCCTGGAGCAAAGGACTCTGCTTAGTTACTATCTGCTATCCCTGGGCATTAGAACGGAGTATATATGCTGGTCTGTCTATATCTCCTCCAAGCTACCGAACGTACATATCTGCACCATGTATCTACATGTACACGCTCCTTTAGTGGCTCATAATGTTGTTGTCAATAGTAATCCAAGTCGACTTGGCTTGATTGTCCCTTGCGGTACAAGGCCAGTAGATCGGTGTCGAGCGCCCTGCAGCCGTTGGGATCTCATCTGCGAGATCAGCAGTGGCTCTAGCATCGATTTACTCACGCTCCGAATAGCAGGAGGTTCATTGTTTCCTGCAGTCGCGAAGTCGAACATTGCATCGGCAAATGCCGAAGGCCGAACGGAGATCTCGGGCCGGAAGCAGACGCGATCGCAAAATTATGGGCGCTTGTTCCCCTTCGCTTTCATCCCGCGAACGATCCCCCGAACGCCAGCTAAGATGAAGTCCAACTTCAAGGTGAGATTTATGGAGGTTGGTCTGACTTTGACTGACGTTCGCGCAGTTTAGCAACATATGCGGGACGGTGTACAGGCAGGGGAACATCACCTTCACAGCGGATGGGAACAGCCTGCTGAGTCCAGTGGGGAACCGCGTATCTGTGTTCGATCTTGTCAAGTGCGTGATCTGTCTACTTGAGATGCATAGAAGCTGACACAATACACAGCAACAAGTCATACACTTTCCCCTTCGAAAACCGCAAGAATATCGCTACGCTCGCTTTGAGCCCCGATGGGAATGTGCTCTTGAGCATAGACGATGGTGCGTCTTGTGTATCATCGACCTCATTCTTTTTCTGAGCTACTGTAGACGGTCGCGCGCTACTCGTCAACTTCAAGCGAGGAGTTGTTCTTCACCACTTCAACTTTGGCAAGCCAGTCAACGATGCGAAGTTCTCCCCAGACGGGAAGTGCGTAGCACGATTCTGCTTCCAAGACCATCATCTGAAATCGACCATAGGTTCATTGCCGTCACTCATGGCGCGCACATTAAAGTCTGGCACACGCCCAACTATCTCGCGCGCGAGTTTGCCCCCTTCAACCTCCATCGCACCTATACGGGTCATCATGACGACGTGCTGAGTATTCAGTGGTCTCCCGACTCAAAGTCAGTCTCCAACTCCTTGCCCCTACGCCTCTTCTCATTGGGAATAGATGCTTCATCACTACGTCGCGGGATATGACTGCCCGCCTATTCACTTTGAATCCTCTCGAGGGTTTCCGCCCCAAAACCTTCGCTGGTCATCGGGACGCTGTCCTGGGCGCATTTTTCTCAAAAGACGCAACGACGGTGAGCTTGCTGCGTCCGCGCTCGATGATGCTTCCAGTCTGACGTACTCCAGATATACACCGTCAGCCGCGACGGCGCCGTGTTCACCTGGAAAGAAAAGGGATCAGAGGACGATGACTCCGATGCCGAACCACCCATCGCTTCAACATCTGCAGACCCCAACTATGTCGCAAACACTCGCTGGGGCGTCCACGAGCGTCACTACTTCAATCAGCCCGGAACGAAGGTCGTTTGTGTATCCTTCCACCCGGTGACGAGCCTACTCATCGTCGGCTTCTCGACCGGCGTCTTCGGCCTCTGGGAGATGCCCGCCTTCACCAACATTCAAACGCTCAGCGTGTCGCAGGAGAAGATATCCTCCGTCGCGATCAATGCGACGGGCGAGTGGCTGGCGTTCGGTGCAAAAAAGCTCGGGCAGCTGCTCGTGTGGGAGTGGCAGTCGGAGTCTTACGTCCTGAAGCAGCAGGGTCATTACTACGACATGAACACCCTTGCGTACGCACCTGACGGACAGACTGTGGCGACCGGTGGCGATGACGGCAAGGTCAAGATCTGGTCTACTCATACCGGCTTTTGCTCCGTCACCTTCTCCGAGCACACCGCGCCTGTATCCGCCGTCGCCTTCGCGAAACAGGGCTCAGTCCTCTTCACCGCCTCTCTCGATGGTACTGTCCGCGCCTTCGATCTCATCCGCTACCGCAACTTCCGTACCTTCACCTCCCCTTCACCCGTGCAATTCGCGAGCATTGCTGTCGACCCGTCTGGCGAGGTCGTCGCCGCCGGTTCCTCGGACTCCTTTGAGGTCTTCATGTGGTCCGTGCAGACTGGTCGCTTGTTGGACATCCTGACGGGCCACGAGGCGCCTGTATGTGCGCTGGACTTTGCACCGTCGGGCGTCAACCAGCTCGCCAGCGGCTCTTGGGATCGCACCGTCCGCGTGTGGAATGTCTTCGGCCGCTCGCATGCCGTCGAGCCCATCTCGCTCAGCTCGGACGTCCTCGCTGTTGCCTATCGGCCCGACGGGCGCGAGCTCGCTGTCGCCACCCTCGACGGCCAAATCACCCTCTTTGACGCAGACGGCAAGCAGACGAATGCGATTCAAGGGCGCACTGACATCGCCGGTGGTCGGCGACAGGATGACCGAATCACTGCCGCGAACAACGCGTCCGGGAAGGCTTTCACCAGTCTCGCATACACCGCCGATGGCCGCTGCATCCTCGCAGGTGGTAATAGCAAGTACGTCGTGCTCTACGACGTACGCGAGGGCGGCGGCACCATGGTCAAGAAGTTCCAGATCTCGCAGAATCTCTCGCTTGACGGCACGGAGGAGTTCCTCGACAACCGTCGCGTGAATAGCGCGGGTATTAACGTCGACACGATCGACACCCGAGGCGACGAGAGCGATTTGGAGGATAGGATGGACACGACGCTGCCGGGTGCGACGCGCGGGGCGGGCGATATGTCGAAGCGGAAGTACAAGCAGGAGGCGCGGACGAAGTGCGTGCGCTTCTCGCCTACGGGGCGCGCATGGGCGGCGGCGTCGACGGAGGGTCTACTCATCTACTCGCTCGACGATACCGTGATGTTCGACCCCTTCGATCTCTCCATCGATCTCACGCCACAGGCCGTTGCGGAAGTGCTCGCCGACCAGGAGTACCTCAAGGCGCTCGTCATGGCGTTCCGCTTGAACGAGAAGGCGATCATTCAGCGCGTCTACGAGGCCATCCCGCGAGAGGACATCCGCCTCATCGCGCGGCAGATTCCTGTGCTGTATGTGCCGGCGCTGCTTCGCTTCATCGGCGAGCACTTCGAGCGCAGTCCGCACCTGGAGTTTGACCTGTTATGGACGAACGCGCTGCTCATGACGCACGGGCGGTATCTCAAAGACCACTCGAGCGAGTTCGCGAGCGTGTATCGCACGGTGCAGAAGTCGCTGGCGGATGTCGAGAGGACACTGTCGAAGATGTGAGTACAAGTCATCCGTCTATCACGGAGCTGGTCTGACTGTTTCCAGGTGCGAGGAAAATATGTCTACCCTGTCGTTCTTGCACGACCAGGCCATGGTCAGGGAAAGTGGAGGCGATGTTGAGATGGCGGCTGCATAGTCTTGTACTTAATCTAGCTTTGCATTGCAGGTTCTTTCCCTACCGTTTTCCATCGACCTCGACAAGTGTGTATGGTGTCCTTTGAGAACAATTTGCAAGCCTCGCTCACCACAGGCGCGCATGAGAGCCCAGCATTTGAGCCCAGCGTACGATCTCAGCTGCCGGGCAGGGTTACTAACCGGGTTAGAGCCGGCGGGGGCTTCTTCGAGTATCGACCTGAATCTGCCTCATCCAGTTCGGTGATCCGCAATCCCCTAGATTGCATTGCAGGAGACATAACCAGCCATCGCACTACGTAGGTAGATAAGTTAAGTACAAGTCCGTCTTGTGAATCGTCTACTCTATAAGTGAGTGCTAATTCGTGGCAACGTGAAAGTCCGAGGATAGGTAGACGATGAGGATGGGATGACAATGGGAACCCGACAACAGATAAAATGGTAAGTGCATAGATAAGAAAACAGCTCAAGCGACGTTCACGGTGACCGTGCTGTACTCGTACGGCTTGTCCTGGATCATAGGTGCCGGGTCGCGCAGGAGCCAGCCCGGGTGGAGGACGTTGAGGGTGAACATGACGATGACGACCATGGCGGCGTCGAAGATGTCTGGAGAGGTGTGTCAGTTGCTATTCAGTTGAGTGGCGAGCAATGAATCAGACTCACTGAACCAGATCTCCGTAGTGATGATCGTGCCGTTCCACCCGTCGGAGAGCTCGATGAGGCGGTAGACGGCGCGGATGACGAGGAGTACGGTCGTGATGCCCAGGCAGACAATGGTGAGCTTAAGCGGGGTCGTGAGGGCGCCGCGCGGCGGGGTGAGGGTCGACGCTGACTCGGCGGGGGTGATGCGCTTCGCATGTGGGCGGTCGTTGAAGTAGCGCCAGAGGAACTCGAAGGCGAAGACCGTGAAGAAGATGATGACAGCAAGCTGGAAGGAGATACCGCCGAGCATGATGCGGCCACCCTATGGGGAGATGAGCGACGGTGAGATTTGAGTAGGGATTGAGGGGCGTACATTGTCAGCACCCTCATGGTCGTCGGCGGACGCGGCCATGCCACCGCCAGCACCTTGCACGACAAGTGAAATGACGTCCTGGGTGCTCATCAGTCAACGGCTCACGCGACGCAAAAAAGCGACATACGGAAGAGCAGAAAATAATAGTATACCACCGCGGACTCAACCGGCTGTACGAAGGACCCAAACGACGAACGAGGCGTCCCATCATGACGAAGTTGGCAGCCAGCAGAGGTGTAGGCGCGATGATAGTCGTGACGATTCTGCGGCAATAGATTAGCAATGCATAGCATGGTGAAGCGATAGGAACGTACTGAATCATATAAGGATCGTCCGCAAGGATGTTCTGATTACTCCAAAACCTGCCTGCCCAGCCGAGGCACTCGAGGCCACCACAGAGCACGACGGTCGCGAAAAGCCACCATTGGCGATACCAAATTGTTTGGAAGAAGTGGGCGGCTGGAGGGTGGGGTGAGTAGGTGTACGAAGGGAAGAGCGCGGGCGAGCTTACCAGTGGTGAGACCGAAGAGGACGAGATAGAGAATACATATCCACTTGGTGGGGACGTAGCCGTACGAGGAGAGCTCATTGATTTGCTCGGGCGTCAGGTCGGAGAGGGTGATGTTGGCGTATTCGTCGGACATGATTCAGATCGACACGGGATAGGAAAGATAAAAGACGATAGACAAGGCGGAAAGGGTAAGAGGCGATGGATGGGGAGGAAGGTGGGGGAGAAGGGGAGCGGATGGCCTTTCAGTCACCTTATCCCACCTTATATACCAAAGCGCAGGCTGTCCTACACGCAGCGCACCTCGCCGGACCTCCGGGAAGGGGTTGTCGCAGGTCTTTGTGCCACATCGGGGCCGCCCGCGCTGCCGACCCACTCTCGTCAGCAATTGCCATTCTTCTACCTGCCTTCCACTCACCCCTCCCACCTCGCGTTACTGACCTCGACACAGCATCAATATGGCATCAGAGGATTGGCGGTGTCGGCGCCTCTTGCTGCCAGGCCAAAACACGTTGAAGAGAGGCCTCGCGATGACCACAATGGGTAGTTGACGCAGGGTGTGATCATCAAAGCTGACGCGCTACCGTATAGGGAAGCACTGAAAGACAAGCCCTTCGCAATGCGTTCTCAGTGACACTAAGCGGTGCGCGGCCTGCGCGTACCTCAGGTCCGCAGGCAAGACCTACTAGCGAGGTAGTCGAATATATAAGGATAGATGAGGTCTTCAGTCTGCAGCTGCGCTTCTGGGAGATGGCGAGGCGCATCACGTTTGCTTCCGTCCTTCATTCCGCGGTTGAACTTGGGTTGGGGTACCCGATACGCGTCTCTCCTGAGGCCTGAGGCGCGAGGCGCGACAATAACATCCCCCGATCGTCCGACGGGTCGCGTAGCAAGCAGGACAGCCTCGTTGACAGGATATGTGGTGGGTGATCCAGACGAAACGCCCGTCCGGGGTGTCGGGGAACAAGCGATAGTGATAAGATAAGTCGCTTGGGTATGCCAAGGCTGTGATCTTTAGAAAGCCTTTGATCACCGGCTACTTCACCTACACTGACTCGTGAACGACGGATCTCCCCCGCCCGCCAAAGCTACAGCCTCGCCCGCAGAGTTGGGCTATTCATGATCGGCAGCAGTAGACCGTGGTTTATGACATGAACGCGTCCGTAGAAAGAGCAGCAGAGAGTCTGAAGGGGGGCTTGCAATTCGCCGATGGGTGCAGCTGCCATTGAGATGGTAAACGTAGTGTACAGGGTTGAGAGGACATGAAAGGCGATGGAGATTTCCGCTATAGGGAAGGCATTCTGCGGACGACCTTGCCTTCGTTCTTCGCGTGTACTGCCAGCTTCTTCAGCAGCTGCGACTCCTGCCAACGCTCGGGCGGCGTCCGCTTGCCGGTCGCCCAATAGTAGATGTCCCAGTCGGGCTCGTCCAGCAGCTGAACATGATTTCAGTACACTCCCACCGTCATTACGTCTGCCCACGCACCTTGTCATACTCGCGCATCTCATCCTCCGTCATAGTCGACAAGTTATCACGCGCGAACGTGCTGAGGAGCAAGTCGCTCTCCAGCGTCCCCCGCTTCCTCGACTGGTACACGAGCCGCGCGCGCATCTTCTCCACACTCTCCCCCGTGCGCTCGAGCGGCTTCGGGGGCGGGACGTCCGTGGGGGTCCGGGTTTTCTCGAGATGCTCGGGAGTATGAGGAAGCGGCCATGGGTCTGCGCGCCTGGGTGCGGAGTATGATATGGAACGCACTGCAAAGGGGCGAGATGCTACGAGGCGCGAGCGAGCCTGGCGAGCGACAGAGGCGAACATGACGGGGGTTGGCAAGCGGTGGCTGTTGATTGGCGCCCGGACAGAACGCTGACGCTCCCAGACCGGGTCCGGGCCGCCGTTCCGGCTAGCTACGATCGTCCTGCCTACCGTCATCTCGACTCTGCGCTTGCTGCCTGCACGGTCATAGCATGTGTGGGATGTTTACCAGGGAACCTAGAGCTGTAATTGATCTGTTTTTCTATGCTCAGAGATATCTGCATTCGCTGCGAATCGAGGTTAACTTCCTCATCCAGTCGACCATGTATCCTTATACTTTGGGCCTTGGCCAATCACGGAGTGCCCTTCCGAAAAGTATACGCTCTCCTCACCAGAGCGTTGTCATAATTCGCACCTCTCGCCCTGATTTTGGCCCCCAACAACAGATCGAACCATACCCGTGCTTCTCGAGAGGTCACGACCATATGGCACGCGCCTTGCTGACTCCAAGGTGTTCACCCACTCCCCATACTTTCGCTCACGCCGAGAGAATGCCGCCATACACGTGAGCGACGTGGCTCTGGCAGCACGCACTATGACGAACCGACCAACCGAAACATCAGGGCGACATTTTTAATTTATAAACGCTGGAGGTGAGCACTGACAGGGAGCCTAACACGCTACTAGCCTTGTTTTCACAATGTCTTCACTCAATATCCAAGCTCGCACGACCTCGCCCCTGCGCAAGGGTCTCGTCAACTTGCCCGGGGCGACACCACACGCTGCTGCTCTCACTCAGAAGCTGCTGCAACAGGACTTCGTGAAGCACCACTGCTTCTTCAACGAACAAGGTTTCCATAATCACCTCCCGCACCAGTGAGTATATCTTTGAGCGCCACTTGGTCGGTGCTGATTGTTCCACCTAGCCTTCTCTCCGTACTCGACCTGGGCGGCTCTGCGCACCTCCTCCAGAGTATCTACGACGCCGAAGCTGCAGCGCAGCGCCCTGCCACTCTCGGAAAACCAGGCGATGAAGTCCCGCATATCACGAACGAGAACTGGACTGCTTACCTCGGCAAGGAAATGTACGTCGTGTCCTGGCGCGCTTGCAATTGACATCACTGACATATATCCAGCGCGTACGCCGGATATCTGCGGTTCTTCAGCGACCAGATTGCTGAGCATGGCGCTGAGGCCACAGTCGGGCGTTTCGTCTTCTCACCTGAGGCGAATGGCAACGGGTCTATCATGCTAGCACGGCTGGGTAGCGCAGTGTTAGTCCTCAAGCCTTTTCCTGATTGGAAGTCGCTGACCGGTGTCACAGCTTCCACCCGTGGATTCAATTCGCTGTGGGTACATTCCAAATCATTCTGCTGATATTGCGCTGACCTCAAGCATAGTTGGGTCTCGAGTTCAAGCAAGATTTCCTCGTCGCGGCCGGTCTTTCTCTTACTGTGATGACTGACCCTGTCTTCCCCAATCTTCTGGCCGACACATCGTCCGGCCTTCCAAGCGTGACGTACACTACCAACAAGTCACCGACCCTTCACGAACTCTTCGACGAGGTCTACGCTTCCGACGCCCTTGAGCCTGGGCCCTACGACCCCGAAGTCATCTTCGGCAACCACGCGCAAAAATTTCGCTCTCACTCTGAGGCCCTCAGCACCGTCCTGAACATCGCTAAGCACTGGACTTTCCCTCCCGCGGATGATGCCGCCGCCTTCGCCGCCGCCCTTGAGCAGAAGCGCAAGGAGGCCATCGTGGAGGCGACGCTCTTCCTCAGCGCCACGGGCCTGCGGCACGACAGCCGCGGCGCCCCACCGCGCGTGGACTTCTTCCTCATGCACCTCCTGACGAGCTCTATGTTCATGCAGACGCTGTTCGACGTCGCGCGCAAGCCCGAGGACCAGGCGCGCTTGCTGCAGGTGTATATCCGGTCGACGATCATGACGGTCCTGGCGCGCGGCCGGCCGAAGCCCGATGTGGACGCCCTTTACAAGCACCCGGAGGCCCTCGGAGACGAGGCGCGCGATGCTATCGGTACGCCCGCGACTGGCGAGGCGCAGGAAATTCAGGGTTACCCTGCGCGCCCACTCAACGCCTGGTCTTCCATTATCGACAGTGCTTGTCACCATTCCGAGTCGCACGTCGCGAAGGCCGTGCGCGCCTTGATATACGCTGCAAAGCTGTACGAGACGGAGGACGACCTGGGCGTGGTGCCGGGCTTGGATGGAACGGTGTTTTTCAGGGCGGCGACGGTGCTGATCGACGGGCTGGGCTGGGTGAGCAAGGGCGAGAAGGAGCTGTGGTGGGACTTGAGTGCAGTGGGATGGGATGAGGCGTGGGCGCCTCGGGAGTAATATGGTGCCCTGCATACCACAGGCCGGTACAGTACATACTGCACGCCCACTTGTGGGTGGCATATCGATCGTGGACCCATACTCGGCAAACGGGCCGGAAACCGTAAAGATTCAGATGAAATGCTTCCGCGCCGGCGGAGACCGCTTTGCTTCCTGCCTTCATCTGCTATCCCGAGCTCGTTGAATCTGCTGTATCCGATGCGTCGCACCGCGCCTCGACCCAATCGTCGTATCTATTGTCCGTTCAGAAAAGACCATGTCACAATCGCAAGCCTTGTTTGGACCCTCTGATCATTGTCCGCCGTCGCCATACTATCACTAATTATGTTCTGCTTCCATCTCATCAGATACAGCGGTCCGTCGCAATCAGGCGTTCTTTCATTGTCCAGCATCCGCTTGTACTCGCGGCTTCGGGCCCGTATGAGCTTGTGTCTGCGGCATCTGCCTTCCATCGGGCGGCTCCACAAGGCGCGCCCACACAAAAAGACAATAAGGCGCAGTGGCCATTCTCAGGGCGGCGCGGAAAACATATAAGCATGCATCCTTCTCATGAGCATGTACCCTTCTGGCCTCTTTTGCCCTTCCCCTTGTTGTCGTGACGATCTCCCGTGTACTTCTCCTGCCCGTCAGCGCTTGATTTTCCCGATCTTGGTATCGTGCTGTTAGAAGGATTGTTTGAGCGACTCAGCCATGGTCAACACGAACCCCTTTCCGCCGACGCACGGCTTCATCGGGCCAAGAGATGCGGTCTGGCTACAACAGTGGACATCAGAACTCGCGGTTCTGTTCGTCTTCGTCGGTGTGTGGCTGCCCTTGCTGCTCCATCCATACTGTGCTCATGTTTCATAAAGGAATTCACTCGACCTTCTACATAATATCAACGCATCTTCTCATGTGCGTACCGATCCCTACATTCAGCACGCCCATCCACTCATCTCCCTTGATGCCGTATAGTAAGGAAGGCCTGCGTAATTCAGGCTCGCGCATGTTTCTCTTCGTCTGCACGACAGCCATGTTCTGCATTTCCATAGCCGGAGCCGCTTGCACTATCCAAGTATTGATAACCGGCTTGGGCGTCACATCAATACATCGGACGGCGCAAAGCCTAGCAAGGATACATCCGATACTTCTAGGCCTGAGGATCACGACCAATGTGCTGCTCAGAACGAACGTAAGGGTGGTCCAATATCCCCGCTACGCATATCCGTGATGACCTCCCATAGTTCCTCATCAGCGACACGGTCGTAGTATGGCGCACTTATGTCTTATTTCGGGAGAACAGAGTAGTCCGTCTGTGTCTCGTGGGCTGCCTGTGTGGGACTTACTGTGCGTGTGCTTTCCTCTAAAGTTGTAGCACATCTAAACCAACCATGCTGCTAGTCTCCGTAACGGCCAACACTGTCCTCACCGTCGTCAGTATCTTGAACCAAACCACGAAGGAAAACCTACCCCGCAGCCTACTGCTCACGGTGCCATTGCTAGTCACGAACCTGACAGCGACTGGATTGATGGGGTGGAAAGCTTGGTGAGTGGGCAGTGAGACCTGTACCCCTTCGCCATGCTGAGCTTCAACTTCTATATAGGACGCACCGCGAGTACGTATGCGATAGCTTCCTCCGCCGCAAGCACAAGAGCCGCGCCGAGCTAGCGCTGCTCCTGCTCGTCGAATCAGGCTTGGCTTATTGTGCTGTCTGGGTACGTGCGCGTATTCCGGGCATGCATTCTCGGATAGCACTGCATGCTAACGCTGCTCTCAGGTGGTCGTCTTAGTTTCCGGCCTCGGCGCTCTCCCCGGGGACCAGCGTTCAACCCTCCTCGGCGCCCTCTGCAGCATCTGTGGCGCGTACCCGACCTTCATCGTCATCATGGTCGGCCTTCAGCGCTCCTCCGTCGACAGCGTCCTCGCCGGCGACAGCGCACTCGTCCCCCTCACCCCCGGCCGGTGGAGCGGCACCTCGAAGGGCATGAGCGCGGGAATCAAGGCCAAGTTTTCGTCGAGGGAGAAGGTGAATGTGTATGGGGTCGATCGCGACGCCGAAGGCCACAATGCCAACGAACAATACACTGCATTCATGATGCCGATGTCGCCGACGAGGCAGTCGTGGCCGTTCGCAGTGCCGCCGACGGGGCCGTCACCGTCCAGGAGGCAGATGCCGAAGAGGGCGTCGTCGCCCCCTGGCGCGGCGGAGTTTGGCAGGTTAATCAGGGTGCCGGAGAGATCATCGTCGCTGGTTTCGTCGGGCGCTTCGATGGTATCCCCAGGCCCAGACTCTTCGATGATCGCCCCTTCGCCCGCCTCACCCATGCCTTATGCGGCGATGTCTCCAAGCTCGACGTTCTCTGCTCTCGATGCGATGAGCGAGGTGCCGCTCATGTCGTCGAGCCATGGTGGGCACTCGAGGCAGTCGAGCTATGGGGGACATTCACGATCATCGAGCGATGCGCCTCTACTGGGGTCGGGCAATGGCTTGCACTCGATGTCCTCGAGCGACGCGCCGCTGTTGGGCTCTTATAACGACAACCGAATATCCATGGAGGACACGAGCTTCATCGACATGGCGAGCTCTGAGGGCGGGCACACGTCGTCCAACATGGTCGAGCTCCCGACGCCCGCGCCCACCTCCGCAAGACCGGACTTCCCCGAGGCGAGCGCGCGCAAGAGGGACACCTACCGGCTTTCGTACCCAACAATGGCGTGGACGGATAATCACCGGGCGTCGCTAAAGGATACGCGGAAGGGCTTTGTGCGGCTGAGCACGGTGGACGAAGCTTGATTTGTGTCAATGAAGAGGTACGGGGAACCAACGACAAAGGGTGGAATATGGACATTCGGGCTGCTGTTGATCAGGGCCTTGTTTGTACTGGTACTCAGTGTAACGAGCTCATGACGACTGTGAACGAGTTTATGATTGGAATGTATTCAGTTTATGACCGCGTCTTGAACAAGGGAAGCCGGTGGTGACGCTCGTAAACACAGACATCGAATAGACATACACTGATAGCCAGCAAACACTCGAGTATAAGAGGAGTAGAGGCTAACTCTGGACCTGCACAAACGACTCCCTCATCCGAGGTTCAGTGACAGATCAAATCAGGTCAGTCTCGAGCGACGCGGTCACGGTTGAAGTTCGTGTCACGGCGCCACAGATCCTCGGCAACCGGGCCGTATACTGCACGTGTCTGGCATCGCGCGTGGGCGCGGTGTTATTGTGGGCGTGGTGATCTCGCGGCTTTGCATTGTACTCTTCAGACACTCAAAGAGGCCGCAGACGCAGGCCAACTTGCTCCCGACCACCATGAAGTACAAGAGCATGCTGCTCCCCAAGGACCCCCTGCTGGCTCTGCCCACGGAACTCGTCTGCCAGATCCTGGAGTACCTCGATGTCAGCGATCTGCTCACCTGCAGCCTGGTGCGTAGTCCCTAGCGATTGCCACAGCTTCCCCCGTGCTAATAGACGCCCTACGTTTCCCCACAGGTTACTAGACACATGCGCCGTGTGATCTTGCACTCTGCGCCCCTGCAGTACTCGATCGAGCTCGCGAAGTCCCGCATGGCGTCTACGCCCTCTGCGTCGGCGCTCTCTACAGCCTCCCGCCTCGACATGTTACGGACCCGCGAGCAGGCATGGCGCGGCCTCAGATGGTCTGCGCGTCACCGAATTACACTACCACCCACTGGCCCGATCTACGAGTTCATCGGAGGCATATACGGCAACGGGCAGGAGGACGACAACCGGGTGACCTCCACCGTCTCCTTCTTCGAGCTCCCGACGCAAGTGAAGGGGAGGACGATGCCTGCGCACCCGCGCGTCTGGACCCACCCGATGGGCACGTTGTCGATCGTAGATTTTACGTTGGACCCGACGCACGACTTGCTTGCCCTTGTTGCGTCGGCGAGTCCCCCGTGGGTAATATATCTCGATGGGGGGACGTGATAACTGACTTTCTCGCAGGTCAAATTACCTATACGAGATACACTTGCGCTCGCTCTCCACGAACGAGCCGCATCCGATGGCACAACAACCTATCCTAAGCTGCCTCAAGCGCCCCAATGGGAACCACATGGTCTTTGAGAGCGCTGGGGCAGTGCGTATACAAGTCTCTGGCGACCAGATCGCCCTCCTTTTGCGCCAGACCCCGAGCATGGGCTCCCACCTGAATATCTGGAACTGGAAGCGCGGCGCGGATCGACATGTGCGTGCTTTGCTAGACGCCGTATACATAGTGGCACTGTGGCGTTCACTTGCTGACCCTGCTACATAGATCTCCTTCTCCGTCACCGACGGCATCGAAGACTTCACCTTTCTCTCCGACAAGGCCTTCCTGCTTGTCCGCCCGAAGGGCTCCTTCGAGACCTACACCTTCGATCTCGACCTCCCCCACACTCCCCCACCGCCACTACAACCCGGCACGCATACATCCACCACCCCTTCCGGCGACCCCGAGCTCCGGGCTACGTACCTCTTTCCGCCCCTCAACATCCACCACACTTATTGGTACATCACGATGAGCAGCAATCCGTCCGCAGGCTATCGACCCGCCGCGGATGCGCCACACACTTCCAACTCATCCTCGGCTTCCGCCCATCCTCCGTGGAAGTCATCCTCGGCCACCAAGCCAGACGCGCCCCCTCAGCAAGCGCCTGCATTCGAACAAATACCGATCGACAGTCTTGCCTCGCCGTACATCATCCCGCCCTCCGACTCCTCTCCCTTTATCATCCCACCAGAGTCCAGCCCCTTCACTCGTTCCGCTTCGCCCTCACCTGCCGACGAGGCCGCCTCACGATCCTACTACCCGCGCCCGGACGACCGCATACACTCGTGTTGCGTGTATACGACGTCGATGTTCCCTGTCTTGGAGGTGCTCGCACCCAACCAAGCCGCCGCTCAGGCCATCGCTGCTGGGAATATCAACCTCCCCGCCGGCGCAGCGAACGCGAACGGCGGCGGACCCGCGAACGCAGGCGCTGCCGGGCAACCCAACGTCAACGGCCCAGCACCCGCCAACCCCAACCCAGCCCCCGAGCCACCTGGCGCCCACCGCCAGCACGTCCACTCCTTCGTCTTCTTCGTCAACCTTCGCTTCTTCCTGCGTGACCTGCAGGAGATGGACGCTGAGCGCGAGAGGGAGCTCGCGGAGGCGCGGGCGCGCGAGGAGTGGGAGAGGCAGGCAGCGGCAAGACGGCAAGCCGCGGAGGCGAAGGCGCGGGCGGAGTATGCACGGGGGGAGGAGGTGAAGCGGCTGAGGCGGGCGAGGGAGACGCGGAAGATGGAGGTGGACGCGAGCAGGAGGGAGACCGACGCGGGCAGAAGGCAGGGAGTGGAGGAAAAGAGGGTGAAGGTGGGGAAGACCCGTGGGAGGGCGGACAGGCTGCACGCGCTCAGGACGGCTAGGGTGGAGAGGCAGAGGGAGTGGCGTCGAATTCAACTGGAGTCGGCAGACGGACTTGCGAGTGTGGCGAGGGCTGATTCGCCGATGAGAGAGGATAGTCCTTCGTCAACGGTGGCGGAGGCGTCGACTTCAAGACCGTCCTCCTCGGCATCGGCTCATGCTTCGTTGTCTTCGACATCGGCGCAAGCTCCATCGTCATCAGTGTCGGCGATCTCTCCGCGTTCGAGGGCATTATTACGACCACCCACGCCTCCTTGGATGTCGACGGCGCAGTGGACGCCACCGCCAACACCAGTTCCCGCAGCTGCAGCGCCGTCAGCGGGCCCTTCTTCGGCCATCGACTCGCTCGCGATGTTGGCGGACGTCGCTATAGCCTCAACGGCGACAGACGTGTCGCCCTCCAATGCGGCAGATCCGCCATCGCCTTTCCTCACATCAACGGGCATACATCCAGCACCTGCTCACCCTATGCATTGGCCGGCTCACGACACTCCTCAACCTTTCGCTTGGCCCATACAGCCATCATTGCCGCCACCAACGTTGCCGACGATGCCCCAGGCGCTTTTCGCCACGATGCCGCAGACTTTGCTGCCGCAATCGCAGTCGTTCCATACTGCGCCAGCGACCCTGCACCCAGTACCACCGGTACTGCCACCCCTGGCTTCTCTGCCGTCAACGACGTTCGGTCAACCCACTGATTCAATCCATCTGCCGCCTCCGCAGGCCCATACGCACGTCCAGCCCGTTAGGCCGGTGATGCTGCCACCTGCCTTCGCCCCCGCGCCCGCCCACGGACTCCCGCCACCTCATCTGCTCACTTTACGCCCTTTGTCCGTCCCCGCTCGCAAGCGCAGACCCCGCGTCTACGCCTGGAGTTCCTGGGGCCCACCGAACACGCGCTGGTTCCGCGAATGCCTCAGCACGGATTGGCAGCACGCGATCTACGGGCTACGCGCGATCGACAGCGTACGCATTCAGCCCGTAACGAACGGTCCTGCGTTCCCCGACCCAGCGACGTTCGCCCTCGAGGATCATGCGACGCCGCCCTCGCTGAGGCGAAGAGGGATGGAGATCGTACCCCCGGATGTGGAGGATGATCTGGCGGTACTGCAGGGGCTGGATCAGCCGAGGAAGCTGAAGCATTTGCGTTTGCGCGACTTCAATCCGTATTTCGTGAACTATCCGGAGCTGGCGGAGGGAGATTGGGGGTTAGATGTGGTGGCGGGCGACAGCCAGTCGCGACCCCGTTGGCGTGCGGCGCGTGTGGTGAAGGACCCGTCGTATACGTCGTCGCGGGGCGTGTTTAGGGAGGATGTGAGGAGTGAGCTGCCGTATGTGGAGGTGATTAGCGAGGAGGCGTTCGATGTTACGGACGTTATGATGGACGACTGTAGGATATTGTTGTTGACGGTGAGTTCCCTCATCCTATCCTCCAGTCTCTGCTTGTTCCTTGCTGCCCTCCATCGAACACCATGACTTATACTCTTTTCTAGATTCAAGGCCAGCGTGGCGGACTGAATAAGCTTAAGGGGATCGACGTGTTGACGATGTAGGTAGATTGATGGATATATGGGTGGGTGGTCTAGTGTTACAATGTAAGGGAAAGCAAGGGGAGGATGTGAAGAAGGTCCGTGGTGCAATTGTATATCTCGCGCTGTAGCCTTCGTCAAGCGCTCGCAAATCTTCCACGACCTGCATGATCGGCGGCGACAGGCTGTGGGCACGACGGCGCGGCGGTGCATCTACCAGTCGCTCGACCCAGCCTGACGCTCGCCGAGGTATTCGCCTCGTACGGCCAGTCGGGACTCGCCTCCGACCTTGACCGGCTTGAGCTCGCGTCGTACGCCAACCTGGACGGCTTGTCAGGACTAAGTCATGCAGAATCAGGTGTGTAGACGTACAGCGACGGGGGAGGCGGTGACGGCGGGCAAGACGAAAGCGATCGCAAGGATCAAGCTGCCGCGGAAGAACTGCATGGCGTGCAGTATGATGGATGTCGTATAAGGTAGGCTTTGCAGGCAGACTTGTGAGCGATCAGGGAGTAGCTGAATATAGCCCGTGAGCTCGGGCGCCGACAGCAGAAAAGGTACAGAGCGCGACGTACCCAGTGGAGAAGAGAGCGGGTATGTGACGGGCAGAGTCAAGGAACTGAGGGCATCAGGCGCGCCTCTCACGTATATGTATACCTGCTGCGTCCCATGGAGGGTGCGGGGCGTCCCCATGCGCACTGCGCCAATTTGCAGTGGTCTCGCGCCAATGCGCAGCATTGAGGTGGTGCGCGTTGTGGGAGGCGCGCCTCCAGGTTCTCACGGCGGCTGGCAGCCAGATCTAGTCCTTTATCTACACCCTCACGATCAGAGCCTGACTGTCACTATGAGAACCCTCCGAACGCGAACGACGGTCTTGGCTCACTGACTAACGTCGAAGCTAGCGCACGTTTGGTATGAGGTACACTTGTGGGGTGCATGCCACGTGCGTTCTTGGTTCTCCGGGATTTTATGGCCAACACCTGCCCCATGTGGCTTTCGTGCGGCTTTGGCGCCAAAGGCTTCTGTGGCGTCAGAGGGATCCCGTTCGCATTATTCCCATGGAAGTACGCTGCAGCATATTGTTGTACATTGAGCTATTCTTCTTCCTCGTATGAATACCCTCGTTCTATCATCCAATCCATCGTATTACCGAGTCCTTCCTCCCACTGGCAGCCCCGCCGCCCTATTCCAGACCAATTATTATCATCAGGAAGAAGTGCTACATCAAGGGGCTTCTTCCTGCTCGACTGCCGGATCGTGACCCACTGGATACTGATGATGCGCGCCGCTGTCGCTTCATCGTTGTCGGATCCACGTTCGGCAGCTTTGCCAAATGGGCGAAGAGGGATAAGACTAGCGATGAGAGAAGTGAGAATTCAAATGAAAACAATGTCAGCCTATCTGAGTGATATTCGTCGCTCTCAACGCACCGTCGACGATCGAGACCAAGCCGTGAAGAATGCCACCAGTTTCTACGAAGATGCGATGTGCGTTCGCTGCAAAATACGTGGGCGAGAGAGACGGTGAATTGAAGAATAAGCGTACTGGCAAGGAGCTTCTGAATAACGAAGTCGAGTGTGCTCGACGAGGAGACGGAGTACACTGCGATGGGTCAGACATTTCATACAAGCGCTATCTGTATACTTACCAGGATATCGCTCTTCGCCGTCTTCTGCGCCATAGGGTTCCTATGACATGGGAGTTAGCAGCAACTCGAGGGTGTTCATCGAGGCTTACTCTCGCAAGCTTGATGAACTCGTGGATGGGCATTGATAGGGCTTGATTGGAGCCCGCGGGGACGATAATCTATTCGAACAGTAAGTCCCAAGAAGATAGGCGGTCGGAAATGCGAACCTTGCCGATGTCGGTCACGCTAATCGCGCTGTGCAGCGCTTTCCTCTCCAGGTCGTCAATGACAGCGACGCTCGACACGCCTTCCTCGCTCATGAGCTTCATCGCGTCGAGGACGACATCCGTCGTCTTGCAGTGGATTATGGCGTCGAACATGTGCAACGAGGTGAGAGGCAGCCCCCTGAGTGGGCATGCCATGAAGGGCTCAAGCGCTCGTGTTTTCGAGGCAAAGTCCTGTAACCAAGAGAGCAGGCGACCATCGGAGACCATGCCTGCGAAATCGGACCAATCTTCGGATCTGACGAATACTGGGAAAATGAGAATCAAGTCTGGATAACATCACGGAGCAATCCACCTACTCACCGCGGTGCGCGCCACGAGAAAATACCTGGAGGAGGTCCACGATATTTGCGTCATAAGCAACCACTTCGAGTGGGTTCTTCTCGGATATATCTGAGAGAGTCGGCCATGCTCGAAGACGGAGGTTCAGCAGACTCACTGCTGACCAGCCTCACAGGCACGGAGCCTGCACGCGCGGCGTTCACGACCTTCTCCACACGGGGAGATGCATGCAGCTCCTCCTGGGTATACGTATGGTTTGTCGCAGCAATTGTCAGGAATGCGTTGACGTCGGAGAACTGGTGAGGACGTGAGCGTGCCTGTCCAAACCCTGAGCGCTCTCCACGTACGTCGAAGAGACCGGAGAACGGATCTGACGGGTCGGACGATTCGACCACAAGACAGGGAAGGTTAGAGGAAAGTAGTCTCTGCACTAAATTCAGCCAGAGTCCAGCAAGTAGCTATAGTTGGGTGGTCACCAACATCGCAAGCTTCCTCGACCGAAGCGTTAGCGTCTATCTTGGCTATTGCCGCCTCCATTAGGTCTGACAGCATCAGTGATCGACTCAAGGTCAGAGTTCCGGGATATAAGACCGACCTCTTGCTAGAACTGTCTCCCATTGCTTCAACCACTCGTCCGAATGGAATTGTTGAAGAGAATCCGGAGATTGGGAGGCCGGAGGCGGGCTCGTGTATGGCGGTGGGCTCGTATATGACTGCGACAAACGACGTTCGGAGCTCATGCTCGCTTCCTCGTAGGCGTAGTGACCTTGCTTAAAGTGCGATAAACTTGAGTAGATGATGGTAGGAGACGGAGCTGAGGTTGGTGGATCCGAGGAGCTCCATCGGGCCGAGGCTCAACCCGTGATGCATGTTGATATTGGTGTGACAGCGTCTTTGTCACGGTTCCTTTTGTTCTCGGGGCGCATTGATAGCTGACCAGTGTGGAGTTTCAATGCGACAGGGTACCACACGTTTGTTAACGAAGATCACAAGTTGATTGGTATAGACGAATAGCAAATTCAAGTCCCATTAGAGGCTACTAATCAAGAACGACAGACACTGTTCGTTGGATACGATATATCCCTTAGCTGCACTGCCATGCCGATTCATCCTCGTACGAGCCAGGACCAACGTACTTGTTCGTCAGCGGCCACTTGCAATGCGAGCGCCAGTAAGTGACGTTGGCATTCGCACCACGCACAACCTCCGGCGCCACACCCTCCTCGACCCATCGCACCATCGACATGAGCACATTATCGTCCGCACTCGTCCCAGCCCCGCCATCCATGTTCCCAATCCTATACGCGCCGTCGCCCCCACTGCAGTGCGACATCCCACTGATCGGGAAGAAGCGGTAGAAGTCGTCGAGCTCGGACGAGTCCTTGCCCATCGTTTGCTGCACAAGGGAATAATAGCGCTTGGAGTTGTCGGACGAGATCAAGCCGTCCATGAGACCGTGGTAGTGGAGGACCTTTCCGCCAGCGGCCTCGAAGGCTGAGATGTCGCCGTTGAAGGTCTCTATGCCGGCGGGGTTCTGCGCGAGGGCGACTGCGTAGTCGTTGAGGGTGAGGGTCGCGGGGTCCCAGGTCGAGTCGTTGTAGATGACATAGCGATACCAGTCCTGCGAGAGAGGGCGTCAGCTCGAGTCGGCAGTCAAGAGAGGGATGGGATATACCTGAGTGATGTCGAATGGCTGCCCGTTGAACTGCTGCTGCCCTGCCATCACCTCCGCGCCCGGCTGCAAGCGCGGGTAAACGAGCGTGCCGTTCCCGTCGTAGATAGCGCTCAGGACCGTGCGCACGGTCTCCGCCTGCGTCTCGGTCAAGCAGTCGGTCGTGTTGCCATCCGCACAGATGAGTGGCGTCACGTCGAAGTCGCAGAGGTCCGGGTTCTCCAGAACGCCATCGGTCGCCCCGTCGAGCGCGTCGCACTGATCAAGGACAGCCTGGTGGATATTGTTCGCCCAAAAGTCGACCGGCACGAAGGTCGGGTCGTCCGAAGTGCCCGTAACCGTGTAGAACGATCCGCTCCAGTACAGCAAGGCATTGAACGCCATCGCCGGTGCGCCCGCCACCACACCATCGAAGTCCTCTGGGAAATCCTGCACCATCTTCCAGCCCTGTCGTCCGCCGGTTGAGCAGCCAAGGTAGTACGACTTGTTATGCGGCGCGCCGTAGAAGGTCTCGACGAGCTGCTTGCCGACGATGACGCCGGTGTGTAGGGAGCGCCAGGCGAAGTCGGTGATGACGTCCGGGTTGTTGAGGAAGGGCTCGCCGGTCATGCCGTCGTGGCCGTTGTTGGCGCCGACGGCGGCGAAACCGAGGGAGGCGGCGTAGTCGAGGTCGCTGTACTGGATGCCTGAATGTATGTTAGTCACCAGTTGCGCGTTGGAGAGTAGGTTAGTACGTACATCCTCCAATTCCGCCATTACCCGTGCTCAGGAATCGACCGGTGTAGTTCTGCGGGAACCACGCCTCGAGGCGGATACCGCTGCGGTCCGAAGTCGAGACATTCATCGTGGCGCGGCAGAGGTTGCTGCTAACGACCTGGTACGAGGCCGACATGCACGACTCGGGCACGTACACGCTGATGTTCGTGCCAGCGGCGACGAACTCCGTCGACTGCACGGTGACGTTCTCAAGAGTGATCGCCTCGACGAAGGAAGAGCAATTGGACGAGAAATCGCTTTGGGCGTATACAAAGGTCGAGAGAGCGAGCGCGCCGACTAGCGCACCGAGGAGAGGGCGCATTGCAGGAGCCATGCTGGGCTATTGTGGTTGTCGATGAAGACCACGGCACTCAGCTTTTATACTGCGCAAGGCGCGCGGTATAGCTTCGGATGCATCGAAAACTCTAACGCTCGAGAGTACGCGCCGCCACCCAAAGGACTGGAAATGCGACCCAGCGGGCCACACGGATGTTCATAGCCGTCACCAGCAGCTCGAGAGTCGAGGAAAGCTATGCGCAGAAGACGACGGAGAAGCGAGAGCATGCGGACGAGGACTGCGATCCATAGCCAAAAGGCCGCGAATGTATAGCCGAAATACAGAGAGTGTATAGCGATTACGGAGAGTGTATACCAAGATTACGGCGGGTGTATAGCCAAAATGCAGGATCTGCCTGCGCAGCGACTACGCAGCGAGAAGGGGGTGATGGGAGAGAGCGAGAGGTCGGAATCTGATAAGATTAGGAACGTCGCCTCGACCATGTGCGTCGGATCTGTCGGCTCGTGCCGATACTACGGGCGAGATCCTGGCGTTGGGCGTACGCGAACAGTTCGTCGAACGAGTTCACGAGAGTCACACCGGAGGTCCTGGAAGCACGACGATGGCATTTGTGATGCATTGATGTCCCATACAGACGCGAGAAAAGGGACCGCCAGACAGGTACAATGGCCCAAAAGTTTACACAGGACAATGCGTGGTCACGGCGTCCTGAAGGTGGGAGCGGGATACTCTGCCGATACGACGTTGTAAGCGCAAAACTTCGCTGGGAAGGAGAAAAGCACATACCGCCACGAGCGCAAACAACACAGTTCTATTCCCATTGGTCTGGAAAAAAGGTAAGTGATACAGAAAGTAGTGCAACGCACCGTCCATCGCCAACACAGAGTAGGAAGAGAAAGCGATAGTCACGACGAGGAAGGACGTGCAGTGGAGCGTGCGTGACACGAAAAAAAAGCATGGTGTCGGTGAAGGATTTAAGGGAATGACGCGGGTTATAGAAGATGGGGGAGGTTGGGAAACGACGGTAGGGGCATGTAAAAGATGGCGGGGATGTATAGGAAGCTGGGTGAATGATGACAAGGATTGCGCACTAGCCCTGGCGATCGATCCTTCCCTCGTCTGGCTCCTCAAGTGAGTGCGAGATAGTGGGGCCTAATAGCCAGTCTAGTGCGTACTCCGAAAGCTAATGCCTGCCGACGAACCACAGGTACATGATGTGCATGATCCCACTGTGGCCGCCGACAATCTAGTCCCGTAGGATGGCCGTCGCATGTTAGGAGCAGGTAGGTGGTGGGGTGTAGGAAGTGGACAATGAAGGAGTAGTAGAAGAAAGGAAAAGCCAGGGACTGACGATCGATCCATCCCTCGCCTGGGCCCCTCGGACGAAGCGAGTGCCAGGGGTGGGGCCTAATAGTCAGTTATCCGGCTTGCGCGCCCCATAAGCTAATGCCCGCCGACAAGTCACAGTTACATGGCTAGCATGATCCTTCTGTGTTCGTCGACGAACTAGTCCCAAAGGATGGCTTTCGCATGTATGGAGCGCTGAGGGGGAGAGGGTAGTGACAAAGGCATAAAGGGCAAAGAAGAACTGGATGAGTTTGTGCGACCGAATGCCCACCTTATATCCTTTTGCGTGCGGCCTCAGAACTTACATGTGATTATGATGCTTGATGTCTGAAAAGCAGAGTCTTACTGCTGGAAGTTTGAGATCCTGGCTGAGACCTTCGTGCGTGAGCGCGGGCTGAGCTCGTGAATCTGTGCGCTGGATCGTATGTTAAGATAACTGACCTTACGCCAGTCCTTATGCAAACTGATAGCAAGAGCGTAGACCACGTTCTATGACGCGTTGAGCAACCAATGGACGTCCGAGACAAGTGTAGCTCTGTGTAGCTTGGTCTGTTTGGTCCCGCTTGTACTCGGCATAAGCCGGAAACTATTCCAATTTCCGTTTATGGCCGACACGTGGGCCGACCAACCCTTACTTCAACTCTGATCTCTTCATTTTGAACGCCAGACCGAGTTTGCTCTGAATATCCATCCGCGGTATGACTATGGATGCCAGCGCGTCATATACTGGTGAATCCGCAAGTGTGAGCATCAACGACAGTGCTGAATGAGCCGTGCAATGAACCGGCCTGGAGACGGACCGGGCCGTATCGACCTGCCAGAGCTTGAGCTTAACGACGACAAGGCAAATTCCAAAGCTGCTCCTGAGGAGATGTGCACTCCTTGTCCGCTACGTACTCTGCTACTCTGCACTCAGGATCGCCAACGTCGTCGCTGAGTGTTTGTGAGGCCCGACCATCCTTCGATCTCATAATCATCGTCGACGTACGTCTGTTGTTTCGTCCTCGCTATTACTGGACTGACGGGTTCGAGGTGTACCGTAGTCGACACACACGCCGTTACCATACGCTCTCAACATGGGCCTGCTACGGAGCGCGACCGCCCACGACACCACAACATGCTACGCCCTCGCTGCCCTCGCCACCTATCCCATCCAGATCGACATCGTTCCGCAACTTGTTGAGATCTATAAGGAACTGGAGCCGATCACTCTCACTGGCTCGCGCAACGTTTTCGACATGGCGCAGAAGAGAGGTGGCTACCTCATCAGCGTGCTCGCGGCCGAGTTGATATATCTGGACGCGGGGGAGCTCTGCGCAAATGGCACAGCTGCCAAGCTTCTGGACGTGCGTTCATGGATTCTGCCAAGTCAGCCTTGACCTCATTGCACATCGACAGGTCACTTCCGACGTCCTGACCGGTGATACCTTCCTCAACGCGCTCTGCAAGAGGGCGAACCTTTGGCACGGCCCTACAGTCGGTACGGCCGCCGCAGACTTGCTCCGTGCGATCGTCGGCTGTCTCGACACCCTGGGAACACAGAAAGCTCGTAACTTCGTCTTCGCCCTGCTCCAACCTTTCGTCAGTCCGGCTGTCCTAGGATTCCTGCAGAGGTACGTGCCAGATCCCGCGTTTTGTGTAGTCAGGATGTTGATGTATGCGTGCAGTCTCGAGGACCATGGCAATACCGCTCGTCCTTTGCAGTCTTCCTTCACATTCTCGGTCCAACGCGAGCGTATACCGGAAGAGATGTCGGCAACGAAAACCTACGGCGTCTTCTCTCTGGGAAACCAATCGACATGTCACCGGTAGCCTCGTCGGCGGACAGCTCGATAGGGTTGAAAAGAAACCGCGACAATCATGGGCAAGATCCTGAAGCGACCGACGCGCCCTCTGGCACTGACGCGGATGCTCGCGAGGAGGCTCCGGGAAGTAGCGACAGCGGTACCGCGGCAGGCGATGTGATCGAAGGGTCTCCGCCTCAGAAAAAGCAGAAGGTTCACGGTAGCGTCTCCTCCATCCCGATACCCTCTATTACCGTCGCAGACCCGCTCGTCGGCACCACGAAGGTGCCGCGCACGAAGAATCGTGGGTCGGAAGGCAGTACGTCTATCATCAGTCATGCTATCTCTTTACTTATATCTTACAGAATCCAAGCAGCAAGCCGTGCAGGGCACGCTCTCCGACATCAGCAAGGCCTGCTCCCTGCGTCACGTCTCGTCCAAGTTCTTGTCATCTGACCACGGTCCGTTGACTTTCGGCGACAAAGTCGATGCGCTCGTTGGTGGAATCACGTTCCGGTATGTTCTCTTCGCGGTCTTGGACGACGCTGCGCCATCCGGCTCGCTCAATGCGCATCAAGCTACGGTACGTCTTGCTTATATTTTCTCGCGATGTAACGCCTCTCATATTGAGCCAGTGGGCCCACCGTACGCTGTTCTCCGCGCAGCTCACCAAGCGCGTCGCGTCAGCACTCGGTTTCCCGGAGGCACCGAAGGAGCACGATCCGTTCATGTGCGCTCTAGGCCGCGCGACCTACAATCGGTCCATCCAGGAGATTCGTGATACCATTTTTGAGATCTACGAGCCTATCGTTCGCTCGGTGATCAAGGCCGTTGCACCGCTCCAGAGCACCTCGGATGATACGCGCTCGCTTGGTAAGTCTTCCCTTTTCGTCCTACATTCTCGACCGCATGACTATGCGTGCTTTAACGACCTCATCTCCTCTCAATCGCTAACTTTGGCGCAGATTCGCGCCGACAGCACCTTCGTGACCTCCTCGAGCTTAGCTCGCAAGGGTATGAATACCACTCCTGCCTGTCTCCATTCGAGACAGTCCTGACCACCGCCGACCACATCGTCGCTGCGATGCTCACCGAGGACCTCCTTACGGATCTGGGTATCATCCGGCCAGTCGTTTCATCTACGTAGGAGCTTCTGCATGTGCTAGAGGAGGAGTCTCTCGCCGTGATCGCTTGCCGCATTCGTGTAGGAGTCCTTTCGAAGTCTTTCACTCGTTTTTTCTTTCTATCCTTTTTCTGTATCTGTTCTCGTTCGGTGACCTTGCACAGCCTACCTATTCTTGTACCATGCACTACCCTCGGATTACACCACACTGCACCACTATGTACCCCATGGCGTCCGGTCTTCCGCGCTTACACACTATGTATCGCTAGGATTCCCGTCTTTTGTAGCAATCTGCTGCTTTGCTCAACCGCACTTCATGTTCGCCTAATGTCCGCAAACTCACAGTTCAGAAGCCCTCCAATCAAGAGCCTCGTCTGAGCGATGAAGGGTGCGAAGCGGGGCTGCACCCAAGCGTGCGGGCGCTTCTGAGCGTGAGAGGTCGATGCCGCAGCATCCGCATTAGGAAGGCTTTGTTTGCCACAGGAGACGACCGTTGTGAACGATGGATGTAGGCTGGCATTGTATAGTAGTAAGGATACAGGTGATGACAGAGGCGTTTACAAGCTACAGAGATCGCTAAGAGAGCACAATGTCTGTGAAAGAGGTAGAGTAGGGTTTACAAGTCGCAAAGGGAACAGGCAACATAACGGACAGGTAGAGTTACGAAGCCAAGGACAAAAGTCGTGGAGCAAAGGCCGATCACCGGTACGACGCCATGCGCGCGCGAGGACATGCCAATAGAAGGATAGATAGATCGAGTCGCCGAGATGTTCATGGGCTCGCTCGAGACGTAGCGAAGAATAGGATGCAAGGCCAAAGGGCAAAGAATCATCGAAAAAGTTGGAGGGTGCGTATGCGGCGACGTTCGCCCGAATCGAGAGGCAGAAACGAGCCGATCACTAACGCCACTGCTTCAGCTTGCTGGGCAAGTTCATGTTCTTGCTCTTCGGAGGCTTATTGGGAGGCTGGGCGTAAGGTCAGGATCGGCGCAATAAATGGTGCAGAATATGAACAAAAGGAGAGCACGCAAGGGACACGAAGGACTCACATTAGGCGCTGACGAAGAGCCAGCGGCCGGTGGAGTGTCTTCCTTGCCTTCGAACAAGGACCTCTTCAACGCGTTGAGCTTTGCCTTTGCCCCGGACGTGTTGGACTTCATCCCGGGCGCGTCGGGTACGCGCTTGCTGCCAGCACCATGCTTGGCGTCAAGACTCCCGACTGCACGCTTCGCAGTGGGGATACCTGATATCCGCGTGATGACGGGCGCGCCGGGTATCTGCTTCGGGTTGGGGGCGCCGGCCGGGAGCTGCGAACTGGACGCGCCGGCCGTGGGCTTCTGGTCAAGCACGCCAGACGTCTGCTTCGCCTTCTTGTGCGGCTCAGAGGACTCTGGGTACTGCACAGCCTTGCGCTTGTGGCGGACTGTAGAAACCAGGTGAGCTTCATGTACTCGGACGCAGCCACGACGGGGAATGCTGCTACTTCAAGAGCAACACATAACGATCGGGGTGGCAGACTAAGTGGACTCACATTCGGGCTTCGGTGCACCGGGTGCGGGGACTGTCGGAACAAGCGGCGGAGGGGCGGGAGGAGTAGATGCCGAGGTAGCCGTAGAAGAAGCGGGCGAAGGAGAGGCAGTTGCAGAAACCGAGGCAGTCGCGTAGGGAGCAGGAGAGTTGCCTGTCGGAGGAGGCACCGGCACAGGGGCAGACATGGTCGAAGCGTTGGGCACTGCATTGACAAGTTGTACCGAAGGAGCAGACGAAGCGGGAAGATCAGACGAGAACATCGAAACGGCATGCTGAACGGGCGCGAGGAGTAAGGGGCCACCCTCAGGATCAACCTGCATGTTCAACCCATCGCTACAGCGGCGGCGGTCAGTACACGTTCTCTACGCAGAAATGTACGCACTGCATGTAGAGGATACAGCCAACCTTCTCCAAGAGTGGCCTGAGGCTGGATGTGACCCAAGCGTCGATGACTTGCCCGCCATTGCTGTTGCGTGAGAAGGCGGCGAGGAGGGTGTATAGCGAGAGCGCCGTGTTCTTGGATGTGAGCGAGTAAGGGTGCGGAGAGTGGGTAGAGGCCTCTTTGAGCATCGTCGCCTCGGAAGAGAACTCGGTGACGAGGATCTGGGGGTCGCCAATGAGCAAGGGCAGTCCAGCGCGCGAGACATACAGCAACGCACCCGATGGCTGCTGGGCGTGAGCGACCGAAGGATCGGCAGCGTCTCCGCGACTCTCTTCAGCGACGCTTCCAGGGCGTGACGACCCAGTTGATCTACATCCTGGCTTCTCCCGGCGCGTAGGTTGTTAATGTGCCTTCCCGCCAGTGCGAGTTCGGTGTCGGATGCGTGTTCGTGTAGAGATCTGTACTTGCGCAAAGGACCGCGCCCCATATAGACCTTTGCGATCGCCTTTCGGAGGGCCACCGCTAGAGTACGGGGGTTGTCAGGATCTCGCATGAAGTCTCGGAGGCCGTCGTCGGAGGGGGAAAGATCGGACATGCTGAGTATGCTGGCTGGAGAAGGCGGTCAGTGTCGTTCGTCAGATATGGAATATCAATTACCTGGTGTATCGCTGGGGAGGATGGTAGTCAGGAAGGCGCACTTGACACAATATTGCATGGTAGATGCTCCCGCTGCCTCAGTCGATGGTTCCGCGCGCTGCATACACATCCGTTCTTGCGCCCGCGGGACGGCAACCTTGACCGAATCCAGCCCGCCATCCATGAGATAGCACTCGCGGCATAGCTATGAAAATCTCGTTCATTGGATGCGAAGAGGGGGGTAAGAGCGACAGGCTGAAGAGCGCCGACGAGTACTGTTCCGTCACACGTGCGCCCGGATCAATTTCGATGATCGCGGTCAGCTGACCGCAATGCGCTCAATCGACCGAGCCTGCCGAGGCTCACTGAGCCATGCAAGGCGCTGAGCGCTGAGCAGCTGATCGCCATGTATGTAAGGTGTATTTCAGCCAGTACTATTACTCGTATATACAGAGTAGTTGTCAGATGACTACGAACATCATGGAAATCCCAAGTCAAAATCCTCCGAGTTCGCAGTTGCATAGCAAGAGCAGTGTCGAACGTAGAGGACGCGCCGAGAGAGCTGTAGAATCTGAAAAGATAAAATTGGACCCCGCGGTATTTCTTCGAGCTACGCGACATTACCGACACACCCGTTTGATATGATTCTTCGTCGCATACCAGCAATTGCAACACAGCCAGCACAAGTACCCAGTCGGACGCCGGAGGTCATCAAAAGATGCGCAACGAGACGGTGGCAGGGATCCCTTGAGACGACAAGTTTTTCAGTGCATGGCGTGGTGTACAAAAGGAGTAAGAGGTAGGTCGGCGGGAGGTATAGATGCGAACATGATTTGAGGAAGAAAGGGGGGGTAAAAATCAAGAAACGGGCACGCTGACCTTTTATACTTCCCCGACGCTAGCTTCGGTACGTCCGAAAGCCGTCTTGCACTCGCGAAGTTGAGATGCAAACTGTAGAACAAGACACGGGGAAACAGAAGATCCTTTGAAGGCGACCATACAAGCACTCGGAAGAGCCACTACCTTCTTGCAGGCTTTGGAAAGTTCTGCATCGGAGGTCGGATGATTTACGAGACTAGCTGTGACTTCGGAAGGCTCTACGTGGTTATCAACTGTTCATCAGACCGAATTTCTATCCACCTGGCGTTTATCTATGCCTCTAGTTTATTAATACTCTTGCCAAGCGCTGCAGAAGTCCGTGAGCAGAGGCTGGCTGCTACACTTGATAAACGTACCTCAAGATCCATCTATCTCGCGCGAACCGGCAGACTCCTTCAGTTTGTCAATCGAGTCGAAGGAAGCGAGTTCGATATCAGCTCCCATGCTTCCAGCCCAGCTCACCCGTGCGTATAGATGCGTTTTGCCTGGCTTCGCGCGGTTCACCCCAGGGTTAGTGGAGATATGCACACGCCCATCGGTCTGCTCCTCGAATTCGACAAGGAATGTGACTCCATCCACCGAGTTCTCCGTCTCAAGGAATCGCGTTACTTCATCGACTGCGATGCACTTGATGAAGTGGAACTCGAGGTACGTCGGTCGGGGGAACTCGTCAGCAATTTCATCGGCCCGAAGCTTCTTATACTCTGCAAGGCGTTAGAAAGAGGTGTATAGGTACATAGGACGACTTACTCATCCTGGCGCGGTTGGCTGCGTTCGTGCATGACGAGCGATGTCGCGCAAGCCAGTCCGCCCTCTGACATGCCGACGAGCAGTAGTGCACGGTCGCACAGCCACACATCTTGGTCTTGACTTTCGTGTCCGGCCGAGATAGGGCGCTTTGACACTGCAAATCCATTAGATCCCTTTCTCTTCGAACCCAGGTTTGGCATAAATTATACCTCCAGATTACAGCAGCCTTGGCGTCCTGCCAGTTGCAGCGCCTTTCTGTACACCTTGTAGCGTGGGTAGAGTATGGCATATCGCCGGGCAACTACCTTCCAAGAAGGCCACATCGTTGTCGACGCCTCGTCAACCGGCCTTTGTTCGAACACGTGATGCCTGCCGCAGGCGCGCAACACGTCGGGCCATATCATCGCAGGAAACAGCATATTGAGCCAGCCATCTCCGCTCATACGCCAGTTCAAGTCGTCGTATGACCCTTCAGGGACGATAGTCTGCAGCCGATCCACGACGACGAGCAGGCCGGCTTCCAAAGCTTCGGCGAGATGACGGTCAGAGTCGCGGTCCATGAGCAGGAAGTCGAGAGTGCTGATCGCACAGCGAATGACTATCCGTGCGTTAACATTATCCTTGAGTTTCTGGACGTCGCGGGCGGTCCGTATCTGGGGGACAGAGGCAAGCAGGGTCTCGACGAGTACGGTTATTCCAGACGAGCGGCGGAAGCTGGCAAACATCTTCTTCCCGAGTTCGCGGTCCTCGAATAGGTGCATGACCAGATCCGAGTAGCTGCGAATGTATTCGCCAGGCATCGTTCCCGTCTTGAGAAACCAGAGCGAGCGCTGGAAGACGGCGCGCAGTAGTGCACACGGCCGGCGTCTCTCGTGCTCAAGGATGTCCGTGGAGTTGGGCATACCCGCGCGAGCCCCCCGCCTGACGACGATGCTGCTGTGGAGCAGCTTCATCAGAGCGTGCACAAAGTCGTTCACAAAGTCCGCCGCAGCGCGAGGCCAGTCGTATGTCAGCAACGACATGAACACCTCCTTGAAGCGTGGGAGAGAGAGGATGATTGGAGCGGAAGCAGGGTTGTCGAGGAAGAGGATGTACGTCGTCAGGAGGATCCTATAGCGCATGTACGCAGTGACAGCGACCGTGCCGTCCGACTGCAGGGGGAACTCGGCCGTTTCGAACTCGGATCCTGGAAGGTCCCGGATATGGCCTTCTCCTGGTAGAAGAAAGAGCACCCACGGCCAGGCATCGACCAGGTGCGCGACGAGCGTGTTAAGGCACTCCCTCCCGCTGCGAACCATGCCCATGCAGAGTTGGCAGCATAGCCTCCACGCCTGTAGAGCCTCGGAGATAGCTTGGGCACCGCGCTGATTCAGCGGGTGCGCCGGAATGCGAGCCGGGTCAAGACGCGCAAACACTTCCTTCACTCGTTCTTGCTTGAAAATGCTGGCGGGAAGCGGCGGCGTGTCGTACTTGTGCTCGAGCCAAACGAGGAAGTCTTGCTCGAATTTGCTTAGACGACCATGCAGGTTCTGGCTGAAGGGCTAGGTGTATTCAATATGAGCCCGATTTCTCAGAATTTTGCACAGACCATGATCTGAGGAGCCCCCCTGGCTCGATATTAGACAAGCACTGTCCGGTAGCAACGACGACGCGGGACGCAACGTGAAGATCAAGGGAAGGGACAATCGGCCACATGGCTAATTGTTGCCATCGGCATATTCCGGTGTTTGCTCTGAGGACGATGGAGCTACCACACGTAGCCTCGGAATCTGCAGTACGTGCGAGATGCAATCAGGATGTTGCCTAGATATCCGCATATATATACTACAACACAAAGCCAGGAGATCTCGCAGCCCGGGTACACACATAATCAACAAACTCCCGCACCATCAGCATCGCTACTCCCCACGGAACTCGCGACTGCACCGATGATCCATCTGTTCAGAAGAATCAAGTGAAGTAGGTTGTCGTCGATAGCAAACATATGTCCATTCTCCAGTACACCAAGCGGAAGACCCGTGAGCCAGGTGATGACATCCAGTACAGGCCATAGCCTCGCCCATCGACACCTCACGAAGAACGCGGCGAGTCCCGCGGCAGAGAACGACCCAAAGAGTGTCGCATAGACAGCCCACCGAGTTGGTAGCTGACTATCCTTGCGCCATTCGCCCTCGTGGATGTGCTGCAGGATAATGCTGACAAGGATGAGGAGCGACGTGACGACGGCGAGGACGATGGATGTGTACACGACCCACGGCGCTGTAGGCGACGGCGCACCGAAGTCGAGCGCCTCACGGGTCTGCTGCTGGAAGATCGCTCCGAATATTGCCGCGACAAGCCCACAGAAGTTCAGCAGGATCCCTGGCCGGAGACCACCAATGCGGGGCGTCGACCGATCCAACGTCGCGATGCACATAATATCCTTCGTCGGGGAGCCGGGCACGTACATCTTCATGCCGGGCTCGGACGTCGACGATGTCTTGCCGTAGAACCTGCTATGCCAGTCCGTCAGCCGGCCGGAGTAGAGCGAGTTCGCGAGCGCGACGCTGGTCCAGACGCCCGCGGAGGTGCCGACGGCGAGGAAGTAGCAGATGATCATCTGCCCGCAGATGCCGGCGATGAGGAAGGGGTGCGTCCATCGGCGGCTCGTGCCACCGCTGAAGACGAGGTCGAAGAAACTGGGCGTGTTGGTGTACGGCTCGAGCGCTTGCAGGACAGCTTCAACGCGCGTGATGTAGGCTTCGTCGGCAGATATGTCCTGCATCCCCCATCTCCCGGGCAGGTTCTGGATGGTGAGGCGTCCGAAGTCGAGTAGTGCGCCGCCGAGAATGGCGAGCCACATTGTCTGCCCGACGCTGATCTCGGCGATGCGACCGTCGAGCCCTGGAAGGTTGCCAGAGGACTCGGCCTGCAGTTTCAGGTACCGCACGACGCGGAGGTACGCGCCAGCCAGCTCGTTGAGCGACGCGGAGACCTTCGCCTCCTGCGGCGCGTACGAGTGGAAGTCGACGGCGCATATTGGCGCGTCCGTGTTGACCTGGTTGAGGTCGAGCTCATAGGGCCCGGCATCGTCATCGGTTAGGTGCTTCGCGCGCTGGCGAAGGGTGCTTTGCCCCAGCGGACGACGAACCATCTGCGCGGCCACGACGCCGAGCGCCATCTCTTCGTCGTCAACGTCGACCGCAGAGCTGTGGGGCATACCCTTTGTCGAGAATATGAGCCTGTCGCCTCGGAAGACGCGCACTTCCCAGCTTCGGAACGCGTGGTAGTCGGTGGCGGCGAAGAGAAGAAAATCTCGCGCGCTCGGCAAGCTCTGGCGGTCGGCTTTGATGGGTGGGGAGATCGGCGCGAGGGATGCGGGGACGACAAGTCCAGCGGAGGTCAGCGCCCACAGTGACTCGTCGATGGCAATCTGCGGAGGTGCTGCCACGACTGGATGTAGCACCGCCGCCGCCTTTCGCAGCGCCTCCGAGCGCGTCGCTGCCGAGACTTCCTCCGACCTAATCCAGAAGTTCGATACACCAATGGCCGTTCGGATCCCGGGGACGAAATGACACGCCGCCGACACCCAGTTCACGCGACGCATGGCTGGAATGGAGAACGTGGGCAGCCCCTTCCACAGAAACGGCCCAATCGATGGGTCGATGCTCCATAGATTCTCGCAGTTCGTTCCGAGCGCTGCATAGAGGGCACTGGCGAGGAGGAGGAGGCCAGAGGGCCAGGAGACGACGTCGTTGACTGGAGCCTGGGCGAGGACGGGTTCCCATAGTAGCGAGAACATGGTGGTCAAGAGCGTGATGCGGGCGATGTGCTGTGTTTCGGCTAGCACCGATGGCGCTGATGATGGGAGGCACGACGCACCGGCACGGAGGCAGTGGACATGCGCGATGCGGAGGGCGCCGCGTGTCTGCCTGTTTCTCCTGCTGTCTCGAGGTGAGAGTGCTCATCAGTGTTCGTACGAGTTGTTGAAGGTTCCTTGAGTGTCATCTGAGAACATCGTTCTTGTTCGTAGGTAGTTCGAGGTTGCTCATCGTCGACGGTGGTCGTAGTGGTCGTGGTTATCATGTCAGTGTCGTTCAGAGTACGAGTGCACCCAGAAAGCAGAAAGCTTGCTGGTCTTGAGCGGCGTTATATATATAGCGCGTCGAAAGTCGGATATTCGAGTGGGAAGTAGTTGCAGAGGTGAGGGGAAGAGGGAGGCGTTCACCTCGCGCCTAGGATGAGGTGACCATATATATCAGTGTACTAGGACATAGCTTACAGATAGGCAATCCATTCGTCCATGATGTGGCATACATGGGCGCTCAACTATGAATGGACTGCGGAGGTTAGATGCCATCTTGGTGGGAAAAGTCAACCTGAGTTGCGCGTGCCAACGCCACCGCGGCAGACGCCGGGACCTGCGCCACAAAAGGGTAGCGGCGACTTCGAAGATGAGATTATTGCCGCTTGCTCACGGTGTCTCTTTGGGTGATTCAGGAGTGTAAGTACTGACAGTGGATGGTACGTGCTCCTACCACATCGTCCTATGACTTGTCCTAACCCAACAGAAGCAGGTGTTACCTATCCCAAACGCGCTTCCACCGCTCCATACAATTTTTTTGATCGGAAGTCCCCCTTGCGAGGCTCCCTATCTACGATCTACGATGAATATAGCTGGCACCTCGCTCCCAACTATGAGAAACAGCAATGAGGAGAAATGGCACATGTACGATCGTCAACCCCCAAGCAGCGACCTGAGTCTCGCGATGGTCGCTCGCGTCCAAACTTCGCGAAGGTCACGATCGCATAGCACGCGCGCCGCTGACTCTCTCTTCACGCAGTTGCTGACACCGGCCACGAGCCCATCCTATTAAGTTAGTATGTGCCAGTGCATAAGCACTGGCAGTTGACTCGCTGAAGACCCGGCCAGCCGGTCACGAGCACGGAATTCCTCGGTACGTCATCGTGCGCTCTTCATTCGCCCGCCCACCTTATAAGCGTCCAGGACGAGCAGCCGACCCAGAATGAACCGCCTGACTCGCACGATGTCGACCCTTGCTATCCAAGCTCGCACGACCTCGCCTCTGCGCAAGGGCCTGATCAACTTTCCGGGTGCGACGCCGCATGCAGCGACGCTCACTCAGCAGTTACTGCAGAAGGATTTCGAAACCCATCACTGCTTCTTCAACAACAAAAGCTTCCATAACCACCTTTCGCACCAGTACGTACGTTTCGTCACCTGTCTGCCGGAAACTCAGCGCACCCTGCAGCCTTCTGTCCGTTTACGACCTGGGTGGCTCAGCCCACCTTATACAGGCCATTTACGACGAGGAGGCCTCATACCAGCGCCCTATCACTTTGGGAAAGAGCGAGGACAAGGTTCCGGAAATTACGGAAGAAAACTGGACCTCTCATCTAGGCAAGGAAATGTGCGTTCGTGTCCAGTACCGTACTGTCCACACTGACCGGATATTCAGTGCGTACCTCGGCTACCTTCGGTTCTTTAGCGACCATATCGCCGAGCATGGTGCACAAGCAACAATCGAGCGCTTTTTATTCTCGCCCGAGGCAAACGGGAACGGCAGCATCATGCTAGCCCGATTAGCGAGCGGAGTGTAAGCAGAGCCATTCTCAGGAAAGCGTCAATAGTGCTAATCCACTCTTCAGACTTCACCCTTGGATTCAGTTAGGCGTAAGTTTCCTCAACCATCCAGCGCTCGTGACGTCTAACTCTGCGTGTCTAGTTCGGTGTGGAGTTCAAGCAGGACTTCCTTGTCGCTACGGGACTGTCTCTGACAGCCATGACAAAGCCTTCGTACGGCGATATCCTAGCCGATACGCCCTCAGGCGACCCAAGCGTGACGCATACCGACAAGAAATCGTCGACGTTGCACGAGCTCTTCCAAGACATCTACGAGTCGGACACCCTCGATCCCGGACCCTACGACGCGAATGCCATGTTTGGTGACCGTGTACAGCGGTTCCTCTCTAATTCGGCAGCACGTCACAAAGTCCTCGATATATCCGGCCGCTGGACGTTCCCTCCTGCGGACGATGCTGCCGCCTTCGACGTCGCGCTGCAGCAGAAGCTCAAGGAGGCCATCGTCCAGGCGACGCTCCTGCTGGGCGCCACCGGTCTCCGAAACGACGACCGCCGCCTCCCGCCCCGCCAGGACTTCTTCCTCATGCACTTACTCACAAGCTCGCTCTTCATGAAGCCGCTTCTTGAAGTCGCGCGCAAGCCCGTCTATCAAGCGCGCCTGCTCCAGGTCTACCTACGCACCGCCATCATGACCACGCTCGCCCGCGGCCGCCCCCGCCCGGACGTGGACGCGCTCTACAAGCACCCCGTCGCCCTCGGCGACGAGGCGCACGACGTGATCGACACGCCCGACGCCAACGGGAAGGAGATCCGCGGCCGCCCCGCGCGCCCCGTGAACGCCTGGCCGCCCATCGTCGACAGCGCGTGCCACCACTCGGAGTCGCACGTCTCGAAGACGGTGCGCTCGCTGTACTTTGCGTCGAAGATGTATGAGACGGAGGGGAATTTGGGGGTCGTGCCGGGCGTGGATGGGACGGTGTTTGTGCGCGCGGCGACGGTGTTGATTGACGCGCTGGGGTGGATCAGTAAGGGAGAGAAGGAGCGGGGATGGGACTTTGAGCCGGTGGGGTGGGGATTAGCCTGGGCGGACTAGTGCGTCGTGGTCAATGGAGCAAGAATGTACAATAGTGAGTGCTGAATGACACAGCTCCCTGCTCGCCTTCGATGCGCCTTCAGTCGCGTAATGTCTCGTTCTACAGGTCACATTTCAACCTCGCGATTGCAAGACAGCTTCGGCACTTGCCGAAGCTAGTGGCGGGAAGGTATAAAAGGTCGGCGTGCCCGTTCGACTCTCACCTTCTTCTTTCTTCTCACCATCATATTCGCGTTTGCTCCTTCTCATCATCGCCCACGATCCCGCCGATCCGCCTTCTACTCCTCATGTACACCGCTCAACATCAGGTCCTCGCTGCCGCAGCCACCGTGCTATGGGCTTAATGACATGCCGCCTCAAGGGATCCCTTCCATCGTCTCGTCGCGGCGTCTTTCGATGTCGACCGGCGTACGACTGGGTACTTGTGATTGCTTAGATGCATCGCAGGGATACGGCGAGGATCGTGGTGGGCGGGCACCCTGGTATCGTCGCGCAGCTCAACGGGCTGTCGTGGGGACCGGCTGCACTTAGTTACTCATGTATCCCCATTCCTCCTCCTCCCTCCTCGCTGCGCGCACTCGCCTTGGCAGATCTTCGCCGGGCGACTGCGCGGTCTTCTTCTTTGGTGCGTAGCATGCTTCCCGCGAGCTCGCTCATTACTGACTCCCCGCCCATGCCCTCGCTCTCGCGTCGCAAGCCGCTCAATGATGGGCCCTCGCCGCCGCAGCCACCGTGCTATGGGCTTAACGACTTGCTTCGTCTCATCGCGACGTCTTTCGATGGCGTCCGGTGTACGACTTGTGTTTGCTTCCTTGCAATAGCTGGCATACTGCGAGGATCTCTTCGGTGTGTTGCATCCCCGTCTTTCTTTCCCTCATTACTGACTTTCACGTTCCAGGAGTGGTTTGATATGTTGTGTGATCCTTTGTTCTCACGAGCTACAATTTCTTCTTTACGCTCTTCGCCGTCCCAGCATCGCCGGCACGTTTCTGGTGCGAGTGGACAGTCCGGATCGAGGGCGTCTGTGGGTTCCTGTAGCCGTTCATCATCTGCTTGTCGTGTCGTATGTAGAAGGTCATTTCTTGATTGAACAATATTGTTCATCCGAATCATGGGACTTGCTGAACTAGTGTGCGCGCTCGACTTCGTTCGACACGCTCTGAGGCTGTCTACGGTAAATGCCGTGTGCGAACACGAGGCAACTTCCCAAGCGGGGTTAGCGTCGGGCTTGTCGGCGACGCAGCTGAGCGGCAGCTCTTCTCGCTATCGGTGACATGAGCAAGCGTCGTCAGCTCGTCATTTCCGCCCGGCTTTTTCCCTGTGACGAGGTCGCATTGTGTACTCTGCACAGAACTCTCGTTTCTTCGCGCTTATCGCTTTTGCCCCGCACGCCTGTGAATGCATACCCGACTTGCTGAGCCCGTCCCCTGCAACAGCAGTTGTATAGCTAACTGAAGTTTCACATGCATCGCTCGTTACATAAATACGGCGCCGTCTGTCTTGTCCACCGTATCCCGCATACCTTCCTCTCATTCCCCCCTTTCTCTTTCTTGGTGCTCAGCGCCGGCCTTCGGGCTCCTTGGCTCCATAATCACTCTCTCGCTGCCAACGGCCCTTCGGGATGTTCCGGCTCAATGTGGCGAAGCCTGGTGAGATCTTGTGCCGACGCCGGGCTGTCTTCGGGCACCCAGTGCTCTAATCGAGTGCCCAGTGTAATTGCAAGCTTAAATCGCCCGGCGAGAGTAGTATGGGGCTGCACCGAATGCCCACCAGTGAACTCGACAGAAGTCAATGTCGGCTGCTGGGATCGGTTGCCATCGTTTTACCCTCCTTTGCTCCTTTGTTTGCATGCTCTCCACCGCCCTCGCCCTCCTCATTCCCTTCTTCTCTCTCCTCCGCCCTCCTATTCCTCTCGCCTTCGTCTTTCTCGCATCTTCTGGCTGTCTGGCGTCCTAGTCTTGGACCGGCTTCGTGCCGCTGGCGGTTTGTGGCCCAGCCAACCGTCGACGATGCGTCACTCGCGCGCCCCGCCTCAATCCGGTGAGAATCTTGGAGAATAATTCATAGAGCTCACCATTATCGCAGCTCGGGCCCGCCTCGAAACTTGACGCTCCTCACATCTCTCTCCTTGGCCACTCGGCTCGTTCTCATTGCAGTGAGACCCTTCTCCTCGGACATACTCTCCAACCCATTGACGCGTCGATCAGATGGTCCAGTTTCTGTGATGCAGACTGCGCACTGTATCTGTTGGCCGACGTTTCTGTAGACTGTTGCTGTAACGACCTGCACGCATTTTTGCTCCGAACTGCAATGTACCGCTTTTCCTGCTCTGCTCTGATCTCAGACTTCGTACTCGAGAATCTATCTACCCTTTATAACGCATCAATGATTGTCATATGAGCCATTCGGAGCGAAAGCACTCATCAATGCCTTCGGGGTGCCGCGTGTGGTTGCACGCGTGACATAGTCACAGTTGAACATTCGGCTTGTGCCGAATGCACGTGAGTGAACGGGGGGGGGGAAATACATTTGTATACCGCGTCTTGTACCTACGACAAACTGCGGTGTAAACTATAGTACAGTAAGATAGTGCTATAATTTACAGGGGTTCGGAGGTTTTTTGGGAGGTGCGGAATGCAAGGGGGAATGTGTACGGGAGGTCCTATGAGAAGGGTATGTATGTTTGTAGGTCCATGGGGGGTGCGAAACTAGTGGGTCCCGCGGGCAGCAATAGGACCCCTGACAATACACACAGGAGCCGGATACTGAAAATCGGCCTTTTGGGCGTTCCTGTCCGGACCCTCGACGGGGGGCCCTCGCCATTAGGGTCGTTCAAACCTAGCGGAATTTCGCGAAAAGGAAAAATTTGGCTCTTTCGAACAGAACTTTTGGCGCGGGATTCGGCCTTTTCGAGTGATTTTTCGCGAGAAAAGGAAGAATTCGATTATTCTGAACAGAGGTTTGAACACAGAGGAAGGACATGTGGCTGTGTCGAACAGGATTCTCGCCCGTTTCCCCCGCCAAACGGTACCTTTTTCAGATTTTTCCCTTTGCGCACAGGAAAAATACGAAGACACGAAACGAGCTTTGAGGGACCCTATTCTCGCCGATTGCCCGCTCTTGGAGCGCGGTCGGCACCACCTTCGCGCCGTATATCACCTTCCATATCCACGCCCGTCATCCTCGGCACGAAATCTGGCCTCCAGGCCCTCGCGAAATTCATCGGCACCTCGAACGCACTCGCCAAGTCCGCCCCGGAGCCCAACAAACAGCCCCCATAGTCGTGCCCATTGCTGCAGGACCCCTGACAATACGGTTATATTCCAGATACAAATCCGGACAAGAACGGCTCAAAATCGGGCGCTCGCCCAGATACAAGTCCGGACGGAAACCGCTCAGAGGGGTCCACAGGCAGATTCTGGTCCAGACAGAATTGTTGGGCGGCGGGTGACACCACACATGTTGACGCGCCAGCCTCATTATGCCGCGGTGGTCTAATGGAATCGCGCGGCACGAAGTGAATATGTGTACGAGTTCGAACGCGGCGAGCGCGTCGCGTTTTGGACTTTTGCGTGGGGAAATGGTCTTTGACCGCATTCTCGCTGAGCAAACCTGTTTGAGTGCGTCTGAGCGGCATCTGCGAGGGCCACGAAGGCCCAAACAGGCGTTATATACAAAATTACGGCGCCAGAGGCGCCCCGGAAAATTTTGGCGATTTTTTGAGTTTTTTTTTGGGCCAAATACGATTCCGGACAAGAATAGGGTCCCTCAAAGCTCGTTTCGTGTCTTCGTATTTTTCCTGTGCGCAAAGGGAAAAATCTGAAAAAGGTACCGTTTGGCGGGGGAAACGGGCGAGAATCCTGTTCGACACAGCCACATGTCCTTCCTCTGTGTTCAAACCTCTGTTCAGAATAATCGAATTCTTCCTTTTCTCGCGAAAAATCACTCGAAAAGGCCGAATCCCGCGCCAAAAGTTCTGTTCGAAAGAGCCAAATTTTTCCTTTTCGCGAAATTCCGCTAGGTTTGAACGACCCTAATGTGGTCGCGGGTTTGGATGGGGGCCTCTCCGCACGGGCACGCAGGAGATTCGGATGGTACAAAGCGTGCGTAGTAGTCGCCGCGGAAGCCGTGGCCTAGGATAGTTTGGATGATTCGTGTATGGATGCTGCGATCTCCGAAGAAGTCGCGGTGGAATGGCGCGAGTCGCGATGATGGTGGGTGGTCGCGTAGCGCGACGCCAGCAAGGTTGGTGTGTGGTAGGGAGGCCCATTCGCGACGCCATGCGCGGAGGGCACGAGCTTTGTGCTGCTCGCGGGCCCACGATATGGTGCTCCGTTGGATGTGGTGGTGTTCGATGGTGGCCGCCTCGTTCGCTAGTTGGTCGGCCCGTTCATTGCCCGCGATGCCCTGATGCCCGGGTACCCAGACAATCTCGACCCGTGCGTCAGGTAGGCTGCCGAGGATGTAGTCTATGTGTTTTCGGAAGATAATGGATGCAGCCTGTGCGGGATGAGCAGAAGTGTCGGTAATGGTACGTACGGCGGACTGGTTGTCAGTAAAGAAGATAATTGTTCTGAGGTGAGAGTGTTGGCTGGGGAGGTCGCGCGTGCGAGCAGCGCCTGCTGCGAGCGCCCACATCTCGGCATCATAGATGCCTGCGCGGCGGCCAAGGGGAATGCGCGCGGAGTGGACTACGTCGCCTTGAGATAAGGCGGCACGTGAGTGCACCGATCCCTGACTTCATCTCGATTCTCGAACCTGCACTGTGAGCATTGCCATCACGGCGCGACATACATTTTCACAACAATAATCTTGCATACTAGAGCGTCTCAGGAGCCTGTCTGGTGTCATCTAACAGTCGGGGTAAGCAACACGGAAGTCGAGCGCTGATGAAGAGACCTGCCGGCCGGCGCGGTGGTCGTTGATTCTTCAACTCTGTCGTTCACGAGCGCTTCCAATTGCCAAATCTCCTCTTAGATCTGCGTATACGATGCAGTTGAATGACTGGGCGCTTACGAGGTTGTAGGCTCGCATCTGCACTTCATCCGTGGAGAACTCCATCGAGACGTTGGGCTGGAACTCTTCCGCAATGAGCGCGGTAGTAAGCAACATCAGTAATCCTCAAAGGGCACAGCTCACACAAAAGTAGAACCCAGCGTCTGAGATATGTCCCCTCGAGCAGGAGTTCGACTCCTTCATCAGCACCCGGAAATCACCGTACCGCGCCAAGCTTTTCCAACACCGATGCGTGAAGGAGGTCATCGCACGACTCCATCCCTCCAGGATACCCTCATACCCCCTCAACGAGCAGGGCGCACAGGCTATCTCCGAGGCCCTGCAGGCTTGGAGAATATACAGCCTCCTCTCCGCTTGCCTGTTCAACAGCGACAAGGAGTTCCGCACCGAGTACCTCGCCCATCTCCCTCACGCATGGCAGTGGGCACTCTTCCTCCTTCCGGGAGAGGGAAACGTGAAGGACCTGCGCGGCCTGGACTTTCAGACGCCGAGCTTTCCTCTGCGTCCCGATGGTACGGTCGCGGCGACGGTGTACATGCGCTATAGGATGCTGCTCCTCGCACTGGTGGCTCTGCTGGACGATCCGGCGAGGCTCCCGGCGTGCCAGAGGCTGCCGCGCTTCGGAGAGGTCTTCCTGGCGTTGGCGACGTACGAGTGGCCGCGCCCAAGGAACGACGATCTCGCGGCGCTCATCCACGACCTGATGCGGACGCTCAGAGCCGGCACGACGCGCAAGGGTGACTTTAGCAAGCAGTTCATGCACGATCTGCGCGCAAACGTGGAAAAGCACCCCGGCGTTCTCCTCCGTGTCGTGTTCGAGCGCTTTCCGTGGCTGCTCGACCCTGGAAATGACGAGCTCAGCGACGATGATAGGAACCTGTACGCGGAGCACTATGGCATTGTGATCGTTCAGCTCCTTGCCTCGCTTCATGACCCTATCCTCAACGGCTTCCGGGATAACGGCGGGGCGAAAACTCTCGTCAAGGCGCTTCTGCGAGCTATCCCTTACGCCCCGACGCGGGAGGTATTGGTGGAAAAGGCTCAGGCGTCCATCACGCGCCTCATCATCCACCTCACCATGAGGGTCCTGGATGAAATCTTCGCGTTTCGCGAGGCCGACGACGCGGTGGCGGACGCCGTCGACGCAGGCTTGATTATTGTCATTGACAGATTGCGCCGCCTTCTGAGTGCTGAGGTCCTCGACGAGGAGGAGCAGAAGGGCGCACGCAGTAGCGTGGAACACTGGCTCGATGACGTGCTCACCCCGACGATGGTCAGGCTCGATGTCCTGCGCGCACTCACGAGAAGGAACTATGGCATTTTCCTTAGCGAGATGCGCAAGGAGGCGGAGGCGACCTGGCCCGCCCTCAGAGACGCCGCGGAGCGCTACGCCAGCCTCTTCCCGCGGATGTTGATGTTCAAGGCTCGCTTGAAGGCGTTGCGGAGCCGAGGCTGTTCGAACGCCGAAGTGAGCGATATCATGCTCGGGGGGCAAGGCATGATCACTAAGCAGTTTATCCATTCGCAGTGTCAACATGCTCAGGCTGGCATAACGCAGAAGACTCACCTGAAGATATGCAGCTGCGCGACAGCGATGTATTGTTCTGCTGAGTGCCAGAAAGTACATTGGCGCTCGGGACAACACCGAGGAGCTTGTTCGAACGAGGCCAGCAGGCTCAGGCTCAGTGAGTAAATATGTGCGGTCGGGAACTCGCCTTCTGATTGTCGATTCATAGCCACCCAACCGCTCAAAGATCCAGGTGGCGATCCTATCATCACTTCCATCCGGCCGCATCTAAGATACCTTGAGTATCACTTCCTTCGATTCTGCGCTTTGACAGAAATTGCATTGCTTTACGAGGCGGGGAAGATGACGGACGGAGTGAAGTATACGGTAGAATTCCAGCATTCCGATATCATCAAGTCATTCAGCACTGAATTACCCTTTACCCTCGAGCCACATACGATCCTCGTGGAGCTGAAAGCGCACTGGGGCGCAGGTTTGGAAATGTGCATTGATATTCCAGACCCTGTCACCTTCTCGGAACTAGAGGACTTGATACGGCTACGCAAGACTGTGCTAGGAATGTAATTTGAACTTCGCTGTTCGTCATAACCGTTAGACGGTTCTGTGGTCGCGTGCCCTCACCGCGGTTGTAGAGATCTGTGTAAAGGATAGAAGTATAGTGACGCGGATAGTATACACGACTACAAGGTATGATACACCGGGAGACCAGACAGGGCGAGGTACACGGGAGCAAGAGGGATAAGAAGAGGAACGCACAGGGGACCATGAAAGACAAGGCAACAGGTGCGAACAACGAAGCACGCCACGATGAAGGTGTACATATGGCATAGGTGGGCAGTGAACAAGGCATACGCGGTAGCCGAGACGGCAGCGAAGGCAGAAGGGTCGGCACCTAGAGTTGACTTTCTGTGAGGGCCGATAGCATATGGAGAGGCGCGCCGCCGATGCAGGTCATATGAGCAGCAAGGGCGGGAGGTGACAAGGAAGAGTCATCAAGCGACGAGTTCGAGCTGCCGAAGGACGACGAGTTGCAGTCGACAGACGACGATGAGCTGGAGGTGGCGTAGGAAGATGCGCTCGAACTGATGGAGGACAAGGAGCTAGAAGTGACGGCGAAGTGCGACGAGCTGAATTCGGCGAAAGACGACGTGCTCAAATCAGCGGCTGAGCTAGAGCCGAAGGTCTTCGTGGATGGATCACAATTGTCCGCATAGCCTCCCGCATGCAAGGCGTCCCAGGCAGCTGAGATAGAAGTGTCCCACGTTGAGCTAGAATCGGCGTTCCCAGCGGCGTCCCAGTCGAGGTGATCCGTCGCCGACAGGCCAATCGACCCGTCGCCACACGGAGTCGAAGTCACGCTCGCGGAGGCTGTGTCGGCGACCTCGAAGTGTGAGCTGCTTGTCTCAAAGATCGATTTGACCTTGCCAAAGTTGTAGGTCGGGGTCGATACCGCAGCGAGGCCCCCGAAAGCCGAGGCTGCGTCCTCGAGAAGCGTCAGGGCGTCCTCCGAATTTGTATGGGCATCCCAGACGGTCAAGTTGGTCATGACGTCGTCTTCGGTCACATCGCCGTCCCAGAAGGCCCAATGGCTGTTCAACGCCTCCGAACTGATGTCCCCCAAGGGCGGATCGGCTTCCTGCAGGTTTGGAGTGCTGTCCTGCGGGTTCGAAGTGTCGCCCCGAAAGATGAGGCCGACGTCGTGGAATGCTGAGAGGGCCTCACGCAAGAAGGAATCGGCGTCCTGAACGGATGGTGTGTCGCCCTGAAAGGCTGTCGCGGCATGCTGCAAGGCCGGATCGATGTCATGTGCACCTGAGGCGTGGTCCGGTGAAGCTAGAATGGGCACCCATGGAGGAGAACCCATGTCCAAAGTGCTCGGAGAGGCGCCCCACGTTGTCGAGTTGCGCGCCGAGAACGGAGTCCCCCAAGACGTGGTCGAGGGGCTCCGAGGCGAAACCGTCCAGGCGGGTGCGGGTGCCATGGTTGCCTCGGCGTGACTCGAGCCCGCGACCATGTCGCTCGGGCGATCGAAGTCGGGAGCATTCGCCTGGGATAGCAAGTGAGTGCGACCGATACTCGAGGGACTGGGGTGAGGGTCGATGGAAAGACTAGCAAGAAAAAAGAGCAAGGACAGAAAGTGAAAGACGTACCCTTTGCGACACGTCTCGCGGTGACCCCATGAGCGCAGCTTTACGCTTGCGAGTAGGCAAGGGAATCATGGGCTCTTGAGCCTGGGCGGGGGTGGGCGGTGTCACGGCAAGAGTGGCGGGAATATGCATGATGGCTTTCATGACGGGAACCAGGTTCCTTGCGACCCAGGCGTCGAGAATCACTTGCCCACGATACTCAGAGGTGATGGCCGTGATGAGGGCGTAAAGCGCGGTCGTGGGGTCTTCTCCACCTTGGCCGAGGGCGTCGCGCCTGTAACTCCTCGCTTCCAGTGTGACGGCATTCGGCGATGACAGGCTGTCGACGACTGCCTAGTAGGGCATCAGTGAAGAACCTGGGGATGTGTCGGCGCACGCACCTGAAGAACGGCGGGCGGGGAAGCTCTGAGGTAAGGCATGGTGAACGCCGCCCTCTTCAGCGCCGTCTCAAGCTCCTGGCGGCCGCGCTCGCGGACCGGCGTCAATGTCATGCACTCCTGAGCTAAGAGAAGCGTCGTCTTCTTCGCGATCCCGGCGCGTCTGTCGCGGGGTGCAAGGGCGAGCGGCGTCCGGCGCTTGTGCGGCGCACCGAGGTTGGCATAGTAAGTCGAAAGGGCGTCAAAGAGCATGGCTGTGACCCTGGCCGTGTCGATGATGGGTCGGGAGATATCGCGGGTGGCTGGCATGGCGCTGTTGTACCATCAGTTCAGCGCGCCCCTCCAAGTCGCGCGAGGACAGACCTTGTCGCTCAAAAAAATAGAATGGTAGAGGGACGGAAGTGCTGGGCGGACTAGCTCATGCAGGTGCGCCCCACCCTCCTAGACGGCGGAAGCTGATCATCTCTCCGCCGACGTCGCCGCTGGCGTTGTTGGTCTGCAAGCTGGGTAATATGAGCTGGTCATTGGAGAGCCGAGGATAATGTCCGCAGCGGTAACGTCGAGGGAATGACCGGTGCGCTGGGCGATGTCGCCGCCTCATCGTACGTAACACGATGTGACAGGACGCGTTGGTCACGTCGACCTGATGGCACCATCGTTCAATGAGCCGCCGACGCGAGTGAAGGGTCTTCATGCCAAAGTAGATGCAATTAGAATGGTCAAAGCTGAGCAGGCACAGGGAAAATCGCGTATCGTCACATCCGAAATTAGCACTGAGCCCTGGGGCCGACGTTCTCGTCCGCAACGCCGGTGCAGTCTGCTATATGGTACATTCAAAGCCAGAAGTCGCGCGCCTCTGACTGCCGACTAGCACGATATACTCATTCTGTATCTGGGAATATAGAACGAGAAGGGCACACTGCTGCCTGCCAAGCGTGATGGCGAAGTTTGTCACGTTGTCACGGTTGAACTTTCGGCTTTCTCCGCTCGCCTCGTGATCTCGCAACTCCGTCGGCGTGACCTCATTTCGAACATGAACTTCAACTTGACCTGATCCTCTGTTGTTGCTGTCACAGAACGACCCAACTACTAGCTAGCGCAGAAAAGCAGCACAGCGCTACGCAAAAGGCTGTCTTGTGGTGATCGCTGGGTAAGTGTGAAGGCAACGCGGTTGAAGTCGAGCATCGGCAAAAAGACTTGCGGGCGGTGGCAACAGCTCTTCTACCCCGTCACTCAGGCGTTTTATCAACTTTGAAACTCTATAGACTATGGGCTGGCAGCTTACGAGCCCGCAGGGAGCTCGGATCATAACCTTTGCTTAAGTTACTCAAGGCGCAAAACATCGCATCTTTCGTAATGAGCGCGGTAAGCAGAATTAGCTACTATCAGGACCACAGCTTTACACAGGACCAGGGCTCGACATTGGAGCTATGTCCCCTTGAGCAGGAATTCAACGCCTTCATCAGCTCCCGCAAACCACCGTACCGCTCCAAGATCTTCCAGCACCGGTGCGTGAAGGAAATAATCGCGCGGCTCCATCCTTCCCGGATCCCACCGTATCCACTTGACGAAAAGGGCGCAGAAGCCATCTCCGACGCTCTACAAGCCTGGCGCATGTACAGCCTCCTCGCTGCTTGCCTCTCTAACAGCGACAAGGACTTCCGCGCGGAGTACCTGGCGCACTTCTCGCACGCTTGGCAGTGGGCACTCTTCCTTCTCCCGGGAGAGGGGAACGTCAAGGACTTGCGCGGCCTGGACTTTCAGACGCCGAGATTTCCTCTACGACACGATGGCACAGTCGCGGCAACTGTGTACATGCGCTACAGGATGCTGATGATCGCGCTGGTGGCGTTATTGGACGATCCAGCGCGGCGAGCGATATGCCAGAGGCTGCCGCGCTTCGGGGAGGTCTTTCTGGCTCTGGTAAGCTACGAGTGGCCTCGCCCAAGGGACGACGACCTCGCGTCGCTCATCCATAATCTCATGCGCACGCTGAGGGCCGGCACGACGCGCAAGGACGACTTCAGTAACCAGATGATCGAAGATATACGCGCACACGAGGCGCGGCACCCTGGCTCTTTGCTTCGTGCCGTTTTTCTGCGCTTCGTCTGGCTGCTGGACTCCGGGCAAGATGAACTCGACGCAGAGGAAAGGAGTGTCTACGGGCAGCACTACAGCTTTGTGATCATGCAGTCGCTGGGCTCGGGGTTGCACGATACTATCTATGCTGGCTTCCGGGGCAATGGCGGGGCGTCCGTGCTCGTCAAGGTGCTTCTCCGCGCCGTCCCGCACGCCCGCACAGAGGAGGAGTTGAAGGAGAAGGTCAGAAATGAACCAACCATCCAGCGTATCATCGCGCGTCTCGCCATGAGCGTCATGGATGGCGTCCTTGTGCTGCGCGACACGGACGATGTAGTAGCGGAGGCGATCAACGCTGGTCTTCTCGTGGTCATCGGCCGTATGCGGCGCCTTCTACACGGAGCAGCCGCGGTCTCGGAACAAGGGGGCATACGCACGAGCGGGGACCGATGGCTCAATAACGCAATCATCCCAGCGATGGCCAGGGCGAGGGTGTTGCGCGCTCTTCTGGAGAACCATGACAATCTATTCCTGAAGGAGCTGTGCGACAAGGACCACGAACCGTGGCCCGCGCTCACGACCGCAGCAGAGCGTTTCGAGAGCCTTTTCCCTCCAATGCTACTGTTCATCGACAACGTGGACGAAGCACGGAAAAAAGGATGCTCAAACCCACAAGTGAGTGATATTGACCGCGTGAGGGACATGCACAATCGTTGAGTCGTCTGCTCAGTGTCAGCACGCGGGCGCGCCGAGGAAGAAGATGCGCCTGAAGATGTGCAGCTGTGCGGATGTGCTCTACTGTTCGCGTGAGTGTCAGAAGATACATTGGCGCTCAGGAGGGCACAGAGAAGCTTGCTCAAACGAGGCCAATAAGATCCAAACAAGTGAGCCGGCCTATATCACTGCCATCTCATCTCCCGTTTACCGGACTTATAGTCACTCGACCGCTCAAAGACCCGAATGGCAACCCTATTCCTACTTCCGTCGGACCTCATCTGAGCTACTACGAGTACCACTTCCTCCGGCTCTGCGCTCTGCACGAGATCTCGCTGCTCTACAAATCTGGCAAGGCGAGGGATAGGGTGGAGTATACGGTAGAACTCCCAAATCTCGATGGCATCAAGACATACAAGGCCGAACTCCCTTACACCCTCGAACCGCGTACAATCCGCGTGGTGTTCAAGGCAAATTGGGGCGCAGGTTTGGAGATGACCATCGCGATTCCGAGGCTTGTTACCTTCTCAGAGCTGCAGGATGTACTAGAGCAGCGCAAGATCACCCTAGGAATATACGCGTAATCATGCATCGTCAGGACGTTCCCCACGAAGTGTGGGATGCCTTGCTAGGTGACAACTGTGCGCTGAGATTGCGCTGAATCTCAAGATCTATCGGACACAAGTCGAAACGATGCCACAAATCAAGGAAGCTCTCATGCGTATGATGTTCGATGTACTCAGAGGCCTAAAAGCGCGTCAGAGAGCATCCCAAGGGCCAGAGAACAAACGCACCTCAGTACACTATGCCGCGGGTACCGCTCGCTCCCTTCTCCACGCCTTCACCTCCCGCGCTGCCGTCGCCAGCAGCGGGATGAGCGCGCTCGCGAAGAGCGGCATGTACACCGCGTAGATATGCTCCGGCGGGAAGTACAACAGCTGCAACATCCCTGGGCTGAAGAACGCTCGCGAGGCGAGGACCGTCGCCTGCGCGGCATGCTGGAAGGCAGAGAGCATGGAGGCCGAGGCGGACGAATAGGCCTAGAGTGAGGGTATCAGTGACTTTAGGGGGGAAAGAGGACGGCAAGCGCACCATCTCCAAAGCCTGCAGCGCCCCCTGCACATCGTCCCGGACGCGCGCCCCAACCGGCATGTTCTCGATCTGGTCCACCAGCCGCGAGATACTGCTCAATGTGTCACGCGCCTCTTGTGCGCTCTCCCTCGCTCGCCGGCGCAGGAGCGCATCGGCTTGCCAAGCTGAAATATGCCCCGATGGGACGCGCGCGGTGATGCCTGCTGGTAGCTGCGGCACGCCAAGGAGGGTGACGAGCTGCGCGCGGAAGGTCGCGAATGCCGTGTCCACCTGCGCTGCTGGGTCGCTGGTGAGGAGGTCCGTGTCCGCGAGGACGATGCCGCCCCACTGCGGGATGAGGAAGGCGCGCGAAGGCGAGGGTTCGCCGGAGTCGTTGAGGATATATAGCGGACGCTTGGGCACGAAGAGAAGGAAGTGCAGGACGGGGTCGTTGGAGACGCTGGACGCTGAGCAGAAGGAACAAGATACTTAGTATGTGCGAATAGATGTGATGAGAACACGCGCTTACACAAGGACCACTCGGCCGAGTTAACGAAGACAGTGAGTTGCTCGGGTGTCAAGCCGGCCTCCCTCGCCTCAGAGGCGTCAGATTGAGCGTCGGTACCCTCGGCGTCAGTCTCCAACCGCAAGGATACTGGCTCGAAAGCCAAAGGCGCGTGGAATTGAACCTGACTCTCGATAGTGAAGTTATAGAGGCTGGCGAGATCGTTCAGTGTCGGGGACAGATGTTCTGAATAACATTCAGCGCAATGCGGTGCGACAATGAGCAAGAAACGCCGGGCCATGGGACTGCTCGCTTACTTTTGATGTTTTCTCGTATGGGCCAAGAAAGCATGCTGGTACCATCCGCCGCGTCCTCGTTCAGCAAAGAGAAAGACAGCTGGTACCGCGGCGCGAAGGGCACGATATGCTGCTCGTGTCGACGGTCAACGGCCTGAGGAACGAGCAGAGACGTGAGTACGTCGAGGACAGTATCTGCTGAGGTTGGTAGGTCGATGTGCTGGGTACGTACAAGACTAAACTTACCATCGCTGACATCTCGAGGGAAGGACACGCGCCGCCCTTGGATGTACGTGTCGTCTCCATCATGGAAGAGGACCTGATAGTCTGTGCTTATTGAGGGACATTTCACCAGTGCAGATAGCATGGCTCTTACCATATTTATCACTCGAGGTCGCATGTACATCCACCCCCGCACTCACGAGCCTCTCCTTGAAAGCCGGCGTGTCTAACGCCTCCCTCACCCTCCCATTCGGAACGCTTATCCCAATATCAAAACGCAGATTCTTATCCCCTAGAGCGCCTATCCTCCCCTGCGGCAAGCTCAACCGCTCAATACTCGTGGTCTTCCACCACAGCGGCAGCGCGAGGAAGATGACGAGCCAGTAGGACGCGATGATGAGCCGGCGCACGTGGTTGGCCTGGTAGTAGATTTTGGAGGGGTCTTTCAAGGGGGAGTCGGGTTGTTCGTGTAGCTGGGAGTCATCACGGGTATCGGCATGAGATAATGGGACTTCGAGTTGGGGAGGTTGCCCTTCGTCCGACATGAGTGAGGTCGGAGGAGGTGACGGTTGTGGTTGAAGTGCAACGTGACCATATGCCGGATGTGGGCCGGTGCGGGCCGAGATAGTCCCACGCTTCGGCCACGATGTCTTCTGTATTTTTACACGATTTGAGGAATATGCGGGAAGCAGCAAGCACGTGAGATAGGTATATGGACATAACAAAATCGGTCTACTCTTCCGCCGTAGGCGGCGGCGGCGAGTGCTCCCTCAACAAGCGCACCGACGTCTTGCGCATCTTCTCCGTCTCCATATTCGATGGTACCAGATATCCTTCCAAGCACGACACGAGCGCACGGACGTGCAGATTCTCCGGCACCGGGATCGTCTGCACGACGCTCTGCGTCTCAATGTTGTGCACCACGATCGTGTTGTTCGGCAGCACGGCCACGATGTAGGGGAAGTCCATGCCTGGCGGTCGGGCATCAGCGAAGCGCCTAACCAAGTGAGGGCAGGCGCTCACATATAGACAATGGGTAATCCTCATATTCCAAAGTCCCTCTGACCGGGTCGCCATTGGTATTGATGAACACGCCCATCGCACTCGCGCCCATCCACGACACCACCAGATACTCGTCCTCCCCATGGATCTCGAGCACGAGCGGCCGGATGGGCTTGTCGTCCATCACCTGGTCGACGGGCATGATTTGGAAGGCGACGGATTGCTCAAGGTTGACGATGCTAAAGAACTCTTTGTCGGCGACGCAGAGGGACTGACCGATGCGCCGGGCGACGAGGCCGCCTTGGAAGGGGATTTCCTGAGATGATGGTCAGTTGATTGAGCGGATAGGAAGGGAAAATGAAGAAGAAGGAGACGAACCTGTTGGTAGAAGAGCCTATCACTCAGAGTGAAGAGTGCGAGGCCGCTTCGTTTGACGATGGTTAGAGCTACGGGTATGACCTGGTTGTCGTCCGGCGCTGGTCGTCGCAAATGGTCATTATCAACGGCGAAGGCAACAGCGTTGCGAATTGGCTTGATGGAAGTCATCTCGAGCGATGGCAGAGTGTATATGCTGAGTTGGCGGTCTGAGCGCTTCCCTGAGCGAATACTCCGCGCCGCCAAAGAGGGGCAATACCTGCAAAGACCAAGGCACGGAAGATGCTGGGGACTAGGACGATGTCCTCAACCGGTTTGTCTGCGGCGACGTTCTGTCTTGAGACAAGGTCGTAACTCATAGGCTTCCGGATGTGAGTGAGTGAAGATGAACGCGAAGTCATTGCAGGCGAACCTCGTCCGGATTGTTAGCTTGCAATGCATATCGCATCAGTTGACCGTTAGAGCATCCTATGTATACCTCCGTCCCTACATGTTATGAGCGCAACTTTCCCGTATGATGACTCTGTATTACCCAGAGCTTGCGCGCATGTTATTGTCACGCCTGAGCCTGTCGACGTTTGGTCAACGTCCTTATTGTTGATCAGTATGTACCGATGGTCGACACACCAAGATCTCGGGTAGCCGCAGAGACAAGGTCCTGCATGAGATACGGCGGGACATCATTAGAAGGGGCTTCCGGTGCGTATGCCATGCTGAATGGAGGTCAAGGCCAACCTTTGATGGCGCAAGGATTATTCGGTACGTTCCGCCGAGAGAAGGGGAACTCACGTGCCGTTTCGTATATTGGCACTCAGTCGCGACCTTTAGAGCGCGAGCACAGATGATCTAGGGTAACGCAGCGCGCTCGCGGCGATGTCGTTCGACCGCACGGATGGTGATGCACACGTTGAAGTTCAAAGTTGGCGTGTCCGCCGATCGCCGGGCCGCCATGCCGACGATGCCGGTTTGTTTGTGTTGTGTCAACAAACGATAAACCTGGTTGCTCCCAACCCTCAACAAGGCTGCCGACGCCACTCTTGCCTTTTGTGCCCGCTGCGCCTCACCTTTCTCAGCCAAAACTGCTCCGTCTCGAGGCCAATACGCGACACATTGAGCAGATAAAGTCCTTATATGGCGTCACGACTTCCTCGCGAAGAACCCCCTTTGGGCCCCCGCTCATCGTATTACGATTATCGTGGCGCACCTTCACCGTCTTATGTTAGTATCTGAAACAAAAGTAGCGGATGCATGCGCCTATTCGATTGACACTGACTTGTCCATCTTTTCAGACGCGCTCTTCTTTTCCTCGGCATACGCCGCCCCTCGGTCCGCCGGGCCCGCCGCCCTACGGACCACCTCCCCGAGGCGCAGAGTATGATGCATATGAAGGTCAATGGCCTGCTCACCACGAAAGCGCTGCCTGGCCTGACTACCGGCCAGTAGACGTTGAGCGGGATTTTCCGACTTCGCGTGCGGCGCCTGCAGCTCGGCGCTACTATGATCCCTGGGATGAGTACTATCGTGGACGCCCTCGGTACTACCCGCCTCCTCCTCCGCCTGCCGACCCTTGGTATCCTCCTGAGGAGGGGTATGCTCCCGAATACGCGGCCTCTTGGGATCCGAGAGATGTGACTGCTCCGCGTGATGCCTGGGGTCCTTACCCCCCTTCGCGACCTTTGGCTGAACCAGCAGTTGCAGCTGATGAATTTGTCCCGTATATGCCTGCGCCGAGGAGGCCTCCTCCTATAAACGAGCCTATCCGCATGGGCGAACCCTCTCGAGACAGATCCGCCAGCTTCGAACCTTCGGAAAGCTGGAAAAACGCCCATTCTCGGTAGAACTGAATCCTTTCTTATGTTTTTCCATCTCATGAAAGCCCCCAGATCGAACTCGCTACAAAGTCCCACTGCTGCTAATCGTCGCTTCTCTCAAGACGGGCGCCCTCGCGGCCGAGATTCTATCAGTTCTGCATCCTCTTGGGGTCGTGACCGTGCTGCATCCGGGTCTACTCCACGCGCCAACGGACCCGCCAATCGACCTAGCTTGCCCATCCGTCCCGGCTCAATCTCTAAGCAGGGTGATCCTTCCTCCCCTTCGCGTCGTCCCTCTCAATCGTCTCAGCGGAACGGCGCGCTTCCCTTGCCGGCAGCGTCTTTGCCGCCGCGACCGGCAGTGAAACCTGACGCTCCTCCACCGCTGCCTGCGAAACCTGCTATCAAGGAAGAGCTCACTCCGACTCAGCGTCAGCAAAACATGCCGCGCCAGGAAAATAAGCAGCCGCCAACCAGACCACCAAGCAGACCAAAGTCGCCCGGCGAAATATTTGAGGGACAGAACAGCAACGCTCCGCCGATCCCTTCGCCCTCGCGAACGCCCAAACCTAGTGGTGCGGTGGACGATGACCCGGACAGTATCCAGTCCTCGCGCGCGTCTTCGCGGACGCCCGCGCGTGCGGTGCCGGTCAAGGACCCTACTCCCGCGGTGCCGCCCAAGGATTCCACCCCTCCGCCGCCCACTCGCCCTCCCTCTCGGTCAAGTATCGCATCCTCACGGGCGTCTGTCAAACCTTCTACACCTCTGCCGAAGCCTTCTACACCTCCGCCTCCGACAGCTGATGCGTTTCCTGGCTTGGAGCTCGACACGCCTTCGCCTCTTGAGGGCGCTTTGCTGACTCCGTTTATCTTTGACCCTTCTGCGGTTGGTATCATCATCACGGACGCTGATTCGACTATTACGAACGGTGGCTCAACACCTGCAGAACCTGGGCCGTCATCGAGGCAAGGTATGGTTTTTCTCGCCCTCCGACTGACGAGCGTCGCTCATTATTGCTGTAATCTGTAGATCGTCCCGACCAAGTACCAACGCCGAGGGATCCAGCTGCAAGCTCTCGTGCACATACACCTGCGCCTCCGATCATAGAGCCAGAGTCGCTGGCTATCGATACCGTCCGTGTGCAGTCCGACGAGGCAGGCAGCAAGGGTTCGCCAGGAACACTCCTGTCCACTCTTCCCCCGATTCCTTCGTTCGATGATGAGGAGGACGATCTCGAGCCCGAGGCCTTTGATGACGGCCTTCGCGCGTTTGTGGTGTCTCGTCTCCTGAACGACGACCAGACACGGGCGGACCGCGTCGAGTCCGTGCTGGCTGCCAATCTGGCCATCCCGCGCCCCCAAGTGGCCTATCGCGTACCAACATCCCCGAAGACCTTGGTAAAGGAAATATCCGACCCGATCTCCCAGCGGCCAGACGACGATGGTATCGGGAGCACTCTGGAGAACCTCATGGAGAACCTGCACACGATGCTGACGGTAAAGCAGCAGCGGCTGCGCGAGGAGTACCTCGCGCTGAACGAGCGGTGGAAGCGGCATTGTGCGAAGCTTGACGCGCAAGCGCGCGAGATGGCCGAGCCGGAGATCACGCACGGGCGGTCGACGAGGCGGAACGCCGCGCTCGGCGACACGATCCGCTCCGACCTCGAGATGGAGCAGATCATCGCGAGCCTGAGCGTCGACGAGGCAACGAACCCGGACATCGTCTCCCAGCGGAACCAGGCGACGATCCCGGACATGATCTCCGTCACGCAGGGGCACGTGCCCTACTCGTACAACGACAACAACCTGCGCGTGTACGATCCAGAAGAGTACTACGCGCCCGAGACGGGCATCCACGACTGGTCGCCCGCGGAGCGCGACATCATGCTGCGCCAGTACGCGCAGACGCCGAAGCAGTTTGGCTACATCGCGGACAAGCTGGAGAACAAGACGGCGGAGCAGTGTGTGGACTTTTACTACCTGCACAAGAAGCAGCTGCTCGACTTTCGGAAGGCGGTCACCACGTACGGGCCCAAGAAGCGCGGGGGGAGGAGGTTGGGGAAGCGGAAGGGGAACGCGCTGCTGGCGGATATCGCGCAGCACGACGCGGAGGTGCGGGAGGAGGTCAAGGGCCCGATAGCGACGCGGCGGACGAGGAGGGCGCAAGTGATTGCGACGGAGGCGAGGCGGACGTCGGCGAGGAGGGCGGCGTCGCATGCGGAGACGGGGGCGTCGGCGACGGCGACGCCGGAGCCGGAAAGTACGGGTCGGGCGACTAGACGGCGGAAAGTCCCTGCGCCAAAGGGTCCTGCGAGCGCGGTTAGATCTGCGCAGCCTAGTCGACAGGCATCGCCTGAAGCAAGTAAAGCGGCGACGCCGGTGCCATCGAACCAGGCAACTCCTCAGCCTGAAGCGGGGCCTGACAAGGCTGGGTCTACTGAGCCAGATGCAGCGCCTCCGCCATCCGTCTCTGTCGTCGCGCAGTCTCTGTTGCTGCCCATGATTCCTGCACCGAAGCCAACGCCGCCGCCGCCGCCGTCGTCATCTAACAAGACCATCGAGGAGGTTGATGATGGGAGTGCATCGGTGCGTCGCTATGATCTTGTTTAATTTTCAGGGAAGTATCTAACATTTCCATCCACGTAGAATCGCCCACCAAAACGCTTGAAGCGGCCCGGAAAAAAGTACAAGAAGTCAGCGGAGATCATCGACGACGATATGGAGGAGGCCGCGGGATCGAAGCCTCTTTCGTTGCCTTCAATTTCGTCTCCTACAGCGCCTTCAGCTGCAGCAACTGCACCCACTGCGAATCCGGCTGGGTGGACGGATGCGGATACCGGTGAGTAGCACGGTTCACCAAGGCTTCATTCGTACAAAGCATAGATTGTGAGACTGACCGAAGCTGCCTGTAGCAACCCTCCTCGTGTTACTGCAAGAGCACGGGATGAACTTTGACCGCATCGCTGCTGCCATGCCGGGGAAGGTACATTGTCCTCATCTTATCAAGTGCATCCTCGCTCATCGTCTTCGTAGACCGTCGCCGACGTGAGCACCGTCTGCCAGAACAACATGGTGCTCAGCAGCATCGCGCAAAGCATGGGGTCGAAACCGAGTGACGCGAACACCAATGCAAAGACCGACTCTGACGCATCCAAAACCACCACCGCTACGACCAAAACCCCAGCACCGACAACGGTTATGCCACCGCCACCATATGGGATGTACGGGGGCATGCCCATGCAACCCAACACCATGCAAATGCACCCCGGTACCATCCCCATGCCCCACATTCCGCCGTACATGCAGTCCCCGATGTACCCTCCTCCGCCAATGCACTACGCGCGGTATCCGGAGTACTACCCGAGGGATTACTGGCCGCCGCCGTTCCCTGGTTATCCGGGGTATCCGCCGCCCATGGCATCTCACTCGCAGACGCCCGCGCAGGCGCAGACGCCGGCACCGGGAGCATCGACGCCGGCGGGTTCGTCACAGGCGGCTGGATCCTCGCAGGCAGCTGGGTCTGCGACGCCAACCAAACCCTCTCAGCCAAACGGCGCCTTTGACAAACAGTCTGCATCCTCGGAAACGCCGCCAGCCAAGTGATGTTCCTCGTTCTTTTTCTTCTATCGGATTATACATACCCTGCGAGCACTCGTCACTATTGGGATTGCATGTTTATCGGGATATCCGTAGTATGTTACATTGTTCATACATATTCTCGCAATGGCCTCGCAGTTCTCGATGTGTTCGACGGACGGCAGACATTCACGGAGGCGAAGCAGCTTGGTCTACCGACGCCCTTCAACCATGATGATATGATACCCGAAGTTCGTCTTCACAAGACCTGAGGTGATGGGCTTGTCGACCGTTGACGGGGTGAGTGCGAATGCTGCCTCTTGGAAGGGACCTGGTATGGGCGCATCAGTACAGCTGAAGCGGTAGCTTTTCGAGACGTCTGAATCCTAGGACTTACCGACCATGGAACCTCGTACCATCCAGCCAAGGCTGCCGCCAGCTGCAAGCGTATGTGGTCCGGTCAGAGTTCTTCATGCCCTGAAAAGGTGGGCTTACCTTTCGCCTTGTCTTCAGAATACTCCTGCGCGACCTTATTGAAGGCCACGCCCTCCTTCGGCCGCAAAGTGAGAGTTGTTCCTTCCACGACGAAGTAGATTTACCTGGATTTTCTGCAAGGCTTCTGTGGCCTTCGAGTGCTTCTCACACAAGATGTGTCGCACGTTGACTGCAGTTGTAGCCTTCAAGCCCTTCCCCTACCACCGATGTCAGACCGATGCCAACTGGCTACACACAAAAAAAGGACAGACCTTGCCAGACGCCTCTTCAGAGTCGTCGGTTTTCTGACCCTTGCCCTTCTTGTTGTCTGCGGGCTTCTTATCCGTCGACTTCTTTTCCGTAGTCTTTTTGGCCATCGTGACAGGACCTGATGTGATGGTTGGGAAGAACAATGGGCACGCCGAGTATGGAAGTGAGGGGGCTCGGCGTTAGCCGCGTGCTCGGGGATCAGCGAGTCACGGTCACGGGAAAAGACGCGCTCGCGCCTTTGTTTGTGCGCTCATCCTGCCCTCTTCCAACCCAGATTTCGTACTCTGCTCTTCGAACTGCTCATCTGTCTGCTCGTTGAGATGCCAGTTCGGCGGTCTCGCGCTGTCTTCTGTGTTGCTCAGAATGCCGCACTTGCTCTGTTGTGGGTCGCCCCTGCCTTCGCCCCCTCCCACAGGCATCAGGAATCCCAGACATTGTCATCGCTGGTATCATTGCTCTTTTTTTCTTTATGCACATAGCTGACTTTGGTCGTTTATCCACTCGCCACAACGCCCGAGCTCTCGTAGTGCACTCGTCCCCTGCACCCCGTTGAGCTGGTAATCCCTCTGTCCGAGAGCCCTGGCACAATTCTCTCCAGGAGTTCAGAAACAATCTGCAAAGATCTATGAGGGACATCTTTGAGCCTCACAGCCGCCCTTTAAGAGATACTCAGCACAGGACAGTCGAACTCACACCAATGCCTCAGTCTAGCCTCCTTGTCAGGTGCTGGCTCCCGATTGCCTTGCATACGCTGGGGCTCTCCAAGATATCTCTGAATGCTTGTTGACTCTGGAATGTAACGATTCTGTCGTCTGTAGCCGCAAAAGTCGAACCATAACGTGTCACGGTGACGCACGGGGTGATCTCGAGTACCCGAGCGGAGGCCACACGTGGCCAATCACCGCCCTTCGATTCCGCGTCCCAAATTTTGGTACAACCGTTTGCACATCAGTTTGCAGTCTCGTGCGCGTGGATTTTGAGCACGTGTGCCTTGCTTGTGATGTCCGTCACGGTTGGCAACTGGTTGCTCACTGCGTATACTGGTGCAAGTACTTCAAGAGAGCAGATTCCCTGATCCATCGAGCAAAGGTATGGTAAGAAACATCGTGGACTATATCATCGAGCGTCGCAGAGCCCGACGGCGGCTCTAGACGTGCTGAGCGCGTGTCACGGTCGGCTTAGTCAGCGTAAATCCGTAGGCACGGGACTGCAAACTGATGTGCAAACGGTTGTACCTTGATCATCATCGCGCTCGACGGCGGCGCCCACCACACACCATGGCCGACAAAATTACGCGTATCGCCATCGTCGACGCCAATCGCTGCAAGCCCAAGCGATGTGCCCAGGAGTGCAAGAAGGTCAGCACCCCCGCTGCATCGCGTGCCCGCCGTCGCTGACGGCGCCTGCAGTCATGTCCTGTCGTGAAGATGGGTGAGGATCTTGTTCCCCTCCCGCGCTGATTCCCCAAGGCTCATGTGCAACAGGCAAGCTATGTATTGAGGTCAAACCTTCGGACAAAATCGCGTTCATCTCCGAGTTCTTGTGCATCGGATGTGGTATTTGCGTGAAGAAGTACGTGGTCAGTGTGCAGGGCGGAGAGCACCGATCTGACCATCTGTAGGTGCCCCTTTGAGGCTATTGCTATCATTAACCTGCCAACGAACTTGGAGTCCCAAGTAACACATCGCTACACCGCCAACTCGTTCAAGCTCCATCGGTTACCGACCCCAAGACCAGGACAAGTTCTCGGTCTCGTCGGCACGAACGGTATCGGGAAGAGCACCGCCCTCAAGATTCTTGCAGGAAAGCTCAAGCCCAACCTCGGGAGATACGATGTGCGTGGCACGGCCATCCATGAAGCATCCGTGCTGACCGATCGCAGGACCCCCCGGACTGGACGGAGATCTTGAAGTATTTCCGTGGCTCAGAACTTCAGAACTACTTCACCAAGGTCCTCGAAGACAACCTGAAAGCCCTCATCAAGCCGCAATACGTCGATCATATACCCCGCGCGATCAAGGGCAAGATGTCCGTCAGCCAGATGCTCGACTCGAAGCTCGAGCGGGACAACAAGGAGCACATGTGCAAGGAGCTTGAGCTTTTCCACGTCCTGGAGCGCGAGGTGTCGCAGCTCTCCGGTGGAGAGCTCCAGCGATTCGCGATCGCCATGTCCTGCATCCAGAAGGCCGACGTGTGCGTGTTCATCGCACCTTCGCGCCCCAATTACCATCTCACCTCACATGCAGCTACATGTTTGACGAGCCGTCAAGTTACTTGGATATCAAGCAACGTCTTAAGGCCGCCGAAGTCATTCGCGGCCTCTTGTCGCCCGACTGCTACGTCGTCGCCGTCGAGCACGATCTCTCCGTCCTCGACTACCTCTCCGATTTCATCTGCTGCCTCTACGGCAAGCCCTCCATGTACGGCGTCGTCACCATGCCCTACTCCGTCCGCGAGGGCATCAACATCTTCCTCGACGGCTACATCCCTACCGAGAACCTACGCTTCCGCGAGGACACGCTCTCCTTCAAGATGGTCGAGACCGCGGAGGAGATGATCATCGAGAAGAACGCGCAGTACGAGTACCCGGCGATGACGAAGACGCTCGGCGGCTTCAAGCTCACCGTCGAGGCGGGCAGCTTCACGGACTCGGAGATCATCGTCATGCTTGGGGAGAACGGGACGGGGAAGACGACGTTCGTGCGCATGCTGGCGGGCGTGGAGTCGCCGGACGACGAGGAGTCGAAGCAGCAGTTCGCAGTTTCGTTGAAGCCGCAGACGATCTCGCCGAAGTTCCCGGGCTCGGTCCGGATGCTGCTGTTGAAGCGCATCAAGCAGGCGTTCATGCACCCGCAGTTCCAGACGGATGTGTTGAAGCCGATGAGCCTGGAGAACATAATGGACCAGGACGTGAAGACGTTGTCTGGTGGTGAGCTGCAGAGAGTGGCCATCGTTATGGCGTTGGGCATGCCGAACGTCTCGCTATACTTGCTCGATGAGCCGTCATCCTTCCTGGACTCCGAGCAGCGTATCATTGCTAGCAAGGTCATCAAGCGGTACGTGTTCGTAACGTCTTCTGTCCCACCCTTCGCTGACAATGCCCTTCAGATTCATCCTCCACGCGAAAAAGACGGCCTTCATCATCGAGCACGACTTTATCATGGCCACCTACCTTGCCGACCGTGTCATCGTGTTCGAGGGTCAACCCGCCGTCGCTGCCACTGCCACTCCGTACGCATCTCTCGTCTTGCCATCGGAGTAACGCTTTGCTGACATGACCTTCTCCTTCCCAGCCCACAAGCCCTCCTCACCGGCATGAACCGCTTCCTTGCCTCCCTCGAAGTCACCTTCCGCCGCGATCCCACGAACTTCCGTCCACGAGTGAACAAGATGAACAGTGTGAAGGATAGGGAGCAGAAGTGTACGTCTTTGCTTTATCTATCAACGGATCCCCGGTTGCTCACCTTCCATCTTCAGCGGCCGGCAACTACTTCTTCCTCGAGGAGTAAGCGGCTCTTGCCCATCGAGTAAGCGACCCCATCGTCGCTTCACGTATCTAGAGCACGTCGAGCGCGACGTAGTAGTGCGTCCCAGGCGACGCATCGCATCTAGAACCACACATATCACTGTTGTTGTATTATCCAGCTGTTGTATTCACCTGCGCGGCGGCTAGGCTGCTGCTATGTATCGATATTAGGTGGACGAGCGTGTAGCGTTGAGCCTGACGCAGTGATGTCCTAGACGCGCAAATATACGGCGCCGTAATAGCATTTCCACAAGTCCACGAGCGGCGCACTACTTTTCATGATCCTTGAGCCACCGCTTGACCACGCTCGGTATTGGACAGGCGGTGGATTCGCCCTTTTCGCCAGTCTCCTCGTAGAACTTCTGACAGCACTTGTATAGCTGCTTGAGGTTGTCGTTGCATTTGTCTGGCTGGTAGGTGTATTTGTTTAAGCAGGTTTGAAGCTTGCAAGCTACCAGGTGAAAGTGGTCAATTGACTGAGCGGCGTCAAGACGGGGCATTGACGAACCTTCTGCTTGACATGCATTCGTTTCCTACAGTTGCGTGTTGTCAATGTCCGTCCTTTTTGTAAGGGGACTCTGAGCTTCACCTGCGGCATGATTTTCGTCTCCGCCAGGCTCGAGGTCGAGGGAAAGAACAGGAACTTCCAAAACGGAGAGATGACGTCGAGGTTTGTCCCGGGTGACAAGAAATTGCCGTGACAGTGCCGTGACAGCCATGCACGGCCGTGCATGGCCTACAATATACGACCATTGCCATGACCGTGTCATGTCAATCGTGCGTTGTACGTGACACTGGCCATGACCATGGACTCAGGAAGGTCTCTATGTCAGTAACGACAGGGATATGCATTTTATCTTGCGCTGAGCATCTACCCGTCTGATCACGCACGCGACGTCCCTTGGCGGCATCGGTGCGTCAATGGAACGAGTGCTGGTCCATAGAAGATAGTCATGAAAGTCAAGACAGCGTCTTTGATGAAGTAAGTGCGTATGTGCTACCCGTATGTCCACGAATGGCCTCAGGAAGGACTTGTCAACCGCGCCTCCTGCCATGAAGACCATGCCGCAGCACATGGTTCGCCATGGACGGGCCATGACTGCCGTGCAGATGACCATGCACGACCATGATGTGGCTGTGTTGGATTCCGTGACATCCTTCTTTCCTTGATTGTGACCCGTTTAGGTGGCGGCAAGAATAGCGTCTAATCGTCTCTTGAGGGCTACATATTGGCAGTCCAGGATGGCGAGGACCCGTTTAGATGCAAACTACGCCGGATTGCCCATTTTTGGGCACCAACGAGGAGGGAACGAAGCAACAATGACGAGTCACGAAATTTGAGTTTTCCCATTTTTGGTCCATATGGAAGAGATGGTGCTTATGAGCTTGTGGTACCGATGGGCGAGCGTCAAAATGAGAAGAACATGGTTAGGAAGACTTTGAAGTATCGGAACCGTGACATGGTCCTTGCACGGCTCTGCATGGCTGTCACGGCACGGTCACGGCAATTTCCCGATGCCCGTTTGTCCCCGGAGATTGCCACATGGCCCCGGATCAGCCTCCCCCACAGGCCGCCGCCGACGTTCGAGACTGCATCGACGCCTTCCTTCCCGCCACGACGCCCGCCGTTCCTACTATCACTCCCCAACACTACCGCGCCATGGCGCACAAGATAAACGAGGAAGGGATACTGCTCCTGGAGCAGCCCTTTGCGAGGGTGAGTCTCGAGGCACGAGGAAGGACTGAAAGCTTACGCTATGTGCTTGCCCAGGTCCCCTACGAGAACTACCGCAAGATATTCCGCACGTCGCAGAAGCAAATCGAGCGCGAGATGGGGCCTGTGCAGACGGGCGTGGCGAAGTTGGCGAAAGATGCGGAGGCCGGGTCCTTGGACTCGGCGCAGGCGATGGAAAGCATCGACGCGATGATCGCGCGGGTGGAGGGGTTGAAGCGGAAGGTGCGTTGTATACCTACATATTCTGTCGTGCCACCACTCACGCGATAGCTCAGCTCGCCGACCTGCACTCCACCACGGGCAAGCCCACGCAGGACGTCCTCCGGGACCGGTTACAGCACCTCAATGCTCTGTCCTCCTTCCAAGACACCACGGACCCCGACTTTGACAGATGGGCGGATACGAGGCTGGATAGGTGGCTGGTGGACTGGGCGCTAAGGACGGGGAGGGTCAATACGGCGCGCGATATTGCGAAGCGGAAGGATATTGAGGTGCGGCGGCGGTCGGCTGACTTCGTGTCATTCAAGTGCTGACGGAGGCACAGTCTTTGGTGGATATTGACTTGTTCACGGAAATCCGGCGAATAGAGGGCGCGCTGCAGGCGCATAGCTGCACGGAGGCCTTGGCGTGGTGCAGCGAGAACAAAGTGGCGTTGAGGAAGATCAAGGTTAGTCCGATGGTGCTATCCTTCAAGCATGTTTGTTGACGGGAAACGCAGAGTCAACTCGAGTTCGAGCTACGGCTGCAAGAGTTCATTGAGCTCTGCCGACAACGGAACACCGCGCAGGCTATCGCGTACTCCAGGAAGCACCTCATCGCCTGGCAGGACACGCACATGCCGCAGATCCAGCACGCCCTCGCTCTGCTTGCCTACGCGCCCGGCACCCAGTGCGGGCCGTACAAGGTAATTCTAGCGTCTTTCGGCTGCATTGAAGTCCTTCGAATCCTCCATCCATTTTTAACACTCATCCCACTTCACAGCGCCTCTACGACCCCTCTCGTTGGGACACCCTCGTCCGCTCCTTCCGTAACGCTGTTTACGCCCTCAACACCCTCTCGCCCGAGCCCCTCCTCCACCTCGCCCTCTACACCGGCCTCGCATCCCTCAAACTGCGCGCCTGCTACGTCAAGCACAGCAAGAACCCCGACTGCCCCGTCTGTGATGGCGGGAACAGTAACGACGTCCCATTAGCGGAGACGCGCGGCCTGTCCAAGCTCGCTGAGGAGGTCCCCTTCAGCCACCACACGAACTCGACGATCGTGTGCCGGATCACGGGGAAGATCATGGACGAGGACAACCCGCCGATGGCGTTCCCGAGCGGGCAGGTGTACTCGCGGAGCGCGCTGGAGGAGATGGCGGTGGATGGGGGGAGGGTAAGGAGTCCGGAAACGGGGGAGGAGGTGGAGTTCGGGCAGTTGAGGAAGGTGTATATATCGTAAAGGGCAGGGCATTGTATTTGTATGAATTTTTGCGCACTTCAATGGTCCGGATTTGGCAGACGCAGGAAACGCTGTTCAAGGCGGCGCATCATATGGGATTGAGAGGTGGTCATGCTACGCTATTGGGATACTGCCATAGCGAGCGCGTGCGATGTCACTCCCCGCGTCGTACTCTGCGAGCGGGGGCGGGATTCCAGGGTTCAGGTTGATCGCTGCCTGGTTTCGGTGCGTGTTCATCGAACGGTGAAGGTGTTGACGTCGCAGCGGCAGCAGGTCCGCCAGGCTGAGTCGTCGATGTCGACGGTTGAGCGGGTTCGGAAGTGGGGTGCGCAGTCTGTGCGGTAGGCTGGGCTGCCTGGGTAGCTGCTTCATCGACCAGCGTGGTCGCCCGCTCGACCTGCGGGGCGGTTGCCTGCTCGAGGGCTTGTGCGGTTTCTTGCGCGGATTGCGCGTTCTCAGCTATTCGGGCGCCGATGGGGTGTGCGGGGAGGGGGTCGCCGGCGGTGGCAGGCGAGGGGCTGAAGGACTGGGGTTCGGAGAGCAGCTCGCGTTGGGCGCGTTCTTCGGCCTCCCGGGCTTCGATCATGGCGACTTTCATTTGCAGGCGGCGTTGGCGCTCGGCGTCGGCGAGGAGTTCCTGGGAGGGGGTGAGCCAAAGGTAAAGTAGCAAATGCAAGTAGAAGATGAGAGGGAAGTAGACGCACCTCCATGGTGGGTGCGTTCTGACGCGTGTGGCTAAGCCAAGCAGACCATTGTACTATATGTTCCGGTCAGTATTCATAGTTAGAGCGGATAGGGGGATAGATGGACCTGGTAGCAGCTTCTGACGAGCAATGTATGCGTACTCGTCCTCCTTGGACTTGTATCGGACAGAGCGACTTGTGCGAGTCGTCCGGCCTGGTTATGCTTGTAAGTCACAGCTCACTCCTCATGCACACATTTAACGCACCTGCGATAGGGATTTCGTAGTACCTATTTCCTAAGCCAGGGTCAGTTCACTGAAGCGACTGCTGCTTAGTGTACAGACCGTCAAGGTCTTTACCGACCATCCTGGCCTACAAAAGTCAAGTAGAGCTCGTGAGCACATATTCACCATACGCACCGGTTTAACCATGGCTTCCCATACTCTCCTGATGAAGAAGGACATGGTGGTCAGACAAAGAACAATGGAACAATGGGAATCCCAATAAGGCTACTGTTGTCGCATATTTATGTCATACGCGTCGCGCGCGACGCGTCAGCGCGCCTGCCAACTGCCAACGCCGTCCCAGACACCCATCACATAGACCTCCATCTTCCTCGCCACCATGGCCGACGTCGAAATGAAGCCCGCGGATGCCAAAGACAAGAAGGACGAGAAGACGGAGAAGAAGGAGGAGGCGAAGCCGGTGCCGCCCCCGACGCCTCAGCAAGAAATCAAGGCAAACTTGGCGCTCATCGACCGTGCGGTGTCGACGATGGAGCCTAGATTCACCCATCGGGTGCTCAGGACGTTGACAGCATTGAGGAAACGGATAGATGATTCGGTGCTCCGGGATGCGATCCAGGACGCGTACCCCGCAGGTGCGCCATGAAGTCAGGCATACTCGTTGATCATCGAACTCATGAGGACACTATTCAGAATCCGCCGTTAAGAGCTCGCTGCTTGCATGGCTCCCCTCATCCTCGCAATCATCGATGGAGGTTGACCCAACGCCCTCCAAGGCGCCCTCGTCAGACCCCGTCCCCGAAGTCGAGGTCTACTTCCGGTTGCTGATCACGCATCACGTACTTGCCAACCCTTCGACCTACAAGAAAGCCTTGGAACTGGTGCACGAGACTGTTCAGATCATGCAGCAGCTCAACAGGCGGAGCATGGACCCCATCGCTGCCAAGGTCTGGTTCGCGGTGGAGCGCGCGTACGAGCTCGGTGGCGAGCTTGCAGATGCACGACCGTGAGTGATACCCTCGCTCATTTTTTGGAAGCATCTGACATCTGTGCAGTCTATTCCTCGCCGCACAGCGCACGGCTGCCCTCCGTCATGACGAAGACACCGAAGCCTCCCTCATCAACCGCCTCATCCGGAGCTACCTGCACTACAGCCTCTACGACCAAGCCGACAAGCTCGTCGCAAAGACTGTATTCCCCGAGTCTGCCAGCAACGCCCAGTTCGCTCGCTACAACTACTATGTCGGCCGCATGCGCGCTGTGCAACTGAACTACAGCGCTGCTCACGCCGGCCTGCAACAAGCAATCCGCCGCGCGCCACCAGCGAAGACCGCGCCGGGCTTTTACCAGGCCGTGCACAAGCTCTACGTGATTGTTGAGCTGCTCATGGGCGACATTCCGGACCGTGGCCTTTTCCGGCACCCAGTGCTCGAGAAGTCGCTCGCTGCGTACTTTGACATCGTCAAAGGTAAGGAACCTCCTAACTTGCGGATGTCCAGCTCTGACGCGTTGTTATTAGCCGTCCGCACGGGCTCCCTCTCCACCTTCCAGAACTCCCTCGCCACCCACGCCGCCCAATTCGAGGCCGACCGCACCCAGACGCTCGTCGTCCGGCTGCGCCAGAACGTGATCAAGACCGGCATCCGCCGCCTCTCCCTCGCCTACTCGCGCATCTCGCTCCGCGACATCTGCGTCAAGCTGCACCTCGACTCGGAGGAGGACGCGGAGTACATCGTGGGCAAGGCGATCCGCGACGGCGTGATCGACGCGAAGATCGTGCACGACAAGGGCTGGATGGAGTGCGTCGGGCAGAAGACGGGGTACGGGCCGGAGGTCGGCGAGGCGTTCCAGAGGCGAATTGCGTACTGTTTGGAGCTGCATAATCAGAGTGTGAAGGTGAGTTGGGGGGTGGTGGAGGTGTGGGAGGTGGTCGCTGATGTTTGTTGCAGGCGATGCGGTACCCGCTCAATGCGCATAGGAAGGAGTTGCAAGCGGCCGAGGGCGCGCGCGAGCGCGAGAAGGAATTGGCCAAGGAGATTCAGGAGGGAGACCTGGATGAAGATGACATGGAGGGTGACTTCTAATTTTGTGTGTATACGGTTGGCAGCAACACGCGATAAAGTCTACATTTCTGTCCGAACTTCTCCTCCAAGGTGCTATGGACCCATCGCCACCTTCTGTTCATGGACGGGCTGTCGCAGCGCTGCAATCAGCACGGAACTGGCGGTCTTGATGATTACCTCGACACCATATACCTACTGCACTACCCCACAGAGTTCAAGTGCCCCATCTTCGAGGACTGTATGTGCCCTGCGAGTACACCTCTAGCAGCGTCTTGAGGCTTGTTGGTAACGGAGGGAAAGAAGGACATTTGATTTACCCCCGAATGGGAATTTACTGTTGTCCGCGTGATCTTGGTGGTTCGGCAGCTTCCGGTCGCGCGCTCGCTGCACACTTTCATCAGCGCCCAATAAAATCTATTGTTTGCACCATGCTGAACATGCGTATGGGGAATTTGTTCTATGAATCTCGCCGAAGAGGTGAATAGAAGATAATGTAGTATGAGTGCACGAAGCGATAGAGAATGCGGGCCATTCCAGAGGCTGCCTACAGGAGCTGGCCATACAGAAGACAAACGCATCGAGTATACATTTCAGTGACACCATTTGCTCCTCTTCTCCCCCACAGCACTGGGACACTCGGCTCTACGATGGCCAGCACTTCTGCACGCGCTGCACATGTGCAATTGCGAGCATCGGCTGTTTTGACATCTTCCCTTCTCAAAATCGGGGCAAATTGGTCGGCCTCCCTTCGTGCCCTTACCCGTCGCGGCTCTCGCATCGGCACGCCCACGAAAAGTGATGGGGCGAATCGACCTGCATTTAGGGTGAACGATCATCGAACAGAGAGAAATACAAGACCACGTACGCATCGTCGCGCTCGGTTTCAGGGTTGGATGCGAAAGAAGAGGCTTCTGTCCTTGACTTTTCCGCGTCTATGCTTGAGGCCTTGGTCGAGAGGCACAGAAAGTGACTGATAGTTCTATGCCATGGGTCAAATCCCATCAGGTTTCAATCAACTAGGCGACGTACCCTCGGGAACGCGTGTAGATGTTGCGGATGCTGGTGATGAGCTGCATGTTGAACGCTGAGTGGTGATTCTGTTTGAGAGTCCAAGGGACTTAGCTGGCGGTCTGATATATATGGCGTGTTGAGCAGTCAGCGCCAAGGCGCTGCAGTCGGGGCTGAAGGTCGGACGGCGACATGTGTGCACCGACATACGCGATGAGTGTGAGCTGTACTAGGGTCGCTATCACAGGTGGATCGCGATCGCTGCACTGAATGGCGGCGTGCCGCAAGGCGTCAGGTGCGACTCTCAGGATCGATATCTTTGATCCTCTTCATCGCCCAGGCTATGATGGAAGGCTTCGGGGCGTCAAATGACAGCGCGGTGAGGTCGAGCACCGACACGAGAAGCAAGCAGCGACTTCGGTCGTGGCTCAGCGACGATCCGCGCGGCTGATATCAAAGCGCACAAGTGTGAACAGAGATCACCTTTCGTCCAACGGGATGGCTATGCGAAGAATAAGGTGCAAAATAGTGTATGACTCGTTCCTCTGGGAGGCGCGAGATGGTCAAGAGAGCTCGATTCAATACCACTCACCGGGTTGTACAACTCCCTTATAACCGGAGGAGGGGACGTTTGGCGAGAGACCCAGGGTACTGTCTTCACTCGCGTCGTCGGATGCAGCGCTTTTGCGACGGCGTTCCCAGCCTTGCATGCGCGCCACGGCGCCTTGAGCAGGAAGGCTGCCGCGCCTCGATGGCGGGAAGGAGTATTCAGTAAGCAGTGTAGCGATGCTATTCAGTTCATTAAGAAGAAGCACGATAGCAAGACTGAGTTCGCGCTAGAGTAGTCGGCCAGAGAAGACGGCGAGGCGGCGGAGGTCAGCTGGTTGGTTTGGACATGAGAAATCCCGAGCAGCTTCACATGATGGAGAGAAAAATACGACAGCGTCGTCCTCTCGAGGTTCAGGCTGAAGGAAAAGACCGGGTAGCGCTGCAGTCTGAAGGTTGAACTAGATGATGGCGGTAGGAGGGAAGCATGTCGCATGGATCAAACCAATTATCGGCCGGTCAGAGCTCGGCATCCTCCGAGGATTCCCCGCGGGTCCGTTGACACACAGATTAGGCCTTTCCACACACTACAAGTACAAAATGTGTATGTATATCTTCGAACAAGGAAGACGTCGTATCAGAGTTTGCACGATAGGCAAGATGGGCGCCGTCGCCATTCACCAGTACATCATCGCCGCCTGCCGCAGATCACACTCGAGTGTCGTTCCCTACACAATTCGCACCGATGCTCCAATAGACAACTTGGGCTACGGCACCCCGCCTGCGAGTTGAAGGCGGGGCAAACGCTTCTTCCGCCTTGTCCTGCGCCTTGGCCGCCGAGCATTCTGGGGGGATTTCTGCCGCGAAAGCGAGGCGTACTACGTTGCAAACAGATTAACGTGTTGAGAGGAGAGGATGTCGGGCACATACCCGTCAGCACAATCAGCTTCGGTGTCAGAGCTTCCCCCGTCCGATTGAGAGCTCTCCGTCGCGCTACGTTGTGCGACGGTTGATTGGACCCGCGAAGTCTCGCCTGTGGCCGGCACGTCTGGGGTACACCCGAAGGCGCCGTGAACGTGTCTGATTGCAGTCCTTAAAGCGTGATTAGTATTCTCGTTGAAGGGGGAAGGGAGATATCTACTCTACAAAGGATGAAAGGGTAGTAAACATGGGTTTGGGATCGTGACAGTTGTTAGGGTCCTCTAGGCAGGAGCGGCCAGGAGCGCGTTACATACGAAGAAACGGGTCCACGGCCTTCGTAGATCACAGCCTACCTACAGCACCTTAGTAAGCCATTCTCAATGTGCAGCCCGTCGTGTACACGTCTAGAAAAATCGAGCGGCAGCGCTTTCAATCGAGATGTTGGTCCCCGCCCGTTGTCAGGGCGGCCCGAGGGAGAGTGCCCGAATCTGATGCTACACAGCGCGAAAGATTTTATGATGGTGGCAATGGCCTTCTGCAAACTGCAAGTACGGCCTATTAGCGCTCGCATCGCCATTGCACCGTGCACTATGCTTCGCCGGCCGCGGACCGAAGGCGAAGGTGTACCATCCGAAGGCTGATATTAGAACTAGCGCATCGTCCTGTGTATCATCAGCCGTGGCATGAACAGAAAGGTCGTTGCGCCCCCCGGAGAATGCCAAAGACCGAACGCGCGCTCGCGGCCTGCACCCGCTCCGAGTCTCTCCTCGCGATGGCGCGCAGAGCAGATCGCGGAACACGGCGAAAGGCAGGCTTGAGCCGCATGGGTAATCATTAGGATCTCTGATAAGGTACGGGGGGCGGCTACGAAAAGCGAAGGCGAGTGAGCGGAGCGGGCAGGAACGAAAGCTGATCTGCGGGTGGCCGTAAAACGTATAGTTCCACGGAAAGATCCGAAGTGCTGTCACAGTTGGGTCACAGACTCACGAGCTTTGCACCCTACGCAGTGTACAGTTGGTGTACAGCCCAGATAAAGATTAAGCGATGTAACAGCGCTCTGTGAGAGACGACAAGATGCCATTTATCCAGAAGAAGCGCGAAAGACTGATTTCGCGCCAAGCAGTCGGTTGAAGAAGGTCGGAAGGCGAAGAGGGTCATCTGGTGTGGTTGGCGCATGTAATTGCGACCTGGATTGTATTCTTTCTCGATATATCGAGGCACTAGCAAGGTTTACCACGACGACGAGCGAGGCGACCAACGAATTGGATTTCTGGCGATATCTAGGGCGATTAATCAAATCCATCGCACAGCGCAAGCCTACATGTAAAGGCGACAAGCGAATGCAAATATGGTAAAGTAACTGTCCTTTACGGAATATGCGGGATGTTGTGGAGGAAGCAGTTAGCGCCCACTGAGGTGTACACAAAGGGCTGCGGTGTAGGTCCCTCGGAAATGACGGCGCGTTCTACTTCTTCGCATCGCAGTTGACCGCCGAGTGGTTTCTGAAGCATACGCTGCAGACGTGGTCCATCATGCAGTTCTGTACATTGCAGCCCTTCTTCGAGTTGAATTTATCGCATGTGGGTTTACCCTTCTTTTTGTCGGTCTTCTTTGTGCTTGGACCAGCCGTGGCTCTCGTGTCTGCACGACCACGCAAGCGGGGAGATCTTCGCGCCCAATCAGTCAGTTGGAGCTCCGAGGAAGAGACACCAAAGATGCGTACCCATCAGAGCCGTCAGACTCGGCGTCCGAGTCAACGTCGCTTCCATCAGACTTCATGCTCTCCGTCCTGCTGCGCTGCTGGATGGTCTCCGGAGCAGACACTTCGTCGGTCGTCTGGATGTTGGGAATAGGCTTGAGAATCCCGATGTGCACCATCACGGAGCTGCATGCACGTCAGGTCAGGTTCAGGAAGGAAACCGCAAGATACTCACCATACGAACGCATAAATGGTGGTGGCGAATGCCATGACTTTGGTTGGGTGGGTTCAAGTTGGGCTGTCGTCGAGCGCTCGCGGCTGGAGTTTATCTACCCTTTGAGCTCACAGCATACGCCCACAGCCTGTGATACACTCAACAGCAACCCTAGTAACCTATTTTCCAGGCGCCCTGTCGTTTACAGCCATTTAGATGATTCGCCGCACCTTTGAATTCGAGCCGCTGATATTGACCCTAGGAAATATGTAAGTGGCACAGGGCTGGCACTCAACGAAGAGAGCGCACGCAGCTGGAGGCGATGGAACGTTTGACATCGGTCAGTGCGGGTGAATACTGCTCGCATCGCCGCCTGATTGCGAGGGGGAGTCGAACGACGGGACGCCCGAAGGTGGCGATCCATCTAACAGCTGAAATCTCGAGATATCGCGCCGCCCACCATCTGAACGATCATTGGGTGAACAGAAAATCATCGCATCTCCCGGAGAATATCTACGTCCGAGCATGTATACGCCCCTTGCCGCCGCTCATAGCCTCTGACCCCTCACGATGATAGCGCAGCGACAGCTCGTAAAAAGCGCTCGTCGGGATGTACGAATGACGAGGTTTCCTTCCAGTGAGTCGTGCGCCGAGATTACTTGGGCGGGACGCACAATTCGCTGCCGCGCGCGGGATGGAGGCGGCTGCAACAACGCGGTCCGATCTCCGTTCGGCCATAAAACGGCGGAAGCAAAGTTATCTCGGCATTCTCCGTTCCAAAAGGAGTAGTGTCACGGTTGGGTGCAGGATCAGCACGAGTTCGTTGCCGTGCTCGAAGCGCGATCCAGGAAGTGTTCAAGGTACACGAGCATGCACGTACAATTGAGGTAATAATACAGCAGCTCATGCAATCCGATGATTGTGAAGTATGGTATACGATGAGTGTTTCGTATAAGTCCGGGGTCGAAGCCATAGAAGTGGTATGCGAAAGCGTGTCCGAGGCCGTGGCTAGGCGTAAGCACGCGGGGTGGAAAGATGTATGTACTGAGAGTGATGTATAAGGATTGATAAAGAGAAGAGAGGCACGAGGACGTCAGGAATAGATGCGACATAAGGAGAGGTCCGATGGGGATGTGTTATAGATTACGGCAGACATGAGTCCATGAGCTCTTGAGATCCCCCGATATGGAGTGCAAGAAGGCGCGCACCGCCTCCGAGAAGCCACCTATTGTGGCTTGGCGAGGCACTGCGTTACGGAGTGCTTGTCGCTGGCGCACGCAGTACAGCGATGGTCGAGCATGCACTTCGGCGCCGGACATCCCTTCGCAGAGTTGAAGGCCGAGCAGATCTGCTTCCCCTTCGTCTTCACGGAGTTCTTTCGAGAGCTCAAGGAGGTACTCGAGGTGGCCACAATATTTGCAGGCGTATTGCCTCGGAGACGGAACGGCGATCTGCATAGAGGTCAGTTGGACGACGCGGGGGAAAGTAGGTTATGTACACTTACCCGTCGTCGGAGATTTCAGAATCACTGTCCTCGGACTCTATGCCCGCCGGCGGACACTCATCCTGGCCTTCGGAGTGAAGAGTCGCGGCAGGCGCGCTGGTATGGAACAGACCATCGCGGCCATTGTCGCTGTCGGTAGTGGGGGAGGGCGAGGGCGTCCTCGAGAACGCACGGTCCACAGCGATTCTGAGAAGAAGTCAGCTGCCAAGGAGAAGCAATATCAGAAGCAAAGAACGCACTGCAAGTAGCCAGAAACCTTGAAGAGGAAAGCCATGATGATGATGATGATGTTGAACGTTGAGAGTGGATGATTTGGGGGCGGGGGAGATATGGGCATGGTATTACTTATGCGGAAGTACTTATAGTCCTTGCCTCGTGCACTGAAGCACAGCAGCCGTACCAGGCAGGAAGGAGGACGACCAACGGACAGGTGCGAATACAAGGTTCGAAGCCACTGATCAGACAGTGCTCTGGAGTCAACATGAGTCGGAGGTGTGGGCGCCAGTAGACCACGTTTTCGAGAAGTAGTCTACTCGACCACATGTTGCCTGCACTCAACGATACAGCTTCGGTCCTGTTTGATTGGCAAGGGTTGAGCAATACAGATACTATCTCAGTCGAGGGAATGGAATGGCCGGCAGGTTTGATGGACACACCTCGAAGATCGCAGAGGGTGAGCGCGTCTTGACAGACGGGCGCATTCATCTCGAAGTGTATCTATCACTTCTATGCAGCAGTGGCCGCATCGCCCGTGAACATTGATCCATGGGCTGTGGAGTACTGTACAGTGTCCGGGGCTGGGTCTCGACGCGCGACTGAGTGCCGTAAGGGTGTCGTACGTCCAAGGACTTGATTTCACTATGCGCTACCGCACACCATCTTCCAGGCGCTTTGGACGAGCGCTGGACCGTCGACGTGAGCGGGGGCAGGCCCATTGCGCCGGTATTGACATCAGTCCGAAATCCGTGCCGGGCACGCCGCCCCTGTCGGTCCGCCTTCGAAGAGTGGCGAAGAAACGCCGACGATCATGACTGACATCACGGCTGCAAATATTCAGGGGTGTCATGAGCTAGGAAATGTGGAGCGTGAGCACAAAAACGAAGCGTCGAGACCTTTGCAAGACGAGGATGAGGGCAGGACGAAAGCCCGAACAATGGTGCCCGAAAGGGGATTTCATTTAGAAACACATTGCGCGGCGCGTCATTGTTTATTCCGTGCCCCGCGTTTCCCGTCGCCGTCATATGTCCTCATGTGTCCCTACCATGCGCTCCCGCGCCGATCCCTCCGTTATCCCCTGTCCATTAGCCCTATCGATGGCGGGGAAGCCGTATAAATACCGGGGCTTTCTTTCCCCTCTCCTCATCCATTCCCCACATCCCCCCGTATCACCCCGCGAACGAACGAATTCCAGAAAAAATGGTCGCGTCTACCACCGTCAAGCTCAACACCGGCGCCGAGATGCCTACGGTCAGCCTCGGTGCGTGCTCTATCGCGCCATCAGCGTCAGTGGACTGATCAGGCGATCATAGGGACATGGAAGTCCAAGCCGGGACAGGTCGAGCACGCCGTTGAGCATGCGCTCAAGGTCGGCTACAAGGGCATCGACACGGCGGCGGCCTACAAGAACGAGGCTGAGGTTGGGAAGGGGATCAAGGACTCGGGCGTCCCGCGCGAGTCGATCTTCCTGACCACCAAGCTCGACAACCCGGACCAGAAGAACCCGGAGAAGGCGCTGAACGACTCGCTCAAGGCGCTCGATACGCCCTACCTTGACCTTTGTGCGTTTCCTGCAAAATTTCAGTCAAGGCGGAAACTGATACGCGTCCACAGGGCTCATGCACTGGCCTGCGCCCATGTTTGACGGCAGCACTCCGGACAAGAGCGTGAGTAGCGCGATTACTATACATCGAACTCTATTGACCCCCGCGTAGATCGACTGGCTCGACACCTGGAAGGAGATGGAGCGCCTCTACAAGACCTACCCGGACAAGCTCAAGGCCATCGGTGAGCCGCGCTCTCCGCTTCCATCCTTCCCCTCACTAACTCATTCACTAGGCGTCTCCAACTTCTCCGTCAAGTTCCTCGAGCGCCTTCTCGCGAACTCCACGGTTGTTCCGGCCGTTAACCAGATTGAGCTTCACCCGTGCGTACCCTCATCTGTAGTGAATATACTCGTCCCCCTGACATCCCCCCGTCATACAGCTCGTGCACCCAGACCGACGTCGTCGAGTTCTGCCGCTCGAAGGGCATTGTAATCACCTCCTACTCCCCGCTCGGCTCCGACAACTCGCCGCTGCTGACGAACCCGACGGTGACGAAACTCGCGGAGAAGTACAACGTCGCGCCCGCGAACATCCTCATCTCGCTCCAGGCGAACAAGCCGGGTGTCACTGGTGCGTTTGTCCTTCATCTACCGATCCGCTTACTGACAATACACCGTCTCTCCAGTCCTCCCCAAGTCCGTCACCCCCGCTCGCATCGAGGCGAACCAGAAGATCGTCGACCTCACCGACGCTGAGATTGCTGAGCTCGAGGCCATCGACAAGGAGCACCACTTCCGCGCGTGCCATCCTTCGTGGACTGGCTGGGGCAGTCTCGGCTTCCCTGACTGCTTGGACGCCGACAAGGAGTAAGCATTCGTCGAGGGCCGTGATCTGCTTGTCCGCATAGGGAGAAGTCACGATTCGCTGACCGGGTTCTGAACTTATACCTAAGTAACTGTATTTGAACTAGAACTGTAGCAAATATCGTTGTTGACGCTCTGAACGCTCTGATCGCTTTGACCTCAAGGTACATCTTCGAAGTTCGAACTACTGCGTGCACGTGCCTTTTGAACATGATTCACGTGACTGACACGCGCAATCAAGTCACAAGTGACATCCCGCATCTTGCACGCCACCTCGACTCTGATGGCCATCACAACTTCAATAGATGCCGCCCTGTCTCTCGATTATTTCCCTTGATATTTCTTCACAGAGGATACACTCAAGAAACAACAAATTCAAGCGAAGATGCCCTGCGCGAAGCATGAGACGCAGCCTCGTCCGGAAAATGTGCTCCAGCGTCGTACGCGTCCCAAGTTCCACAAGGTGCGTGATACGTCGAAATGACGGCAGCGTAAACTCATACACGCTCTCACCGCCTGCATCCTTCACACGCAGACCTCCCCTTCTTACCCTCGGAGCACGATCATACCAGTCGCTACTGGCACTTCGGCTGACCCGCATCGGATGAAACAGTCGACGCGCTCCTCCGAAGATCTGTCCCCGCACTGCTCACGGATCCTCGCGGAGTTTTGAGCAGATATGCTCTGTTTTCGCAACTCCTCGAATCTGTGTCTGGATGTCTTACTATCGCTTCGTCCTTGTCGAGCCAGACACGACAGTTTCCTGGCAGAGTCCAATCGCAGAGGAAGGGGAGCGAGGCTTGTCTTTCTGTATGGTGGTCTCTGACTGCAACAAAATTTACTCCCTGAAACGACCTACGAAGGAGCAAGTGCAGCGACTCACCCGCCTCTTCGGATATGAGCCTCGATGGACGCGAGGGTCAAGAAGGAGTGGAAGGATTACGGGTATAGCAATTGACATGATACTATGAACGTATTTATTTGTCACGTATCTCTGCTCTGCAAGACACATTCTCTGCTTATGTCGGCCTCAACGCTTGCTCGAGCGTCAACGATATTTTGGCGTATTTGCACCTGTGGGTCCAAGTTCAGATGCATCGCAGCAATCAGCACCTCGAACTTGGTTCTGAACCCAATGATCATGACTTCCTCGAAGACCACCGTCTCCCTCTAAGGATACCGCTACTTGACTAGCGTAGCTCTTGCACCCATCTACTCTCCACCATGGCCACCCTACCCCGCGCGTCCAAGTCCCCTAACGCGACACCTCAATCGAGCAGAATCCTCGGCAGGCCCGTTTCCGAGTCCGCTAATTCCCAAGCCCTCGACTTTGATACCGGAATCAATACATCGGCAGCTTGGACTGAGCATCTGGAGCATGGCTACGCATCCGATCCTGCTTCGGGGGACGAAGCAGACCAGGACGTGGAGGAGGAGCAATCGCGGCCAGCGCGGGCGCTGTACGACTTTGAGGGCAAGGCTGAGTTTCGCGAGCTCACAGTGTACGCGGGGGACGAGCTGCGCGTCGTGCGGGAGGAGCTACCGGATGGCTGGAGTCTCGTGAAGACCGAGTCGGGCGAGACAGGCCTCCTGCCGCGGACCTACTATACGGTGCGTGACCTGCTTCTGGCTGGCTGGCGCCAGGTGCTGACCAGGAGCCCTATAGTTCACCTCGGACTTTACCACTGCACCGGACGTTGACGTTCCCCCTTCACGATTCCGCTCGAAGCGCCGCGAGGCGTCAGACCACGATCGCACACCGCGCGGATCGCCTACGTCGGAGCAGGCCGCACTACCCATCATCCCCCAGAACACGGGCGAGTGGTTCCCGAGCTTCAAGCGCAGCCTGCTCGGGGGCAAGAGCTTGAATCGATTCAGTGCCTTCGTCACGAGCGGTGCAGAGGAGTGGGTGCTCAACGGGGCGGGCGATATAGACGCGGAACCACCTCCAACGACCCACGGCCGCATTGCCAGTGACGCGTCGGACGACGGAATGGGGAGGCTCAGCGCGCTTGGAATGGGGGAGGCGGATCGACATTATGTGGATTCGGGGCCAGCGTGGAAGGCGAAGATTCCGCCATTCAGAGTGATCGTGCATTCGCCGTCGAAGCGGTCATCGGTGCTCTCGGGCGCCTTCACGGTGTATGGTGTCACGTCGATCTTCGATGGCTCTCGACGACAGGCGTCAGACGATACCCAAGGACCTAATGATTCTGAAGACCTCGAGGACACCGACGGCGAAGACGATGAAGAGGGCCCCTCCACCCCTCGTATGACTGTCAGCCGCCGGTTCTCTCACTTTGTCATCCTACACACGCTGTTGACTAGGCGACTACCTGGTATCGCGCTACCTCCACTGCCCGAGAAGCAGTATGCAGGACGCTTCAGCGACGACTTCGTTGAGGCGCGACGTGGAGACTTGGAACGCTACATCAATAAGATCGCCCGGCATCCCATTGCTCGATACGCGGACATCCTTACCGCATTCCTCGGGTGCGAGAGTGACCTGGTACGCTGCCCGTCATTCGATTTCCTGCTTACACTCACGAAGATCGCAGGAATGGAAACGCCTTTTGAACCAACATCTATCCGTTCCTCCCTCTGGCCCCTCGTTCTACGCTCGTGTGTTCCACCCCGCCTTCAATGTCGACGCAGAGGACGCAGCGGAAGCAGTCGAGCGCTTCGACACGCACACTCGTGCGGTCGGCAAGGGCGTGCAGGCGTTGCGTAACATCTTCGGCCGCGTACGCGAAGCGCGCGTGGAGATGGCCAAGACAGAGCGATTGCTGTCGTACTCGCTGTTGTCCCTCATCACGTCGAGACCCCTCGCGTCGGCGCCGACAACAGGCGCGACGGAGGAGGACGAGCAGTATAATGTGAAGGGGAAGGGGCTGTTGAACGCGGATGGGGCGTGGTGTTGGAGGGAAAATTGTGAAGGTGAGCTAGCTGAAGAGTGTACGAGGGGAACGAATAGGCTGATGAGTCGTAGAGTGCTTGAAGCTGACGAAGGCGATGCAGAAGACGTCCGACACCATACAGAACGTCGCGGATTTGTATGAAGCTCATGTACGTCTCCCAATCCATCAGGCGAGATCCTAATTCTGAGCACACGCTCGGTAGGCGCGAAGACGACAACTTGACACGCACGAGTCCCTGAAAGGCGTTGCGCACCCGTACTCGCACTATGAGGGCGTCATAACAACGCACCGATCCGCTCTTTCGCGATATCACGAAGCGACTAGCGCGGAGCAGGTAAACAACTTTACTATGACGAAGATACCGTTCACTAACGGGGTATTAGCCCAACGAAGAAGTTGCAGGGCGCTGCGAGACCGTGCTCAACGTGACCATGGCGGAGATGGACACTTACCACCAGCAGAAGGTGCAGGATTTTGGTACCCTAGTGAAGGACCACCTAGACGGCGAGATCGAGTTTTACGAGCAGGTCCGTGAGGTGCAGTCGTCCGGGTCTCTCTGGCTCATCGCGTTCAATAGGTCCTCCGACGTTTACGGAACGCGCGACAAGCCTTCGACGAACCCGAGTACACGGAATTGGGCACTTCTCCGCGTCAGCCCTCGATATACGAGCGCGAGCTGGAGCACCCGAGATTGGGCGCAGAGCCGCTGACGCAACCGTGCCCTCATGTGTACGACTCAGCACCGATGCGGCCCGTCAGTGTCGCGCTGCAGGAGGGCGTCGGGCTGTTCCTCGGCCCTACGGCGAGAGGAAGCGTATTGGGAAAGCTATGGCCGAGTCGGGCGGCACAGAGTACGGAGAGATGAACATACATGGGGAATCCGTCGGGGACTTGCTTGCATATCATCATCACTATCTGCATATCGACGATCTAGAGACATGTAAGGACCAGTCTATACCTATGTTGTACTTCGTATACCCTCATACAATGACGAACTTTACGACCTTCGGTGGTTTCCTGCTTGGCGGGATAGCGGGCCGCGCTGGGCCGCCTTCAGAACAAAGCCTGCCTTTCTTGCTCTTGATGTCATGGGAGTTCTAGGCTTGACGCCTTTCCTCCAGAAAGTCTGGTACGATGGCTGTCAGCGTTTCGTATGTCTCTTATAGCTTCATAGCCCAGAGGCTATCCACAAGTTACCAGACCGCCTGAGGGGACTGACGGGCAAGACGATCGTCATGTGGGTATCAGCGTCCCTATGCAAGTGGTAGCGCGAACTGACGCGTTCAACAGCGATGGCACGCTCATTACACAACGCTTTCACTTCGCACCGCTCCCTCATAGGTATCGACACGTCTTGGGATGGTACCGGTTGATGCAGGAAGTGAGGGAGAGCGGCGTGAACGCGATCTGCGTCTTCGACGGGAAGGAGCGAAGTATGGCGAAGGCGAGGGAGGTGCGTGGCTGAGTAGCTCGAGGGGTGCTGCCCAAGACTGACGAACGCGTTGCAGGTGTCCAGGAGGCGAGAAACGCGAGCGCTAGCTATGGCCCGCGGCGCACTGGAGGTCGAACGCCTGAGACGACTGCGTGGACTAGAACCCCTCCTCGAACGGTTCAGTCGCCTCGATGATGCAGAGAGAACCAGGATTTTGGAAGCCCTCAAGGCGTCAGCCAAGCCAATCTCTGGTCTTGACGCGCTCTCGCACGAACAAGAACTCATCTCGGCGACTGTGGCGGCCAGCAACTCAGCAGAAACATACACGCGCGCGGTCGAGGACTACGTGAATCGAATAGAGGATGAAGATTCCGCCGCAGGAACTTACGATTCTGTACCCGACGTCGAAGACGTCTGGCATGTCGCCAATTCGCACCCTCCCGTCCGGACCCAGACTTCTGCTTTACCCCAATCTCAGAGGACAGAGACCCTTCCTTCCCCGGAGGATGAAGACGTCGAGCCTTTGGATGATCTCGAAGGCGACCCCTTGCCTGACCCCCACACCTCGCTGCCGGGTCTACTCACACAGGAACAAGAGCATGACTTGCCTCCTTTACCTCCCGCCGATGGCGAACTCCCCACAACCTCCGCCGTATCACCCACCGATATCACAACCCTTCTTATATCGCTATACCAAGAATACCGCAGTAGCATTCCAAAAGTGGCCGCCCTCACTGTCGCGCCAGCGACTCCCGAGAGCCAGAGCGACGCGCAGTCGGACATGATTATGACCAAGGAACAAAGGCAACTCACCCTCGACGAGGGCGGCTTCTGGAAGGAGCTACAAACCTCGCGCGCTTATTCTACCCGAGGTTCTTCTGGTTCTGCTAAGGCGAAATCGAAATACGCCATCGACACCTTGATGCAGAAGAGCGCTCTGATGCACGCGTCTTTCGACCGTCGAGCACATCCACCGACAGAAGCGACATATCGAGAAAGCAAAGAGATACTTGCCGCGCTGGGTGTGCCGTGCGTTGACGCGACTGGCGCTTTTGAGGCGGAGGCGCTAGCTTCCGCGATGGTCCTTGGCGGCCTTGCTGACTACGTCGTCAGCGAAGATACCGTGAGTGTACTAGTCTTTTCTACCTGGCCAGGTGCACTGATCGTCGGCTTCAGGACGTCTTGGTCTACGGCGCACCTCTCCTACGCAATCTCAGCAACCGACAAGGACCTCTCGTCCTGCTGCCAGCGTCTCTCTGGGACCTCCTTCACCTCTCGCGCAAGGAATACGTCGATTTCGCTCTCCTCCTCGGGACCGACTTTTCGCAACGCATCAAGAACGTCGGTCCCGCGCGCGCTCTCAAGTTCATCCGCACCCACGGCAGCATTGAGCGCATCGTAGATGAGGAGACGAAGTACCCGCCACGGATACCCGTCGAGGAATACCTGCACTCAGTCGCCGTTGCTCGTGCCATCTTCGCGACCCTCCCGGCCCTGCCGGCACCCGAGGCGCTGCAGCAGGGCGAGATGGATGAAGTGCAGGTGAATGAGGTACTGCACAAGTACGATCTGGAGACCTACCTGCGCGACGATGAGTGGGATTACGACAGCGGAGTCGGTACCAGCTTCTTTGGCGATGACCCTCGGACATAATTGGAGGAGCAAAATCGCATCGCACGTACTACAGTATAATACAAGTCCCATTCTTCGAACCCAGAAGTCTCTCGTCAATATATACACTTGCATAATGATACGAAGAATGGGGCACGCATATCGGTCGTTCAAAACATCGCGAGGAGACGGTCAGTGGGTGCAGCTACGTACATGTGTACGGCGGCGAGATTGCCATGCCCTGTGTTTTTTGGAAATTTTCTTTGGATATAGGCAGCGGATATCTAGAGCTGAAGGTAGTCTTGGCGAGAGTCAAGCCCTCAGATCAGCTGGAGAAACAAAATATGGGAGCATCATGTCCTCGGGTGCGACTTTCAAGGCGACCGTGCTGAAGTGCAGCAAGGCGCAGCATCCCGAGGCGGCGATCGTGATAAGGAGGGTGGGACCGATACCAAACGAAAAGGCGACGATAAATAGAACGTTCAAAGCAAGCAGTGCGATTCCCCAGAAGTGAAGTGCCCGAGGGAGGGCCATGGCGAGGGCGATGAACTGGAAGCGGTACTTTTCGTGGCAAACTTGGGGCAGGTAGGTTTTCTGAGGGAAGTTAGATTAGATCTCGGAAAACCTGAAGGTTGAAGACTCACTGCTGTTGTTGTTCCTGTGTGGGCAAGCGCCGAATGGCGATTGATCAGGAACATTGCAGACAAGACGCTCAAGCCTGAGACGGTGGCGGACGCGAGCGCGAGCGGCGCGTACGATGACACGAAAAGCAGTGCGGCATGAGCGAGGAGCACGAAGAAAGACTAAGCGAATCTGTCAGAGCGATGTTTGCGGCATCGAGACGCGTACTCACCTGCGACGAGACGCTCTTCCAGTCGTGGAGTATATGGTCGATGAACTTGCGCCAGTGGTCGCCATAGATCTGATCATCGGTGAACTGGTCTTCTAACCGCACGCGGTAGTCATCCCAGACGCGGAAAGTCGCAAGGCTGGCGCATTTCATGATCTTGGGCTCCTCCTCGTTGAATTCCTTGATGCGCTGATTCCGATTGAGCCTCGCGTAAGGGGTGCCGTAGTGCACATCGGCGCGATACATGTCTGGAGGGGTATAAGCTCGGAACAGCTTCGCTGGAGACTAGGTTTCACTCACAAACCATGCACCATAGACGAGCTGAAAAGGGCCGAATTAGTTGTCTGCGATTTGCTGGCGGCGAGTTTGCGTACCGACGACAAATGTAGCATGAGGGTCAGCGAGGTGCCCTTTCAATCCACTGAGGATGGACACAAAGTGCGTGCAGTCTTGCACATTGTAAGGGAAGGTGGACGTCGGGGACGTGAGCTGATCTGTCAGGCCATGCGAGAAGACATTGTAGAGCATGTCGAGATCTCGCTGTGACAGGCCACCGAAGTGCGACGGATAGTACTCGACATGGCGCCAGAAAAGCGCTTCTGTGTGCGCCGCTGACATAGCTTTGCGTCAGCACAATTCGTGGCTCGAGATGACAAGGAAGGGCTCACCGAGGTTAGTCGGCGACGAAACGTCAGGGAGGCCGACTTCGTACGTGAAGGTCGTCTCCGCCCAGAAGATAATGCGCGCCCGATGGTCGACGAGGTAGTAGGCACAGTCATCGTCACGAAGCTCGACCATGAGCTCGATGTCGCTATGCATGTCGACCAGATTTGCGGCGAGCTTCTGCTCGATATGCTGGATCCAGGTCGTGAGGCTGTCGAGGATTGCCGGGTCGTCGGCGTCCTCGTCAGTCACTGTCCGCACTCTGCCTTGAGCCACAAAGACATGGTAGAGCAGACCCTCTGGGTGCGTGTACGCGAACCAATCCGACACGGGGTACTTGGGGCTGTGTGGCGTCGATTAGCGTGGCGTGATATGAAGGTGCTGAGCGACTTACTCTGGCCGTCTAGCCTCGATGTCGCCACACTCCAGCTGGATGCTGTGGACAGCGTTAGACGAGGATGACGCGTGCAAAGTGATGTGGAACTTGCTTGTGGTGCCGCTTGTAACGACGAGAGGACTCCGGAGTGATGGGGATGAGCTCTCCGGTAGTCGGAACGTCGACGGCTGTGGCGGCCTGCATTGCTGTGGAAGACAGAAAGATGGGTGTCGGACAGAAGCCGAGCACTCGACCGTGGTGCACTTTATACTAGGAGGAGCGTGTTTGTCAGTGCAGTGCCACGAAATGCACAGCACAGCCATCGCCTCTTAGGCGCCGCCATCAACCGTAGTCAAGGACGTCTTCCCCGCTTCCATCGCGTTAAAAGAGTCACGGTGCGATGCAATCATCGTTGATGACCGTGCAGCAATACTTAGAAGTGACGAGCGCTTAACGTGAAAAGCGAAGGCCAGGCGAATTTCTGAGGGATTGTGATTGAAGCAAGAATCGGGGGCGATGCCTTCTTAATTCGCGTTGGTGTGAGCTCCGGCTCTTCATGCTGTCGGCTCAATGGTAGAAGAACCTTCAAAGAAGAGTTTGAAGGCTATGGGCGCCACATGCGCACACGACCTCCTGGACCGGGCAAACCATGCAAGATCGCTGTCGCAGCAGTTGGACACCCCGACGGATCGCAAGAGTTGTAAGCATCGACAGACGTTATAAACGGAGAGGCCCGTCTTTGCACGGGGGGCTGAAGCTCCGCCACAGAGGAAGACAACGAGGCAGTGTGTCATCGTTTGCTTGTGCGAGAGCAGGCAGCAATCATTTCGGGATATGCCGAGGCCGATTGCGAAGGTCTACTGTCACTGTGCTGTGCGGGCGATGAACGCAGCGCCTCTTCTCACTCCCGCCTTCTGAGAAGAATGATAGAAGCCTTCCCATCATACTGTCAGAAGTGCTGTCCTACCTTTGAGTACACGTGAGCAGTGTCGTCGGCAGGTTGGCTGATACGTGCAGCTACAGCTTTACAGCCATCTAGCCCAATGAGAGGCGGGTGGGAAGGCGGTGACTCTCGGGGAGCCTGATCCACCCATACTGCATCCAATACTCTTCAGAGTCAAAGGCTGTCCGCACAGTAGACAAGTCTGGAGACTCATCCTGTGGCGCTCTGGAGATATCTTGTGCCAGTAGTCTTCATGGTGCTGTGGACTCAATGAAAAACTTCCGTATGGTCCCGTCTGTATTAGGAATGACTGGATTTGGACTACCTGGATGCCACATAAACACGTCGATAACGATGCGAGCTGAATCGCCCGATCAAGGCTAAGCGCCGGGCGCCTAGTGGTCCCCCAAATGGACTCATTGGCGCTGCAATGGTCGACCAGACTGGAGCCAGTGGAGATCCTGCCTCAGTGTGGTGATTCTCGGAGGGATGGTAAGTACTGGGACAACAGGCTTTGGTGCCCCAAAAGGTTCAGATTGTTGATTGGCAGCGCATCACAGGCGGCGCGGCCTTTAGATCACTGATGGGCCCGGACACGCGAGCGCTGCAGAGCGCTGCAGCGCCCATGGCCTGCGCGCGCCGAGCGCCTGCACGAGGCGTTTAGTGTCCCTTGAGTCACTGCAAATCATCGCATTCTTGACTGCCATCCGTACGGACGAGCCTATAAAGGCCATACCGTGCACCGACGAGCCGCAGGTCTACAGCAATCCGAATCCTCATCTCCGCGACAATGGAATACGTCCATAGTATCACGTCAGTTTCTGTGGGCTCTCCTATGTGTACCCGGGTCTGACCCGCATCTCTACTGCTGCAGAAACTACCTCGGCCTGACGCATGATAATGAGGAAGAGGTGTCCAAAGTCCAGCCGGCTCGGGAGGATAGCATTGAAGCCAAGGATGCCTACGGGCCTGATGAGGACGAAGATGATCTTGGGTGAGTCTTCAAGATCTTCATTCCTTCCTCTCGGTGGCTGACGAGCTGTGGTCGGCGATCAGGTGGAAGTTGAGGGGTGGACCTACGAAGAACGCTGTCAGCGGTACCAGTCGTGGTGGTCGACCCAAGTGCCCCGACTTCAACAGGGGGAAGTGCGCGTCGCGATGCCCGAAGGGACTTGACCACGTATGCAACAGATGCGCTGGTCCCCACCCAGCTGTCACCTGCAAGAGATGAGCGCCGAGCGCTGATCTCTTCGCGTATCCTGGTGCGTCAGTCGAATCTTCGTCGAACTTCCCTCTTGCTGATCGTCGATAGTTATCCAGTATCCTGCTCACCCATTACCCTCGTCTATCTCACGCAAACATGCCCCCTCCATCTATTTACTTGGCCATGCGCTCGGACGCCTTCTCACAATCCTCTCCCCTTCTCATCCTATTACCCAACGTGTTTCCCCCGTCCCTAAAGTAGGAACCTGTTCAACGATAATTTCACATACTCTCTCAGAATTTTGTTGTCATGTATACTATATACGCTTCTTTGTTACCTGTCCGAGATGGAAGAGCGTTGTGCAAGTGCATTCTAAGCCCAGCGATGTCGAAGCCAGTCAAGTTCGGCGACTGCCGACGCCACTTCAGCACGGCTACGTCACCGTCTCTAGATAATCACGTGGCCAAGCGCGTTGCAATCCGGCGCGCGCGTCTATGTTCATCTGCGCTTTTGTTCTTCCCCATCATGTCGCAGGCTCACGGATTCCTTGCTGGCCAACAAAGGGCACAGTCCAGAGGCTTTGTTCCCGCCACTCAACAACAAACGCAGCAGCCTGCAGGATACGCGCAGCCTCACGATTCCAGGATGTATCAGCAGCAGCCTCCCCCTCAGCGACAACCCCCGCAGAACGCGTACCGTCAGCTCGTTGAGCAACAGCAGGCAAGGCTACAGCAGTACAAGCAGCCTTTGCAACGACAACCTGGGCAAGCTGCACCTGCGGGAAACCAACAGCCGCGTCCGCTCTCACAGGGATTCGGTCAATCGTCAGGATTCAACAATGCACAAAGGCCCCCCTTCCGATCTCAGCAATCCGCGGGGAGTACCTCTCAACCCTTCAATGCGGCGCGAACACCATCTACTCAGCCAGGTCAATACTTTGGCCAGTCCCAACCAGCGACATCTACTTCCCCCAACACCCAAACACCGATGCAGCGAATGCAACATGGCTACTCCAATAGCACGCCCAACGCTTCTTTCGGCAGTCAGCCACCACCGCAGCGAGGCCCACCGATCTCTCCATCCGCGATCAGAGCCTCCCAATCGCAGACACCCTCTGTGATCGCACCATCCCCGCAACAAGTGCCTCTCCAGCCGCAACAGATGCAGCGGGGAAGGCCGTTACCTCCCCCGAGGCGCGCCGATACTATGCCGCCAGTCCAGCCGGCATCGTCATTCGGTGGAAGTACCCCGCAACGCGCGCCCGCGATGGGTCAGAATAGGAACATGTTCCCTCCCCCGCAAGCACCTGCGCGATCAATGTCCACTTCCCCCGCACCCATGACTGCTACACATAGTATGCCTAGCCCGACGCGCCAGATGTCGCGGTCTCCCTCTCCTGCGCCGCCGGCGGTCATGACCTCCCCTTCGCGTGGGAGTAGGCCTCTGCCAGTCCCCACGCCAGGGCCCTCGCGCGTCAAGCACCAGTCGCTGGACATCAGTCGTTTACCCAGCGTCAGTGGTCTGCCCAAGTCCAGCTTCGACGGCATTCCAATCGCAGGTAGCCCACCAGGCAACGCTTGTCCCGTGAGCCCGCGCAACTTCGCTGCAGGCCTGCCGGATATACCCTCGCAAGCGAGCAGGTCTGCCAGCCGATCTCCCAGTCCCACCAAGGCGCAACCAGTACCACCTCCCCTCCCGCCGCGACAGTCTCCAACGAAGTCCTTCTCGGACAATAGCGCGACGCCGCGCTCGTTCCCGCCGCCGCTACCGCCTAGACAATCGCCGACGAAGGAAGACACGGAGTCGGTCCTCCGCAGGCGCGAAAGCCCTCCGAAGTTCGACCTTATGTCGTCCGACCCGCCCAGCCCTGAGAAGCCCGGGTCGCCGACAAAGTTCGTGCCGTTGTGGAAGCAGCGGCAGCGTACGTTCGCGGCGCCGCCGGTGACGAGCAGCCAGTCGGCCCAGCCGCCGCAGCCGTCGCCGAAGTGGATCCCGTCACTTCAGCAGTCGTTTCACAGTCAGCCTTCGCAGCGGCAGTCGTACCAGAGCCAGCCGTCGCAGCAGAGCCAGGAACCGCCGAGTCCATCCGCCTATTCGTCCCAGTTTTCCCAGTCTCCTTCGAGATCCGGCAGACCTCTGCCCGCTCCTAATGGTCGCTCGTTTCCGGGGCCACCGACCGAGCGCTCAGCGTCGCCTGCGTACTCGTCGGAAGAGGAGGACGAATCTGAGGCGAGCGAGGAGTCCGGGATAGAACCTCCCAGCCCCGGATACGGTATCCGTGACCTGCCGCGCAACAGTCAAGCTCCGCCCCTCGAGGACTACTACGACTACACCAGCGACGGCGGCTCTTCGAGGAAAGGCAGCAACTTCTCGGATCGCGGGCGGCTGCCGTACCCTCCGCAGATGGCGCGCTCGCTGCCGGGGCGCGCTGCCAAGCCGCCGGAGATGACGAGGATGGCGAAGAGTGCGGCGACGGGGGATACGGCGAGCATGACGCTGCGGTTCGCGGCGCTGGGGATGGATGACAATGGGGAGCAGACTCAGCAGAGGGGTGGTAGCGGCAGTGGTCTACCACAGCCGCCGCAGATGCCAGCGCAGCGACAGCCCATTGTGCCGGCACAGCAGCATGCAATGCAGACTCAGCAACCAGTGATGCACGCTCAGCAGCCCGTAACGCAGGCCCAGTGGACGATGATGCAGGCGCAGTCATACGCCGCCTCGCGGTCGAGGTCATCATCGCCGGCCAAGCGTATTCCTGGCCAGTGGGACGACCTGGACGACCTCCCTCCGCCACCGTCGCGCTCGCTGCCGCAGCCGCAGTCGCCGCGCGTGACGACGCATAGCCCGCTGCAGTTCCGCCGCACGCCGCCCGCGTCGTCGAGCACGTCGTCGATGACGGTGGAGAGCCCGTCGCCGCGAGATGGAAGGAATGCGCTACCGAAGATCAACTTGCCGGACGACGGTGATGAGGACTTCTCTGGGGGTCCGTCTATCCAGGTCAGCCCAGCGATCAACGTCGAGCCGCCTAGCATCAGCGTCAACGGGCCGCCGAGTATCAGCGTCAATGGTCCTCCGAGCATTAGCATAAACGCACCCAGTATCACCTTCGACCCACCGCAAATCAATGTCGACCCGCCGAGTATTAGCGTGTCTGGCGCACCGAGCATTAATGTCTCCGCTCCTGCGCCTGTCGACCCGACGGTCATACCGGTCATCGCCTACGGGGGCGGTATCGACGAACCTCCGACGCCGCGCAAGCTGCCTAAGGACCTGCCGCCTGTAATTAGGAGAGGAGGACTGGCGTGCGGGGGTTGTGGCGGTGCGATCATTGGGCGGATCGTTAACGCGATGGGCGTGCGGTGGCATCCGGGCTGCTTCAGGTGTACAGTCTGCAATGAGCTACTCGAGCACGTCAGCTCGTACGAGAAGGACGGGCGACCGTATTGCCATCTCGATTACCACGAGGTCCGTCTCAGTCTTCAAGATCCACCGTGTGTATACTAAACCTCGGCTTCCAGAACTTCGCACCCCGCTGCTACACCTGCAAAACCGCCATCATCGAGGAGCGCTTCATCAGCCTCGACGACCCCGCTCTCGGCAAGCGCAACTACCACGAGCAGCACTTCTTCTGCGCCGAGTGCGGCGACCCCTTCCTCACGCTCTCCGGCGGGCTCCCAACCACGCGCGCGGGCGAGCTCAGCGTGAGCGGCGACGGGACCTTCGACTCGGGCGAAGGCGTCGGCTTCACCGTGTACCGCGGGCACCCGTACTGCGAGAACTGCCACGTCAGGTTAAGGATGCCGAAGTGCAAGCGGTGCAAGAAGAGTATCAGGGAGCATACGCCGGCGGTGGAGGCGCTCGGTGGGAAGTGGTGTTATGAGTGCTTTGTGTGTGCGGTGAGTGGGGTTGTGGTTTGGTGGGTGACGAGGAAGCTGACGCAGCTTCGTAGGGATGCGACCGGCCATTTGAGGACCCTTCTTTCTTTGAGAGAGAGGGGCAGCCGTATTGCGAGCACTGCTATATGGTGCTGCTGCGTAATGATCTATAGACGGACGGTGGCTGCATGTGTAGTTATCCTCGTTGACGCCTCTTGACGCCCTTCCACGATCTCTTCTTCCCATCTCTTGTTTTGCATTCATGTAGCGTCTAGACGTTGCTCTCGTTGCTTTCGTTCGTATATAGTGTACAGTATCTTGTGCTATATATCAGACTCGAGACTTGACATAGTCTTCGGTGCTGGAATATGTTCCATGTATAGTACTACGCCCCGCTCAAGAACTGTAGGCCGCCAAGATGACCTCCTTCACAACCTCTTCCGCCTCTTCGTCGGTGGCCTGATATACGAGTGACTAGTCGAAAACATCTCGGATGCTAGCGGACATGAACTCACCTCCAACTTACGACGAGCGGCATATGCGCGCTTGGTGAGTGCTTCCCTCGCGCGCGCGATGAGCAAGCTCATGACCAGCCCAACATCGCATCCTTCCTCGACTGATAGGCCATCCGATCGGCGGCATACGTTCTTGAGTTGCGCAAGGAGGGAAGTCTTGTCGAGGTCGTACTTAATGGATAGGGAGATCCTGCGTACGTCTCCGAGACAAGAGTGCTCGCAGAGTAGGTACACGGCCATCTTGCCTACGTCGTTCATGTCGAACCTCTCCGCCAGATGTAAAGCGGATTCCGATATAGTCGAAGGCAGGCTCTTCAGGGACCTGCCACTGGGGATTCCGAATTCTGTCAGAAAAGAAGATACGCGAACAGGTAATCCTCACAAGATATATGGTCCATCGTAGAAGAAAGCAAGGAGCGCTTTAAAATCTGCAACTCGGACTCCTGGTAGGGTGATAGCATTTCCTTCATGCGTGCCTTCCCTTAGTGTAGTACCATCACAGGGAAGAGACAGCATCGCAGAGAACACGTCAGAGGATCTGGCGAGGAGATGCGAATGGAGGCGAAAAATTGTGTTTTCGACCTGTAGACCTCAATAAGCATGCGGGTTGCGGATAAGGGAACGAGATAGCGTACTTTGAGAAATATGTCGCCGCTCTGGCGAGCACGTGTCTTCCTCAGCCGCAGACGCTCTGACAATCATGCAATGAAGAGTACTCAGCGGGCGAGAAACTCACCCTTGGTGTTCAAACAGGCTTGTAGGGCGACCTCGAGAGCTATCTTAAGGGCTAGAGATATGTTGCGGCGGTTTGACACCTAAGGGCAGACGACAGGATGGTGCGCCGATTTTCAGTAGTTTGATGAGCACGCATGCACTCCATCAGAGCATATACACCAACGCACCACATGACAAAACGACCCGGGACAGGGTGCGCGGCCTGTGAGAATACCTTCTCGGGATCGAGCAAGTGTCGCTGTCATTTTCGACCCAAGGAGCATAGCTTCCTCGTCTGAGATGGGCTGCTCTCGGGTCACGACCCTCTGAAGGCTGTCGATGACCCAGTCTCCACCCAGCCCGAACTTTTGTGCTAGCACAACTCTACGAACATCATCAAGGGCCTCGGCAAGCCCCAGAGCACGACAGGCCACCTGCGCGACCATGGGCATCGCGTACTTCTCTGCCAACAATAAGATGGACTCCCATACGGCCGTATCGTGCGCAACACCACACCTCCTAGCGCATTGTCAATAGAGCTGTGTAAGGTGTTCCACACGGCCTACCAGCTGTACTGCGACTCGTAAAAGAACCACAACAGCGCCTCGAAGTCATGCTTCGATATACCCTCCAATGTAAGCGGATTCTGCTCGCAACTTCCTACGGTGCCGATGGCGAGGGTTGTCCCGTCCTCTTGAAAATGCAACAATGGGTCGAAGAAGATAGTAGGCAGTCGTAAGTGGTATAGGTGGATTCGGTAAATGATTTCATGGACCTGAACGGTGAGATACCGTGTCAAGAGGGCCGGTCAAACCAGTGAATATTGTTGCATTGGTACTGACCTTGACATAGCAGTCGCCATTAGCGTAGAAGTACTTGTCGCTCCTTGAGGGAGCCATAGGGTCGGATGGCGCCTCCATCGATGGCCGCTCGTGCAAAGAAGCGATGTCGTGAACAAGACACCCCGCGTGAGCTTGAGGACTTCGACGCGCCGTTCTAGGCGCGCCGCTGAGTTGAGACAGAAAAATGCGTCGTTGGACATGTATATCCTGCTTTTGGCATCAAGGGAGCAGCATACTCCTGGGCCATGATGCCAGCAGACTGTCAAATATGTCACTGTTCATAACGTTCAGGTCAAAGTTCAAGATGACTTCTGAGGTCCGATTTCGGTTAGGCGGGCCGGGGACCCCTCAAACGCGATGAATTGGGGGGCCCGGCACTAGGCTACCATCTCCTCGACGACACGGTTCTTCACCGTCTTCCAGAGCGCCCGCCCACTTCCCTGTTCATTCCTCTTACTTCCCCGCATCCTCCTCCCTCTTTTGTGCAATGGCGGACGTCTCTGATCCTGCAATCATAGAAGGTCAGCGCTTCTTCCCCGCGGCTTAGCCACGATGAACTGAGCGACCCCGCAGCCTACAACGACGTCCGCTCGGACAAGACGGACACGAAGTGGCTTCTGCTTGACTACGAGGTGCGCTCTTGGCGAGCTTCGACGCGATCGTGCATCGCTCACGAACTCCTACAGTCGGACCGCTCGGACAAGCTGCAGGTCTCGAAGACAGGGACAGGGGGATTGACGGAGCTGCAAGAGAACTTGGACAACAGCAAGGCCTCCTACGCGTACGTGCGCGTCACGTACGCCAACGACAAGGAGTCCAAGCGGGAGAAGTTCATCCTGGTGGTGCGTGTCAAGTCGTGTGCGTCGAGTCAATGTACTAATCGCGTCCCTTGTATAGGTCTGGATAGGGCCTGAATGCAAGGTTATGCGCAAAGCGAAGGCATGAAGAACAACCCTTCACCATACGCGATCAATCCTCACACCCGTCCCAGATCTCCGTCCATGCCGCAGATGTCAAGCAGGTCTTGCGAGTATACTCACTCGATGTCCCCGCGCGCGAGAAGGACGACCTGAACGAGGAGCCCATCGTCAAGAAGTTACGGAAGGTGCGCCCGATCTTGGATTTCCTCCCCCGAAATCACTGACATGGTCCATCTCACCTCAGGCTGGCGGCGCAAGCTACGACGGCATCTAGCAATCGCACGCCTCCATCAGTCTCTATTTGCACGCTTTCTTAGCCATAATATATTTTCTGGGCATTGGTTTCGCATCTTCACCTCTCGACGCGCTCGGGAAGACGCAAGTGCACGCAACTTCGAGTGCTCGGTAGTCTACCCAATGGGCGACGACGACCTGTTCAATTTCCGACCATGAAAGCTCGTCGCGCTGGTCTCTCCCGCAGCTCATACACCACTGATACTTCAGGCTAATTCAACTTGGGTCTTCGCCGCGCGGACGTGACCCAATTCCAAGGATAGAGCTTGCACTGCAGTAGGCGCCTGTGGGCGCTTGACCGGAGAACTCCGAAGCATCCCCAAAAGGCAGGAATATGATCCAAATACCACCAAATATGCACCTGCTCCACTCACCCATCGCCAGTGCATTCTGCTACGAATATATGACGCCTTGTGCGTCGCTGCCGTCAACAGAGGTCACAGAATCTCCAATACCCTCTGATCGACGACCAGCCTGTTCCTCAAGTCGCCACCCTGGTCGTAGATGGATCCACAAGCTCAACCTGCTAAAAACACCCGCAAGGCGAGCGCCTGTGTCGGAAAATGCGTCGCGCGTGTTGAATTCTCCAAGCTGCGCAGCACGATTCTCCAACATGCCCTCATAGGCGCGACCTTCCGACCTATTCCCGCCCAAATGAGGATATTCCCGCCGTATTCCGGTAAGACAGTCTCACCCGCTTCCCGCGCGTTCACCCTATTTCGCGTGGGCAAGCGGTGGCAGATGGGGGGTGGCGTCATTGTTCGCGGAAGCTATCGACTTTGTTGCGCTCCTCATCCGAGGCTTAATTGAAGGATCTGCCCCAACCGACACCAGAAACCCGATTGCGAAGGCGTCACTGGCGATGGGCGCGTCCTGTCTCTGTGGGTCGCGGGCTGCGCTGGGTGGTTGGTATATATATCAGACCTGGGTTCCCTGGTAAAAGCACTAGTCCAGCTCTCTTCGACTTCTCCGCCAACCGCTCTCACCGCCCTCGTCGTCGGCAGTCTATCGGTATTGAACATTTTCCATATCGTCAACTAAGTAGTGCGTACTCTCTCACTTTTGTGTCTCGCCCCTTCTGACCCTTTTTTCAGATTATGCAGTTCATCACCGTGTCCACTGTCCTCGCGGCCGTCGCCGTCTCGTCGCTCGCCGCCCCTGCCCCCTTCTTCTTCGGGAACGGCAACGGCAACGGCCAGGGCGACCGCCACGGCCACCACGGTCATCACCATGACGGGCAGTCGTCGGACAGCGCGTCCGCGACGTTCAGCACCGACGATGCGTCGAGCATGTTCAGCGCGACCGAGACGTTCAGCTCCGTGATCCCCACGTTCACGGACTCGGCGTCGTTCACGGACTCGGCGTCGTTCACGGATTCGGCGTCGGCGGAGCCCACTGGCACGGACGACGGGTCGAACAACTTCTTGTTCGGCCTTTTCGGCGGCCATGGCCACAAGCACGGCCACCACCACTCGTCGTCGGACGATGAGTCGTCGACGTTCGAGGCGTCTTCCACCGACAGCTCTTTCGAGCCGTCGTTCACGGACAGCTTCACCGACAGTTTCACTGACAGCTTCACCGACACGTTCGTGCCCTCGGTCACGGATAGCTTCAGCGCGTCCGCCACCGACAGCTTCAGCTTCGACGAGTCGAGCACCTTCAGCGCCCAGGACCCGTCGAGCACCTTCGACGCGTTCTCCTCCCTCCCCACCAGCGACTTCAGCACCTTCACCGACTCTGCCTCCGCCGAGCCGACCGCCGGGATCGCTGGCCGCAACCTGGGTAGCCTCCTCCCGGAAATCTTCAGCGCGGCGGAAAGTATCCGCAGCAACTTCCCCGAGTTCGTCAGCTCGCTCGAGGCGGGGAAGGCGTCGTACTTTAGCCAGTACGAGGCTTCGTTGAGCGCGGCCGCTGCCTCTGCCACTGTTACCTCGGACGCCGCGTTCCCCACCGAGTCGTTCGACGGGAACTTCGCTGCCAGCGTGAGCGCGAGCGTCGTCCTCCCCAGCCTCAGCGGCGACCTTCCCAGCTTCAGCGGTCTTAGCGGAGTCTTTCCGTCCGCTAGCGGCACCGACAGCGAGGTTCCCGTTCCCACCGCCACGTCCGTCGGCGGTGAGGACGGCAGTTGCCTTTCGCAGTGCGCGCCGCAGCAGGACGGCGAGGACTTTGCGAGCTGTGTCGAGAGCTGCATTCAGCGCAACTAGAGTTCAAGGACGCCGAGGTGTTTAGAGAGCAACGTTTACACAAAGTACTTACACTTAGATCACGAACGAGTAATGCGCAGAGTAGTGACAAATAAATGTACAATTAGAATACGACGCGGACAAGTTAGCTTCTTTACCCGGACTTTACCTCGTTTTCTGCGTAGGCAATGCTTCGAAAAATTCATCCAATGAGCGTGAACCTTGTGTCTATCGCATTCAATTGGCTGAACATGAGTGGCTTATTTTGAGGCGCACGTGAATTGGGTGGTGGCGTCATGCACAACAGACTCTTTCACCTTCATCTGCCTCCTTCTATCACTGGCCTATCTACTATCTCGTGATACTATGCTAGTACCTCCACCTCCTGCGACCTCTGCGTTGGACAACGCTATCCCTCGTATAACCACACATCGAGCATCCACCAACCTCCCTGTCGACTGTAGCGCGCCTCAGTCGGGTATGAGGTGGCCGTCAATAGTGGGAACTCGAGGCCACCTTGTGCGCTCACCTCTTCGCGAACTTGAACCGAGGTAGCCTCATTGGCAGCATGACCGTGCTCCGTCATCCAGGAGATTACGAGGCTCCTTGCGTGCTGACGGCCCTCTGAGTGTATATAAGACGCTGCGAACAGGCCTCTACGCTCCTCAATACGAGCTCCGCCTCTTCCCCGCCCCATACGATGCTATCCCTCTTGCGCTATATTCGCAGTTTTTTTGGCCCGTCTGCTGAGCTGAGGCCAGCGCCTGCGCCGATACAACTGCTCGGCAAAGATGTCGGGCGCGTCGGATACGGGATGATGAGTGAGTACAATGATCACCAAGTTCCTGATCGCCGGGTTGACCCCGTATAAAGGCCTCACCTGGCGCGAAGTCCCCCCACCCACCGACGAGGCGATCAAGGTCCTGAAGGCCGCGCTCGAGGCGGGCGCGACCTTCTGGAACGGCGGCGAGCTCTACGGCACGCCCGAGTACAACTCGCTCCACCTCCTCCGCGCGTACTTCACCAAGTACCCCGAGGACGCCGACCGCGTCGTGCTCTCGATCAAGGCCGGCTTCCCCAACATCGACGGCAGCCCTGCGACGGTGATCGCGAACGCGGTGCGGTGCGCGAAGGTGCTGGAGGGCGTGAAGAAGATCGATATCTTCGAGTGCGCAAGGAAGGATCCGAATGTCGATATTGAGCAGACGGTGGGCGCGCTCGCGCAGCTCGTCACGGCGGGCGTGATCGGTGGCATCGGCCTTTCAGAGGTCGGAGCGGAGACGATACGCCGCGCGGCGAACGTGCATCCCATAGCGGCGGTCGAGGTGGAGTGCTCACTGTGGGCGGTCGATATCTTGAACAACGGTGTCGCGGCGGCCTGCAGCGAGCTGAATATTCCCATCGTTGCCTACTGCCCCCTCGGACGCGGGTTCTTGGTAAGTCTTATTTTGTCAATGTAGCCTCGATAGTCCCACTAACTCTGCGTAGACAGGACAATACAAGAAGATTGAGGACCTACCTGAGAACCTACGCGATTTTCCCCGCTTCCAGCCTGGCCTCTTCGAGCAGAACATCCGCCTCGTCAACGAGGTCGACGCGCTAGCGAAGAGGAAAGGCTGCAAGACCGGGCAGGTGGCTATCTCCTGGGTCGCCTCGCTGAATGGGAGGCCCGGCATGCCACCAATACTTCCTCTACCTGGGGCCAGCGCACCCGAGCGCGCCGCTGAGAACACGAAGCTTATCGATCTGACCGAGAAGGAGCTGAAGGAGCTCGATGACATCGTCAAGCGCTGTACGGTGGTGGGAGACCGGTACGGAGGGCCTGGGGCTGCGCTTATGTGGGGTTGAATGTCGTAACGAACTTGAAGGAAGCGGCTGGTCGGTTATGTGTGTATTTCTAGGACATTATACGAGCTTTACGAACGGTCATTGTCGACATACACGAGATTCCATACCTGTATCCTTCTTCTCTGTGATTCATAGGCGGGACTAGAATTCATTCCCTCTAGGGGTTTTCATCCCAGTGGCGCAGTCTTGACACAAGTCAACTTTACCGTCGAGTATAACGAGTGCCGGCGTAATAAGGTAGAGCTTCCTTGCAATCTAGATCCCCTCGATGCGCACGGTCTGGCAAGTTTACACTGAGCCCAAGGGCCAGTAAAACTGGGCGCCATGGATGAAAGACGGATGCAAAGTACACACGTGTCATTCGCGTGGCGCATTGATGGTCGATCACCTGCATCTGTTCCGTTCCCCCATCATGTCCATGTCCCACACCTGGAAAGCTCTCGCGAGCCTCGCTAGATGCACCCACCACGTCTCACGCAGAACCTACTCATCTACCTCCGACGAAGCTCGTGCCAAATGGCGGCTTCAGGGCGTACCTGCACCGCGTTCAATTCTCGAGGACGATGACACGCCCGTGGACCTCTCTGAGGACGACGATGCCGTGAACGGTCTCAGACCAGGTACCGCACCCATACACAAGCGGAAACCTCCGAGAGCGCCTACTCCCGAATCGTTTGGGCTTCATAAGCGCACCATGAAGGAGAGGTTCCCCGACGGCTGGAACCCGCCTCGCAAGCTGTCGCGGGAGGCCATGGAAGGTCTTCGCCAACTCTATCGAATCGACCCAGTCAAATTCGACACGCCTACACTGGCTGAGAAGTTCAAGATCAGCCCCGAGGCCGTTCGACGCATTCTGCGTTCGCGGTGGGAACCATCCAAGGAGAAGCGCGTGCAAGCGCTGAAGGCGGAGAGACGGGAGACCGACCAGTACCACACACTGCGGAGGTTGAAGGAGAGGCTAGAAACGGAAAAGATCCTGCAGGATAAGGCGGACGTGGGAGGCGGGCGGAATGGGCATTCGCGCGATAGGTTGGAATTTCAGGCTGAGGATTAGTGATTGGAGGGTCCGTCTACTATTAGTCCTTTCGCTCGTTACAAGCATACACTACTCTACTGATATGTAATACACACACGGAACAGGTTCATATACCATGCTCGGAAAGCTGTTAAATACGATAGTCCACGAACCCCAGCATCAGTGGTACAGTATACAAATCCTTGCCAATGATCTGGCGTCGCGTATCATAACCCTCATACGGTGGCCTGATGAGCTATAGACTTAGCTCAGTTCGCTCGTACTTCAGATGACATGGTCGCGCCGGTCGTGCATGCACTGCATCGTTCCAGTCCGGTACTGGGGCTTCTGCGACCTCGGCACCGGCAGGGTCTACAATTGAACTGTCGAAACCCAGCAGGAACATGCCCACGAATAACTTGATCATCATCTTTGCCAGACGGTTCCCGAGGCAGACCGTGTTTCCTGCGAAGCTGTGAGTGAGCCAGCAGACTCGCACGAACGTCCACGCGTACCGCCTCCAAACCCTAGGTATTCCATCTTGCCCTGCCGCGCGGGTCGCGTGGGGTCAAAGGTCCAGGGCGAGGGGTACAGCGTGTCGTCCAGGTGCACGTCACTGAAGGGATAGACGACGTGTGCCCCTGCGGGAACAAGCTGGCCGTCGATGAAGGTGTCGGGTCCGAGATTCTTGCTGTACAGCGTGAGGTCAGCGCATGGGCAGCCCACATAGAAGGTCCCCTACCGGATGGCGGTGTGAGGCTGGGCGATGCGGAGCGTCTCTCTTATCAACGCATCGACCACCGGCGTGTCTGCCTCCCATGCTTCCAGGGGGACGTCCGCGAGGCGGCTATGCAGCGGCGACGTTGTAGGTTCAGATGAGTGTGTAGCGAGCAGGCGCAGTATCTCCTCCTTTGCCTTGGCCCGCCACTCAGGGTAGGCGCTGAGGTACACGACCAGCCAGCTGGCGGTTGTCCCCGTCGCGCGCGCGCCGGCGACTAAGAGGCCCATAATGAACTGCATCAAACCGTATCAGCACCGAAGACGGGGACAAAATTAAGGAACCTCTCACCCCAATAACGGTCGCGCGGTCGTCGCCTGCGTCGAGCAGAAGCTGCATGGTGTCGTCACGCGCACACCCACCGCGCTCCCGTGCGTCTAAGGCCGCGACCACCGTATCGTAAACGGCCTTAGTCGCGCAGAGCTTTCGCACCATCGCGGGAGTCGGCAGCCACGGCAGGAGCACGGTGGAAGGAGTTGTCTCGGCCAGGATGTCGTACTGTCGCTTCAGCCGCGCGACCACGTCCCCGTCGTCCGCAAGCTCGGGGCCAGACAGACACCGCACGGTCAGCTGGAAGATGACCTGGGGAGCGGCAGCGCGCGAGTCAATGCGCGGCACGGAGAAGGCGCGCGGACTTGGACGCACGTCATATACCACGTCGAATGGGTTCGCGCAGCCGCGCGCTTCCCAGCGTCCCAGCTTGATCCGACAATCGTCCAGGACGCGCGGGATGACTGCGAAGCTCCGTCAGGCCCTGTCCGAAGGGGGAATGCGAGCGAGAACATACGGCTGGACAGGAAGGTCGAGCGCTGGATCTCGCCAAGCCGCCTGTGGATCTTGCCGATCGTCTCCGGGCGAAGCTCAGAGGTGATGCCTGGGAACTCCGGAACCTTAAACCGAGATTTGGACGAGGTATTCATGGCCCCAAAGCGCGGACACACATACCACCGAGAGGAGATTCGAGCCTTGCGTGAGATCGAAATTTTTGTTGCCAAAGTAGGCGAGGCGGGCTCGCTCGCCCGAGAGCACGATGACTTTAGTCTATGTGCTGGTCAGCATGAACGGTTGAGAGGCGCGGGCGTATGCATGCGCACCGTGAGCAGATGGAACTGATATATGGACTTCCCAGTCGCGTGGAACCCCCAGTTGAGCAAGTCGAAACGGGCGTGAAAGAAGGCGGGGATGGTCTTCATCATGGAGCATGGTAGCGAGGGTGGGACGTGTGAGTCCTTAGCCACACTTCGCAAGCGCTTGATAATGAGCAAGACGATGATGAGGGCGACGCATAGCTGGGAAGGCCATGGTATCGCGAGCAGCGCCGCGGCGGCTTGGAAGACGCAGGCGATGGGCATGTTAGTCGCCGCCGAGAGAGCTGTAGAAAGCAGAGACTGAGCAAGGTCGATGGTCTGGGCTGTACATAGTGAACGGGCCTTATATATACATACACAAGTCGGCTTCTTGATGGAGAAGAGGAAGGGGGGCTGGCCCTCGAGGTTGAGCCTTCCTTGCTCGTGGGACGTGCCCGGCCGATGACCACGACAGCCCCCGGAGCCGCTGGCAAACAGTCTGTCCATGTAGTGCACGGAACGCGTGGAAAGCGAAGCCACCGTCATGGGCTCGCCGGCGAGCGATGACCTGGTACGCACGATGCCTGAGGCGGCTTGATTGCACGATCGAGCCCCAGCAAACTTCCGCCGTACGGAGACGACTAACCGCGGAGCTGGTCCCACCGCTCCCTCGAAAACGCCGCCGAGCGGGCACTGCAGTATGTGGCATTTATCTGTCAACACAGTTATAGTGCAGCGAACACATCAGAGCTGAGGACTCACGATTTATCAACTTCGCATGTTTGATTTGCGCCCGAGTGAATGCGTATGCTGGGTATATGACATCCGTCCCTTTCGGGCAGGATGTGCGTGCGCACTCACGCGGGGGACGCCGGGCGAGCAAACTTCAGAACTTCCGGACGAAACAGATCATGATCAACCGGCGGGAAATGGGGGTCCGTGGTGCGGACTCAGCGTCTAATGTGCAACACGTGAAAGCGGGCGGTTCGAAGGCTCCTCCTGAACGGCGCCAGTTCTTGCGGCTCCGGCATGATGATGCTTCCCTTCCTGGACGATGACCGCGTCGATAAGAGGTCGTTTACATTCCGTTGCGCGTAGGCGCAGCGTGCGTGTATTCTATCGATTTGATTACACCAGCAAGGTGTGCTAACGCAGCCAGCACGACGCAGACGTGGAAAATTTGGTGAGAGGCCAGATAGTAATCGAAAGTACCTGGCGAGTAGCGCTCCGGAATGCGGTTCGCGCTGCGCAATGACCGTCAGTCGGTTGCCTGGGATACCAAGCGGAAAGCACCTACTATATCAGCGCACCGGCGATGTAGAGCGCCCCCGACGCAACGAGCCAGCCATAACCCATATCCAGGAGCAGCGTATTGGCTCCGTGCGTGAAGAACCAATGACAAACAGGTACGACGGCGCATAGGCCGAGCGCGATGAATACAGATGTTCGCGTGCCTCGATGTGTTGGCTTCGAGTACTCTGGGTTCAGGACGACGTACGCAGCGCCTGATGTGAATGAGTCGGAGCCGTTAATCTATCGTAGAGCCATTAGGTCGGTTAAGTGGCTCACCTAGGCCGATTATAGTAATGCCAGAGATATAGGCGGTCTGCATGCGCGCATCGCCGTAGAAGCCGTAGTATAGAGACGGGTAGAAAGACCCAACGGTCAGTACCACGATGCCGGAGTAGTCAAGCGCGTGGCAGCGGTGCGAGACCTGGAACAGCCGACGTAAGTCCTACGGCTCCGGGCTTGGGGGATACGGGCTTGCCGAGCGCGGCGACGTACCGACTGCGAATGACATGAGGCCGCATGGTAGAAGGCGCTTGCGGAGAGACAGAAAACAGCCGAGGACAGGAAGACACATGCGACAGCGACGTCCATCCAAGTAGCTCTCGGAAATTGACGAATGTAGCTCGGAAATGTCACCATGAGATAGACGAAGAGGACGGCGCCCCAGAGGTGACTGTGTATATTCACTGGTGATTTCAGGACGGTCGTTAGCCGAAGATCACGGGACGTAAATCGGAAATTGCACGAACCGGTCTCGTTGTGGACATCTATGAACACGTCGAGCATGGGTTAGCAATGAGATGCAAATGTGGCGAGCCCTTGGGACGTACAGGCATAGACAGAATGGAGGGTACCCTTCCAGCTATTCTGAGTCCTGATGTGATTGCGGTAAAGTCAGCCGTACGTATACTAGTGGTCACGTTGATTTACCTTCTGTAGCCCGCCAAGATATATTCATTGTCCTTCTGCCATTCCTCGAGTTCGGCCCAAGCGATGGTTTTGGAGACCTCAACGGCCTTCTTGACCGCGTTGACCGAGCTGGCAGCTAATGAAGTCGAAGTCTTTCTGGCGCGCTGCATTCCAGGCAGACGTCGACGTCGAGAATAACATGCGCTTTGGTCGCACTCGTGAGAGTTTTGGGCAACCTCATCATGATGGGGTGCGTGGGAATCTCGGCCCGGGTCAGTGATGGCGGGAAATCGGACCGATGTGCCGCGGCCTGCGCAGCACGTGCGCGCGCAGGACACGTCCATCTCGCAGCTCCCCGTCATCGTGTCCGACGACGACGACCATGTTACGGTTCCTCTATGTTCTGGGACTCGCGGCCCTCTCTGCAGCCGCACAGCTGACTTTACACTCGGGTCGCTTCACTGTAACGAGTGAGGCGGGCACCCAGCTGCGCTCGGAACCGTGTGTACTCTCGACGCGTCGCCTAAGCGCTCGAGAGCTAACCAGAACCCAGCATCTCACTTCGGCACAAGTCCATGGGCTTGGTGACCCTGTCCCCAACCGATACCCTCAAGGTTGCCTTCCAAGTCCTGAACAAGGAGACCGGCGAAGGCGTGCAGCCGCACCAGGTCTTCCTGCGCTTCTACGACCCCGAAACTCAAGAAGAGGGCATCCAGCCCATCCGCGTCTCGGCTGGGGGAAAGGCCAAGTTCGAATTGGTATGCTCATATACTTCTTCACTCCTCGCGCACGCTTATTATGCCTCAGAACATGGCCAAACCTCCCCCATCCCTTCCCCCCACCACCACGAACCCCCTCGCCGTCAGCCTGATCATAGGGTCCTTCGAGCACACCGGTCTGCAGGCCTACATATTTGACCTCGTCGTCCCCCCTTCACAGCCGGCCCCCGTACACCCAGATGAAGCGCGCTTCCACCTACTCCCCGAAATCCAGCACACCTTCCGCCCCGATCAGAAGATGCCCCCCAAGTTCATCTCCTTCGTGGCCTCCCTCATTACCTTGTCGCCCTGGGTGGTACTCATTGGCCTGGTGCGTACACCACCCTTCTCCCAACCAACATAAACTCACCCTCTACAGTGGTCGCTCGTTAACCCGAGACTGCCCCGCTTAGCCTCGCCGAGCATCCTCCCCTTCACCGTCACCCTCGGCGCGTTTGAGAGTCTCCTCATTTGGTACTGGGTCGACCTCAAGCTTGGGCAAGTCCTACTGTACGGCGCTGGCTTGGCTGTCGTCACACTGTTTGCGGGCAAGCATGCGCTGGTGACGATCTCAGAAGGCCGTACAGGCAAAGCATAAAATAGGACGCCGTGTATGTCAGAATGTGCATGCTAAATCCACCACGAGTGTGCGTTCAGTAATTGCTTGCTTCGTGCAACAATAAGGTGTCACACGAAGGTGCGTCCAAAACCATTCACGGCTGACAATGTTGTGCCCTTGCATCTTCATAGAAATCTGGGCTTCCCTACAACCCGGGAGACTGAACAAGTCTTTCGTATCCCTCCCACTCATTTCAGCCTCAGCCTCAAGTTGCTCGAGAACGTAGACAGTGGAATAGCTTCCGCGCAGTAGACTTTCCTTCCGCGGTGCGCGAGCGTTTTTCACAAAGTCTCGTATACTGACGTCACCGTATCTGTGTGTCTTCGAGCTCGCCACTATACCAAGACCTCACCTTGCCCCAGATGGGTCCTGCCGTGGGAAACGCACCGTTCCCATTGTGGCCGGGAGCACTGAGCGAGACGGACCCCGCAACATATCGTCGCACCCGCCCGGAATCTCACCTCCGCGCGCAAGCCTGCCTTCCATCGCCGATCCTCAACGCGCCCCCATGACGCGTCCCGCCCGAGTCTAACCCCCCTCGCCCGAGTCTAACGCCTCCCCGCCCGAGTCTGACGATGGCTGCCCTCTGGTCCCGTCACGGTCTCCACCCCGCGTCCAAGCTTTTGTCCCGCGTCCAAGCTTTCGTCCCGCGTCCAAGCTTTAGTCCCGCCCCCTAGCAGTATATAAACCCTGTCCGGCACCCTTCACACCATATGTTCCGCCTCGTCGCCCGCTCGACCGTCCCCAAAGTCACCGTTACCACCGTCCGCTACCAATCCACATCCAAGATGGTCCACCAGGCAATTGACGAGACCGCGCGCGACGCCGGCGCCGCGAAGGAGACGAGCCCGCAGGTGAGTGTGCTAGCACGGCCACGTCGTGTCCTTGAAGCTGACTCCTTACCCAGAACCCGTCCGTCCTCTCATCTGCTGGTGCCATTGGCAAGCAGTTCAACCGTGCGTGACTCGCTCTTCTCTACTCGGGCCACGCCTCTCTTCCCTACCCTCTACCCCCCAACCCTCCCCCTTCTCACCAGCCCACCTCCCATCCTCACTTTCTTCGCATGTGACATACGACTCACACCCCTCCAGCGGACGGCAGCATCGGCCAGATTGGAGAGAAGATTGGCGGACCGTTCTCTTCTGACGGTGCCATTGGCAGCCAGTTCGATGCATCGAAGGAGGGCATTGCTGGGCAGGTTGAGAAGGCGGTGGATGGGCCGGCGAAGAAGTAGAGCAACATACACGATATTTGTACAATAAACGGAATCTTACTTGAGAGAAATTGAGTGAACATTCCCGGTCCGCGAGATGGCAGGTAAAGTCAACGAGTGCCCAGCTAGAATTCGGGAGACTGCACAAGCCGCTCGTAACCTTCCCGCTCATTCCTCCTCTTCGCCGAGCGATGTTCGATGCATTTCGAGAGATGCAGCAAGTGGCCCCGCCTCTTCCGCACGAACAGGGCGTATAGCCCGCCCGCGCTAAATACCGCCGCGCAGCTCATCAGCGCCGGCCACCTGAATTGCTCCGGCCGCGAGAACACGACCGTCGACCCATACGCGCACAGCTCGAACGCGCTCTGCCACGACGCCTCCACGGTGGCGAACGTGCCGCGGTGCTCCGCCTCGACCTCCTCCTGGATGATGACCTGCGCGGAGAGGTCGTACCCCCACAGGCCCACGCGGCTGATGATCGACCCCGCCACCAGCGCCGCCGCGCCCAGCCGCGCGTTCGTCGCCCGCAAGGACCAGAACGCGCTCGTCCCCGCGGCCAGACACACGCACTGCCACGACACGAACCAGATGCCGGTGCGGACGGGCCCGATGCGGCGCATGACGAGGGGCGCGAGCCAGGTGGCGGAGAGCTCGCAGGCGACGGAGACGGTGCGCGCGGCGGCGATGTGGAGGGGGGAGAGGCCGGCGGCGAGGAGGTAGGTGACCATCTGGGCGGAGAAGGAGAGGACGGTGAGGTAGAGGAGGGCGCCGGCGAAGGAGGGGAGCACGGCGCGGTGGGTGAAGTAGGTGCGGAGGTCGGAGGCGAGGGCGCGGAGGGCGGAGGCGAGGGCGCGGAGGGCGGAGGCGAGGGCGCGGAGGGCGGGGACGGGGCAGTAGGAGGTGCGGCGTGGGCTTGGTCCGCTTGGGGAGTTGTCGGACGTCGGACTCGTCGGGGGAGGTATTTTGGGCTGCTGGAGGGCTGGGACGCTCTTGTAGACCTGCGAAAGAGGGTGTGTGAGTTCAGAGATCGGAAGGGAATGGTGGGGTCTCTGTACGCGATGATTCCGGCGAAACTTACCCGGGCGATTGCGAAGTATTCGACGAGGACGGAGGCGAGATTCATGCCCAGGTTGACGAGAATGGCAATCTCGGTCGATACGCCGTCCAGGATCGAGATGAGGAAGGGCCCGGCGAGCTTGCAGATGAGGTCGATGCGGCGCATTTGCGCATTCAGCACTTTTACGAGGTCAGAAGAAGGGTACACAATCATGATGGTACCAGCTTACCCCGGAGAGCCCCTTCATTCTCTCCCGCTATCACCACGACCTGGGACGCCATGAGTGGTGAAGCAGATGAAGATGGTGTTCTGTGCGTACCCAGTCTCGCTCGACGGATACCATGTTCATGACCGCGCAGAGCTTCTCGATGCAGGCAAGCGCAGCCAGAACGGCCAGCGAAGCATACTGAAGATCCATCTCCCTGCCCCATCCGGTAGACAGAAGGAAGAAGACCACGCAAGAAACCGTGACGGTGATTCGTTGCAGAACTGTGCGCGGGAGAATTCGGCGTCAGCACTGGTATCTCCGGTGAGAGATGAAGAAGACTAGGGGTGAAGTACGAGAAAAACTGGCACTTACCGATGGACATTCTTACCACCTTGAGCCGGTTGTTGCGATCGATATATCTGCCGATAAAGGGCGAGAAGAGAATCGTGGAGACCTGGCGACTGAGCGCATAAACGGACATGGGAAGGAGGGTCCCTGGGTAGATGGACGCGAGGTAGAGGACGGCGCCGAATTCGAAGACGCGGGAGTTCCATGTTGAGAGGAAGTGCGAGACGTAGAGGCGCTTTCGGAGTGCCCAAGGTACGCCATGCTCTGCGTTTTCCAGTAGCTCTGTGACAGAAGAAGGCGGCGATGGAGGGGTAGCTGTGGCGTTAGAATATTGTGCAGCCGGATCGGAGAGCAATGGGGCCTCGAGGGATCCTCGCTCGCTTGCAACCATGACTGGCTCAGAGACAAGAGCGCCAGGATATCAAGGAAAGAGCGGCCTTATGTTTCTCCTCAGAATCGAACGACATGGCTGAATTGCATGTTCTCGGCACTCTTCGGTGAGGGAAAAGTTGGATAACTAGTCGGGCCGGTGATCCCGCCCCGCTCGGTGCCGCGCGGCACGTGTGTTTCTACCGCTTGAACCGTGACCGCGATTGACTGGAACTTGAAGAACGTGCGTCGGGGATCTGCCTATCCGCTCGATGCTGCAAATCTCTTCATTGGGCGATCATGCCCAGGCCTTTGGTATATACGCTAAACAATGCTCCGGGACAACGACGCGCATTGCAATTTCTCAGCCGTGTCTCCGGCTTGGGTATGTCCAGGCCCATCATGAGTTCTATGAGAGATTGTCCCAAGTCATGCATAGATTTTCTGAAGTATATACTTGCTCCATGACACTTGTATCATCAGCATGTAACGTCCCTTGACCATCTCCCGAAGACTGATGGTCTCCCCGAATTCAGCCGAGTACTGTCGCTGCTCTGCAGCGCCGCGGTGGAGCACCCTACCCACTCCTATGATACCAGGGCGTTCTCCCAAATTAATGTTCTATTCTCGCTGGCCGTCCGAGCTTGCGCCGTTTACAGCTCCAAGCAATCCTGGGTCCTTACGCCCGAAAAGAACATCGCACCGATCTCGGTGTTCTTGTCGTACCTTCTAAGTAAAGATCATAGTAAAGCCTCCCTGCCATCGTTGGAAGATCTTCTCATACTCATATCATCCTCAGAGTCGTGGTGGATGGGGTTAAGCAAGCACTCGTTGGGCGGTTACGGTATGCTGCGCATGACGATGTCTTCGCGCTTTGCCCATATAAAAGCTTCCCCGAGCATGATATCTGAAGGGACGTGTTTCTCCGCAGCTTCCAAATAGCGAAGGCGAGGACAAGTAAGAGAACGAGGTCGATGTGAATACCTATATCTGGCCGATCTTTCGTGAGTTTTGTATCCCTGAGTCACAGTAAAATCGATGAATAAGTACGTGAGTCTGAAGGATGTAGCATCATAGATCTTTTGAATGATCTTCTATCTACAGCTTTCGGCACTGGCAGAATAGCTTTTGGCAGTCTCGGTGTCACACTTTATAGGTCCACCGTGACGGTGACTGATCGCGCTCCTGATGCGCCCCTGAGGCGCTAATTAGCGCCTTACCTTTGTCCTTCCAGCATCGCCGCTGCGATGTCCTCAGCCGACGTCGCACAGGGCGCCATCGCGCCGTCAGTGCCAGATGAAATCCTCTCCGCGCCAACGAACATCACTGCTGTTGAAGAAGTCAACGACGATCTGCTTCAACGACTTCCCTACGAGATACTAACCGATGTCATGATGCGCCTGGGTTCCCCGCAGTGGGTGCTCGCGGTCGCGCGTACTAGCCAATACTGCTGCAACACGCTGCTGGACGAGAAGTCGCAGGGGATCTGGAAGGCGAACAGGCAGGCGGTGGGCCTGCGTGAGCCGCTGCCCATTCTCACGGAGTCGGCGTACGCGGCGTTCGTGTTCGATGGGGGTCCGTGCGAGGTGCGTGTGCTATGTCGTCTTGCTTTGTTCTATCACTCACTTGCTGAGCAGATATGCAAGAAGCACACCGATAACATGTATACGTCGTTCGCGATCAAACTCCGCCTCTGTAATAGGGTGCGTTATACGTCCTGCCTCCTTCCCCTTAACTTGCTCAATGCACCCTACAGACAGAGTGTCAGACGGAGATGCGTAGGTACGTCCTCTCCCCCTTTGACATGGGCGTTTCTTTTGACTAGACTTCAGCAACATCACCACCACAAACGGCGATCAAATGGACACCGCCATTATGTCGTGGACGCCTTCAATGGAGGATCACTCGTGGATGGGTGGTGAGCTTGCCTGCTTCCTCTCCTCCCATGTTTACCGACAATCTGCCACAGAGCTCACCAACATCAACTACTGTACGCCTCTCGTTTCGTCTGCCTCGAAGGAATCTCATTTCCCCTGTAGGGCCGACCTTCCGAGCGCGCCTCCGCACCGTCGACTACCATGCAGCGCAGCAGGCATTCACCATCGAAGTTGCATCTCACACGGTGGCTGCAGGAATTGTGGCTGCGGCCAAGAGCGTAAGCACTTCACTTGCGGAGTTATAATGAACGTGCTCAGTGTCTTTTCTGCAGAGGCACGCCAAAGAGATAGAGCAAAACCAGCTAGCTATGAAGGTACGACAGGCTCATCGAGTTAGCATGTTTCTCATTCATTGACTCCCTACTTTTCAGTTCGCCGTCGACTTGCAGCTGTGGAAGAAGCAATATGCGGCTGCTGGGCAGGCAGTGAAGTTCTCGAATCACGAATTGTGAGTGTCTGTGCTAGGGAGCCTTCACTCTCACTCACGCTTTGCATATCAGCTCGAAGAAGTTTGCCAAGCAGGAAGGCTTCGAATACTGGGACCTTTGCGCGACGGAGACCTACAAGGCCCTCCTCCGCCACAAGACCATGGTCCACGAGCGCATCACCGACGACGACGCCAAGGCGCACCTCTTCGGCATCACCGCCGATCTCACACGCATGCGCACGCGCCGCGACAACCGCAAGGCCGAAGAGCAGCTCCGCGCGAACCGCGCGACGGTCGAGAAGCACTACCACGGCTACTGCGCGCGCGAGGTCATGCCCAGCTGGCCCGCGTTCTGCGCTCTGCCGCTCATAGCGGAGCTGATGAAGACCGTGAAGGAGGTGAATTTGGCGAAGGCGCTGAGGAATCAGCCGCTGCGGGGCGTGCTGGAGGGCGAGTTGGAGGCGTGGCGGGCGAGGGCGAGGGAGGCGCTCTGTGCGAAGGCGGGGCTGGCGAACGAGGTGCCGGTGAGCTCGCTCCGGGCGCATCCGGTAGAGCAGGTGAATGTGCGGTTCACGTGTGGGAAGTGCAAGGGCGTGCAGAGGAAGTATGAGTACGACGAGAGCCTGGACTTTGCGGGGGTGTGCGCGCATGTGTGTCCTGCGCAGAGTGGCGGGAAGAGGAAGAGGCATGAAGATGCATCGTCGAGCTTTGATAACTTCGTCTTTGATGTGAAGGTCAGTGCGAGCGATTTGATGATGATGCTTAACATACTGACAACTTCATCAGGCGAGCGAGGCGATGACGGAACTCGTGCGCGCGGCCGGGCTCGATCCGTCGCGCAAGGATCGCGCGGCGTCGCTCAAGGCGGTGGGCAGCGAGCTGCTCTGCAAGTCGTGCGTGCCACCCTTGGTGCTGCACTACTCGAGCGTTGTGAGTATCATTGGCGACTAGTTCCCTATCACGGTCACTTATCACAACACCTCCAGCTCGGCCACGCTCACCGCCACGAGCACATGCAAATCCAGCGCATCACCTCTCAAGACGCAATGGACCGCCGCTCTCATCCCATCGTCCCCGGCCTCACGCGCGCCCTCCTGCATCTGCACAAGCCGCAGGGTAAACTTCGCCAGCTCAGCAACGCGAAGGAGTTTAGCTGCCGGCACTGTGCAAATGGCGCGGACACGGATGGAGAGGGCGTTGCTTGTGGTATGGGATGCGGACGTATTTTCCCGACGAAGAGATTGCTGAAGAAGCATTGGGCGTTGCATAAGGTGAGTTTCCTTTGCGGATGCAAATTTGGTGAGACTGCGTTTGCTGACGACGGATTTGCAGAATGGAGGATGCGCGGACGACCCTATGGGCGATGCAGCGAACCCATCAACTTCAACTGCTGCCGCTGCTCCTGCGACTGCGCCGTCCGCTACTGCACTTGCGGCCCCTGCTGCTGAAGGGACAGCCGAGCCGTCTACGCAAACAGAGAAGCCGAAAACTGGACCTCGTATGTTCACCTTCAATGGCATGCGATCCCACCTCGCCGAAAAGTGAGTGTCATGCGTTCCTTTTGCGCGTGCTTTGTGGGATTGCCGCTTGTTTTGTGCTTGACCCAAGCGCGTGCGGTGACGGCTCTCAGCGCGTGCAGTGCCAACCCTCAGCGCGTGCTCTGAAGGTCATTATTGTGTGCGCTGTAACTGACGGTGCTCCGCAGGCACCAAATTGCCTTGATCCGCGACGAGGACTATGAATGCCACCGCGATGCGAGACAGCTGAAGAGCATTATGCAGGCGGTGAAGGAACAGCCGCCTGCGAAGAAGCCGTCGGCGCGGAGCTGTGTGGCGGCGTGAGGGCGCGGGAGTACATTGCGGCCTGAGGATGCGACGTTGCATGGCGGGTTGTGATGCCAGAGGTGTTTCTCTTCTGCGCTTGTTGTCTTGTCTTCTTTCTGCTTGATCTTTTCTACAGTGTACAATATGAACCTGTGTCATTGTTGGCGTCTTCATGCCTCGTTTGCTTCTCATGGCCGATTGACCTGGTGAATGCTTTACGCACGGCAATGCGCAAGTCATTCTACTTTCGCACGCCTCAACTCGGTCCCTTTCGACTTTGTCCCTCTCTCTCACTTGCTATTGACGGACCTACGGACTTCGCATTAGCTGCCGCACGTCGATAAGCCTCAGCATTGCTTCGATCCATTCAAGTGCTTGTCTCGCGCGACAGTTCTCAGCCTGTGAGTGACGTCGTCCGCATAGAAGAGCCCTCACCATATGGCCACTGGCTGATTTCCCTTTTTAGTATAAAAGGGATGCTGAGGGCTCCCTCTAGCGCTAAAGACCCCTTCGTCAGCCTCAGGATCGGTACCGCACTCACGCGTGTCAACGGCGGTCGGGGCACCCGCGGCATCGACCTGTCCCCCGGAGCCATCCTGCACCTCACGACGATGCGCCCCGTTCCTCGTACCGGGGCCCTCGGGACCACCTAACGTGCGCCGGCCGCACTGGGACCCAAAGAAACATGCAGGGATGCGGTATCAATGTGACCTCGGGCTTCTACAGGGAGCCTTCTATCATCACGCCGACGTGGTCCCGTGTCCCCTCTGATGAAGACGGGTGATAGAAGCACGCTTCGAGATCCTATAAAGCGCGCGTCGTCGCGTTCATCTCCTCGAGCTCGCTCTCGCTTCCTCCGCATCGCCAGCAACGATGATTAGCTCGTCGCGCGTCGCACTCGCGCTCCTCGCTGCAGCACCGCTTGCGCTCGGTGGCAATGTCCAGGCTCCGGGCCTGAAGCTACCTGAAGAGTACTATGCGCAGCGCGAGATCGTGAAGGGGATGTTCACCTCGAGCTACGAGGCGTACAAGTGCGTTCGTCGTTCCCGATCACGCAGCGCCTTCTTACCGTGATCCAGGAAGTACGCCTGGGGGCATGACGACCTAACTCCGGTGCGGGACGGGATGAGGTACGCGTCGAGACGCGTCGACTTACGCGAAGCAGGTGTCCAAGAACTACACGGACAGTCGGAACGGATGGGGCGCCTCCCTCGTCGACGCGATGCCCACTATGGTACGCTCCCCCCGCATCCCATGATAAAGCAGCTAACTTTGATATCTCCAGTACATCATGGGGCTCGATGTGAGCGCCCTTCACCGCCGTTACGGCCGCACCGAGCTAACCACCCCCAGGACCTCTTCCACGAGGCCATCGACTACGTCAGCGGAGTCGACTTCAGCGAGTCGAAGACAGACGCCACCGTCAGGTCGGTGTGCGCAGGCCTTGTTGAAGTGTGAAACTGATTGGGCGGGCAGCATCTTCGAGAGCTCCATCCGCTACGTTGCGGGCATGCTCAGCGCGTATCAGCTTAGCGGGGAGCAGGACGATGTGCTCGTGGAGAAGGCGAAGCAGCTCGCGGACAAGCTCATCTTGGGCTGGGTAGACGTGCGTTCGCATCTACGCTGGTTCTTGAGCTTGTGCTAAGGTACTGATCAGGGTAATGCGGTACCTTACGGCTATGTGAACTTCACGAGTGGCAAGCCTGTGGTGGACACAGTAGGTCCTCGTTCCTCGCCACTCGCTATTGATTCTGACATGTGGTAGACCAACATCGCTGAGGCCGGCACCGTAAGCATCCCCTTTCTCCATGCGCCTCAGGCCGTCCTGACCCTCGATCCCAGCTCACACTCGAGTACTACGAACTCTCGAAGTACACCGAGGACGACACCTACGGGAAGCTCGCCGAGGGATCAGCGAAGCAAATCATGAACACCGTACGTTCCCTCCCCTGACAACCTCAGAAGACTCTGACTGAAAGTCCAGGCTCCGCCCCTCCCCGGCCTCCCCGCCCAAGGGTACGACCCAGCCAAGAATGCGTTTGTTGGGGGTTACGTGGTAAGCGGCGAAGAAGCAGAAGCCGGAGTCGCGCAGCGCAACGACTTGGAGCTCATCCTGTTCTTAGACCTGGGGCGGCGGCTCGGACTCGTACCTCGAGTACCTCATCAAGTATGCCCGTCTGACGAACACGGATGACGATTCCTGGGCCGATGCGTGGTATACTGCCGTTGACAGCTCGATCCAGCATCTCTTGCGTGTAAGTCATTGCTTTGATTTCTACAACATATATTCTGACTCTCGCAGCGCTCGACGGTCGGCGACTGGCTTTATCTCGCCGACTACGACTCGTCGAAGAAGATTCGCCACATCAGCTCTGTGCGTGTTCTCAACCATTCTCATGCTATGTTGAGCGTGCGCACTGATACGGTGTACGCGTCCAGCACCTTGCTTGCTTCCACGGTGGGAACTGGATCCAGGGCGGACGGCTGATAGATAACGACACCATCGTCAACTACGGCCTCGAGCTCGCAGACGCCTGCTGGAACACCTACGCCAGCACTGCGTGCGTTCCGCCTTATTGACACCCTATGATGATCCTAACTATCCTGACTGCTCCCAGCACCGGCATCGGCCCCGAGGTCTTCGCCTTCATCTCCGACGACGGCAACTACACGAGCGACAACGCCGTGATCGACGACGACGAGCTCGCGTTCTACAACGAGCACGGCTTCTACATCACGTCCGCGGACTACATCCTGCGGCCGGAGGTCCTCGAATCGCAGTTCATCGCCTACCGCGCGACGGGGAACGAGAAGTACCTCGAGCGCGCGGCGGACGCGGTCGAGAGCATGAACAAGTATCTGTCCGTGAACGGCGCGTTCTCGGGCATCGAGGACGTGGACGATGAGCAGAGCAAGCGCATAGACGATACGGAGAGCTTTTGGTTCGCGGAAGTATTGAAGTATCTGTACTTGATCTTCGACGACCCGGACCATATCAGCTTGGATGAATGTGAGTCGGCGTGCGGCTGGTGGATCCATGTATTCTGATTCTATGCCTTCCAGATGTCCTTAACACGGAAGCCCAGCCCTTCAAGGCCCCGCCGGCCAAGGACAAGTACGGCTCCGGCCAGCTGCTCAGCATGCAGGTCGAGTCGAGCGCCACGACTGGCAGCGAGCTCCCCATCGTCAGCGCGAACGCCTTCATGCCTATCTCGATCAACGATGCTATCGGTCTAGATGGGGCGTAGACACCATACTTGTGCTCGAACGGACGAGAGAGAGACAATGGACGAGAGCGAACTATGGACCTCCTCCTCACGTTCTCTTGTAGATGCGGCTTTCCCTTAGCATCCTCGACGATGCCTCACTTTCTTGTATCCTTCCTATCCCTTTGCCTGCCTTCTTTCAGGACGCTGTAGTTATCGAGCAACCAATGCATTGTACAAGCAAGCCTGTGTTCCCGTGAGACGGCGAGACACTTCTGCGGCGAAGGGCCAACGCTGAGTTTGCACTGAATTCCAAGGGACCTACACCCAGAAGATGGAAGACGAAGAAACCCACAGCATATAAGAAGGACGCGTTATACGTAGTATGAGGAAGACCAAAGTCCCAGATAGCGATTTGGCGACAGCAGAGCGAAAGCAGAACGAACAGCGATGACAGCAAGCGAGAGCAAGACATGGTGAGTGACAAGAGACGAGACGGCGCAGGTCATCCAGTCGTCAGAGCAGCGATAGCATTCTTCATATGGGTCGTAAATTCCAAAAGGCGAGCGCGCATACGATCTGGATGATGGTAAACCGGGTGAGCAAGCACCCGACGGGTACGAGCGTACCGACGAGGGAAGCAGGAGAGGACGTGCCTTGTTCCTTCTCGACCTCCATGATGTCTGCAATCTTCTTCTCATACTTGCCGACCGCGTTCGCGCTCTCGAGCTTGGGGCGCGCGGCGGCCCATGCGTGGGTCTCCATGATGAGATCTACCATGAGATGGCCGATTTCTGAAGGGATTGATGGGCATATATGCAGGGTTTTCGAGGCAGATGCACGCACCACCCTCGAACGTCTGGTCGCGACCCGTCTCCTCCTCGAATGGTCCGACGATGGCGGCTTGGTGGTCAAAGGGAGGGAAGCGGTCCTCGACGATCTCAGATATTGCGCGGGACTTGGTCGTCGTTGATCCGTTTGGCTGAGCCTTCGAAGAGAACGTTGGCGCGTCTTGTTCTGACTTGGTGTCTGGCAACGTAGAAGGGTCCGAGGAGGACGCTTGAGGTGACTTGCCCATAGTGAGTGAGCTGCCGTCGGCGATGATGACGGGAAGGAGCACAATGCCGTGTCACTGTCACACACGCGTCGCGACGCGTCACCGGTTCACGCGAATTGCCGAGATGAAGATAGTACAAAATGCGATTGCTACGCGGTCATGATATAGCGATGCAGCAGAGCAGCAAAGCAAACAGGACGAGGGGGGCACGAAGATACACGGACGCACAGCAGGGATAGTAAATAGCAAGATAGGGAGGATAGGCGCCGCCTTGAAATCGTACATCACGTCTGCCTAGGAATACAATGCGCCGTCTCCCGAGCACTGCCTCGTATACAGGTGTGCAGTCGCCGGCCTGCGTTCCAGCGGACTGCCGCCTGGCCCGTCTCCGTCGTTTAGTCGAGGGTAGCCTCGGCCGGCTTGGCGGCCTCCTCAACGTCGAAGTTGTCGACCAGGTCGGGCACATCGTCGTCGTCGTCGTCCTCTGCCCCAGCGTTCGGCCTTTGCTGGCCCTGCTGGAGGGACTGGTAGGACTCGGCGAGCTTGCGGAGTGACGCGAGCGAGTCGGGGCCGAGCTGGTTGAGGATGCCGGGCACAAGTTCAGTGAGCTCCTTCAAGTGCCCGGTGCCGTAGATGGCAAAGGTGTTGGCGGACACGGCGGCGTGAACTAGGGGGGAGACGTCGCGTCAACGGGGACGCGCCCGATCGACGGGAAACGGGCCGCACCTTTCGGGGCGCTAAAGTGCAGGACATGGCCGTCTTCCCGGAACATGTTCACCTCCTCGACACCCGCGATGGGCTGCACGTTGAGCTTCTTGAGCGCCGCCTGCAGCTTTTTGTCGTCCTGCGCCGCGGAGGCCTTGGGCTTGCGGACGACCTTTCGGCGCATCGTCCCCTTGCCGCCTGCGTGCCGACGAGTGCGAGTGAGCGATCTGCGCGCGATGGCCGCGTCCGACGGTGATGTACACACCGATCTGGGTCTTCGCCGCCGCCGCCTTCAGCTTCGCCAGCTTGTCCGCGTCCATGTTCGATGATCTCGTCGCTGGTGCGCGTTTTGGGAGGTCTGTGTGGACCGTGGAAATAAGGTTCAAGTAGAGTCCAACGATCTTGCCAAGCAGGCGCAAATACGGGACGTCGGCAAACGCCGACTCATCCTCTTCCCGACCGCGATGGCGAGTCGAGTCACCCTTACTGACTCGCTCGCTACCTATCCGTCGCCGCTGCGAAGCCGGCCCGGGAATATTGTGTATATAAAGGACTTGCACAATAGACGAGATATCCTTCATCGCCCATCATGACCGCATCAGCGAAACCCACCTTCTCTATTCGCGCCGCAGAGCCCAAGGATATCGTACGTGGGTAGTAGCGCCCGTCTCTTACTGCTCACCGACTTTCATTAGGATGTTATCCTGCAAATGATCATCGAACTGGTCAGTATCATGAGCGTAAGGCCTTGCCATTCCTGACGCTTCCTTCAGGCTGTCTATGAGAAGGAACCCGACGCTGTCAAAGCTACCCCTGAGTTGGTGAGCAGTTTGCATTCTCTCACCGGGAATATTTCCTTATCCGCTTGCTACTTCCAGCTCAGGAAGAACCTCTTCGAAGACAAGTACGCCAACGCCATCTTGGCCTTCTCCGAGGAAGGCCAGCCGATAGGCCTCGCGCTCTACTTCTTCAACTTCTCGACGTGGACTGGGCGTCCTGGCTTATACGTGAGCTTTCTTCTGTTGCTCTCTTCGTCGCCTTTGCGAGAGCGCTCATCGAAATTATAACTCAGCTCGAGGACTTGTACGTGAAGCCCGAGTTCCGCGGGTCTGGCGCGGGCAAGGCTCTCTTCGGCCGCCTGGGCAAGATCGCGCAGGAGAAGGTACGCTCGTTCCATTTCTAGCAATTCATCTCACCAACTCTAACATCACATCGACCATCAGGGCTGCCCACGACTCGATTGGTCCGTGCTGAAGGTGCGCTTTCGTGTCGCTTCATCATTCGAGTGCCACTGTCCTTCTCGAAAAAAATTTACGAAGGCACTTATGCTAACCGCTGTTATTACTTCAGTGGAACCAACCCTCGATCGACTTCTACGAGAAGGTCCTGCACGCGAAGCCGATGTCGGAGTGGCTGGGGATGCGGTTGGAAGTGGATGGGATTGAGGCGCTGAAGAAGTTCGATACTAGTGTATGAGTGGGATGTACATTGCAAGTCTCTCCTATTTTCTATCATCGAAGCTTTCTGACAAAAGCTTACAGGTAGCAGATGCAATAGCGTGTTATGGAATGATAAATAATGAAGGACGTGTGCCACAATACAATCAGTCGTACTAGCCGGCCCACGTCCACATCAAAACTACTGCTGTTTCTCTCGATAGAAGAGGCTCAGACTGACTTCTTTCCGGCCGTGTCGGCGTTTTTCTCAAGGTCAATGTCTTCTCCGCTTTTGTTCGTCTGCAATCTTGCGGCTTTCGCCTCTGCGGCGGTGTCAGCACTCGTAGTTCATCTGCCTCCTGCACTTCGGACATCATCTTTCGTGCTCACCAGCAGTTTTGCGCCTCCATTCTTCGGATATCAGCCTTACGGCCCCGTCATTTTCTCCGAGAACAGTAGCCTGACTGGTGGCTGTGTTCTGTGTCTGGGTCGAAGCGCGATCTTTTTCTTCCACGCTCATGGGAGTGAGCTGTCCATCATCGACGCCCACGGCGGAAGAGTCATCGTTTTGGGAAAACATGCTCAACGGTGAAGGAGCTGGTGAGCTCACGTGGCGTGCAAGTCGGGCTAATTGGAATGCTGATTTTCTTGCAGTACGCGCGACCCCTTTTATACTCGAGTATGGTGAGCGCCACAATTACTGCGCGAGGGTTCGTGGCAAGGCCCCGGCTTCTGATTATTTGGTGTCGTCTGTTCGATCGCTGCGAAGCTGAATCGTAGCTTCTCGAAGCTCTTCTTCGATTCAAGACTGGCATTGTTCCTCGAAAAGCACGACTGCGAGATATCAGCGCCTCTAGAACGTTACCCTGCTCTGGAGCCGTGACACAACGCAGTAAGTCCGGTCCATCGTCCTCAATAAAGCTAACACAACTGAACAGCACGCCGAAGAACATCAAAGGAGTGTGTATACAAGCGTCCCACAATTGCGCTGTCCGTTCAGGTCCATCAACGAAATCCGCTCCGTTCACTGGCAGGCCTGGCCCTTGACGTCCTCCCGAGCAAACCAACTGGAGTCGGATGACTCTGACGAGTAATCTGACTCTTCGTCTACAGCGGCAACTTCGCCGCTCTCGGGAACGACCTCCTGCTCGGCACTGCGCCCTCCCACGGCGCCGAGCCTTCTTTCAAACTCGGTCTGCTGCACTTCGGCGCCGGAAACAGGGACCTGAGTGGAGGAACCAGCACCTGGAAACGCCCGCGCCTCAAGATCCTCCTCAGTCACATCGCGCTTGAGCGCGCGTCCTCGCCTTGAAGAGGTAGGAAGAGAAGGCTGCACTTGCTTCTCGGGCACTTGATAAGGTCTGGCGATGGGAGAACCCGCGCTCATGGATGCGCGCGCCAAGCGCCGGAGGCGGGCTTGATCTTGCGCACGTCGTGGCTTGGGAGCAAAGCGACGAACAGCTTGAGTCGGCGCGGATCGCGGCGCCGTGGGGGCTACAGAACGCGCAGGCTTGGAGGCCGCAGACTGCGCCGGTTTGCAGGCCGCAGACTGCGCCAGCGGAGGGGCCACAAAAGCCTCTTGAGCCGGTTTGTTGGGCGCGCCATAAAACGACTCTCCATCGACAGACATCGCAGAGTCCTGCGATGATTGGCTGGGGTCGATGGACATCGTCGAGGACGACGTGCGCGCCAGCTTCCTATGCGCAGTCTTGACAGCAGGCGCATCGTGCGCTGGCTGCACGTCGTCGATGGACATGGCGGATGAAGACTTGGACAGGAGGGTCATATCAGACGGTGAAGGGGGATGAGCGGGTGAGTGGAACCAGCGTGTGCGGACGAGGGGCTAGCGGGGGTACGGATACCCACTGGCAGGGTCGGATGTGCAGTCTCTGCGCCTTATATCTGGTGGGTGCCCTCATTAAAGCGCGGGATTCTATTGCGAGGCTGGGAGCCGGCCGGCTTCGCATCCATTGTGTGCCCTCGTCTCGTCGCCAAGGTGTACCGAACACGTTGCCGAAGCCCTGCGTCGCGACCTCAAGGCGCTATTGTTCTCTCAAGGGCGGAATTACAGGATGATGCGAGGCATCCCAGTGGAAGTTCGTTTGTGGGTGTACGATATGGGTAATTCTCCCAGAATGTTTCAGGTACCTCGGAATGTTGGCGTCGTGAATGAGTGCACCATTGGAACCGACAAGCGTTTGCCCACGCAGGTGGGCGCAAACGGGAGGCGCCCGGTACCCCGGACCGGCCATGGGAAGAACCTGCTGATGCGGCCGCACGATATATCCCTGTTGGATTCGAACCACGACCTACGAACAGTGAACGCGCCTTTCTCCTCGAGACCCCAGCTCAAGAGCCTACACGATGGATTCGGATGACGAGGCTGATCATCGGGTGGTCGACGGTAAGCTTCTCTCGTAACCCTGCGGCACCTTTGCTAAATCATCGCGGATAGAATGTGACGGTCATCGCCGTCCGGACAAGCCAGTCGTGTACTTGGAAGTGCTTGATAAGGAGATAGACAAGACTCTGGATTTAATGGTCATCAATCCGTCTGGGCGAGTCTCTCCAACAGCACTGCTCGAGCGGCGGCGGCGCTGTCACGATCTTCTGAGTTTGCGGCACACGCAGCGCTTCTTTGCGGCGCTTTCCGGCTTTTTTGAGGTAAGTAATCATGAGATGATTGAGGACTGTAAGTAACAGTAGTCTCAGGGCCAGCTCGATTTGACTGGGCGTCATCCGCCGCGGTTCGACCGCCTCGTTGCTCGACTCAAAGACGTGTCCGAAGACTTCATGTTCATCATGCGGCACTGCGTCGCCACGACAAAGCGTACGGAAGAGCTCGGCGAGGAGTCAGATATCGAGGAAACTTCGTACGAGTTCGATCCTCCTTACCTTTGGGAGCAGTTCGTCACGAAGTGGCGATTAGGCACAATGATTGATTGTGACGAGTTCAGGGATATGCTCGGTTCGTATCATATAGAATATCTCTCTGCCCAACGATGTATTCCTGACGTGTCCTACACTTCAGCCGACCTCAGGGCCGTCCGCGCGCGCCATCCCGGGGTGCCGAAATTCCAACAATCATCGCTGCTTGATCTACCCTCCGAGCTTCTCGATTATATCATGATTCTATCGGACCAAGACTGTCTTGGGAAATGGAGTCAGACGTGCAGCTTATTGCGCGAGCATGCGTCGAAATATGTTCGCTCGGTATGCGCTTCACGAGCATGTATTTATGCATATGTTCATACTCATATGCCACCGTTGCAGCGCTTGTGCTTTAAACTCATTGCGGATGACATCGACGTTGACGCCATACAACGAGGCATCCCGCCAGGACCTGAAAAAGTGGCCGAGGTACGCGAGCTTACGAGGGAAGCGGCACTATTCTACCGGGACGCGCTAGTCAAGCGAATGCGCAAAACTATCAAAAGACCCCACTTGCTCGCGACTACTCGCTTTCTAGACTTCAGCGAGAATTGGTCGCTGACAGATTGGATGCCCTATCTGGGATGCGACTTTCCAGAATTCGTTGCGCCGTTCATCGAACCCTTGGTAATCCTCATCCGTGATTTACCTCTCGAAGCCATCAGTTTTCGGGCTTACGGCCTCCCGAAACCCATCTGGAGGGCAGTATGCGCTTCTGAGACGCTACACTCTCTTTTCCTGTCAGCGCAAGGAATGATTGGCTGGGAAACCGGACCATCCTGGTAAGTCACTTAAAAACCTCTCACTCACACTCCATGCAAACCGTTCGTTGCTGATAACTGCCTCGCAACAGGCCAGATGCACCAGCTTTGTTCAATGCTCATCTCAAGATTTATGGCGAGGATGTGAATGGTGACGGGTTGTGGCCACTGCTGGACAGCATACCAAATTGTCTCTTCCTTCAGGTTTTCGGCGTCCCAGGGGAAGGTTTTCCAATGCCTCTGCTCAGGTGCCCGAACATCACACGCCTCTCCGTCACGTACGTATGGGTGGATACGCTGATTCTCCACTTCGCCGATGTCATAGAGGGCGGTTTCTGTCAGGGCATAATGCATCTCTCTATCATCACAGACCATCCCGACATGACCGCGGACATAGCCCGTCGCCTCTTCGATGCGTTCCGCCACCTGCCGCGTCTAGAGTTCTTGCGTCTTACGGGTCTGTGCCACGCCCCTCCGGACCTCTTTGTGCACCTCAGTGAAAGCGCTCCTGGGCTGCGTTCCCTGTTCCTCCATTCCTTTTCTAGCGGCAGTTATCAGCGAGGCGACTGCTCGCGCTGGCCGTATCCGCCCTCTGAATATGCCCGTGCTTTCGGCACGTTTCCTCGTCTGAACCTTCTCGGATTGAACATGGCGATCGACGACGCGCCTTATCGAACTTCGTACTTTCTCCAACGGATGGAGTTGGGCTACGAAGGCGCCGAAGCAGAGGACGCGAAAGCTCTGCGGCGGTGGCGCGCGAGGAAGAGCCTTTCCACCGACGATGACGACCCCAGGACCCTCGATTGCACTGCCGACGGGGAGGTTCGAGATGTAGTGCGGCTCTTTGCGATTTATGGCAGGGCGCTGCAGACAATTTTCCTTCACACGAACAACTTATCGCAAACGGGCGGGTGGGTTATTGAACGCGACGCGGAGGGGAGGCCTGTGACGATCCGAGACGGGCTCACGACCAGCGAGCGCGAGCGGGCGAACATGGCGGACCCTGAGTGGCAGATAGACCACTGGACGTTTGACGCAGCGGAAGCGGAGGAGATCCTTGGACTCAATTAAAGGTCGGGCTCCGCTCGTGCTCTGACTTACCAGTCGCGCTGACCTCCATCATCCTTCCAGTGTCTCGTCTTGCTACTTGACGATGCGACCTCGGATAACGCATTGTTCAGGGAGCCTAGGAGCGCTAGCATTTCATTCTCGTGGCACTACCACTCCTTTCTACTCATACTAGAACTATATCCACATACAAAACGAACAATCGCACAGTTTTCTACGGCTCTGGCTCGGCGACGATGAACGTCTCGTGACGTCGAAGCGACTTCGGGTTCAGGGCGCAGGGCTGACCAGGAGGATGCGTTGCCACTCTGCAACAGCGAGAGCAGAGGTTTCCCCCGTCGTCTAAATAGGCCTCATTGCGATACGCAACCGGACGCAGGCGTGGAGACGAGAGATCGGGGTTCTGCGCGGAGTCGATTGCCACATCAGAGGAAGCATATTGCACTGCATCGGTCCCGTGGGCAGCGTCTTCTCTAGAGTTTGTGGCATCGAAGGAAGGCGAGGCTTCGTTCATCGGCCAAGTGCTATTGGCGACGTCCTGCGGTGGCGGCGGGCGTGCGGCGGTGGTCATAGGGAACTGGCTGTACGAGCTCGCAGAGCTCGACGTCGAGGAAGCGGATACGGGCGTGGCGTCCATTGTAGAAGAGTGGCTGAGAGTTCGAGCAAATGACTGTTTAGGTCGAGCACGGTGATGCAGAACACTGATTGAAGAGGCCCGTTTTATATGTTCGGAGGACAACAACCCACGCAAATTGTCGTGAGTCACAATTACGTATGGACTCGAAAGGCCAGAGGACAATTGCAGACAAACGCGGGTCCATTTTTGTCGCGCGCGTGTCGCCGATTTACATGGCGGTGGGCGAAGAGACAATTGATACCCTTGGCGCGTGGCGGCCATCTCGGCAGTTACCGAATGGCTGATGTCGGCCGTTTCCGGTCACACGAAATTCCTTGCCAACCACCATGGTATGCAAGACGGCTTGAGGAGCCCCGTGTATCTCACGAGCTTCGCGGAAGTATGCAAACACACAGCTCGTGCGCCGCGCCTACGCCGGCTCCCTAGGTCGACCGAACTCGCCGTCCTCTTGCGTCTCGCCATCTTCTTTTGCCGACACGCTCTAGTGCGAGGCTCAATTCAGTATGCTTCTTCTAAATTGCATGAACAGTGCTCTCATGTTGTGAACTGTATAACCCTCCCTCGATCAACAACGATGCAGGCTTCTGCCCGATGCATCTCGTGCATTCAAACCATGCGGCGGACCGTTCAATTCGCAGGCTCGCTGGTTCCGATGTCGATTGCGAATACCTGTGGCACCCCGGTTGGACCTTGCTCAACCCCCCGCCGATACGATATATTCCTGCCTTCGAAGTGTATGCCGGTATCAGACCTCAGTACTCGATGCTTAAGCGCCCGTAAGTGTTTCTCAAGCTCCCTAATCTATCTGCTGGCGTCTGATAGATGCGGCTTTCCCCTGATTTATGCAGGATTGTGCAATTTCTGAGCGGACACGCAGAGGTCCCTATACCAACGCGAGCGTGCCCGCTCTTCCGTCCCTCCTCTGCGTGAAATTTGGCTGCGCGCTATCCCACAGCCCTGGAGGGACGTCCACTGCTTGTGGCTTCGACGCCGACACCACCGCAACACATACTCTGCCCCCGAAGCACGCTAAAATTGCCTATGATATGGTTCGTGCTCAGGCCTTCGGCCCGCAATGATCGACGCAACTGACATTCCGGGCTACGCAGCTTATGTATCCAGCGATCGCAATAAACATGCGGTGCAAATCCTAGTAGAGCTCACACCTATGGCGCATGTCAGCGCGCACTGGTCTACCTCCCGACTGCCAACCCGACCGCACCGCCGAGCGCCCGATTCTTTATCTCGCGAGTATAAAGACGAACCATGACAGCCCGTCTCTTCATTCAGCGCAGCACGCCCAACGCCATACCATGCAGCCTTTCGCTAGCATCCGCAACCTTTACAAGCGCTCCAAAGCGTACGCCGCCGTCTTTCATGATGTCGAACGCCTCTGACCATGTCTTAGGGCTATCAAGCGCTGTTTCCGGCGCTCGACCAAGGATTTCGACGCTTCCGCAGAAGAAGCGAGCATACGGGGCGCGGCTCCCGCCTCAGAAGCCGATAGCGAGCATGAGGATGCGTGCGTGCTCGTGTACGCATCACTATTGCAACTAATTCTGACCCTCGGCGTAGGTCAATCCACTCAATTCGCACTCGAGGTCGCGCCGAAGTTAGAGCTGTAGCAGGGGGCAGCACAGCGACTTCTGGACGCATCTGTGCTGATTTCAACACGGGGACCTGCGGAAACGGCGACCGGTGCAGGAAGGCCCACGAATGCAGCGTGTGCAGGGGCAAGCATAGTGCCCGAAGCTGCCCAAACAAGGTCACACCCGAGGTTAAGAAGAAAAAGTGGTGCTGAGGCGCATTCATCTGCACGCACGCTCTGCTTCCCCTCTGACATATATATTACTTCGAGTACAGACGCATTCTGTAGTGTTCTTTGTACGTGTTTCTCGCCCGCGAATGCGCGCCTGTAGATGATGTCCTCAATAGTGTACGAACTAAGACTCCGGGCTTTAGCTGTGACGACTGAACATATAGATGTCTCCCATGATACGGCCGCGAGAACCATATCTCTATTTACATACCTGATGCGCTATGCAAGCTTGGATGGTTCTATGGAAGAGAGGCAGCCATGACTTGCTATCGATGTATATCAATAGCTGTATGCAGTAGTATGAAGGAGAACCAGCGGCTTGCAAAAGAGTTCGATTGAGTGGACAATGACTTCAGAGTCGAACCATGCAATCACGTGATCTCACGTGCCATCCACACGAAGAATTTCAATTTCCCACACCTTGTCCCGCTCTTTCACGGCGCGTTGAGCGTAGTCCGCTGCTAACTGACCGAGGCGATATGGATTCCGACGATGAGATTGACCATCTCATGGTAGAGGGTTAGTGACAGATCCTGGCTCACCAGACTGCGCTCATCAGCAGAGCAGACGCTGCGCTCTATCGACGCCGCACTGGGAATTTGCCACTCAAGGTCAAATCAGACAAGATAGCGAACACCTTGAGCAGATTCTACAATATGCTTGCATACCTCGGCGATAAACTGGACTCAGACCAAGTTGAAGACATCCGTCGTCGTACACACAGAAACCTCAGTGATCATCATGTTGAACGGCTTTTCTCGACGATGGCCGGCTTTTATAAGGTAAGAAGTTTCATTCTTCTAGTACGATGTTCTTCGAATTTACCATGTGAAGGGAAACTTGGACCTTACAGGGCGTCATCTACCACGCTACGAACGACTGCGCATTCGATTTGACGAAGTTATGAAAGACTATAACCACGCCGCTAGCCATTGCCAGAGGACCACGGAACGCGTTGAAGAGCAATTCGAGGACAACGGCGAGGTGTTCTCCTACGACGTCCACAAAACCACTTTCGACCCACCGACGCTGTGGGACGACCTTGCCAAGAAATGGGGGTTAAGGTCCATGATGGACTTTCACAAGTTCGAACTGATGATAGGTTTGTTGACCAATTGTCAAGCGAGATTATGCTCACGCCCAAGATTATCCCAGGTGACTATCTCCATTCAGTTGGTGCCCCGGATCCGCAGCCCAAGTTCCAGCAATTGCTGCTGCTCGATTTACCGGCAGAGATCCTCGATTACATCATGCATCTATCTAGTCTCGAAGACCTGCGAACATGGTCTTCCGTGTGCAAACTCCTGCGCGATCACGCGCTCAAGTACGTATACGAGGTAAGCCTACATCCGCTTGCAATCTGTCTCTGTATCGCTGACCTGCTCCATAAGCGTCATGATTACAAGCTCGACTCTTACGCTCTCGACTACGCGGCTTTGCAGACTATACCCCGCGGCGAAGGCTATCAAGAACGAGTGAACGAGTACATGAAGGACGTCGCACTCACCCAACGCAACAATCTGGTCCATCGCATGAGCAGAGTCTTGCAGCGCGATGACATCCTCAGCCGAATCCGAACATTGACCTTCGTCGAAACTTGGTCGTCACCCGATATACTCGCTAGAATTGGGTGCCCATACCCAGATTACATTGCGCCCATCATCCCGCTTCTTTTCGACCATCTCCGCTCGTCGTCAACCACCGAGCTCATCTATATGACGCGGCTGCTATACCGTTGTGTATGGGAGGCCATCGCTGATTCCAAGACACTCCGCACGGCGCGCCTGACTGTTGTTCGATCATCCGATGATGTGCAGTGGCAAGTACCATCTCTTTTACCTTATTCATCGGGCTTACCCTCCCAAACAAGGGCGATCGCGCCGAACTTGATCAACCTGGATCTACGGATGCTCCAAGACGCTGACGATGATGAGAGCCATCTATGGGATCTTGTCGCCCTCTGTCCATCGCTGCTCTTCCTGTATCTGAGTGGGGTACACAAGGTCGGCACACCCTTGCCCAGCGCTGTCTTCAATCCGCAGCCCGGCAACGTCATGACGCACATACGACGCCTGCGGCTAGGGGACATATGGGCTGATAGCCTCGAAGACCTCATCGTCGCCATCGAGGCGGCCGGGCCAGTGCCGCTCACACACCTCAGCATCTCAACGGCCCAGTCCCACATCAAGCGAGACCTGGCCCTCCGGCTCGTTCGCTCGTTCATTCGCGCGCCAGACTTGCGCGTTCTCGCAATCTCCAACCTGCAGTATGCTCATCCAGACCTCTTCGCACTCCTCGCAGAATGCGCACCCTCGCTGCAAGCTATCGCCTTGGAATACTACCCCAGTATATGGCATTCCAGTGGCGCGTCATCTCCATGGCCATGTCCTCTCTACGAGTACGCCCCCCATCTCGTTGCATTCCCACACCTAGAGCATCTCGCTATGAACGTCAAGGTCATGGACTTTCCTTACACGACGTACTTCTTCCCAAGGTTGGAAGATGGGTACGAGGGCGCGGAGGAGGCGGACAGTGACGCACGGATCCAGTGGGCGAGCGGCAGTGCTGATCCCGAGGAAGATCCTGAAGAGATTGACCACTGTTTCGACGGGCCCGCAAAGTCCGTCGTACGGCTGTTCGCCGCGTACAATCGCACCCTTCAGACGGTCTTCTTCGAGAGAATTCAGTTCGCGGGGATCTTTGGGGGATGGGCTATCGACCGGGATGAGGGCGGGAAGGTGACTATTCGCGACAGGCTCACTAGCACGGAGCGGGAGCGCTCTCACCTGTCGGCCACCGCACTATTTGCCCCGAATTGGGCATTCAGCGAACGAGAGGCTGACGACATTTTGGGAGCCGGTAGGCGTTATCAGTTACCTTCACACTTGAAGTACGCTGACCGACATTTCAGGTCGAAGTAATCGATAGGGAGGCTGGTTTCGTCGAACAGAATAGTTGTATTTGTATCAGACCAGAGGCATCATTTACTGCGGCACCAGCATCCCTCGATGAACCGTCCTCGCGCCCATCTTCTTTCCATTTCTCTGAAATTTCAATGTTCTCCTGCCGTGGTCGAAATAGAATCCTACGCGCTCGTCCAGGTAGGCTGAGCCCTCAAGCTGCGAACGGGCTTCGGCTGGTACCTAGGAGAAAGTCAAATTCTATAGGACGGTGGGGATGCCTTTAGAAGACATACGGCTCTTCCAGATACTTGACTTCCTCCTCGGTCAGCTCGCCATCCACGATGCCCTGGTCCACGCGCTTGATAGAGTTGAAGCCAACAATCGGGCTAGACACGGTGCGCGCAACCCATGCGAGCGCGACCTGAAGGTAGGGTCAGACTTAGAACAGGCCGTGCGCCAGACAAGGGTAGTCACCTGAGACATGGTCCAGCCGCGCTTTTGAGCGATCTCCTCGACACGCTTGATGATCTCGGCGTCCACCTCGTGTTGCTTTCGTATACCGTAGTAGGAGGTCGATCGCAAGCGAGGCGTCTCGTCAGAGCCCAGTGGTCGAGCAAGCGCGCCGCCAGCCAGAGGAGCCCACGGTATCAGGCCGATGCCGTGGTACTTGCAGTAGGCTATCATCTCGCGCTCCTTGGCAGGTTGTCAGCTCTCTGAAAACAACAAGAGGCATAGAATCTCTCACCCCCTCGCGGTACAACAGCGAATATTCATCCTGCATGCTCACGAACTTCGTCCACCCGTGCCTCTCCGCGACCTGGTTGAGGAGGGAAAACTGCCAGGTGCTCATCGAGCTCGCGCCGATGTAGCGCACCTTGCCGGACCGGACTAGGTCGTGCAGGGCCTTCATCGTCTCCTCGGGCGGTGTGTCAGGGTCGAAGCGGTGGATCTGGTAGAGGTCGATGTACGTGGTGTTGAGCCGCGCGAGCGAGGCCTCGACGGCGTTGAAGATGGCGGCGCGGGAAAGGCCCATGGCATTGGCGTACTCCTTGCGCTGGCGCATGACATGGTACTGGGTTGGCGTGAATACGTCGTGGTCTGCGCCCTTCGCGGCGAGGGCGTAGCATTTGGTGAGGATGACGATCTCGTCGCGGGGAATTCGGTACTATGGACTCTTCAGTGATACTCTGGGTGGCGAAAAGCAGGCGGCATACTTTCTCGATGAAATGGGCGATGATGCGCTCCGAATCGCCGTTCGAGTACACGTTCGCAGTGTCGATGGTGCTGTCATGTGCCTTCAGTGATATCGCTTTTGCGACCTATCATTCGCCCTTACTTGATTCCACGGTCCCAAGCGGCCTTCAGGATGGGTAGAGCCCTTTTCTCGTCCAGAACCCACTGCATTGACTTGTCCGTTGCCTGGGCCGTTGATCAGCGCGTACTCTCCAGGCGTACTTCTGGCTCACCGCCCACTTGGGGTTTCCGTAGCTCATAGCACCGACCTGAACATAACGTGACAGGCATGAGAAGGAGTCCGCATCTGAGGTTGTGAGGGACGTACGATAGGAACAGATACTCGTAAGCCACTCTTGCCGAGCTGGGTATACTTTGCAGACGGGGCCGACATGACGAAAGCCGAGGGCTCGTGCAAACAATGTTCGAGCGTAGGACAATGCGCCCAGGTTGTGCGTGCCCTGTGCTTTATATTGCCCATACGCCGGATCCCTTTCCGAGGCAATCAATTTGGCCCCGATTCGCAGAAAATTCATTGAGCCAGCAGTTCCGTATTTCTCGAGGTTAAGAACGCGTTCCGGGGCTCTAGAAGACTAGTGAGAGGCGGGGCACATTCGAGTTGAGGTTCTCCAGGTGAAAATGAGGCGAAAATTCCGTTCTGAAGCATTCCTCTTCGAGTGCAGCGCGAGATCTTGCCTCCTCCGTTTCGGAGGGCAACGCGGAGGACTACCGTCCGATCTGGAGGCCAGAAGATGAGAACTGAAGCAGCGGCTCAGATCCACTTCCTCGCAGTGGCAAATTTGTGAAGCAAGATGGAACCAGCTGAGGCCTTCTATACTCTGGCTCTTTCGTGGACGCTGGGGACAAAAGCCGAACCCGGACCGGTGGATTTTGAGGCGTCGCACGTGGCACACACATGACGGGGCACCCCATTGACGCGGCTTGCCTTCACCGCTCATCCGCCCAGACTTCTGGACATTTTCTTTTATCAAGCGGCGCCCAGAGCATGGACTCAGACGACGAGGATGATTATCTTATGGCTGAGGGTGAGCGACTATCCGAGAAGGCGGGCTTACATGCTCTTACCAGCAGCGTGCATAGATCGCCGCGGCTTCTATGACCGCCGTATACGCCTTTTGCCTCTGAAAGTGGAGACTAAAGAGATAAACGACACGTTGAGAACCTTACATGGCCATATATCACACATGATAAGCGAGAAAGCAAGTCCCGAAGACATTGAAGCCGCTCGACGTTGCAGCCTTGGATACCTCAGCAATCATCACGTCCAACGGCTTTTCTCCACCATGAGGGGATTCCATGTGGTATGAAATCACTTCATAAATTGAATCTCAGTGGACTGAAGCCAAAAAAAAGGGATACCTAGACTTAGCAGGGCGTTATCCAGCACGCTATCAACGCCTACGCGCTCGATTTGACGAGGTCGTGCAAGACTTTCACTATGCTGCTAGTCACTGTCGCACAACCACAGAAAGGGTAGGCATAGAAACCGACGATAACGGTACAACGCTCTACTACGACGCGCATATATACACCTTCGAGCCACCGGGACTATGGGAGGACCTCGCCCCGAAATGGGGGCTACACTCCATGATGGGCTTTGGACGGTTCTCGTCTTTACTAGGTTTGTGAAGGATCAGTAGCTGGACATCCTCATACTCACGTCCTATCAGAGAGCTACATGAACCTGCTCTGCCCACACTACCCGTACCCGAGGTTCCAGCAACTGAAGCTATTGGACTTACCAGCAGAATTACTTGATCGGATACTGTGCCTATCCAACCTCGAGGACCTTCAGAAGTGGAGCGTCGTGTGCAAGCTGTTGCGAGAGCTTGCACTTGTCTATGTGTACAAAGTGAGAACAAGTACGAGGCGAAGCTCGACACTAACCCATTTTTTCAGGATTACGACTACGATATGAAGGCCTATCCGCTAGATCATGACTTCATCGAGACGATACTCAAGGACGAAGACTATCAAGACCGGTTCGACGAGTACCTGCAGAGCTTTGCGCTGGAACGACGCGATGAGCTGGCTGGACGCATGCGACGGGTCTTGCAGCGTCGCGACATTCTCAGCAGCATCCGACGATTGGGTTTCAACGAGTCCTGGGCGATGTCCAACCTTCTCCCTAGCATCGGTTTCACATACGCGGAATACGTCGCGCCCGTCATGCCACTTCTCGCTGGTCACATACGCTCCTCGTCGCTCTCGAAACTTCACTTCATGACGCTGTACCTGTATCGCTCGGTGTGGGAAGCGATGGCGGGGTCCAGGTCACTTCATACGGCGACATTGTACACCGCCAAGGCGGCTGAGGACGAGGGCGCACAGTGGCAAGTGCCGTTTGTACTCTGCTTACCGGTCTGCCTGGTTGACCTGCTCGCTCAAGGTCGCTAGCCCCGAGTTTAATTAACTTGGAGCTACGCATGATCCACGAAGTCGACGAAAACCGCCTCTGGGATCTCGTCTGTCTCTGCCCCTCGTTGCTCTACCTGAACCTCAGCGGCTCACCCCAGTTTGGTTCACCACTGCCCGGCCATGTCTTCGCTCCATACACCGGCAACGTCATGACCTACCTACGCCGACTCAGTCTAGAGAACATCTGGGCCGGCACCCTCGACGACCTCATTGCAGCTATCTACGCGGCTCCGATGGTCCCGCTCACTCACCTCAGCATCTCAACGACCCAATCGCACATCAAGAAAGACCTCGCTTTTCGCCTCATCCGCTCCTTCGCTCGCATTCCTGATCTACGACTCCTGGCCATCTCGAACTTGCAGTACGCCCGTCCCGATCTCTTCGCTCTCCTCGCAGAATGCGCTCCCGCCCTCGAAACACTCGCACTGCAGCACTACCCCAGTATCTGGCACCGAAAGAGCGGTTCCTCCCTGTGGCCTTGTCCGACCTACGAGTACGCCCCCCCGCTCGCTGCTTTTCCCCGTCTCCAATACCTCGCGCTGAACATGAAGATCGTGGACTGCTCTTACACGCCTTTCTTCTTCCATCGCTATGAAAACAACTTCGACGACGTGGAGGCGGCCGAGAAGAAAGCCGCACGCCTCTGGTTCTCTGAGGGCGCGAACCCCGACGACCACCCGGAATACATCGACTGCTGCCTGGGCGAGCCGGTGGGCTCCGTCGTGCGGCTCTTCGCAACGCACAATCGCACTCTTCGGATGGTCGTCCTCGATCACTTAGGGATGTCTGGAAGCTGGGCTATCGACCGGGATGGGCACGGTAAAGCAAGCGTTCGCAGCAAGCTCACATGCGAGGAGCAGTGGCGCGCATACTCGTCCGGGTTTCCACTTGTCGCTTACAGGTGGGCATTCGAGGAGTGGGAGGCCAACGAGATCTTGGCAGATCGTCAGTGTTTTCCCCTTTCAATCTACGAATAATTCATGCTGAGTTCGCTGCTCAGGCCGTAGCAACCATTGATGAGCATCGTGGTACAACACACCCTCGCATATCAGATTTTCTAGTCTCACGGGAGCCAGCACTCGCATCGCACTCAGAACGTCTATGAAGCGCCTCGAAGCATACATATGTACTCCGCTACACGCACTGCATCCATCGTCCATGAGAGAGCAAGATCACAGTAATTCATGCACACGTATGTCGTTACCGTACATGCATCCACAGCGCATAACGCATCTACCACGGCGCCGGCAGCCCCGTCGCCGTCGCCCCGATCTCCGTCAGCTCCGTCAACGGGTCCAACTGGCCCTTGTACTGCGGCAAGTACGCTGCGTCGGTGTATGGGCAGTGCACCGCGGCCGTGCCCTTGTAAATCGGTGTGTACGACGCGGCGCAGATCTCGAAGCTCGTGAACTCGTCGTAAGTAACCTCGACCGCGTTCCGCGGGTTGCGGTCGCCCGCTGCGATCTTTTGGCGCGCCTGAGAGATGAGAGGTCAGCATGATCCAAAGGGGGAAGGACTGCATTCAAGCCTTACCTGCGCAACAATTTTCGGATCCGGCTTGAGCTCAAGTAAGCGGCGAGCAAACTTGGCAGCATCAGCCTGGTTGTTCACTTTTGAGAAACGGCCGATCGCGCTCCGGAGCGCGATCTGCATGTGCGGTGGCAGCAGCTGGCAGTGCGTGAGGTACGCAGCCAGCTCTAAGTCGCGCCGGACGTTCTCAGGCTCCTCCTTCTCCACTCTCCGCCGCTCGAGCTCGATAGACACGCCAAGGAGGTACTCCCGTGCGGACGTCACGGTCTCTCGCCACTGCAGGCACGTTAGATCTATGCAGTCTGAATGATGGGGATACAACTCACCAGCTTCGCTTCCGCGTCTGACGAAAGGACCACGAGCAGCAACGACTGCAGCACGCGCCGGAAGGTGTCCCGCGCCTCAGTGAACTTCGCCAACGAGAAGCAGCGGTAGCCCTCCGTCAGCTCCGCGCGTACAGCCTGCAAAGACTTCGCCGCGACCGGCAGCACCTTGCTGGGCGCCGACTCGTGCGGATTGCGTCGTACGTGCAGCTGTAGCGGCGGCAATGAGGCAACGGGCGTCAAGTAGGTATGCGCGGCGCGGTAGGTGGCAAGGAACAATGGCTTCAGAGGCGCGAAGTTGACGACACCGAGCTGGCGGTTAAGTGCTTGCATCGCCGTGTCGAAGGAGCCGGCAGAGACGTGGTCGGCAGCCAGCGGTGAGTTGCGTACCCAGTACTCGGTCTCGCTTGCTCCTGGCGTGGCACCAGCACCAAGGTCCTGATCCTGTGCCGCTTCCTCGGCTTCAGCTTCTTCCTCTTCCGCTTCTGGCTCCTCAGCGTCGAGATCCCAAGCATCGTTGTCAGGTTCCGCGATCTCTTCCTCTTCCTCGTCCTTCGCCCATGCATCGAGGGCAGAGTTGAGAGCAGCACCGGACGCGTCGCCGTTGGCATACGATGGCTCGGCACCAGCCTCAAGCTGGCCGTTGACCAATGCGCGCTCAAAGAAGTTTTCGCCCTGGGCGACGGTCGGCCAGTTGAGGTTGGCCGTCTCTGTCACGATAGGTGGCGGCTGGAGGGTTGACTGCGTGACCTCGACGTCTTCAACGTCAGCCTCCTCCAAGCCAGCATCGACGCGGATCTCCTGAGCAAGGTCTTCGAGGCCGTTCGACTTCGCAGTAAGGTAGGCAAGAGGGTCTATGACAGTTTGTTAGCAACATTACGCGCCGATGTTCGCAAGCCAACTTACAGAGGCCAACATCCCGAAGGACTGCGATCCGCGCCTCAACATCATTGGCGTACAGCGCGTTGTGGAACCTTGACATGGGGTTTCCCCGAGCGTCGGCGATCTTCTGCATCTTCGACAACTTCTCGGTGCTGCCAGTTGCCAGATACAAGAACGACAGCTTGTCAAAGTTCTTCGTCTGCTGGTAGCACTTCTCCACAATCTGCACCGCACATCAGCACTCTAATCGCATCGTCACAAAGTTCCCCACGCACCTTATGGTTCCCCTGCTTCAACGCCTGCTGCGCCAACCGCTCCCAGCAATCCGCCCGGTCAATTTCCCTCGCCGTCTCCATCGCCACATCCAGGTTCCCGCACTCGATCGCAAGCTCGAACCGCGTGTTCGTGTCCTGCACAAAGTGCAGCGCGATCTCCGGGAAGCCCTTCTGCTGCAGGTACGCGATGATGCTCTGCCCGAGGAGCGTCGAGGTGCGGATGATGTACAGCATCTCCTCGTAGTTGTGCTTGAGCAGAGCGAGCTTGAAGCGGTACTCGGTCGGGTCGAAGGTGATGGTGCGCGGGCGGGCGGAGCGGTCGAGGCAGTGGGCGGTCTTGCCCTTGATGCGGGTGAGGTAGACGGGGTTGTCAAGGGTGCAGATGACGCCGTGGTCGCTATAAGGGATTTAGCATGATGACAATGATGAAGATTCGTATATATGCGCACCCATTCCATAAGCAGTACTTGATGTGGTTCAGTGTCGAGTAGATGAAGACACCAGAGTCATCCCAAGCGCCGGACTTGATACGAATAGTCTCATGAATCAAGCTGTGCTGCGAGAAGTTCTTGTTCGCGATGGTGATCGCTATATGACCCGGTCAATCGACACGTTGGACATCGAGCGCATATACGCACTGTGCTTGCTCATGAGAGCGACCATGGACCCATCGATGCTCCAGATGACATATTTGACCGGCGGGCTGTTGATCTCAGCGAGCGTCTTCTGTTGCTGGATGTCGTATAGGACGACTGTCGACGTCGAGCTCAAGATCAAGCTGGCTGTGCCACCGTAGAAGATCTCGTTGGTTTGGACAGGCGGCTTGATTGTCTTGACCACCGAGTTCGACAGGTCGCGGACTTCGATGATCTATGCAGTCATAAGCTCGATGTTCAGCATTTGCCATCGCTGTTCCTACCTGCGTAGCTGTGTTGAGGACAGCGAACCGGTTCCGTGCGACGAAGATAGCGCTCTGGCCGTTGCCACGCTTGCCGTCCACAGTCGAGTCCTTGACGTCGCCCGCAGCCTGTGTAGGTAAACTTGATAGCTCGTACAAGCCATTGTCGCTCGACGCAGTGATGATCACCGCCTTCTCCGCCGGGTTGAAGCTGAGGGTGCGCGGCGGCATATACGGGCTGCCCAGCTTCCAGACGCTGAGCAGACCAGCGTCCGCGCCCGTGTTGAAGTCGTACGAGCGCACATATTTGTCGCGCACGTAGTAGAGGGTGTCCTGGTAAACCGAGAAAGCCGGACGCTCGCGCTCGAGCTTGAATACAATGAGGCCGCTATCGTGACCCGCAGCGAAGAGGTTGAGGTTGGGATGCGCGGCAAGGACCCAGAAGCGGTCGTGCTCGCGACGGAATGTCTGTATAGCGGTGCGCTTGGCGAGGTCCCAGACGCGGATCGTCTTGTCCTCGCCGCAAGAGAGGATCAGCTCATGCTTGGGGTGGAAGATGGCGCAGGAGACGTTGTTGAAGTGCCCGCGGCAAGAGTCGACCTCCCATGCCTTCGTCTCGCTCATGCGCCAGATCTTGATAACGCGATCATCGGCAGCGGAAACGATGAGCGGAAGCGTGGGGTGGAAGGACGCGAAGTTGACGCCGCGGTCGTGGCCTTCGAGGACGTACTTGACGGTCGAGAAGCTGTCAAAGGCCTCAAAGCCGCCCGCGCCGCTGGCACCGCCGCCACCACCACCAGGGCCGCCGGGACCACCCATACCGCCGCCGGGAGTGCTGTTGGGCGCGCCTTTGCGAAGGCCGGAGATGTCCCAGACGCGGACGGTTTGATCCATAGACGCGGATACAACAAGATCGTCCTTGGGATGGAAGAATGCAGACATGATGTAGTGGGAATGGCCGGTGAGGATCGCGATGCAGTTGCGCGAGGTGCTGTTCCATATCCTGATCGTCTGGTCGTCGCCTGTCGAGATCTGCGCGTGTCAATCATCGGCTCGTTGCGTGGGGCGAGGGACTCACAATCCAGGGCATCTCATGGTGAAACTGAACGGTACGGACGTAGTCGAGATGGCCGTGCAGGGTAAAGAGGCAGCGGCGGTTCTGCGGGCGGATATCTGGACGCATGTTCAGAGGGAAGTCGGAGAGCAATCAAGGGAGGACACACCCCACACGCGAACTTTGTAGTCATCACCTCCAGTCACTAACAAGGGGCGCGAAGGATGGAAAGCGACACCACGGACGGGACCTGCGCGTCGTCAGTCTTGATCGCTCGCGCATATCCGCACATCGGACCTCGCACCTTCATGCTCCTCAAACCGGTCGACAAGCACGCCCATCCTGTAGTTCCAAAGCTGCACGCTCCCATTGTGCAGCGCCGCCGCAAGCAGTGGTTGTGTGGGGTGGAAAGCGAGCCCTGCGCGCTGTCAGACGTGTCTCGAGGCCGGGCAGGACAGCGAGCGCGGCGTACCCTTGACGCGGTTGCTCTTCGATTCGAATTTCGTGAGCATCACCGACATCGTGGCGGCCGTCGACGAGCTCGGTCGTCAGATATTCGTGAAAAGGTCGGGGAATTTCAGAAAGCACCGTCGCGGAAGACGCGCCTCGCAGTCCACGTCTTGCTTGTATCTGTTTGTTTCTTGAGGGCGAATGAGGCAGGTCGTTCGCACGCTCGCCTCGGCTGCTCGGACCGGTGCTAATCACTCCATTGTGCGTCGGTGCCTCAAGATAAGACGCCGACGTGTTCTTGCTCCTGACGTCCACCTTGCAAAATGGCACCCCCTCAGGCAATATCTGCTTCACACCCCGCGTAGGCCCCCGACACTCAGAGAAGCGCGCGGCCGCTCATCTTCTCACAGCTCCGTGGTCTTCCTTCTTCACATCCTCACCGAACTCCCCCTTGCCGTCCAGGGGATGTTATGGCCGACTTCACTCCCCTTCATCCAGTGCGTAGCACTCAGCAAGTAGCCCCCCCTGATGCTGATGTGCTTTGAAGGCTCAACAACACCGTCGTTGTTATCATGAAGGTCCGCAGCTTCGGTCTGCCACTACTACGAATTCTCTCACTGACACGTCTAATAGCTGTATTCTGCGCTCGTCTTAGGCACCTGCGCAACTGCTCTCCTATGCTGGAAACTTCCCGGTAGGCTTCAGCTCTCCCCATATACCCACATCCGCATCCTCTTGGCGCATCTCATCTCGTCCTTTGCTAACCTTTACCCAGAATTCTTGCCCGGGAAACGCGCTCTCGCCATCGGGCTCTGCATATATCACACTGCGCTCTCCACCGTGCTTTACCAAGCACCGCGCTTCATCCCCCAGTCGTTTGGGCAACTTGCTGAATCGTGAGTGTTTAACGCTGTCCCTCCCATACTTACTTTATCTGTCCTCCCTTGCGATGCTCGCCCCTTGTCCCCTACTTGCGAGATGTCATGCAAATTCATCAATGCTGACATCCCTCCCCAGTCTGAAAATCACGCCCGAAACCGCGTGGGGCACGTTGCATGGCGTGCTCGGGCTACTGTTTGTCGCCTGGTGGCAGTTGACGGTGCCTATCGCAGCCGCGATGGGCCAGGCCCGTCCTCAGTAACCGCGTCTTCGCAATGTACAATAAGCTGTACACGAAAGAAGGATACAAAAGTTGCCGCCAAGTCCAAATCCGCCGCAATACACCATAGTCGACGCGAAGTTAGGGTACTTCACTCACCTTGTCGAAGTCGTGAGCAAGGCTGGCAACAGAGTCGTATTGTAGGTGAAGATGGGCGAAAGCAATGCAAATTGGATTACAGAACCAATGTACAAAAGCGCGGATGACATTAGACCTTCCCCTCCCTACACCTTGCGAGACCTTAGTCACGCCTCAAGGTTCACAAGGCTTCGACGTACATATACAAACACCATGAACCAACACCCTTTCACCTATCTTGTCGCCCATTCTTCCCTCTCCTCTCTCACCCCTCTCCCCTCCCCAACCACCACCCTCTTCACCCCCTCACGAACTCGCTGACGCTCGATAATCCTCCATCTCCTGATCCAGCTGCTCCTTCGTCTTCGACGGCATCTTCACCGGTGCCGCTGCCGCCCCCGCTCCTGCGGTGGCGCGCTTCTGCAGCCTCCGTGCGCCCTTCCTGGCACGCGCGCGCCGAGGGGGGACAGCGGCAGTGGCAGCGGCTTCCAGGGCCATGACGGGAGTCTGTTGGGCGGCGGCTGCGGCTTGTTTGCCGGCCTTCTTGGATTTGGTGGGTGCGGCGTGGCTATTGGGCGGATAATTGGAGGAAGGGGGTGAACGTGGAGCAAAAAAATGGGCGGATCCAAGGAAAAAGAGAAAAGTCGAGATGGCGAGGGTGTTGGAAAGGTGCGGTAAAGATGTGGACAGAAAGACGCAGAAGGAGATTGCAGATTAGCAGTCAAACATTGAGAACGCATGGGCGAGCTACGTACCCCGCTGCGTTGGTCACGCCGCCTATGCGCTCGATGAGAGATGGCGGGCCTGCTGGTGCTGCCGCGGACGGTGCGTCGTCGTCCACAATGATCTCGATGAGGATGGGTCTGCCTGTGAAGGTGCACGTGGGTGGAGATGTAGGGAGACGTAAGGGAGGGAGATGTATCGATGAATTCATGACGGGGACGGAGTGTACGTGGGGATAAACAGGGATGCATAAAGGGGGAGAATATACGTGAGCAACTAGTCAGATCGCAATATAACTGTGCACGTACGTCCGTCCACGACCTTCATATGGTACTTTGCCCTCGCTACCGCCGCATCCCCTTTACGCTGGAACGCTACGATGGCCATGCCCTTCGAGTGCCCCTGGCTATTGTAGATCAAGAAGACGTCTCGCAACGGGCCGACGGTCTTTCTGAACAGTTCCTGCGAGAGGTTTAGCATCCCATCCATCGGTACAGATTCATTTCATCCTTCTCCATCATACTCCGCGCTCCGTACGTCCCGACTCCCATTGCCCATTGGCCACCATCAACCACGACCATATAAGCGCCTGAAACTCACCTCTACCTCCTGCAGCCCAACATCAATGGGTAGCCTACTGATGAGGATCTTGCTCCCTGGCGGTGGTGGCGCAGCGTTCGGCCGCCACGACGGGGGCACCTGGCGCGCAGGGTGCCCGATGAGCGCCTTTTTGGGCCCATGAAAGTTGTTGTAGCGCGCGTGTTGTGGGCGCTGGTAAGCGTTGCTCATCGTGGGTCGTCAGTCGTAAAGTCGTGCGGATCAAAGTGTGGTTTCTTGCAGTCGTCGGGAAAGAATGAGACTAGGAATAGAGGATGTTGAGGTGAGGAACTGTGAAGAGCGAGGAAGAGGTCGAGAACAGGCGCGCGCCGCGGACACGTGGGCGGGCCGGGATGCCGGCTGGGAAGTAAGGTGGACTCGAACTTCACGCTCCTCCACCTCCCTCCTCTCGCATCATGGCACCCAAGGAACCCACCCGCGCTCAGCTCAATTCGCGACTAGCATACAACGCACAGACTCCAGCCTTCCTGCGTCGCTTCCAGAACCATGTCAACGGGAACGCCGACTCGGACGAGGAGGAAGGAGACCCCGAGTGGGAGGAAGTAGGCGGTGGCAGGCCTGCCATCCCTCGCCGGCCCAAAGACGATCGGCCACCAATACCTACGAGGCCAGACGATGACCCAGGGAGTGCGGATGAGGAGGCTGGAGACGAGGCACCGCAGATCGTCGTCCTCAGGGAAGGGAAACATCTGTCGGCGAGGGAGGTGGAGAACGAGAGGAGGAAAGGTGCGTGGCAGGATACTTGTATACCTCCTTGCTTGCTCATCTATCTACCTACGTCTAGAGAAAGGCCTTCCTCCGCTCCCGGAGACCGTCGATAGTCCCGAAACCGAGGACGCCAATGAGGCCAAGCCTGAAGATCCCAAATCCAAAACCGACAAGCCTAGCCTATCCTTCTCTACCTCCAAGCCCGACAGGTTCGCCGATCTGAAGGCACAGTCACTCGGGAAGCGCAAGATACGCGTGTCTGCGGATGATGAAGACGGCGAGCCGAAGAACGCGTCCGGGAAGAAGGACAAAGAAAAGGCCGCCGGGAAACCCAAGAAGCCGAAGAAACAGAAGAAGGCGCTGCTCTCGTTTGGCGAGGACGCATGAAGATGCTACCAACATACATATACGAGCCACTGGCAGTCACTACCTGATCAACTCCCCCGGTCCCGCTACGCTGCAAACCCAGAGCGCCCTGCATCACCGCCGCCTCTGCAGGCGCCCGCTATCCTGCGACAGGTCGCTATAGATGCAGTACACAGTCGCTCATGCACCCGCTCACCAACGGTCGGCTCCGGAATATCGTGTGCCACCCGGTGGACCTGATCACGTTGACTCACACGCCATCCCTTGCCTCGCGGCGCGCCGGTTGACAAAGGGATAGCTGTGGTAAAACCCCACGCGCCAGCCGGTAGGCTGGCCTCCCGCAGGCGACTGCCACTATGCCACCGCAGTCATGGACACTGCATGGACCCACGGAGTAGCTCGAGTCACTGTCCATCGCGCCAATCCAGCTCACATACTATCCTGGAATTCCATTGTTCGCCCTTTATGGTTGCTACCCCGGGCGGCCACTTGCTTTCACGCTCCTTTCACACGGAACGAAATCACAACGCATTGGACTATCCTCAATGAACTGACCGTACCAGCAACCGATCCCCCTTTGACGATGTGCAGTCTTTCACTGAACTGACTTGTTCCCCGCATACTACGCAGCCGGGGCATCAGACACGCGTATTCCGCCCATTGTTCCTCCGCCGTTCAGCCCGTCAGGGCCGCGTGGGTTCGGCATGTCCGTTGACTCAACGTCATAGGCGCGCGTCCATTGTTCTCCGTTCATATAAAAGGAGCGATTTCTGCCCGGCATTTCTTGTCCTGAACATCCATCATCTCTTGAGCTTGCCACCCGCGCTCACACAGCCACTCGCCACCATCCGCTATACGCCAAACCCGCACTGCAACCCACCCATCCGCGTGAAGAGAACGATGTCTGCCGCCACCTGCACCTTCACCTACTCGGCCTGCACCCCTGCCGCCCCGCACTTGACGCTGTCTCTCACGGCGAGCGCGACGCAGCAGGGTGGCCACCAATTCCACCCCATCCACAACGCTCAAGTGCTCATTCAGAAGCCGATCGCGCCGCCGCTCCCCGCCACTGACACTGATATGGATGAGTTGTCCGATCACCTCGCAAGCACCACGCTCGACGCGCACCCGACCAAGGCGTCCGTGCACGTCGCTCGCCGCCGCCAGCGCGCGGCGTGCCGTATCGAGGTGCAGCCCTTCCCGTGGCGCGCAGTGCACGGCGCCAGCAAGCTCCCGCGGCTCCAGCGGGTGGCGACTAAGCCCAAGGGCGCGCCGGTCAAGCTTCGAGGCTCTAGGCCTCTGCGCCGCCACGAGACCTTCATCGTCGCGGAGCCGGTCATGGTGTATGAGTATGTCTAAGGGTGCAGAAGAGAGGTCGAAAGAAGCGTGAGCCTTCGGCCCGTGAAAGCCTCGACACCGCGAATGGGTCGAGCGTTAGCGCCATCATCGCATCAGCCTCAAGTCAAGCGTCGCTCGAGCGCCATCGCCACGCACGTCGACCGTGTCGACCCGCCACTCCGCCACTCAAGAGACGGCCATGCCCTGCCCTCTAGGGCTCCTCTTAGTGTAGTTTTGTTAGTTTATCATCGCCTTCGCCTGGATCGGTTCCAACCGCATCCCCTTCGTCTTCGCCAGCATCCCCTTTGTGTCCGAGATATTCATTGGTTCCGATTACGTATATTCTTACCTACTAGCAATTGTCGCTACCGTCGACAAAGTTCACTTTCAGCAATGCAGAAAAGTTGCCAGGCTTGGACGCCTCGTCCTGGACCCCCTTGTGTGATGCTTGTGCAGTTCGTGTGGCATGAGCTACTCAGAGAAGATGGAGACAACCCGTACCTGGGGCGGCTCTTGATTGAGGGCAGGAGAATATCGTGAGAGTCCTTCACGTGCGGGGCGTGATTGGATGTTCAACTTGGCGGGCCTTGAGAACTTGGATCATATGCGATTTGCTCCGAAATTTTGGTGAGTACAGCAGTGTACAAAGACATTGAAATTTTATCAGCACGACTCGACTCAAACAGCTGGTGAGGACAGAGGTGTACAAGTACATTGAAATCCTATCAGCACGACTCGCCGTCGACTCAAATACCAGAATCATTAGCCACGACATCCTTGATCTCCTGCGCAGTGAACTTCCACCCCTCCCTATTCTGGATAGACCCATAATGGTACTCTGCCGCATCTTCCGCCTCCGTCCAATCGTTTCTCAAAACCGGGCGCCCAGACGCATCCCTATCAACTGCCCACGCCGACATCCGCACCGGCTTCGACGGGTCGTGCAGGAAAACGGAGCGCAACGCCAAACCATGGGAGGCGAACAGCCTTACCATAGCGCGCACCTCGCCCGGCGCCAGGTCGTCGCCAAACAATTCCTCGACGAGTGGCTGCTGCTCCTTGAAGTTGTTCTTTGGGACCAGCCGCGACTGCATCATGTACGCCAGCATCGCGATATCGTCCTCCCGCTCCGCGCCGACGTACCCGTTCTCAATGCGCGCCATGTACTGCGAAGAGTGCGAGAATTCAAGGACGGACATATTCAGCGCCAGATGCTCTAGATGAGGAAAGGCGGCGAGGTGGGGCGCGTACTCGTAGGACGGACACGGCCAGCGAGCGGGCGCCTTCGACGGTCGGGAAATGCTGGGGCGGTGATATATGGCCAGGGCGTGCAGGCCTGGCGCGCATTCCCCAAGAAGTTCGAAGAGCTCGGGGCGTGCGTACTGGAGCCCGGTGAGATGCAAGACGCGCAGATGCGGGGCGAAGCGGAATGACTCAGCGAGCGCGAAGGCGACGTCTCGCTTGATATGTGACCGACTTCCGCACGATATCGCCAGGTGCGTGAGCGGCGCAGGATTCGCGCCTCGGATACCGGAAGCAAGATGGATCAAGGACGGCGCCGCGATATTGCTCATGTCGACTCGGCGGAGATGCTTCATAGGGTTGTGGTCAACGGATCGCAGGATGTGTTCGGGAAGCACGACACCGTCGGTAAGCACGCCGCCGGTGCAAAGGTACAAAAGGCCCGGGCAGACGATGAGAATGTTCCACATGTCGGTGAAGCGCACGGTCGCAGGGATCGTTAAATCAAGGTTGCGGATGTTCGGCGCGCGAGGCCTGCAGTTTGCTCTGATCAGCTCATGGACAGTCGATGAAGGGAGGAAGCACACCATTTCGGATCCTTTGGGAGATTCGTCACCAGATCAAGTGTGTGCAGCGTCTTCGACTTAGCCACCTCCCTCCACACAGTCCCGTACAGATACCGCGAGACGTACGTGAAATCCTCCATCGAAGAGCCGCGTATGTGAGCCGCTAATGGCGTCAAGAGAGGGTTGATGAATTTGAGGCAAGACGTCCCAATGACGTTGAGCCAGTTGTAAATCTCTGCCGACCAGGATTCGACGAAGCCGAGGGAGCGAATGCGGCGAAGCACCTCGGGCCGGGCAGCCATGTTCTTCATGCGTTGCTCGAGCGCGTCGCGTTGCTCGTAAGCGTTCTTGCGGACGAACTCGCCCATGCCACCGTCATTCTCCGGCAAGTTCTCCGCGGGACTCCAGTCGATAGCCATAGCGTCGAGGATGTAGCTGACAGTCTGGATCAAACCCGTCAATCAGCTACAGTCGAACGAAGGGGAAAGATGCGGTTATATGTACCTCGTGCATGTACACCATGGCATGGATGCGCAGCGTCTGGCAGGTAAGACTCCATCGTTTCAGCTGATCTCCCGTAGAGAGGATCATGATATTGTCCAGAAGCTCGGCAGGCAGATGCAGTAGCAGTACCTTCTGGTATCGCGGCTGAGGCTGTTGCGCGATAGTCTTTTGGACATTCTCTGGAGATACACAGTTCAGTCCTTGCCGGAGTCACTGGTTGAGACGGCAGCAAAACTTACTCAAGTCCCTCTTGAACGTCTTGTAGTCGAACATGGACCCGATCTTCCACTTGCCGAGGAAGTTGTCCCAGAGGTCAGGCGGGTCGAATACAAAGACATCCTCTTCACCGAAAAACCTTGGCTTCAACCACACACACCGGTTGGAAACGAACGTGAAATGGTTAACGATATCGTCGAAACGCGAGCGTAGGCGCTCATAGCGCGGCTTATGCCTCCCGGTCAGGTCGAGCGATCCCTAGCGATGTCTCGTATCTCTCATTCTGTTATGAGAAGTTACTGTGATGCCTCACCTTGTGGAACCCATCTATCGTCGCAAAGAAGCGGCGCGTGTGGTACAATTCGATGAAGCCGTGGGCTGCGCTGAGCTGCAGCTTGTCGGCTTCCTGCTTGTCTTCCGAGTCATCGTCGTCAGCACTGTTGCGCATGCGCCATAGACCGTGGTGGAGGCCCAGATTATCTCGTATTTCGGTCTCAAAGAGCTTCATCGGCAGAGTATCGAAGCAGTAATGCCAGCATGTGTCGTAGTCTGAGTGAACACATTTGACCACTGTCAGCAATTCGGACGCGTCAGCATTATGTTGTGGCTTACCATCTACAAGATTGTGTACGAATTCATCTTCAGGATCCATGTCGAGTGGCAATACGCGCCAAAGTCGCGTGAGGAGGAAGGCAAGTCGCGTCGATACGCGTCACGTCACGGCTGGAAATGTGAGACCGTCCACGTGATATACCGAGTTCATCTCCTTTCAAACTGACAAACAAACGTTGATAATTCCAGGACGCAAAGCAATTACTACAATAGACATATCAAGCAAGAAGAATTGTACTCAGACTCGACTGCATCCCACGACATGAAGGAGCGCAGACTTCATTCGGATTTCGCCGAGAGGCCACGTGCGGTCACGGACGTGGCGCGCGACAGCGCCGCGGCTTGTCTTCGACCCAGTGAAGCCATGGCGCCCATACCAGCAACTATTGACGAAGAGACGCAGGAGACTCTTAAGCGCACGCGGAGGCGACAGATTGACCTAGTCGAGTCCCAGATTCCTCGGCTCCGTCAATGTACCGGTCCCCTCGCCGCCCAGCAAGCGCTCGCTGCCGACGTGCGCGATGACCTGGACACATTTGCACGCCTACTGGAGGTGCGTGCATGACTCGACTCTCCTGATACATTCTCATTGAAAGACGTAGTCCCTCTCCCTTATTGCTGAGGATAGTCGCTCGCCAAATCTACGGCGTGAGGTCGATGACCTCAATAAATCCCTCACGCGCCTCCGTCAGGACTTCCGCACCGCCCTCCTCGAATCAGCACGCAATGTGAAAGCGCAGGCGCGGGCGAACAGGGATGAGCTACTACGCTCCTCCGCCGCGTCGCAAGAGAAGGGGGCTGGCGCGAATGAGAAGATCACGCAAGTCCCTGTCCTCCCCCCCTCCTCGCGGATGCTCATACTGTTTGCTTGCAGGGAGGACGTACTGATGCGGGCCAACAACGATGTGACGGACGCTCTGCGACGTACAGTGGCTGCGATGCAGAATGAGTTGGAGCGCTCGGTGCTAAGCACACAAATGCTTGGTGCGTGGCTCCGCGTCTACTTCTTTGCCCATGACTGACACCGTATCTTCCCCCAGAGTCCTCCACTGCCTCCCTCAAGGCTACTTCCTCCGCCCACGACACCCTCACAAACGTGATGGGCACGTCAAAACAGCTACTCGCCGCGCTGGAACGCACCGACTGGCTCGATCGCCTCCTCATCCTCTCCGCCATGTTCTTCTTCTGCATCGTCGTCCTCTTGATTGTCAAGGAACGCGTCTTCGACCGCAGCATGCGCATTGCCTTTTGGTGGACTCGCTTAATACCGAACTTCAGCGGCGACGTTGAGCTCCTGGACCAACTGGAGAAGGGAGCTGCACAGGCCACTGCATCATTGTCAAGTATAGTGGCAGAAGTATCGGATACCCTGACTGAGGCAGGCTCGACGCTCACGGAGAGTATGACTTCATCGACACCGACTACGTCCTTAGTTCAAACAATAGCCTCGTCACCAACCACCATCCTCTCGCAAGCGACGGAAGCTATCCATAACGAACTCTAATGCCTGCTCTACGGACATGTACACTAGTATCTATTTCTCCGACCCTCCGTCTACCTCGCCCTGTACCAAGCCCCGCTTCTCCGCCTCCGTCAGCATCTTCCTTGTCATCGCCAACCAGTCGTCCACCCCGTTCTCCCCCACGCCCTTCAGCCACTCCTCCGCCGCGCCCCTCCGCTCGATATCAACCCACAGCGTCCTTAGCACATCCTTGTTGTCGTACAGCTCCTTCTCCCAGTCCGTCACCGTGTACGCTCCGCCGTCCGCGATGCTGCCCGGGCCGGCGACAGGCACGCTAGTCTTCGCCGCGAGCTGGAAGAGGGCGTCGCGGTAGCGGAACTGCTCGTGCCCCTCGAAGACGTGATAGCGATGTGGCTTGTCGCCGAGGCGCTGCACACGCTCGAGGATGGCGTCCGACTCGGCCTTCAGGTCGAGGATCGAGGGGTCGGCGAAGGCGGCGAGCACGGCGCGCGCCTGCGCCTCGGTGGCTGGATAGGGCACGATCTTCAGCGGGAGGCCGATGAAGGCGAGCGTGTGCGGCGGATATTGGTCCTGCAACGGCCAGATATGCCGCGCGAGGGGGAAGACATGGTGTGTAGAGTTGAATATACTGCCCGGGAGCGGCGAATGCGATGGCGGATCCCCAGCGTGCAAGATCTCCTCCGGCAGGAACGGGAACCACATCTCGTACCCGGTCGCCAGCACGCAGTGGTCGATCTCGCGCTCAACGGACCCGTCCGAGAAGCGCACGACGCCGTCAGCCTCAAACGCGACGACGCGTGGGCGGCCGACGATGCGCTCCTTGCTCGCAGGCACGTCCTCGCCTGAGTGCACGATCAGCTCGGCGACGGTGCGCATGTCCTCAGCGATGTCGCGCCCGCTTGGCCCACCACCGACGACGAGGATCTTTTTGCCGAGGTCGTGCGGGCGGCGGTACCACGCTGAATGTTGCGCACGCCCGGACTTGAGCCACTCGTCGACGCCGGGTACGGCGGGGTAGCGCGGGCGGCGGTAGTGCCCGTTCGCAATGACGAGGAGGTCAGCGTGCGCGATTTCGCCGTTCTCGAGCGTCAGTTTCCACCGCTCGTTCGCCTCGTCGCGCTCCGCGCGCGCGACGGCTGTGTTGAAGCGGATGTGCGGGGTGAGCGAGAAGTGGGCGGTGAAGGTCTTGAGATAGTCGAGGACGGCGGAGGCAGGTGGATATAGAGGGGTTTCCGGCTTGAACTGCAGGCTGGTGAAGCACATGCAGGGGTGCGGAAGGTTGGTGGTGAGGGAGTCATAGAGGGGGGTCAGGGGCGGGTTGTCCTTGGGCGGGGCGGGAAGCCTGGCAGGTGTGCGTGAGTCAAAGTGAATGGGAAGTACTTGATACGCACCATATGCCGCCGACCTCTTCTCGGGCCTCGAAGAGGGTGGGCTTCCACAATCCAGACTTGTACTGTGGGGAATCAAGTACGGCCTTGAGTACCGCGAGACCTAAAGGGAGTGAGTTTGATGGCCTCGTATAGCTCTGGTGCGCCTCCTACCTCCCGCGCCGCCTCCTATGATCGCGATGTTCGCGGGTTGCGCCTTCGACGCTTCGGCTGCTGCACTCAGGTCACACCCTATTCCTCATATAGCAGTGCTGGTGTTCGACGTACCCGACGACGAGGACGTGGAAGAGCCCATGATGCTATACGGTGATCGAGAGGGAACTCAAGTGCCAAAAGACGCTGTTCACCGAGTAAGGCGCCTTTTGTACACGGATCCGGCATGAGGGCGGCATCCGTGGCGGCGGCGGCCTAGAGTCGATAAGATCGGTTGGTGATCGTTTAGCAAGGCGAAGGCGATATGGCGTGACGCGGACGGAGCCTGGGGGACATCGTTGAGCAACGGTGGGCGGTGTGCCGTCGGGGCGGTGAGGGAGTCGCTGAGGACGTCCGGGACGACGACAACGACAACGAGGACCGGAGGCGCCGTTATCGGCGGCGCTGATCTATGTGATGGGTGCGCCACCTCGTCATCGCGATCACGATGGACTGAACTCGCGTGCCTTGCGTTTTGCTGCCGCGTTTGCCACTCTCGAGGACGGTGGCGACATCGGCGGCGGCGAAACAGGGTTCGGTGGGGATCTGAAGGCTCATCAATCCGAACTCAACGAACGAGACGACCTCATATCATTCAAAGAACGACAAGTCTGCGAACGATATAGTCATGGATCCCGACGATGAGTACGATTGGAAGTTGCTGAAGGGTGTATATTCCAGTTCTTCTGTCATGACGGGATGCCCCTTCTCACCACTTTGCCAGACTTCTACAAGGCCACTTGCGCGGATCAGCCCTCAAGGTTGAAGCTACACGGCAACGAAATCATAGCCAACATCCGGACGTACCACGATATCGCCAACGGCTATGGACGTGCCAGCAGAGTCAGAGTCTCGGAGACAGAACATGGCCATACAATCGACGAGCTTGACCAACTGTCGACCTGTCGCGGTCGTCTTGGGATGTCTCTTGCGTACCGCTTTTTCGACGCCATCTCGGGGCACCATAATGTATGTAAGCTGTCGAGTCAATGTGCATTTCTTCGTGCACTCAGAACCGTTATAGGGTACCCTCGACCTTGCAGGAAGGCACCCGGAACGATACGCTCGCCTTCGCCAGCAATTCAACATCGTAGAGCAAGAATTTATGGAGATTTCTCAGCACTGCACTGCCCCTCAAAGGCGAAAACGATTACCTGGACTTGGACTCCGTTTGTTGGATCCTCCGGACGTTTGGGTCGAATTTGCAGCAAAGTGGCGCCTTGGAGATCTGATGGGCTGGGATGATATTCGCGTGTGTATCAGTGAGTGACGCTCACATCTCGCACTGGCAGCCGCTCATGGCCTTGCTGAAGAGGACTGTCGAGCGGCCATGACGAGGAATCCTGAGCCTCTATATCAGAAACTCCTCCTTCTTGACCTACCGGCCGAGCTTTTGGACCACGTGATGACGCTGTCTACAAGACAAGAGCTGAGGCTTTGGAGCGCAACCAGCAAACTTCTGCGAGAACACGCATTCGGCTACATATACCAGGTGAGGCATACTAGACGTCGTGTGAAGCTGTTTGGGTCGCCCATCACAATTACAGTCACTATTTTTTGTACTCACTATGAAGGGAGGGCACGCGCTCTTCTCATCTCAGGATTGCACAGAGGAGGAGGCAATGCGTGCGCGGTATCAGTGGGCCGCCCAGCGATGCAGGAAAATGGAGCAAAGAATATCGCACGTCCTGCATCCCGATATAATTTGCCGCCCTCGAGAGCTTCAATTCGTGGATGAGTTCCGCATGGTTGTCGGCGGACTCTCAAACTGGATGGGCTGCTCGCACACGACATTGCTGAGGACGATACTCATGCGACTGGCCGACGTTATCAACTTCGCGCCACTCAAAACGCTCGTATTCGTGTCGCGCATAGTGCCGCTATACCTCTGGGCCGCCATCATCAATAACGAAACGTTACGGACAATCCATCTGGAGGCCGGCCTTGGTTCGACAGGGTCTATCTGGTGAGTCATGGTCTCTCATAGCTTCATGCAACTAAGAGTCATCCCGTGTTCCTCAGGCCAGACGCGCCACAAATTCGAAATCTCTTAATCACCATTCGCAACGACAAGGGCGCAGAGGGCGCGCGCAGAGTGATAGGTCTCTGTCCCTCTCTGGCATTCCTCAATGTTATCTCCGCCGACGCGGACACACCCATTTCGAACTCAATTGTGCGCCCCATCTCACAATGCTTGGATCGCTCGCTTCGTCGACTGCACCTCTATGGCATCGACCCATCGGCCGTGTCCAGCCTTGCTCGTACGCTGAAGAGTGCGGCGGCCCCTCTCCCACTCACGCACTTGTCTCTCACCTCTGCGGAGTGGACGCATCTCAAGCGGAACTGCGTCCTCCGCCTCATTCGGGGGCTGCGCAACCTACCGCATCTGCGCGTCCTTTGCCTGCGTGGTCTGCAGTACACGCAGCCCGGGCTTTTCGGGCGCATTGCGCGGTTCGCACCGAGGCTACAGGCGCTGACGGTCGGGCACCGGGTGTCGATCCTTGAAGCTACCAATCCCTTCTACGGTGCTCGCTGGCCCGCGCCAGCGTACGAGTATGCCAAGTACCTGACCGGGATGCGCGAGCTCCGGCACCTGGGCATAAACATGGAATTACAAGGACGGGCTTACTCTCCTGCCGGGCTGCTAGGCTTTGAAAGAAGAATGTCCGAACCCGAGATCGCCAGCTCGCTTGACGAAAGCGACCCGGAGGACGAGATCAGGGATCCGGACGACTATCTCACCCGAGACTCGGCGCGACATACGGCGGCGATGTTCGCTGCGTATGCGCCTGCCTTGCAGTCGTTCTTCGCGGGCTCGGAGGAGGATTGGGTGCCGATGTTTTCCTGCACGTTCAGTCGGAAGGATGGAGGAGGAATTGCTGTGAACGAGCGACCGTCAGAGTCGGAGGTTACTTTCGGGATAGAGGCTGCCGGGGGCAGGATGGGAGTGCCCTGGGACGTTGATGGCGATGGCGATGAACCTTGAACTACAGCGAGTGTCCTGTAGACGGGCGTGGCATTTGATACTTAGAAAATTAACCTTCCGTAGCTGATTTGTCATTCTGAAGGTAGGAAGCACACAATGGGGAGCCAGAGACTCACGTTCTTGAATTTGTGGGTGCATGGCTCGTCGTAGCACGTGATTCTTGACTTCGCCAAATGCGGAATTGCAATATCCCTGAGACCTCCCACGCTTCCATCTTTGTTCCTGCCACCACTGCACTCGAGACGTATTCTCAATGGATTCAGAGGACGAGGAGTTCTATAGCTACCTTCATGGTCAGGGCTAATTTGCCACCATCCGCTCCGTTTCTTAACGCTCTACGCAGGAGCCAAGCGCGACGACACAGCCCTCGGACCTCGAAGGCAGAATCCCCCTTTGAAGCTCTACGCCGACGATGTCTACGAAGCTCAGAACAGATACTGGCATGCCGAGTTGAATTTACGGGTCACCAAGAATGACAAGGACCCCGAAGAGCTTGAGTACGCCGAAGAAAGGGTCCAGCGCGCCCGCGAATTCTGCGAGATAGTGCTGGGGAGAGCGTACACGAACCGCCTCTTCGATAGTCTCATTGGATTCCACACTGTTAGTGTGATCATATCTTAGGCGCAACTTATATCTGATTTTATCGCAGGGAAGCCTTGACCTGTCAGGACGTCACCGTCCGCGCTATATGAAGCTATGCACTCAGCTAGTCGCGATGGCGATGGAATTGTTCGCGATGAAGGACAAGGTCACCATATCCACCCGCGAGGTGCTGGACTGGGACTTCAAGCAGATGAAGAAGGTGCCCTGCGTCGAGGCCGTCTACGACTTCGAACCGCCCACGCTCTGGGACGACTTTGCCGACAAATGGCATGTTAGGTATTCGCACGATTACGGATCGCTGCAGCGCGGAGTTGGTTCGTAGCCTATCTTGAGAGCGTCTGCAGTGTACTGATTCAGTCTTCAGAGCGTTGCCTGCACACCATCGGGTCTGCGGAGGTCCGCTTTCAGGTGCTGCTCTTGACCGACCTGCCGCCGGAGCTCCTGGACTACATCATGTCGATGGCCAACACAGAGGAGCTCGCCGCTTGGTCGGGGACGTGCAAGATCCTGCGCGACCACGCACTCACATATGCCTACGAGGTAAGCTCTCTTGTATCGATCATGCGGAAGCAACAGCCTAATGCACGAGTAGGAAATCAAATACCCACTCAATTCGGTGCATACGCTGGACGTGGACCTCATGGACAAGCTGCGAAAGCGGAAGGACGGGCAAGAGAAGGCGAACAATTACGTGCGCAAGGTCGCCCTGCGGCAGCGGAATGCGACCGTCAACCGAATGCGACATTTACTCAGGCAGAAGGACGCTTTGGCCAAGACGAAGAACATAATCTTCTACGAGGACTGGACTTCCGATCACTGGAGGTGGTTTGAGTTGTTGGGCTGTTCGTACAACGATTTCGTGGGTCCACTCGTCAAGCCTCTGGCGCAGCAAATTCGTTTGGCGCCGCTCACTGAGTTTTCCTACCGATCGCGGTCCTTGTACGGGCTGGTGTGGAAGGCCATCTCGCAATGCATGACCCTTCACACGCTTACGCTCTTGACCAGCCTGCCTATGAGCGTGCAATGGTAAGAAGCTTCACTCGCGACTGAGCATGCGCTGAGAATATCGTACAGGCCTCCAGCGACCAGCGTCGTCAACCTTGTGCTGCATATGACGGAAGTCTATCAGCCAGACTTCCTCTGGGACATCGTTACGTACTGTCCCTCTGCGCTCTACCTTTGCGTCTTCGCACCCAGCCGACGAGGCGGAACCTCAATACCGCGCGCCGTGTTCGGCGGCAACGCGTACAACCCCCTCACGCAACTCCGCCGGATCGACTTGCATGGGATGGATCCTGGGTCTATCATCGTCCTGGCAGAGGCTTTCGTGGCCGCCGGGTTGCCCCCTCTCACGCACTTCGCGATCTCGGCGCCCACGAAGTCGCACATTACGAGGGAGCCGGTCTTTGCCTTGATCCGCTCACTGCACAACGCTCGCCAGCTGCAGACGTTGTGCATCTCGACCCTTCAGTATGTGCAGCCGGACCTCTTCGCCCTCATTGGCGAGAACTTGCCCTGGTTGCGATTGCTGGCGCTCGAGCATCAGCCCAGCAAGTATCGAGAGGTCAGGGGAGGCGGGACGCACTGGCCCCGCCCCTCCTTCGAATACGCCCCTCATCTCGCTGCCTTACCGCGCTTGAAGCACCTGGGGATCAACATAAGCGCGTACGACCTGACTTACACTCCGTACGCCATGCATCGCCTTGAAACCGGCTACGACGGCGCATACGAGGAGGACGAACATGAACTCGACCGCTTGTTCAGTCGGAGTACTGACGATGTCGATCTCGATGTAGAGGACCCGAGACGCATCGACGGCCTTGGTGAGTCGGCAACGAAGGCGACGGCGCGTTTGTTCGCGATCCACGGGCATGGCTTGCAGACCATATCTTTCAGTACCCCCTCGCTGCTGTGTCCTGGGTCTTCGTGGGCCGTTGATAGGGATGCCGATGGGAAAGTCACCCTTCGTGAGTCGTTCACGGACGAGGAACACAAGTTCTGTCGCACCGGAGGGGCTGGCTTCATGAGGGCCGACTGGGAATTCAGCGCGAGCGAGATGGCGAACACCGTGTAGCCTTGGACCATCTCCGTTGTTGTGTTTTACATGTACTATATGCGCCTCTAGAGTTTTATGTACTAGCTATCATGAGCTCGCCGCCTGTGGGTCAATGTTGGGGCTGCCAAACACACGACAACAACAATGGCCATTGTCCCATTCCTGGCCTATTCTTTTGTTCTGCGTTTTCTCCGGGTCTCAGACATTCACAACCCAACCGATGCTCGCTGCGAAGGGCTCCGGTTCAAGGAGCTCTCCCATCGAGCTTTCCGACGACGAAGATATGCGCGCCCCTGTCCCGAAAGCACAGACGCTCGCAGTCAAGCCTGGGCGGAATAACGCAACGCGGCAAACGTCGCCGGCGACGAGGAGTAAATGTGCGTGACATGAACGCTTACTTTTCTCCTTAGCTAAAATCTGCAGCAGCGGCGAAGAGGAAACGTGAGGAGGAGCAGCCCGATGCATTCGTACCGCGACCGCCCCCGAAGGTCACCGCACAAGCCCCCGCGCCCGTCCAGCCCCAGCCGAAGCAGAAGAACAAGAAGAAGGCTAGCAACAAGCAACAGCAGGGTTCGAAGCAGGCGCAACCCCCTCCCAAATCCTCCCAGCCAGTCAGCAAGCCAACGCGTACAGGCCACCCGCAGCAAGCAGCATCACATTCAGCTCTCGCTCTACCCCCGCATATGGTCCCGCCTCATATGTCGGCTCCCCTGATGAGCCAAGGAGAGTTCTTCGACGCCCCTCTGCAGTCGGGATGGGTCAATGCCATGTTCAGCGCCGCGGAAGGACCTTCCAATCCTCCTATCCACCACACCCTTCCGCAGAAACCGGATGTCGAGATGCATGATCCAATGCCTTCAACGTCGTATATCCCCCCTTCAGCTTCGGCGCCGTCTCAGCGACCTGCTCCCTCCCTCCAAAGTTCACCACCTGTTACCCAGGCCCGTGCGAAGGCACCTGCTCCAGCCCCCACCGCCAAGAAGCAGAAAGGGCGCTCCATGACGATAGGCTACGAACCCGATCCCGACCCCAAGGCTGCCCACGGCTGCATTCCCAACGAAGCATTAGCTCCCCTCGCTCCCTGGACGCCCGATCCCGAGCGCACCCTGGTCATGGAGAACATTCCGAAGGCGTACCGCAATCACCCTGAGTGGGTCTCCAAATGGGCGCTGAGCGTCTGCGGCGTCGCGCCGCCAATCGTGGTGACGAACAAGGTGCTCCGGGACAGGGCGATCATCGAGTTCCCCTCGAATGCGCTAGCGTCGTCGGCCTGGAGGTCGAAGCGGTTGAATCCCGAGCTCGACAAGCTGCCGCCCGATCAGCTCAAGGGGCAGCCGCGACTAGACTTTATCCGCGTTTATTGGCTTGTGGTGGACGGCGAGTCGCCAGGGTACAATCTGGCGCAGAAACGGCAGCAGGAGGCCAAGGGTCAGATGCCTGCCTCAGAGGGCGGCGAATCGTCCACTTCATCCGCGCCTGCACCCAAATTATCCAAGAAGCAGAAACAGAAGCAGAAAGCGGATGCTCAACACCAACAGCAACCCCCACAACCGCCACCCTCACTCACCCCATACACCGACGCCGCACTCACACAATTGCCCTCCCTGCCGAGACGACCATCACTATCCTTGACGCCATACACCGACGCTGCTCTTGCGGCCAATCATGGTCAACCGGTTCCCCCTTTATCCTATACGCCCTATGCGGACGCTTTCCTGCTCAGGCGCGCTCAAGCTGCAGCCGAAGGGCGGGACGTTTGGGACGACGATCTCTACGCGCAGGCACTGGCGTCTCTTCCATCTCTGTCTACGCCCATCCTTCCACCACCTCCGCCCAATGGCCATTCTGCCTCGGACAGGGCATCCCGGCCTCAAGCCTCCCGTCCATCCCAAAGACAACCCCCTCCAATGCAACTGCCGCTCAGGTCGCCGTCCCCTTTCGCCATCGGTCCGCCGATTGATATCGACATGAACACCATCCAGCGTCGCGCGTCGAGCTCGTCCGCGGACTGCGTGATGATATCGCCTGTGCGGTCGAATGCGGCGTCTTCGCCCGTACGTTCGCACGCGGCGTGCTCTCCCGTTCGCTCGAATGCACTGTATCCGCCCATCCGCTCGGAGGCGGCGTGCGCTTCCGCAGACCCCATCGTCATCGACGTGGACGAGGGGGAGTACGAGGTGGATGGTCGGATGCAATCGCTGGAGCCGGGCGAGATACGGATGGATTATGTGCCCCCTCCAGCACCTCCCAAAGCCCCCTTGGACCCGGCGCTGACACCACGAAAGCCTGCGCCAGTGGTGGCTTCGAAACCTGCGCCCGTGACGGCGTCGAAACCTGGACCGTCGAAGGGTGCGCACGCGAGGGAGTCCGCCCCGATGGCGTCGTCTTCTAGCAAGTCGACGGCGGCTCCGTCGGGGAAGTCTACAGCGACCTCGTCGGGCAAGGCTACGGCGACCCCGTCTGGGAAGCCTTCGGCGGCTCTCTCGAATGCGGCCATCACACCGGAGCCCATGGCTGTGGTGCAGGATGAGGTCGAGGGAACGACCCAAGACAAGAGTGAGGGGGTGACGCGGTTGGAGGACGAGCTGAAGGCTTTGGTTCGCCAGAGTAGGCGGACGGCGCCACGGGCAGCACCATCTCATTCTGCTGGACCTTCTTCCTCTCATTCCACTCAACTACCATCTTCGCATCCTACCCGGCCTCCATCGCCTCCACCTCAGTCATCTATCGCGACCGCAACGACGTCGCTCACTTCGCAGTCCTCGCAGATGAGCCAGAAAGCATCTTCTGCGACGGTCCCTCAGAGCGCTCCCGCGACGGGCACCCAGACCGCAACCGCGATGACATCACAGAGAGCAACAGCGACAATGATCCAGAGCGCAGCCGCGACGGTGGAAGACGACGCGGAGATGTTCATCAAGATGGCCATCAGCGAGGCGTCGACGCAACCTTTGAGCGCAGACTCGGCATCGGCGACGAGCGTAGGACCATTGGTGCTGCAACCCTCAATGCCAATGACCATTGAGCAGAAGACACAAGTATTGCAGACGAGTAGCAGGACACAAGTGTCGCAAAGCTGGCCTCCCCATGCGAGTAGCGGGTCACTCCACCCGAGTAACCGGCCACCCCCTGCGAATAGCCGGCTCCCCCCCTCCACAGACTTCGAACGCCTCGGTGATCATCTGAACGAAAGCAAACGGCTTCTGGCAATGCTGAGCGCCGCGAAAACAAAGGACGAGCGGGAGCGTATCGTCGTGCTCATCAAGGAAATGAACAGGTGCGCCGTGTTTTCCATGTTGTCTGAGCAGTGTTCGATTACTTCTTGTCGCGTGAGTTGACTTTGCTTCGTGTTTGTCTTTGCAGGAGGTATGCTACGGCGGGAGCAGCCGCGGCGTCCAGCACGCAACAACACACGGCCGGTCAGACGTCGAAGCCAAGGAGGAAGTGGCCAGCTCCCGAGCAAGGGCCGGTGATCATTGAGATCAGCGATGATGAGTACGAGTACGACGAAGCGAGCTGAGAAATGAGGGTACTGGGAGCCAGTGCGATGGTAGGGATGGATCCTTGGAGGTGCGCTGATGTACCGTGTGCGGTTGGGCGAAGCCCGATCCTGGCGAGTCTTTCGAATATTTTTCTTCTTCTTCTTCTTGGTTTCTTGTTCATGGCTTTCTTGTTTTGCGCTTCTTGCTATCGTTGTTCTTCCTTTCGCAGCTGAGATACATCTGACTATTTTGGTACGATACAAAGCACACAAGAGGTGAGTCCGCCCTCGTTCAGCATCGCAGTCGCTAAATTGGCTTTCCAGGACATAATGCCTATTGCATCAATCTCTTTCCTTCTGAAAACACGTGCCGTAGTGTCTGTGAAGTAGCAGCGATAGCCTGAAGTGAGGGGCATCGAGACGATGCACTCCCGTTTCGGCTGCTTGCGCCACTTCACAGACGCGAAGGCTTCGATTACAATGTATTAGTGTATATATGCATGCCTTCGACTGGATATAATCGTCCTTCTTGGATTTCTTGCGTCGAAGAGAACGAAAGGAGGAGTAAGAACGCCGGCGAAAGAACCAAAGCGACTGGCGGTGCAATTTCGAAGTGTCACGTGCGGCGACCGCCGACGCCGCTTACAAACACTGTACAAACAGCGGCAACCGCACTTGGTCCTCTACCACCATCTCTTCCGCTCGCCGCTCAGGTCTTTTCACCCAACCCGTAAGCAACGTCTCTGCTGTCGATCCCGCACGGGAACTCACCGTACCTCCCAAAATGACCTTCAAAATCGATGCCGTTCACCCCATCGCGCGACCGACTCCCGCCCAATCACATCCTGATCTGGACGATCCGTGTGCGATGTAAAAGATCTCAAGCTCCTTTTATCCTCATCTACAATGGCCCTCCGTCGCATTAACAAGGTGCGCGATTGCCCCAGGTGTTGCCGCGCGCTGGCCCGCCAGCGGGCGCGAAAGGCGGCGCTCTATCGGCCCCGAAACATGAGGCTGATCGTATCCTTGTCCACAGGAACTCGTCGACCTTGGCCGCGACCCGCCCTCCTCTTGCAGCGCTGGCCCGACCGGTGACAACATGTTCCAGTGGCAAGCCACGATCATGGGTCCGGTGCGTGCTGCGTGGCGTATATGCGGCGCACTGCTTGCTCACCTGTACTGCCCCTCCAGGGTGACTCGCCTTACGCCGGCGGCGTGTTCTTCCTCTCCATCACCTTCCCCACGGACTACCCCTTCAAGCCGCCCAAGGTCAGCTTCACGACCAAGATCTACCACCCGAACATCAACGCGAACGGGTCGATCTGCCTGGACATCTTGAGGGACCAATGGTCGCCAGCATTAACCATATCGAAGGGTACGTCCCCGGCGCGCTGCTGCCGCGCGATCGCATCGTGCTGACCATGCCGTCCCCTCGTGCAGTCTTGTTGTCGATCTGCTCCATGTTGACCGACCCCAATCCCGATGACCCCCTCGTACCCGACATCGCGCATCTGTACAAGACGGATCGCGCGCGGTACGAGGCGACCGCTCGGGAATGGACGAGGAAGTACGTTCGAACTGCCCTCTTCGCCTGATTGGCTGTTGACCTTACGTTTGCAGGTATGCCATGTAGACTGAGCACGGGAGACGTTGGCTAGTTCACGGTTTCCCGCGATGTACTCTATAACCGTCCTTTTCTTCCTCTTTCATGTATCGCTGTTCTATCATTCATGGCAAATTCTGACGACAATCCATACGACCCGATATCATAGAAATGGCTGGAGAACATCGGCGTGGTGAAGTACGACTCCATGGGTTTTCTTCGAGCAACGACATACCAAACTGTGCTCCAGAGCGCCATCGGAGCAAATCGCGAGTTGCGATCTCTGTCGACACCGAGTCAGGAAATGTGGCGTAGCACGTGCCTTCTGTGACATGAGCGCAACTGTGACGCTCTTTCTCCTTAACCATCGTATTATCGTGGAACCTTCAGCCTGAGCCTCAGCGGACTGATACCGTCAGATGTGGAACTTCCTGCTGTAGAGTTTTCCTTGCGAATAGATGGATGATGGGCGCATCAGTTAACATGCCAAGGTATTACACTGACATAGGCGAAGGCATTCGACGATGTTGAAGGGACATACTAACTCCAGGAAAATGCTAGTGATCTGTGATATGTGTACTTATAACCGCTGCCTTGTCAACTTCAGAAGAACGTACAGAGTACTACTGTTTGTTAATCTGGCGATCAAATTCAATGGGCAGTCAGCATGTCCATCTCCTTCGGAGTGAGCTCCCAACTCGCAGCATGGTACATCGGCATACACTTCGCAATATACTCCCCGTCCTCGGCGCTCAACGAGCAAAGCGAAGGGCTCTCGCCGTCCCTTTCAATCGACCACGACCACCGGTGAAAATGACAGTCTTGCATCTTGTGCAGTGCGAGGCTCTTCAAGTTCTTCGCATGAATCGCGAACAATTTGCCCGTCATCCAGCCCTCCGTGGTGCCGACAGAGTCAGGTTCAAGGCTCTCGTCGAGCGTGGCACTCGTCAGTGGCGTCTGGTAGAGTCCCTCCGTCGGCGCCGTGCCGTCGTACCCTTTCTCCATCTGCTCCATCATGCGCGGCGTGTGGGAGCTCGACATATCCATGTTGAGGCCCAGGTGGCGCAGGCGGGGGAAGGCGCCCAGCAGCGGCGCGTACTCGTACGCGGGGCACGGCCAGTGCGCGGTCTCCACATTCTTCTTCCGCTCGCTCGTGCTGTGCTCGAGGACGAGTGCCTCCAGCCCCGGCACGCTTTCGCCCATGAACTCCAGCAGCTCCGTCCACGCGTAGTGCAGGCCCGAGATATGCAGGACGCGCAGGTCCGGCGCGTGCTGCAGCGCCTCGACGAGCGGGAACGCGACCTCGCCGTAGACGAGCGAGGCCTTCGGCGCGATGGAGAGGTGCGTGAGCGGGACGCGCGGGATCGCCTGGATGGCGTCGGCGAGGCTGATCAGCGAGTCGGCGGCGATGTTCTGGAGGTCGAGGCGCTGGATGTGCGCCATGGGGTTGGCGGGGAAGGCGCCGAAGACGGTGTCGGGGACGACGCTGCCGTATTCTTCGATGCTGATGACCTTGAGGTAGACGGCGGAGGGGCAGAGCGGGATGATGTCCCATTGGTTGACCGGCCTGACGGCGTGTCCGATGCAGATGTGCAGGTTGATGATGTTGGGGGCGGGCGGCCTGAGGGAGCGAACTGCGTCAGCCATCGACCTCTCTCCGCAGCTGAAGGGCATGAGACCCACCAATCCGGCCGCTCGTCCACCAATCGCGTCGTCAGCGCCGCAGACCGCACACTCGGCTGCGCCGCAATCGCCTTCCACACCGGTGTCGTCAGCGATCCCGCCCGATAAATCACCCTCCCCGGCTTCGACCTCCCCAACACCTCCGCCAACAACGCATACGGTTTCTCCGTAATCTCCTCCGCCGGACACCGCATGCGCTCGACGAAGCCAAAGTGGTCGTGTGTCCAGTCCTCGCCGAAGGTCAGGGTGCGGATGCGCTCGAGGATGTCCGGGCGGGAGAGCAGGCGCTCCATGCGGCGGACGAGGGCGTCGCGGGCGGGAAAGGCCTGACCGCGAAGGTAGGCCTCGAGCTCGTCGGGCGTGTCCTCCAAGTCCCGCGCCGTCGGCCAGTCGATCTCGCGCGCCATCGTGAGGTCGCAGTACTGCGCGACCGCTTAGCATGTCGTCGGGGAAGAACAGGGACAAGGACTCGTACAGTATGCGGGCGCTGCGACGCGTGCTTCTGCAGCGTCTTACAGACTTGATTCCAAACCCTCGCAACCAAGATATGACACAAATTCATGATATGGTCGAGCAGCTCGGGCGGTAAGTCCAAGAGGCATAACTTCTGGAAGCGCGGCTCCGGGTGAGCTTCAATCACCTCGCGGCACTGCTCTGTCGCATGTAATCAGTCATACGCAGCATTGTGCGTAGACCAGTGCTTACGGATGCCAGCGACCAACATCGTGTAGTTATAGCAAGGCATACCGCGATTCCTGGTGAACTCCTCCCACGCATTGGGCGGGTCGAAGATGCAATAGGGCTCAACGGCCTCAATGACGCCAGCCGGCGTGGACAAGCGAAGAGGACGATAACCTTCCTTGACCGTAGCCACCCTGGCAAACTCAACGCACGCGCGCTCCAGATCGTCGAATCGCGCCCTCGCCTCCTCGTAAACGGGGCGATGACGCCCGGTTAGGTTGTGAGAGCCCTAGACCATGTTTGAGTCAATATCACAGAGCAGCATCATGCTTTGAGGACATACGAGGTGGAACCCTTCAATTGTGTCCAAAAGCCTGCCAAGTTCCATTTGGGTACGCAGCTCGGGATTGACTAGTTACGAATAAGCATGTCTGCCTTCCACATCACCAGCTCATCTCACGTGCATACAAGCCCCGCAGTCGGTCATCGTCGATATCCATAGTTGAAGGAAAACGGAGATAAGAGGAAGGACGTGCCCTGTGATGGCGGACAAAGAGAAGAAGAGCAACGTGGGAATAGCATGACAAGGATACGAACCGACACGTGTGCGAAACGTGATCGTGTACAATAAACGGTTAAACTTCTTCATAAACCGCTGCATGACTTCAGGATGTTCTATTGTCCAGGAGCTCGCTAAGTTCGTACGTCCCTAGTCCGAAGGAGTTCCCCTTCGCGGTGTTTCCAAATTATGCTCTCTTCTTCCCCGAAATTTCCTCGTATATGCTGCCGTTGTAGACCTTCAGCATATCTTCACGCTTGATGGCGCCCTCCGGCGTCCGACGGTTCCAAAGCAGGATCCAGGTTGCCAACCACTCGAAGATAGCTGCGCCCCAGCCGAGGAAGTCCAGTACGCAGCGCTGGCCGACAATAAGCCGAAGAGTGTCTGTCACGAGGAGGCCGTCCTTCTCGGGGAGGGACGAGTATTTGTCGAAAATGCGGTCGAACTTGTCCTCGATGTAGAGACCATCGTTATCGTAGGTTCCTAAACGAGACAGTCAGTACTGACGCTAGCAGGGCAAGTGAAGGGTGCAATGCTACGCACCCGTATCGGATCCGTGCTTGTCGCGGTGGATATTGGCGACGTGTATGCGCAGGAAAGGATCAGGGATCCACGACTTCTGCGTCCAATACGCGAAGTTGCCGTGGATGATGACAGTGGAGATGAACGAGAGGATGATGCCGTATTTCAGGGCATAGAATCCTGAGCATTGACGCGTTAGCAGTACCACTCTGAGCGAGTGCTGAAAACTCACCAATGTAGGTATCTTGAGGCCAGATGATGCCGTCTCCGTCTCGGTCGAAGAACGCGACATGCTTCTGTAGGGCGGTCTTCTCGCCTTTCTGGCGCTGCTGCGACGGTCGCTTTCGCGCGCTGCCATTGTAGCCGCTACCATTCTGGAGGTCACCTAAGGGAGCCGTCAGACTCTGATATCATATGGCTGATGAGACTCATGCTTACCCTTCTTCGCGCTTCGCTTGAGAGTCGGACTCGGAGCCCGCGGCGGCTCTGCCTCCTCTTCGACGACGTGCGTCTCCTCTTCGGGGTTCGCGACTGTGGCATACGAGGGTGCGGCCATGGTTTCTGATTCAGTATGGAGGAAAATGACTTCTGCGTCACTCTACGGTTTGCCTGTGGTTCGCTTGGGAACGTCGAGAAGACGGCGGGGGAGAGAAAGGAATTATCGACGCCAGCGAGCGCAGAGGGCTTTTATCTGAGGCTGATTAGCGCGTGAAATCGACGCGTTCCCTATAGGCGCGCCACTAGCGAAGACTTGAAGCGCGTCATTGAAGGCTGGCAGGTCACCGATGACGTCTGCGTTGCGTAGATGCTTTTGTCCGCATTTGGAAGGTATTGTTGTTGGACCCGCAAGGGCGAGCTGCAATCGGCAACATCGACGAAGCAATCAAGAAAGCTGAGCGACAAAAGATGGATAGCTGAGCTTATTTCTCATGTGCACAAAATCGGGGGACAAGGGCGAAGATGAGGGTTTCTACTAGAACTAGTACACACCTAGCTGTAGTGTAATAGCCACAATGACAACGCAAGCTCGCCACGAGCCGTGTTCTCGTTTGTCGCATATAGAGAACTTGCGTAATGGCGTAAGGTATGCGGCTATACCACAAGCGTCCTCGCCCGATCCTGGAAGCTAAGCCATCTCGAGGGCAAAGGAGGTGGAAGCAGGACCTTCCAGTGCGAGTACAGCAGTTTTCCGTCAAGAAGCCATGCAGCGACAGCTGCACGATATTTCCATCTCATCCATATGATGCACAGCTGGAGGGGACTGCATCGAAGTGGTCACAATGGACGGAAGAGAGGAGATAACACGCCTCGTGCGCGGACCCTTCATGGCTTCGGAAAACGCCGGTTACGCCTCAGTTCTGGTTGAGTGGTTCCACATCCTGATTCATCTCCAAAGCGCGATGGACAGCGGACAGAGTCAATGGTACATATATCCGAATAATCATACATATGGTACATATCTGACAGGAGTATTGCAACCACTCGTAGGTCGGACTAGCAGGTTCAGCACGTCTGCAAGGTCGGCGCCTACCACTCGATAACCTCGGGGAAGAACTTCTCGATGAGGCCCTGGTAGTACGGCTTAAGCTTCGCTGGGTCCACCGAGTCGTCGCTCTTGCTATATAGGTCGTACGGGTTGAACGCCTTGACGGCGGCAAGTGCCTTCTCGTCCTCGGCGTTGCAGAGGTGCTTGTACGCGCCCTCACGGTGCCAGCTTGGGGCGTAGTTTAGCTCATAGCGCAAAAGATATCGCTCAAGTCGACGTACGGATAGAAGCTATGATAGCGGATCATGTACAGCGCCTCGACTGGGAGCCGGCTCTGGTCGCGCAAGACGTGATATAGGTACTGTAAGGCAGCGTTAGCCGCCCGGGCATTGTTGATAAAGAACAAAGAAACATTGCGAACCTCATCGTGCCCCCAAGAAAGCATGACGTTCTCCAGGCCACAGTGCGGCTTGTAGATCCCATACTCCGTCGAGTATATCTCGTCCTTCGAGTCCGGGTTGCCCGCGAACGTCTCCGGATAGATAATCTTGTCGGAGAATTTGCACCCGACGACGAACGTATCCTAGAATAGCCAGGCTCAGCTTTCAACCCCCATTAAAGAGACGACGAATATATACACACCCCCACGACGTCCCACTGCCCGCTTTTGGGTAAAGAGTGTCAGTCTGAGGCACTCGCACGGCGCGGAGAGAATACGCACTCCGATCCGAAGACGTAAAGCAGCTTGCCAAGGTCGTGCACCAGGCCCGCGACCTACGCGCCCGCAATACGAGGTCAGCGCCATCTCGCCGGGGTAGTCCGCGCCACCCACCTGGAACCACTCTGGCTTCCCATCGCGGCGGATCGCCTCTGCCGTCTGCAGGAGGTGCTCGATCTGGGAGAGGTCCGTCTGCAAGCGCCGTCAGGGAGGTGTACAATGGACGCTCAGGAACGTGAGACGCACGTCGGGGTCCGAGTCGTCCCGCAGGGTGTCGAGCTTCTCCATGGCTTCCCAGATACCTGACGAGCACGCGATGATTAGCGTCAGGCGACGAACAGCGTCACGCGCTCAGAAATGCGCAAAGCCAAGAACGCTGGCTAGCATACTCACCCATACGTGCCCTGACGTGCTTCCGCCGGTTTGCACGCGCCTGGATGTTGAATTCGACGGTCTGCTTCTCTGGGAATGGGGTCAGTGGAGGGTGGAGGTGACGGTGGACGCAGCTCACCGTGCTGCTCCTTGTAAAAATTCTTCACGCGCGCGCAGGCCTCTTCGTAGCGCCGAAACTGCGTCTTGTCCTTCTCGGAGTCGAAGTTCGCCTTGGTGTCCCATTGAACGGCGCTCTTGAGCTTGTTTACTGTGTCGACGGCGTTGACGTCAATCCCACACGTTATGAACGGGAGTACATGAGGGCCGACGGCCGAAGCAATAACAGCCGGAGTAGAGGGAGAGAGCGGGTATGGTGGAAGGGGGGGCAGTACTTACCCTCGTCGACCGCGTCGGACGTCTCCTCGAGATGCTTGTCAATGGGCTTGTCGATGATGATCATGGTAGATAGACGAGAGTCAATGGCAAATGAAAGTCAACCGGAGATCTCAATGGGAGGTGACGGAAGGAGGGGGAGAGGCGGCTTGACGAGACGGCCATTCCATCGTACTTATAGAGCGCGGAGACAACGGGCTAAATGGTTTACGTAAGGTTCCTGTGCATAGTGAGGCGTAGAGATGGTGAGAGCGGCCCACGATAACAGGGCGCTTTTGGAAATCTGCGCGCCCACCGTACGGAGAGCTTGGCGACCGCGGGCGGTGGTGGTGGCGGAAGACAGGACGCGTGATGGACTGTGATGCAATACGAAGATCCTCGGTCCGGGCGCCCGGGCCCCCGTGGAGCCCCTCATCGTCCACGAAATGCTCCCCATATCATACGGGGAGCAGCGAAGTGGGGGAAGCCCGAAGTACCGCAGGGACGCTGGGTATATGTTTGTCAGAGCCCACGAGGGGGCGGGGTACGAGAATGGCTCTTCGGTCCGAGGGTATGCAATCGTGGGCGCAGAGGAATGCGGGAGATAGGTTTTACGAAGCGTCGCCAGAACTCCACGGTGGAGGGCACGATCTATACTGCATGAAGTGACGCACGCGCAAAATGAAGTAGCAGGCGGGGCTTGCGCGATGCTTGCTTGATCCAGCTGTTGGCTATAATAGATGGCGCCGTGTCATGAACTGTTCATCGACGAATGCAATGAGTGCGGACCATACATGCCTCTTAATATACGTACACTGGAAACACGCCGACACAGCGATGTACGCGGGTTGTCGGCGAGAGCAATGCACCGTGGGCTGTGGATTCCAAGGAGGATCCATACCTCTTCTTATCGTAGTCGGATCGCAACCGTTTCAGACCGAAAACAGAGCTCGAAGGTCGTATACAGCCACGACCGGATATGAGAAACAAGCGCGCAAGGTGGGCGTCTAAGTATGTACGCTGCGCGTGAGATGCAGCAAAAGCACATGAAAGCAGAGGCGACGTACCTGGGCCTGCTCGTACCCCTGCCAGGTCATCTGCTGCCCTGCTTGGGAATACGCATGCGCGTCAAGCGGCGAGGGAGGAAAAAGATGGCCCGTACGGGGGTCGAACCCGCGACCTTGGCGTTATTAGCACCACGCTCTAACCAACTGAGCTAACCGGCCTGTGCAAGTCTAGTCTCGGATCCCATTTTCGGCCGCACCAGCACGCCTAGGTTGTGAAGGGTCACTATGCCGCCGACTGCACAAAAAGCATGCCATGTTCGTCTTGGAAGAAGCCGGAAGAGCGCGTGAGAAGCGTTTACATGTTCAGCATGCCAAGTCGGACTTGTTACTCTCCGAGTCGCCAATCTCTTCCTCAAGGGCGAGATGTAGTTCGAGAATACGTGTGTTCGGTATGGCTCCCCCAGTACCAGCGTCAGCGCAGAGTCTAGTTCATAGATATTGGCAGCACAGACATGGTGGTTTGGGACAAGCCGCCCCTGGCTACAAGGCAACGCCACATGGACGAGACAAACACAGACAATCATGTGTCAATGTCCGTCGCCAGTCGAACGCACTCCATGTTGAACTCGGACCTCCAATCCAGATGGCTATCTTGGTCTCAAATTTCTCACTAAACTGGGACTGGGTCTTCTTGAGAGGCCGAAGTGCTAGAGCATTCCAGTCTACACGATGATATTTGCGGCCCTTGTCATTCATCGCTTGGAACTTGAGTCACTCATAACCTTGTCTGCCGCGCATCCCCGGACGCAGCGACAGAAAATTACCTGATTTTTTTCCGAGTATCCACTCCGCTTGTCGGTGATTGTAGGCGCCACTACTCGTGGTCGAACACCGCATTTGATCAATCACCTCCTAGTCCCGGTTGTCCACCTCAAACCAGTTTACGACCGCGCCATGGACGGTCTGGTCACCGGGCGCGACCCTCGGTCGGGAGTCGTGATGGCGTATAAGTATTGACGATCATCCGCTTCCCTCTCAAGCTTCGTCCATTCTCGCGCGCTATGACCGCCTCGTTCTATAACTCCGTCGAAAACCTAGACGTCTCTACGGCTGCTCTCGCTGCAGCGCCCGTCGTAGCGACACTCGCCCTGTACTCTACTGCAAAAACACTCGGCCGCCGCTATCGGGAGCGCGAGCTCAAGCGCCAGACATGCGTAGCGGAGGTCGAGCAGATGGGTACATCGCGGAAAGGCGAGAAGATGAAGGGTACCGCAGTCATCTGCGGTGGAGGGTGCGTATGACGCTTTCAATGTAGTCTCCCCGATACTGAATATTTGAATAGGTATAGTGGCCTGGTCGCCGCCAGGATATGCCATGATCACTTCGAGCGCGTTATCGTAATCGAAGCAGAGCCCTGGTTGAATACGGATGAGGGCAAGATGGCTCGTTCATGGGAGCAGAAATCGCGGCGAACACGTATCATGCAGTACGAGTCCCTCAATAGTACGTACGATGCGCTTCTTTCCACAATGTTTTCTAAATCCTTGTCGCAGCGCACGACGGTTTCGTCTACCGGTGTATGTCGCGACTCTTCCCCAAATTCAGGGACGAATGTGCAGCGTCAGAAATACAGTACGTCCTCTCATCCTTCCCTCCTCGATTCTGCCCATTCACCGCGTCTTTGCAGCGTCGGCAAGCCCATCCCCAAGCTCCACTTCTGGGGCATCGGCGCAAAGTGCATCCCTGAAGAACTGCCGGACGTCCACTTCACCTCGCGGCAGGGCCAGGAGACCATCATGCGCCGCCTCACGATGGACAAGTCGAAGTACCCGAATATCGAGCAAATCACCGGCCTGGTCGTCAGTCTCCACGCGGATCCTATCGACCGCCAACGCGTGCAGAAGATCTCGGTGCGCACGGCGGCGGGGACGGTGGATATCGAGGGTGCTCTCTTCCTTGGTACGTCGCTCAATCCCGTGCAGTCCTTCGCGTGTTCATCATTGTTTGCAGACTGCACGGGCACCGCTCAAGGTCCGAAGTGGCTGCAGCGCGCCGGCTACGCAAACCCCGCTAACTTCGGTCCCGACGACAAGAAGTTCGAAGACATCAAGTCCGAGTACAACCCGCACGTCCGCTACTCGACGCTTGAGTTCAATCTTTCGGAGGCTAACCGCAAGCGGTTCCATGAGCTGATCCCGAAGAGCGACTCCAAGTCCGTGTACGGGTGCATGCCGCACCCGGAGAAGGACAACACGAGCGTGTATATCGCGGAGCGGGATGGCGGATTGAGTGAGTGGGCATTTGCTTGTCGAGATGCGGTGCTTGACTGACAATGAACGTAGTCCACGTTTGCGGTGGCGGCTACGGCGACGCGGCGACGCCGGAGAACATGGACGACTTCATCGAGTGCTCGAAGGCGCGGTATATGGAGAAGCCGTACCCCGACTTTTGGTACCCGGTGCTCGACCATTTGCGTGACTGCGAGGACGAGATGGTGGTCAGCAAGGTCGTCGTCCGTGCGTGCTACACCCTCCATTTCTAGGCACATGGAGCTGACGGATATACAGCTCCGCGCAGCTACATGCGCTGGGACCAGGTCGGCGACCTCCCCGCCAACTGGCTAGCCGTCGGCGACGCCGTCCTCCGCGTCAACCCCGTATACGCGTATGTCATTCCTAATTCACCCATCCCCCACTCTTTACTGACGCTCCTCACAGCCAAGGCCTCAGCCACATCCTCCACTCCATGGCCACCTTCGACGCCTGCCTCCGCGAGGTCTGGGTCGACGGGCAATCCGCGCCCACCAAGATCCCCGCCACCTTCGCCCGTACCTTCTTCACGCGCCAGCACCAGAAGATCGTGCCAATCTGGGAGAGCAACAAGACGAGCGACTACGCGTTCGCGACGACGACTCCGTGCAAGGGCGAGACGCTTGAGAAGGGAGCGTGTCTGCGGTGGTACTTCAAGCGCTTGCGGTATCTGATGCAGGAGGTGAGCTTTTCTCCCGTCTTTTTCTCTTTGTCGTTTGAAGAGTCGGTTCGCTGACCCTTGCCACTAGGACACCGACATCACGCGTCGCATGGTCTGGGTCGGCTCCTTCCTCGCGCCGGACGTCGACATCCTTGCTCCCAGTGTCCTATTGAAGGTTGTATGGGACGTGATCAAGCGCCCGTATGTGGGCTAGATGCGCACATGCGGATCTCCCACTAGTTGGGGACTTGCAGCTCGGATGCTTGATCGTATATCTGTACTTGGCATATCCTTATTGACACTCGCTCGCATTCGCTTATTTACGGGTGTGCTTTGACCTAAGTTATAGTAGTTACATCGCGCAGAAGACTAACTTATCAACACGAATGACACGTTCTTTGCTATCTGCAGCATTTCGAGGGTCCTGGGCGACAACTGTACAGGTATGATCACTGGCCACAATAGAGCTTGTGGAAAGGCCATGCCGCGACTTGATGATCTCTGCTGCAATAACGGGCGGAAGAGCAGCACTTGGCCTGCACCTTCGGTCCCGGTGCGCCACAGTGCCCACACCAAGGCTCTTTTCCACGGCTATCCCATCGCCCCTTCACCTTAGCCGCGATTGCCTTCAGATGCATTTCCTCCTCGTCCCCCTCCTTTAGCGGTGGCAGCTCGACGGTAATCTCTTCCATGAGCAGCTCGTTCGCCTCCGCGACCCTGTCGAGACGCGCATCGTATGCCTTGATAGGTTCGAGCACAAAAGTGCCCTTACCCTTGACACCGCGCCCAGCGTCGCCGAACTCGAGCGAGGCGAGGTTGAGGACGGTGCGTATGTTGTCCCATCGCGCGGGGGCGTTCCCGAAGGTCAGCACGGAATGCCGCGCGCGGCCGTCCTGGCCGGGAGTGTGGTAGACCGTCGATTTATCCGGCAGGAAAGAATTGATTGTGTGCATACGCAGGCCGCGCAGGACATACTGAAGTACAACCCGGTGAGAGATTGTCGTGAAGTATTCGGGGTCGGTACGGTCATACGTGCGGACGCACAGGTGGGTATCTGCGGGGTAAAGGGCGAAGAAATATTGGACCAAGCGCACAGCTGAATCGCTGGAGCCCACACTGCGCGACTGATAAAAGAGGGTCTCGCGATCTCTGTCTGATAGCTGAAGATCGGAAAAGCGAAAGGGAGGATCGGTGAGACCAGCAGCAGCAGCGCGCTGTTCATTGGCCGCAACAAAAGTCGCTGGGGAGTCTTGGTCTTTCGTAGAGGCGGGCCCCCTGTGATATAGAAGAGAGACGCCATGACGAGGCTCATCCAACTTCGACACAAATTCGAAGTTGGGTTCGCCAGTGGCTTTCTGGGCAGGCGCCGTCGCTTCGTGATACGCTGTGCGATCCCAATGGGCCGCGAGCCTATCGTCGGTGAAAGGCTGTCCATCGTAGACAACATCGAGTAGCCTGTATCCATGAAAGCGTGGCTCCGCAATAAGACGCTCGTAGTTAAGCAGAAGGGCGATATCGTAGAGATCTAGCGTCTCCTTGAGCACTGGCATCGCATAAGCGCCCGACATTGCAGGGGAGTTTGGTTCTTGGTCGGTATCAGGAAGTGGGTGGCAGGGCCAGATGACCGCTTCTGCCAACAGACGATGGACGATCTGCGTGCGAAGATGGCAGGGAATCACGCCAGTGGATGAGCATCGATATCAGACACGGTGAGAACTTACTGGACATGGGATAGCATGGGATGCACGGCTTCGAAGTCACGCTGGCAGGTACGTGGCTTGTTTACAGCACAATTCCTTTGTCTGTTTATCTGATGGGAGACAAAGGAAGGTGTGAACTTGAGGGCGTGGAAACGTCAGGTTCTCGAGTTGAACTTTGACATCCCCATACCTAGAACATTAGATTCCAAGGGCATGCAACATCAACGACGAAGCTGTCTCGCAAGTTCGAGATGCCATCGTCCCATGGTAGTCGGCAAGAACCGAGCTGCCAGAACTATCACATTGTGAGCGTGACAGACGTCACCAAACTTCCTTCCTCCTGCTGTCATCACAATAATGCTGCGAACGACAATAATAGCAATATATAAAATGCAGGACGTTACAGTCTACCAAAGCAGAATAAATAAACGAACACGCTTCAATTGCAGTTATCCTTCAGCATGGTGCGCCTCGTGGCATCGCGACCAGCCTTGAGCAATGTCGAGACCTCGCTGCCGCCAGTACCCTTCGACTTCCCCTCCGGACCCTTCGCCTCCATCGCCTTCGCCATCATCGATAGCGGGCAGCCAGGCGGGAGCTCCTTCGCCGCGGACACAACGTAGAGCACCGCGATCCCGATGTGCGCGTCCCGCAAGCGCTTCATCGCCATGACCGCCGCGTCATACGGCTCCAGAAGAGCAGGCACCTCCTGCGCGAGGTTGCGCAGGCGCACGGGCGCGGCCTCGAGGTACTCGAGGAAGTCGCGGTGCACGCCGGGCATGTAGCGCCACATGCGGCGCATGAACCCGAGATCGGCGCGCTTGTTCGCCTCGCAGGGCTCGGGGACGCGCTTGTAGCGGAGCATGTGGTCGACGTCGAGCCAGACGTCGATCGCGTGCATGAGCGTGCTCTGGCCACCGGAGGGGCCGAGGAGGTCAGAGCCGGGCTCCTCGCCGTCGAAGATCCACGGGTGCTCCTTGGTGCTGCCGATGAACCAGGGACGGATCTTCCAGTAGAAGAGGTGCGGGTCGCAAAGCGGGCGGACGCTCTTGATGAGCTTGTCGAGATCCTCGATGACGAGCTTTAAGCGCGTGAGCATGCAGGAGACGCAAGGAAGGTTGTCCGGGTTCTTCGCGTCCTCCTTCGTCATCTGCGAGAGCTCCTGCATGCAGGTGAGCAGCTCCGCGCCGCGAAGCTCGCAGTTGACCTGGGACATGTAGAACGCGGACTCGTCCTCGGTCTCGGAGAAGAGCGTCTCGTTCTGGAGGTTGTCGGGTGTCGTCGGGCCATCCGGGTTGATGAGCTCGAGGTTCCAGATGATGGTGTCGGCGTAGGTGAGGACGGGGGCGATGCGAAGCGCGCGCGAGACAGCGACAAGCGGCTTGGAAAGGGACTTCGGGATATGGATAGGTGAGCACTTGTCCATATCGTCGTCGGGGATGGAATGCGCGTAGTAATGCAAGATGAAGGCAAGGACGTAGTGCGCGCGCTGCTGCTCCTTGAGGCCGAAATCGGAGGTGTCGAGGACAGGCCACTAGGCACAAAGTAAGTCTGCCACTCCTGGAATGAACGAATTCGAAGACTCACCGAGTCAACCTTTTGCCTCCAAGATTTGCTATATGCGCGACGGGAGATCGCCTCGTCGCTCTCATCACATCCCAGGCTCACCCTGCCCGCCGCCTCGCGGAGGGTGTCTTCCCAGATCTGGTAGTCCCCTTGCAGCCGCGGGAGGGGTCGTGGTGGGACGAAGCCCGTCTCTCCGTCGATGTCGAACTCGGGGAGATCCCGCGGGGCGAAGCACGGCTGCCCGTAGCCGGTCAGGGCGCTCATGGTGGCCCATAGCTGCGAGCAGACATGGTACGGGAAATAAGTGAGGTACTCCATGGGAAGCGCAATCGACAGCGTGAACGGGAAGATGAAAACGAGCTGTGTGGGGGGCAACAGTCTGCGCGGGAGGTTAAATAGGCGCGCTTCCCCAACGTCGGCAAGCCTTACTCACCGAATTTCCAGAAGCCCACCTTATTCCTTGCGAATAGTTAAGGGGCTGCGGAACGAATGCAGAATTGTGAGAAGCGACGATACCGAGGGGGAGTCGCCTCCTGCCTCCGCTTGATATAAGGCAGGGCATCCGGTGCATCAGGTGCGGTGATAGGCTCCTGGGGGCGCGGTAATGACCAGACTCAGCGACAGTGTCAAGTGAGCGAGGCGCGTGTGTGCGTCAGGTCAACGCACGGCGCTAACAGGACCGTTGTGTTTTTCATTCATGGTTCATTCTGGCCTCTGTATCATCGCCTTCGTTACAGTGCTGTTACGCCTCGAGGCAGGCTGATTGTTCACTTGGACGATACCAGCATGATTGGGCGTGGCCCCGACGGACGTTCGTCGTGTTCTCCTGCCGCCTCTGCTGTTCAGGGAGTGTTCGTGGGTGGTCTATTTGCAACTTACCACCGCCGGAATCCTGTTTAGCGTCACAGCTAGAGCGGCTAGACCTGGCCAGAGGTGCGTCATGCCCATACATACCATCTACTCGGCGCTTACCCAAAGGTCCACTTCTGAGGTCGATCCCGGGGTCGCACGCGGCTCGATGCGCTGATCTCCATTTGAATGTGCCCTCGAAGAAGTCGCGTTCTCCGGCGCCGTTTGGCAAAAGGTTTGCCTGGAGCGTACTCCGTCGCCGTGCAAGGGACAAAATGCGGCTCCCCGACGCCACCGTCGCTGCCGAGCTACACACAGAAAATTACGGTGGCGGCGGTCAATTGACGGAGGATTTTTCCCCGCATCCTTCCTCGGCAAATGCCGTCCCGCGTGATTTCTCACGGTTCGACTTTGATGATCCTGCTGGCCATGACCTATCTCGCAGCTTCATAGCAATACATAGATAGGTCATCGATTCATCTATGACACTGACATAGCTACTCTCAGGCTGTTGCTTCATTAGCTGCTCATCGAGGCACTCCATACCGACGCTGTTTGACACTGTTCATTCAAGTCTATTAGCCATGCGCAGACCTCATGTAGATCATGCCTTAATTGTCTTCTTGGCGAGGCTCTCTATTTCGTGCTGATATGAGAGGTACAGACGCGGCCTTGGGGGCGACATGTCTCGTGCGAAGATGATAAACATAGCTTCAAGTTCAGACAAGTGTAAAATGAAATTGTTGCTGGTAATTCATATACTAGATTGAGTGCAAGAAATGAGAGCGGAATGGACGCAATGCAGAAAACCGCATACGAGCTGTGTGGCACGACAGGCGATGGGGCATTGTGGGCCCAGGGCTGGCAACATTATCGGGCATGGTGACCAATGGCCCTCGTTCGGCAATCGCCGTCGTTGACTTGGCTCACGCCACCAACTCGTGTTCGCATCCGTCGACGAGGGGAGAGACGAGGGGAGAGTCGATTATTATTATTCGATCGGATCTGAGGGACCCGAGCTAGCGTGCCGCGCAGAAGGTCCGCCGCCGCCGGAGCACACGTGTGCCGTTGCCCTCAGCCTCCGCGTAGAAGGAAGAAACCGCCAAGCCGCCTTGTCTACAGGCAACGATAAGGGTGAAGGGCGAAGACGCCTGCGGGGGCTCTGGCAAACCAGCGATACAGCGACAGCGTTATGTCACAGGGTGACATCGGCATCCTCCGTATTTCTGTCGGCCTTTGTCGCCCTTGACCTAGATGAATAGAGTGAAAAGACCCCGCCTACGTAGTACATCTATACTCACTCTAGACGACCCTATCCGGGTGTATCAGGCTCGACGGAAGGGCGCAACATACTCGAGTAATGCGCGCACCTGTGCACGTGACAGGTTGAACTGGAGCCGACTTCAAACTATGATACGCACTTTCCTGGGACTTTTGATGTTGCCTGTTGTGCAGTTGGGTAGCTATATCACTCCGGTGTTATTTTTGGTGCTCAAAGGAGCCTCCAGCGGTTCAGAAGGAGTCCCCCGAGCCCAGCAGACGCCGAACCGTTTGGAGTGTGACATAACGTGACGCATTGCTCAAGCTCTTGCGAAACCGAGCAAGGCGGAAACAAGGGGGGTTGGGAACCGAACGAAGGCATTTCGAACCCATCAACTTCTCCAGGCTAAATCGAATAATAATAATCGACTATGGACTCTCCGTCGACCTCGATGCTGCGGGAGAAGCCCCTTATACTCCCCCCGGGCTACAGCCGCACCCACGAGTCTTCATCTGCTGATAAGCTGACGCCACGCCAGAATAAAAGGGACAATCCGGGCTCCCTTCTTTCTGTTATCCCCCAGGCAATTCGCCGCAGCGCTCGATCCGTACAGGGCTTGCCCCTCTTTCTCGAGCACCCTCCGCTTAGCTAGTTCCCAATCATGACGGGAACGATGCGGCGGAGACGACAGCGGCCGTCGTTTTGATCTTCTCGCTCGATGCGACACTGGGCTCGTCCTGGTCGGTCTGTCTACACGAGATATGCGTCGATACCGGTGCGGCAGTGGGTGCAATCAGGAGCTTGGGTCGAGGAGTGTAGTGTCCAGTCAGATGGGCCCACACGTACTGTCGGGTCGCGCTTCCTCGTACCGCTCCTTTTCGGGCGGGCTTGACTTGGCCCGTTGACTTCTCCTTGTTCTGCCTCAGCGCGGGCTGGGAACAGAGCTTGAAGAGGCTTCTGGCTAGGTCATGCTCGCTCGGGCTGGGGGGCTACATGGAAGTCCGGATCAGTGGTGCATGTGGGCTCAAATTGGATAGTGCGCTTCAAATGAGCCTTGCTTCTGCTGTATCCAGCCATCGGCATCGACGCGTCGTGTGCAGACTTGTTCGTCTTCGTTACGAAGGCGTTGTCGTGCTCGACAAGTGGGAGACGACGGTCGCCGATGTCTAATTTGCGGCGTCTGCAGTTACGTGCTGTGTACTTGCCTGGCTCACAGGCAGTGGCACTGTGCGCAGTGTCCAATTTTTGGGAAAGCCCCTTGAGGGCGGTGATGGCCTGGTGCAGCAATGTAGTATTTAGTCTATTTCAGTCTGTGTATCTCCTGTACTTGACTTCCACTTGCGAGTAATGAGGAGATGGAGGTTCAGAGGACCTTGAGCGTACCTTTGTGGGTCCAACCAACGTGCAAATCGCGTGGCGACCATGCATCGCCGGTGGCGCCTTACATCATCAAACAACAAGAGATGCTCCTCGTGGCGCGCTACTTGAATGCTTCGATTGCCAGTTCAACATGAGCCCAAATCTATACACCGCTTTCTTTCGACCATCACCACCGACCGCCTCCCATGGTGCGTAAAGGAATCGTAGACGAGGTCAGATTCAGCATCCTTTCCTCTAATTATCGACACCAATCGCAGTGTTCTCCCAGGACGAAGAACCGCCCGAAGCCGGCGCTAGACACGTCGCGCTTGATAGCAGCTCTCCACAAAATACTCACAGGAGGATCCTCAAGAAGCATGCTCATGACCATAGCTATGACCATGACCGTACGCGCAGCGAGAGCACCATCAGCTTTCCTCGCCCGCCCTCCGCAGCGAAGGAGCAGCCGCGCGACTCCTCGAGCAAAGTTCGCAGCTTGATGGACCGCCTGCGCAGCGCGTCGCTGTCCATCACGTGGGCGGAGAACGAGCACAAAGCGGCGCGTCCGAGTGGTCCGAGTGGACTGCAGCAGGCCTTCCGCTCGGCCTGGAAGCGCGCGGTGGCGCTGTCGGGGCGGCATACGCCGAATTCGAACGGGGAAGCAAGAACTGGACCCACGGTCATTAGGACGCCGATGGAGGCGTTCGCGGACGATGCCTCGCTGGCAGCTACGCTCACGATTCCCGCACCTATGGGTCGCGCGCGCTCGCAGTCGGAGAGTGCGCCGAGGACGACAGTGTTTCTAGCAGGCGAACAAACTACGGGTCCGCTCTTGACGACTACGAAGGGACCAACCATTGTTCGAACTGCCGAGGAAGCGTTCTCGCCAGAGAAGAGCGACCCTACATCTCAAGCGCCCGTATCCAAACGACCCGGGATACGCTTGAAGCGCTCGCTGACGCTGCCGCCTCTACGTATCACTACTAGGACTGCGAAGAACGCTGTGACAGCGGAGCCGCACACATCTCTTCCAGCTCGCAATGCCGACCGCGCCACTAGGCAACCACATTCCGCACCTGCTGCCTCTCGAAAGTCCATGGCTCCTGGGCCATCTTCAGGTGAAGCTGCTCCGCCGTCGCGTCCTGCTGTGCGAAGGTACAGCACGCCCCCCACGGAGACTGCGACCCACAAACCCTTGGGAGCAAGCCAACCGGTCTCGAGGGCGACCCATCTGCCTTCCGTCTCCGCTCGTCAGCCTGTTGAGACCGCAGCAAAATCACGTCCAACCTCTACCAGCAGACGGAGAACTCCGGAGCCCCGTCCTGGTCGAAATGCAGACACCCGACCGGGGCGAGCTGCAGAAACACGGCCTAGTCGAACTCCGGAACCGCGTTCAGGTCGAACTGCAGAAGTTCATCCAGCTCATCGGTCTCGACAAGCGAGCGTGCCTGCAGATACGTCCGGCGGTGCTGCCTTACCGTCGGGTACGGCGAGGCGCGCTAGCGTGGCGAGGCCAGCAGTTGCGCCAAGGGAGGCGCCTGTGCGCGAGCCGGCTTCCATAGCGCGCTTAGCTGCTGCTCCGCATACGCGTCCAGATGTTTCCTCTCAACCACCCCCGTCAGCTCCTCTTCACTCGGCACCCAGGCCGTCCCCTCGAGAAACGAGACCACCGACAGCGGCGCATACCCGGGCGACAGCGTACGCGCCGCAGACGCCCAAAGTCACCTCCGCACTGCGTCGAGCGTCAACGACAGCGCATCCGGCCTCGGGCGCGACGACACAGATCACGCCCTCGCGGCCCAGGACACGCTTAGCAGAAGCTGTTCCGGCTGCGCGCCCTTCTGCCGAGCCCGCGCCGACGGTCGCGAGAACTCAGCCTTCGCCGTCGCCAGCGAGGAACCCATCACCTGCGAGAGCTCGACCTCCGCCGACAGGAACTCAGCCCGTACCTCCGCGCGCGAGAAGCCATCCCACACCTGGGCCATCGCCCGCGCGCCCTTCTGCCGAGTTTCGGGGCGCGCCGACGGTCGCGATAACTCAGCCCACACCTTCGGCCGCGAGAACTCAACCTGCACCATCATCCGCGCGAACGCAGGCTGCGCCGTCGGCGACGAGGGTCCCAGGCGCACATAGCTCGGCTCCAACTGTCGGTGCGCATGCGCCGAGGGGAAGACCACTTGCGGCTGCTCTTGATGCGCGGACAGCAGGCGCTACTACAGATGCGACAGCTGCGCATCCTGCAACCGCGCGAGCAGATGTGCGTGCGCCGAGGGAGCGAGCGACTGCACATCCACCTGCTACACGAGCAACCGTGCACCCTCCGCGAGCAGCTGCATACCCTGCGACGAAGCCGCCGATGACTCCCGCGCCAGTATCTGCGAAGCCAGTGAGGAAGGCGCGACACCGGTCGACGGGAGAACCGTGAAGGGCTCACAAAAGTTCTGTCGACGGAAGGCATCTAATAACCACTGTACTTATGTCATTTATTGTGCATATCTAACACCGGCTTTACATTGTACTTGAACACACTATGGTGTATACTGTATACCCTCGCCTTGCACAATGCATATCGTGCCACATTCGCAACCCATGAGCTCAAGGTATCCAGTGACCCTCGCCATGGATGGCGTCAAGATCATCTGCGACCTGTTCGCGCCCTGCAGGTCTTCGACGGTGAAGCATGCGTACCCATTTCGCGAAGTACATGCACGGATGCGTGCCATCGACTACAGCTCAAACAGCATACAAAGCACGTTCGCGGCGGCGAACAAACGAAGCGGCGAGGCGCATGCGCGAAGGACAGTGAACGGACGCAGAAGCGCGGGGAATGCGCGAAGAGGTGAGATGCCAGTGCATTGTGCGGAGACAACAAGATGGATGCAAGAAAGTATAGTACAACGACGAACGAGCGTCGTTCCAAGCAGGACAAACTGGGTATGTGGCTACGGAACCACGTCCCTGCAGCGCTATGGGACCGCGTGCGTCTTCGCCGTGGTGGGGACTAACTACGTCCTCACCACTGCATCATAGAGCTGAGTGCGTCCTCACCACGCCCTCACCTCGTCCGACTCACGGAAGAGCTCGCGCCATCCTCTTGTGGCCTGTCGAGCGTCTTCGACCGTGACGCGCTGATGTTGCCGGCGCCACCACGGCCTGTTGAGTAGATCTGGGGAATGGAATCAGCACCGTCTATCCTGATTGCATATACCGTCTACGAGTCCTTGCGAAACACTCTCGAGCTCACCTTATCCTGCCTCCTCCCCCTCGCTTGGTACACCAGCGCGTCCTCCAACTCCTCCGCCGCGCTCGAGGGGTTCGCACCTGGGGTCCTGTATATCGGTCTCCCCCGCCCATCGCACAGGGTCGCGTCGTCGTCCTTCGAGGGGTGGACGACCAGGCGCGCGATGTTGCCCGCACCGCCGCGGCCGGTGGAGTACGCTGTCCGATTTTGCCTCCCCCTCGCGGCCAGTTCTTCTTCCTCGCGCGCTTCGGCTGGCGACAGGGCTGGTCGTGCTGGCCCTATGTTCCCCGCGCCACCTCGTCCCGTGGAGTGCTGTGGATAGGGTTAGAGGGGGTAGTTGGCATGGAGGGGGGTAGGGATCGGTAGGGGAATAGTGGTCGGTGGGGCAATAGGCATTGACAAGGGAGTGTGGGATGTATGGTGGCAAACGGGACAGAAGACTCACCACCGCATTTGTTTGCAGCGACGAGCCCTCAGGCGTCCCCTCGAGTTCCGACCCCGACGGGCGGCCAGTGAAGGCGCGTCGGATCTTCTCAGCGAGGGATTGCGAGCGCGAGCGTTGAGGGCCATTTATGGAGTCGGTAGACTGCGAAGGGCTGCCACCAGAGGTCTTGGACGTCTTGGACGGGGTGTAGCGGGGCATGGTGAGGGTGCTGGCGTCTGTTGGTATCGGGATGAAAGTCGCGCAGAGAGTATTTGAGGCTTCCAGGTATGTATGGCGTGCGGGGAATGCGGGATGGCGCGTAGAAGTCTCGGTGCAGTTCCGTCTTAAAAGTTCCAAGTCTCGTCCGGCAGACAAACGCGTCGGTGAAGAGAGCAACGCGCCAAGCTCTGGCCTGGCCTTTATATGAGGAGGCCCCGCCTGGTCACGCACCCCATACACGTACAGCGAGGCGTCGCCGCGGCGGCGCGCGCGTCATGTCGAGAGTCACGTCAAGAGCTCACGAGCACGCGCGCTCGCGTGCTCCCGCACAACATTACACCTGCGACGCGCCGTGCTAGTCGCCTGACTATATGCAGGGTGGCGGGGAAGGGGCGGCAGGAACAAGCTGCAGTATGTGGCGGAGGAAGGCAAGCCGGCGAACGACCTGATCGGGCTGCCTGACGCGCTCCCGCTCAATGCAGTTATGGCCATGGCCAACTGGTGCGGTCGGATGGAAGCTTGCGCGTTGGTCCTCCCGACGCGCGTGATGCATAGTCCGGGGAGACCTGCGAGGCTGCGGGGAAGCTTTTGAGATTTTCCTGGGGTAGCACACGTTTCTCAATTTTGCAGGCAAGCCAAGTACAGTAGAATTCGCAAGACAAGCAGCTACAACAACAAGACTGCGACGATGTACACAAGTGCGACTTGTCTGACGAACAACAGCCAAGCGACTGGCGACATGAGACTCAGCGGGTGGACAAGATGCTTCACCGATGGCGACACGCCCGAACTAGGTTCAGGACCATGCCACAGTTCCGTCAAGCTGCACGCCGACTCGAACACGATGCAATGCACACGCCTGCCTACCCGTGCTCACTCGCGTCCGAGCCTCGGCCTACCTGCGAGCATAGGAAGAAGGACGGCACCATGAAGTCCACCCGTCGAGGATCCTCGCTACGCGCCCTAATTATGGGCTTTTGAGGCCAAATATGCGTTATGAAGTGGCCTTCTGCACATTATGAAGCTCGCCTTGCTGGACGCTGAACGGTATGAGTGTCAAACACGGCGCAGAGAAGGCCCTAGTAGATGTGGGGGACTAGGTCCTGGCAGAAGCTGGGGAGAAGCTCGGGTTCGCAAGGAAGCGAAGACGACGTGCCCGACGGCGAGAGGAAGTGGGACGACTAGACTGTGTATGATGGCGTACGGTTGCACGATCACGAGGGCTACAGAAGGTCGGTGGGGAAGACGCGGTCACGGACGCAGCTCGTGCTTGAACACTGCGGAGATGGCCGTCGTATATATTATAAAGCCTGTTTAAATAGTTCGTGAGGTGAGTGGCCGGCTTCGAAGTCAGCAATGAGCATACCGGTCGAAGAGACCAGCAGAGATGCATTCGGCCTCAAGGAAGTAACGTCCAACTTGAAACATCAGGTTCTAGAGATGATTCCAATAGGGGCAAGCAAAGATTAGTGAGGTGGAGCGTTGTCAAGGCTCCAAGAAGGCTGCACGTAAGGGGGAGGAAAGTGCAGAATGGGTTGGGTCATAAGCCGCGAAGACGTGAGGATCGAAGTTGCTGCACACAGATGCAAGAGAGCGCTCCTTCAGAGCACATGAAGTAGAGGGAGGCGCTGAACCTGGTGTAGCAAAGCTAACTAAACCGTTGGCTGGCGCGCGCTGAATCAGCACTCGATATTCAGACTCAGGCAACTGCGTCGTGCGTTAGACTTTGATTTGGCATCGGGCAAAGACCAAGACGCACGCAAAAGATCTCAATAATATGCCTCTGGCACGAGACTTGCAATACGGCGATGCGACATTTCGAGGAGTAGCGACTTGTAGCGAGTCGGCGCAATGGATAGAAGGAATCACAGCAAGATAGATGGTGTCAATGCTCATTCTGCTCTATTTGCTATCCTCTGACGCGTCTGGGGATATCAAGCCTGCGCTAGAGCTCTTCGAATGCGCTTTGAGCGCGTCGGCGGCCTCTGCCTTGGCGTTGATGACCATCTGGTTGCGGACGGTTTCCTGACGGGCAATCTGGGTGGTAGCACATAGTCAGCACTAGCTTAATGTGTAGTGTGAGGGAGAGTTTATGTAGGAAGGGATGCTAGGGTGCGAGGAAGGAGAGAAGACGCACCTCCTTCGTGCGGTGCAAGCACTCGAGGTAGTCGTCCGAGGCGGGTCTGCACTTTGTCGGGAGGTCTGTCTGGGTGTAGCACTGCAGCCATGTGTCAGTTAAGGAATGTATAGTAGAGCGTACAACGCACCTTGAGGAATTCCTGCCAGTACGGGTAGCACCGGCCCCGGCCTACGTATTCCAGTCAGCCCCGAGCTATCCTTCCAGCTCATTCAACCGCACCTCCGCCTTCAGCCGCGTAACCAGACTGTGTATCTCGTCAGCACGCACTCAACCCGCTCTCAACCACCACACTCACCGCCATAGTTCTCGGTGATAGTTGGAAGACGGAAAACGACGAGCACGCCGGTCACGCGCTCCGGCATCACGCCGTTACCCCGGTCACGCCTCCGCCAATAGTGACGCGCGCCATTGTTCTCGAGCTCAGGTCGTGTTCTCCTCATTGTCGCTTTCTACGTCCACCAGACGCATTTGCCCACCATGGCGGACGCCGAACGCGCATTCCTGACGAATATGCTCACGACGATCGGCGCCCAGCCGGTCAACTACCCCGACGACTACCGCCAGCCGCCAGAAAACACGCTGCGCAAGGTCCCCGTGCTCCCACTCCCTGTCCCGCCCCCGCCCGCACACGCCGCCGCGTCCTCATCCGTGGCGAGTAATGTTTCCTTGACGTTCAAGAGCCTCAAGCCCGCGGCGACATTCTCCTTGACGGTCTCGCCCGCCGACGCGATCGCGGACGTGAAGGCCAGCTTGGCGAAACTGCCCGGCGCGCCGCCCGCGGACGCACAACGGCTCCTGCTGCGCGGCAAGGCGCTCGCGGACGCGAAGCTCTTGAAGGAGTACGACGTGAAGGACGGCGACACCCTCACGCTCGCCGTGCGCCCGGGCGTGCAGTGGGATCCCAACGCGTCCTCAGCGCCGAGCGACGAGATCCCGAAGGTCACCGTGCAGCAGCCGAAGCCCGTGAAGCCGGCGACGGACACGCTGGCCCTGGGCCCGGGCGATACGAAGCGCAAGGGCCACGGCCGGACGCCAAGTATTGTCTTGTCGCCCTCACCGACGAATGAGGATGCGGCGCCGCAGGAGATCGAGCTGGACCTCGCGCTAGACACGTCGGAAAACACGTTCAAGGAGCCGCCGTCGGCATTCCAGACGACGCTGTCGCAGCCTGAGTTCTGGGATCGGTTATATTCGTTCCTCCGGTGGGTGCTTCTCGTGTATCTTCGTGGCGGTCGCCTTAGCGAATTGTTCATACTTCCCTTCCTCTGCGCACTCTCCCTTCAAATACTTCTTGTGTTCTCGCATTGGTAGGCATCTGCCTACCCCGTCCACCACTCGCGCCACAAACCCTCCCTCTGATCTCATCCTCCGTTCTCCCTTTTCCTTCACTTCTTCACCCATATTCTCCCAATCTCCGAACCCCAGCTAACCTCCCTCCCTAGCACCGAATTCACCGCGGACGCGGACTCGCTACGTGCCTTCGAGGACTTCCTCACCGCGTCGAAGGCGCACCTCTCCGCGAGCGAGATCGCGCGCATTCGCGATCACGTTGGCGTCGTTGGGATGGCTGGGACGTAGGATGAGGGGCTTCTATGCACACCGAAACGGGAGAGAACATGAGGGACGAAGGCGAGGAGACGAGTCCACGCGCGTGATGGGGCGAGGGATTTGTGCGCGCGGACGATTGGGAAAAAGAGCCGGGGGGAGAATGGGAAGCGCACGTCCCGCGGCGGGTCTTGTGAATGTCCGCTAGAGGGTTTGGGATGGGGGAAGGTGCACTTAATGGTCGGTAAGCCCGACATGGACTATAGTCGTTTGGCGACGAGATAACGAGGAAATTCAAGCAGAGATATCTGTATGTACACATCGCAATTGGGATTTTTCATGGCTGGTTTTGTGCCGCATTCATTCGTCTTTGGATCCTTGGCATTCATTGTGCGTCGTCGTGTATAGTGGAGGTAACCTCCGGGTGCGTGTCTGTTTTCCTCGTCTGCTCAATTCCTTTATCGCTGCGCATCCTCTCCGTCGACAATACCCCGTTCCTCCCGGAAGTTAACCGTCTTGTAAGTTTCCCTGACAGACGGATCTCAGCTCTCCCCCGAGTCGGCGTCAGCGACGAGTAAATGTATTATTTCGAGAGGCGCTCGCTGCAAGTGATTGGTGACTGAATTGATTGATGAGCGGCTGACTCAGCTTGCCTCGAACCTCCTTGACTTTACCAAGCACGGCGGCATATATATATGTGCTCGATGGAAGACATGTACCTTGAAACGAGTTGTGCTCAGAGAAGCATTCTGCTAGGACGCGCGCATCGTACAAGACCCCGTCTTATACACGGCTTTTCGACCTCGAAGATAGACCCCTAACCGAGTCTCTGTCTGCTCCTAGCCATGCCCTACGATATCCTCGTCTTGGGCGCGACTGGTAAGCGCTCAGATCTTGAGCTACTTCCGTACCCACTCACGAGTCCCCTCAGGTTATACCGGTCGTCTGATCGTGCGCTACCTCTACGCGCATCACCAGTATCGCACCAGCTTCACTCTCGCGATCGCGGGACGCTCCCAGGCCAAGCTCGATGCCCTCATCAAGGAAGAGAAACTCGACGACTCGGTGCAGGTCCTAACAGTGGACGTCCTGAAGCAGGAGGAGATCGATCGCGCGGTGAAGGGCGCGAAGGTGGTCATCAACACGGTCGGGCCATTCGCGAAGTGGGGGACGCCGGTCGTGAGGTGCGTCGTGTTTTGAATTCCTTGCGTTCCGTCGCTGACAGTGTTCTCCACTAGATCGTGCGTCGAAAAAAACGTCCACTATGTCGACATCAGTGGTGAAGGGTTCTGGATCATAGACATCATCAACGAGTGCGTCTATTCTACCCCATACCCCACATCCCCGCGCTGACCAGCCCCCTTTCCCGCCCAGATTCCACGACCGCGCCCGCCAGCAGGGCACCATCCTCGTCCCTGCCTCGGGCTTCGACTGCGTGCCCTCCGACTACAACGCCTACCTCGCGCACAAGGCCCTCAAGTCCTTCGCGCCCGACGCGTCGCTCGCGGAGACGATCAGCGCCTTCGTCTTCAAGAGCGGCTTCTCCGGCGGCTCGCTTGCCACGTCGTTCAACATGCTCGAGCTCCCAAAGGAGAAGCTCAAAGCCAGCCAGGCGGACTGGGCGCTTAGTCCTGGTACGTACTCTAACCACCCTTACTTCAGCCACCCCCACCCCACCCCCACCTCACCCCCCGACCTCCTTCGCATCATGCTAACCATTCGCAGTCAAAGGCCGCCCCACCCCTCACTTCCAACTCTCCTACCGCCTCCCGCATGTCTCGCCCCCCGTCTACGGTGGCCAGTTCATGATGTCCATGGTCAACCGCCCGATCGTCCAGCGCACCTGGGGCCTGCTGCAAGAGGGCGACCCCGCCGCGGCCTACGGCCCGAACTTCAAGTACATCGAGTTCGCGCGGACGGAGAGCTGGCTCGGCGGTGTACTGCTAAGTCTGTCGCTTGCGATTGGCGGGTTTTTGTTATCTTTGAGCCCGGTGAGTTGGTTGTTTGGAGTTGGGTAGAGGATGCGTGGACACTCAAGAAAAGTAATGTGGGGAGAAGGGAGGACATTGTGCTGATTGAGATTGCAGATCCGCGCGCTCGCGAAGAGATTCCTGCCCGCTCCTGGGGAAGGCCCGCCGGAAGAGTGAGTTCGGCGCGTGTTTGTGACCTCCATCGTTACTGACATCCGTGTAGGGACATCGAGGGAGGGTACTTCAACATCACGACGGTAGCCACGTCGGACCTGCTTCCCAATGGCAAACCGCCCGTGCGTGTCAAGTCGTACTTCGCGGGCAAGGGCAATGGGTATCAGGTCACTGCAGGTGCGTACTTTCCAGGTTTCGTGCCTGTCCTCCTATGCTAACCAACTCGTCACCATCTCTTATAGTGACTACTTCCGAGGCTGCCCTTGCTATCCTGCTCGACCATGACAAGCTTCCCGCACTTGGCAAGAAGGGCGGCATCCTGACGCCTGTGGCGGCGCTGGGCGATGTCCTGCTCGATCGCTTGCGGCCCACCGGGTGCTTTGAGGAGAAAGTTGAACTCATTGAGGACAGGAAGGCTGTCTGATAGGGGTGTTTGTGCAATGATCCGAGCTGTTCGTACTGATGTTAGGACTTCTCTTGTATGTGCTTTTTCCCAGTGGGCAAGGATGGGATGTATGTTGCATTACTGTGCTTGAACCATATGTTTACCAATAAATTATTGAGTTTATCCCCGTGAAGTACCCTTGCTTTCGCTATGCCCACTTCCATTTCTTGCACCCTTCCGAAGGCGAAATCGCCCCTAAAACTGTAGATCACGAGCAGAAGTCGCTGCGCTCGTTCTGCGGCAGCTCGATTGTCTTGCCGTCGACCTCGGCGAGGATACCCCAGCCGAATGACGGCATGGCGTCAAGCTCGACGGTGTAGATAACATAACCGTTGGCATCGGCGTCGCCCGCGGCCTTCATGTCGAATTCGTTCGCAGGGGCCTGCGCCTGATTGTCGCTTGTGAACGCGTCGCCTGCGATGTACACGCGGCTCGGCTTGACGCTCTCGTGGACCTGTGCGAGCAATCATCAGCACCGCTGCCCTGCTTGCTAGACCCATCTTCACTGACCGCGACATTGATCGTCTTCTCGCACGTCCCCTCCGCAAGCATGATCTTGTCCGTCGGGAGCGCGAAGCCCGCGCCGTCCTGGGCCTTCTTTACCGCGTTGCCGTCGCCCTCGTCGACCTCGAACCAGAAGCCGCCGAAGCCCTTCGCGGGGTCGATGTCGGCGAGGCCGGCCGTGTTCCCGTACCAGAGCGTGGTGTAGCGCTTGGCCTGCGCGGAGCCGGTCATGTTCGCGGTGTGCGCCATTTTGACGCGGTGCACCTCGCAGTCGTCGCCCGTGCAGGTGGAGTCGGTCCATGCGAGCTGGACGACACGCGCGTCGTTCTCGGAGACGTCAAAAAGCTGGAGGTGGGCGTTAGTCAGGGTGACGAAAGGGAAGGAGGGTTGGGTGAAGGACGTACCCTGACTTCACCGGAGAGGGTAATGTTGCCGCTCTTGGAATAGGTAAGCTTGAGTTGGGAGGGCTTTACCGGCAAGGGCTTGATGACTTCGGTGAGCTCCACACCCTTAGGGACAGTATCGATCATGCGAGCAAGCAGGGATGCGCATGTAGAAGCAAAGTGGTCGGCATCCTTCGCGAAGCTAAGATATCATAGTCAATCCCACTGCTGACGGTGCAGATTTGATAGGAGGTACTCACGCAGACATCGTCTGGTTTCCGTCAAGGCTGAATATCCTTGCATCCGAATTCTTCGTCTCGTTCAGACCGACGACAAGTGGGTTCTGTGTCGTGCCCTCGATGTACTCTGTGGCTCTGCGTGGAGATATCAGTACACGTTCCGAGCTTTAAATCTACCACCACTCACATCGTGTTGTCAAAGTTAACCAGCGACCCATCGAAGGATACACCCGAAATGTAGTCCGTCCCATTGGGCGACTCCGGAACCTGGTCGGGGAAGTCGGCGTGCTGCACACTCCCAATCGAGTGCCCGCACGCGACGAGACCAATCATCTCCTCGGATGTAAATCCCTGACGGGCGAAGGCCGCTTCATGACTGTCGAGGTCCTGGTCGGGCTCGGGGACGCCCGCGTTGTTGGGCTCGGTGGCATCGATGCGGCCACCGCGGTAGTCGATCTCGGGTCCGCCGCTGTAACGCGCGTCAGATAATAAAATACGGCTCTCCGGTGATGCGAAACGCACCAGTTCTCGACGGCCATCACGAGCAACAGAGCAAGGCCGTCCGCCACTGACCATCTCATTAGTCACGATCGTCAGAAAATGCATGGAACATACGGGAAAAATGACGGTCAACAGCACCCGCAACGAACACGACACTGTTGTTAAAGTGCGTGCCAGGGTTCTGAAGACAGTTGGTCGGAGATCTTATTGATTGCAAGTGTCGCTCACCTCCGCCCGAGCTTGCTCCTCCCAAAGACGAATGGAGGCGTCCATACCACCCGTACCGTCATCTTTGTTATGTGTGGCCATGTCATGGTATGCCTACCGTGAGAGTGTCAGGATGGAATCTCGGGCCACCGACGTCAGACGCACCGTGCGTATCCAGTCTCCGGCATTCGAGCGCACGCCCTCGTACCCCTTCTCCGTCGGGTGGATGTACCGATCGCAGGGGGTCACGAACAGAGCAGGCTCGAACGAGTTATACCCCAGCTGGTCCCATCGCATAGCCTCCAACCTGTCGAGCTTTGGCGAAGGCCAGGTATAAGCAAAAGCGACGCGCGCGATGGCGAGGGAGATAAATAAGCGCGAAATCATGAGTTACAACGAGCGGAAGGTGAAGAAGAAACAGCCCTCCCGCACAGCACGGGTGCATTATATGTACCCAGCGCCGTCGCATGTTCCTCATACGTTTTGCCTACCTTCGCGTCGAGGACCGCGGCCGCGCAGACGGCCGTCGGTGCCTTGTGCGCTCGACAAGGCCCAGCCGGCGCAGATCCTTTCCAGTCCGAGGGACTGAGTAACACAATCAGATTGACGAGGGAGATCAGAATATAGGGTGCCTGTAGGACGCGAATGCAAAGCATGGCATTGGTTGTGGGCGTCCGTGACAAGGCACGTTATATGATAATGTACGGCCATTGCCGAGATTCGGTTGTCGCGGTCCCTGCGGGCCGCGGCTGCATGCGGACCCACAACGACAGCGCGCGGACTATACTGTTTGTTTGCTGTATGTGATCGTTGTGAATCAGAGCATGGAGAAGACAGGAAAGACTCACCTGCCGTATTTGTGTCATGCCCGTGCGGGCTTCTTGAGATAGTTTGCAATGCGTATAGTGTCATGATCGGCGCCCATCGCGCGGTACACCATGGTGCCCGATGTCGGGTCAAAGCACTGGTCCATCGAGTTCATTAGGACGCCGTGAAGAAGGCCAGCAATCCGGCAGGCGCGCTCTGTGCCAGACGTTCCATCTGTTGGTTCCCGACATGGTGCGAATGCAGCGACGACGGAGTACGGTCGTTGATACGAGACGGAGGTGAAGACAGTGACAAGAAAATCGCCAAAATGTGTTCCTCGTGGGAGCGGTAGATAATGGGCATCCATCGGGAGGGTCAAAGGGGCGTTCGTGGGTTTAGCAGAGCGCGTGAAGGTCAACAGATCCCTCCTGTTCGGCGACTGCAAAGAGTAGAAGGATTGTTCAGGTGTGTCGAATTGTGGCATCTGATAGGTGATGAAATCGAAGTATTTGGGGTCCATCCGCGACCGGGGCATAGAGCTTGACACGGCATGTTCCGTGAAAGGCATTGGAGCCCGCAGATCCGGAACTTCACGGACGTCGATACTCTCATGGTTGATGCAGATGAGGGTTGACGCAGAACCCACAGGATATATCATCTGGGTGCTTAAGATTAATGCGGGCTTCCAAAGTCAAGAATTGGAATTACCTTCTCAGTCAGCCAAGAACTATCCCTCATATAGACACCGTGCCCTGTCATGTAGTCCCAAAGTCCGACAAGCTCTTCGCCCGCCAAAGAGAATGCGATGCGGGAACGGTGTCGAGCGTGGTACGAAGGAAGGTCTCCTCCCGGACAAGACAGTTCGTTGACCTTGCGGAAGGTTGGCATGGGTATCGACACGTCGATCGCATACACAACAAGTTTGTCCGGCTGGCCCTCGCTGCGAGAATATGGACGGTGAGCAAAATAGCAGTATGCGCGCATCAAGAATTCGAAGTACTCTACTCACGATGCATCTACAGCCACGGCAGCGAAAATTTGATTTTTGTCGAACCAATAGTCCTCCAGAGAGATATAGTCATCGGGTTGAGAGCTCACGGCCTCGCGCGCGATGGGGTTCCTGGATCTAGTGGCCTTCCATAGATCCCAGAGATTGAGCCTGCCCTTTGTCGTTGTGAGTAGAAATCGCCCGCCGCGTACAAGCATCACGCTTCGACAGCTGATGGATGTCTGTGTTGAATGCCGGAAGTAAAACTCCTCGTGTATCTTCAGATACTGCGGTTCCAGCCAGTCCCCGTCGTGCGGAGTAGAGGGGGGTGGTATGCACACCAGGAAACGTGCAGGCGACGTGGCAGCGTGTTCAAGCTGGGACAAAGGAGTACCCTCGTCAAAGCTCCCCAGAAACATCATGTACTCTGCGCAAACCCGGCTCAAGAGGCCTATCCACAGAGATCTGATGCGCGAAGGGTCATGCAGGGAACGACATGTCTGCAGTTGGTGTCGGTGGTTAAAACTGTATTCGATCGCACTGATAATAATTATATACCTTGCGTGCAGACAGGACATCTAGCGGCTCAGCCAAGGATAGTATAAGCAGTGTGACGTCGAAAGGTAGACCCTGCAGCATGGTGGCAGCACTTGAGAAAGCGGACGTGACGATGTCACAACTTATCACAATTTCATATCTGGACCCATCACGCCAAACACGAGTACATACAGTACATCAGTGGGTGCCCTTAAATAAAGCAAAAGGTGCGCATCAATACGAATCGTGGGTGTCCACGGCGAAGCGCCTCCTGCAGAAGATGAAAGATGGCGAGGATCGTGGCCTTTCCGATTTTCCGCAGCATCTACGTAGCAAATGAGCATCAATTGACCCACGCACACGCACGAATGAAGTGGGCGAGACTTACTGTATATTTGAGCACATATCGCCATACCCTTCCTCGTGCAAATGAGTCATTACGGCTTCATTTCATCATGCAGGCCTTTTGAGATAGCTCACGACACGGACGGCGTTATTCTCGCCAATGGCGCGGTAGGCGAATGTTCCCGATGCCGGGTCGAAGCACTTGTCGGTCTCGTGGTTGAGGACGCCACGAAGAAGACCGACCGTTCGACAAACGGGATGCGCGCCATCGACATCGTATTCCGCTCTCGATCTCGGCGCGAATACGGCAACTATCGAAGGCTCGAAGTACCGAGCGGCTTCGAACACGGTGACGAGTGAGTCGCGGGTATAGCTCCCTCGAGGCAGCGGCTGATAGTCTCTTTCCTTCGGCAGTGTCAGCGAGGCTTGCACGGGGAGGGGGGAGCGCATGAAGGTCAGGAGGTTCTTCTTCGTCGGCGACAGCACAGAATAGTACGAGTGATCAGGAGTGTCGAGCCGCGGGACCTGGTACGTGATGAAGTCGTGGTCGTTGGGGTCAACCAACTTCCTCGACCTGTACGATAGCGCAGCTCGTCCTCTGACTGGCATCGAGCTCTCGAGAGACGGAACCGCGTGGATGTCGATGGTTTCATGGTTGATGCAGATGATGGTGGATTCAGACTCTCCAGGATATACAACCTGTATTCACTGGATCAGAGCCTGAACGGCCCTCTCGCAGTTCAACGGGGGATCTCACCTTCTCAGTCTCCCAGAACCCGTCCTTGATGTAGCCGCCGTTTCCGGTCATGTAGTCCCAAATGCCCATGAGCCCATCGTCCCTCAGCGTAAATGCAATGCTAGAGCGGTGTCGGGTGTGATACGCAGGACAGCTTGCTCCCGGACACCGTAGCTCGTTGACCTTTCGAAACGAGGGTGACGGGACCGACACATCGATCATGTATACACTCAGAAAATCTGTGTCGCCATCTCTGCAAGTACCATAAGCATATCCACACGCGCTCCAAAGTCTATTCCACTAACGGCGTGCATCTGATGAGAGCCACGAAAAGCCGGTTCTCGTCGTCGAACCAATAATCCTCCACCTGTAGATCTTGATTTATTTGCCTAACGGTCTCGCGCGCTATAGGCTCTGTATTGCCATCGGTTTTCCAGATATCCCAAAGAGCGATCCAGTCTTTCGAGCTGGTGAGTAGGAAGCGCCCGCCGCGAACAAGCAGTATGTTTAGACCAAGCCAAGCTCTCGGACTTGGGATACAAATTTCCTCATATATCTTGAGGTATCTTGGCTCGATACATCGTCCATCCAGGAGAGTTGGCGGAGGCGATATACACTTCAGGAAACGCGCGGGAGAAGTCGCAGCGTGCTCCAATTGGGCAAGAGAGAGATCCTCGTAGACCCCACCACCCAGGAACATGTCATGCTCGGCACAAGCGGAGTTGACAAGGCCTCCCCAAAGAGATCTATCATGTGAGGCGTCACGCAGAGATCTACAAGTCTGGTGGCGTAAGTGGCCCACCCATTGCAGGCAATGGGCTGTACCCTTACCTTTCGTACGGCCAAGACGTCTAACGCAGCAAGATATCGCAGGACTTCGACCGTGAGGTCGAAAGGAACACCCTGCAACATGATGGGACGAAGTCGATGTGCAAGCGTGACAGATTGGTAACCCTTCACTCGCAGAAGACTGGACCCACAATGGCAAGCACGGCCAAATACGTATCGCAAACTTGAGATGCTAGGCGAATCGTCGCACTAGCTGAAGTAGACTGGTCAAGAGACGGAATTTCGCGCAGCATTCAGATCAATAGATACTCGTCAATACACCCGATTACAGGAAATCCGCCGTGAGTGAGCATTATGGTACAATAGACACCATCCCCATACCCCCCATACGTCTCCATCTATCCACAGTACTCAAAGCCAGGGCAGCCGATAGCGGTGCCATAACCATCTAAAGGGATGGTCAGGAAAGGGATGCGCGGGTCGTAGCAGAGAAAACGCACCACTGCCGCTGACGCCGATGACAGCCAGCAAAGCGTTGAACACACCACCGAGACCCTCGCCGGCCAGCAAGCCCGCGGAGACGGCTACAAGCAGGTCGTCAGCGACACCGATCCACTCAACCTCCGAATCGGCACTCACCGAACATGTACATATCGAAGCTCTCTGGATTCCGGCGCTTCCAGATCCAGTTGAACGTCGCGCCCGCGAACATGGCAATCCCGTAGTACGCCTGCGGCACGACGAACGCGAGGCCGATCGCGTTCCAGTTCGGGAGCCACTGCCAGTAGCGGCGCGGGATCCAGAGATGCTTGACCGCCACCTGCAGCGCGCTGAAGATCGCGAACGCAATCGCCGTGTACCCACTGCTCGACGGGATCGGGAGCACAGGGCTGGACACGGCGAAAGCGACAGCGGCCCACGCCGAAACACTAGGCGCCGCGTACGTGCACGTCCCGTCCTCGGGCGGGTGCAGAATGCACGGGCTCGCCTTCGTGAAGAGCACGAAGAGGCCGACGGTGAGGAAAACAGCGACGACGGAGCCGCAGAGCTGCGCGATGAACTGGTTGCGCGGCTTCGCGCGCAGGAGGTAGCCCGTCTTCAGGTCGCCGGTCATGTCGCAGGACTGCGCGGCCGCGCCCGCGGCGATCGTGCCCGCGGTCAGGTTGAAGAGTCGGCTGGGGTCGGTGGCGAGGCCGTAGCCCTTGCCGACGCCTCCGAAGACGAGCTGGGAGGCCTTGGCGACGGTCGAGACGGGGTTGACGTCGGTGAGGCCGGCGCACTGGACGGCCATGAAGGAGAACACGAAGCCGAGGACAAGGGAGAGGATGGCGTCGCCAACATTGAGGGGGAAGAGGGTGGCGAGGATGGCGCAGGACATGATCGTGCTGAGCGCGAGGCCGACGCTCCACCAGAGGAAGGGCACGCGATCTTCCATCGGCGTTTGATCCTCGTCGTTGGGGTCAAGCTCCTTGCTGTCCTGGATCCACTCGCGCGGAGCAAAGCGGAAGCTCTTGCGACCATTCCACGCGCGAATGAAGAGAGGACCGAGGGAGAAGAATAACTCGACAAAGGAGTATACCATCATGATCAGAACACCAGGCCAGAGGAGCCAGTAGCGAGGGGAGGGGGACTTTGCATAGGCCTCAGCCTTTTCGAAGGACATGGCCTGGTAGGAGACGAGCGGAAATTCCTCAGACGTCGGCGTACCAACAGCGCGCCCAGTGGCGATGAGCCCGGGCGCGATGACACCCCAAGCAAGGATCATGCCACCAACTGGAATCACTGTCAATACAGTCAAACACAGTTCATATCTGCGTACTCACGGAAACTATAAGATGCATTAATACCGCTCAGTTGACCAGCGCCAAAGAAGGCGGGCGTGAACTCAATCCACCAGCCATAGTTCTCAAGAGCGATGATGCTGGTGAATCCAATGCGGTAGAGCGTCCAGCCAATGTGCCAGTCGAAGATAACGCCAGGGGCGTAGGTTGTGACGACCTTGTACACAAAGCAAATGCACAAGGTGTAGATCAGCGCCTTGGACTTCTTCTTCGCTACAAGGGCCCCTGCCGGACCATTGTGCAGAGAGCGGATGGTGTACGCCTGCGCAGCGTCAGCAGACTATTACAGGAATGCATACACGCGCACTCACAGTGGCGGCCGGCGTCGGGAAAGTCAGCTTCTCCTGCACGATGTAGTAACGGCGCAGCGGAATAACGAAGAAGACACCAAAGAAGGCGCAGGACGTCGTCAACGCGATGAGTTTGCCGAAGTCGTCCGAGGGGTTGTCTGTAAGCGCATACAATCAGCTTCACGAGTCGAAACCCACAGGCCAAGTCATTCGTGACTCACCCGACATGAGGTTCAGGCGGTACATGGCCGGGATCGCGCTGACCATAATGATTCCGAGGCCACCGGAGGCTATTTCACTCGATCAGTATTTCGTGCGCCGCGCTCCCGCCGACGGTACGCACCGGTGGCAGCGCTCTGGACCGTGCAGTTTTCCTTGGGACCAAAGGGACCGCCAAAGATCTTGCCAAGGATTCCCGACTCTGGGAACGCCATAGATAGTGGCTTGAGGATGGCGAAACCGAAGATAGACTGTATGCGGTCCCATCAGAGGGTGGCACTGCGGCGAACGATATGTATACTCACGCCGAAGAGCTGGGGGCCGAAGGTGAAGCCTGTCTTGAGACCGAGGTAGAGGTTGGACGCGCCGACGACAGCGCCGAGGCAGCAGCCAACGAAGACAGCGCTAGCGAGTGGTGTTAGAGAGGTCTAACTGCCATAATTGAGGCCATAACGCACCGGAAGGTCAACTGATGCGTCTCCTCAGGAACGTCAGGCATGATGGGGAAGGGCCGTGTACTGTGATACGATGGAACATCAGCGACGGGGTGAAGAGCCCGAGGGGGTTGAGTACGCACACATCCTGGTCGTCGAACGTCTCGACCTTGGCAGGCTCGACGGCGGCGCGCTCAATGTCGCTCGCCGACGAGCGCTTCTCGTCCGCATACTGCTCAGGCAGAGTGGGCACGAATGTATCGTCCCTGACGGCGGCCATCGCTGCAAAATCGCTGGACTCGATGCGCGAGGGAGCGATGATGGTAGAAGGACAGCCGCGCGAAGGACCCGGGGACTATATATGGGGTCGGCTGCTCCTCTGATCCGCCATATGGAGTTTGTTATCGTTCGGGGAGTCTCGTGCACTTGCGCCATGCGGGCGTCCATTGGGTTCTCCTCGAGCGTGCACAGGAGAGATCGCTTGCGTCTGAAACTGTGGCAAAGAACTCGCTGCTCATGGCGCGGCGAGCCCGCTTGCAGACGCCCCCACCCGCGGGCGCACCAGCGCGCCAGCCTGCTTCTCGCGCGTGAGTGCCTACGAGGAAGCCTTGGAGTCATTCCCCACGCACAGCATGGATATGTCAATTGAGACGCATTTGGTGCGCATTGACGGGCCCTGCGCGACGTAAGAAAGTATCAACGGTCTAGCGCCACCCATAGACTGAACTTCGAGTCAGGCGCCCCCAGTTTGTTCCAGAAATCCAGTGCGCATGTCAGTGGAAGATAGGCCGGATCTGCCCCCTGCGACAGATTCCATTCGTGGGCTGGCGAGCGACGACTGGCCCGCAGGCTGAGCGGAAGAGGATCGGGTTCGCCGAGGCAACATGCACGCGGGGATCCCGGCGGTCCAGCTCAGGTCCATTATTCCTCTCCCCTTCGGAGAGCCTGAATGCCCTGACCGCGGCGCCGAAGACGCGCAATACGTCGCGATTATTCGCCGGCCATCGGAGGCTTGTGTCCAAGAAGTTCAACATGGCTGTACTGGATGACCTCGTGGCGGTCCGCGTTCGATCACGCTGCTCTCATTCTGGGCGCACGAGCTCGTATGGCGTATATCCAGGGCGTTTTTGAGACCTGTAGAAACGACTCAGACAGGAGAGGCGAGGCAGTCGTTGAGCCTGAACTGACCAGCAGGAAACAAACAGGAAAACACCGAGCCGGAAGCAAAACGCACGCCTGATCGGCCGGAAGTTGCCATATATCACGTGGAAATATGTTCAACTTTACTTCCGTCGCAGCCATCGAAAAGGCCCCGCGAGATTTACTGTTCCTGCCCTCAGACGCATCCTAGGTCATTGTTGACCTCTCTACCTTCCATCAAAGGTGCTCGACCATGTCCTTGACGGTCTTCCTCCCCCAGGAACTTCTTGGCGTTTTATTTGGGTAGACATCTGCCTGCTCCTCGCCTTGGAGTCATCCAGGAGGTACCCTCCATGTGCTCGAGCATGCGATTTTACATCGGCGTCGGCCACTGTGGCGCGCTCGTCCAAGCGCATAGTTCCTCTGGCCCCCTTGCAGTGGCCGGCGGCGTCGTTTTGGGAGCCTCAGTCAGCGTCTGAGGAGGGACCGGCAGCAGAGGACAGCTGGACCGAGTCCACGGCGCTCCTTCGGAATCATGGCTTCCTGTGACCGAGGCGACTGTGGCTTGAAGGAGCAGCCACAAGTCAATCTTGAGTATCCGTCTTCAAGTAGCAGCAAGATGGTCGAAGGGGCCTAAACTGGTCAATATCCAAGCATCATCTAGAAGTACAGGTGTACAAATTTTGTTGTTTTGTTTCTCCCCTTAAACCAAACGCAGCAAGTCCGCGAGAACACCCATCGCGGTCACTGCTGCACCGGCGCCGGCACCCTGTACGATGAGCGGCCGAGGGCTATAGCGCTCGGTGTGGAACATAATGATGTTGTCCGAGCCGCCGAGTGCGGTGGCGAAGGGATGTGTGCTCGAGTATCTGCGGAAAGGAAAGGTCAGAAACATGTACAATGCAGCAGTGTCGAAGGAGACACCGATGGAGCCAGGAGAGTGCCACTTCTATTGGCCGAACAGCGCCTACCCGTACGCATGTGTGTGGCACACCCAGCTGCAGTCATCGTCCACCTCGACTCTCGGGTTCGCCGAGGCTACAGGAGAAAGGACTTGTGGGTGCAAGACTCACCTCTCAAGCCCAGCCTTTACCTCCCCCTTCACCGCATCCACCACGCCCACGAATCTCAAGACCTCCCCCGCCTTGCTCGCCTCTTCCCTCAGCCCCGTGAACTCCCCATCAAACTCCGGTAGGCGCGCCACAAACTCGTCGCCCGTCTTCACGCCCTCCAGTGGCGCGGGAATAAGGGACTTCGTCGCCACATCCGCAAACGAGCCAAGCTTGGGTAGCTTCGCGTCGCGCGCGGGTGCAGCAACGCGGGCGAGGATGGCGAGCTTGCGCGCGACGTCCGCGCCGTTAAGATCGTCGGCGGGGTGCGGCTCCGTGTAGCCCTTCTCGCGCGCTTCCTTGACGACGGCGGAGAAGGCGGGGCCGCCTGCGGCCCCGGTGGAGAACTCGTTGAAGATGTAGCTCATGGTGCCGGAGAAGACGCCCTCAATCTTGAGGATCTGGGGAGGGGGTATGGTAAGTGAGGGCGAAGGGAAGATAGAGGGGTAGCGCACTTTGTCCCCCGTCGCTACGAGGTCCTTGAGGGTGGATATGACAGGGAGGCCAGCGCCGACGGTCGCTTCGTGGAAGCACTTGGCGCCGCTCTTCGCGGTGGCGCCGATCAATGCATCGTACAGCGCAACATCGCCCGAGAACGCCTTCTTGTTCGGTGTCACGACGTTGATCCCCTTCTCCAGCCATGCAGGGTAGCGCGCCGCGACATCCTCAGAGGAAGTATTGTCGATGATTGCGACCTTCTGCTGTGGTGACACCAGGGCAGCGAGCTGCTCGGTCAACTTCGCCAGATCTGGCTTCTCGGACGACGCAGCGAGCGCCGCCTTCCAATCAGCGCCCGGCGCTAGGGCGGCGGACGGGGAGAACAGGGTGCGCGAAGACGAGGTGAGGGAGATCAGCTTGAAGGGGGAGGGTTGCGGGAGGCCAAGGAGCTGGCTGATGAACTCCGAGCCGACGAGGCCGACGCCGATGACGGCGACGTTGACGGGGATGGGGGCGGCCATGATATGATAGGTTTTGAATCGGGTGAAGAAGGATGTGGGGGAACGGACGAGGAGGCGCGGGAGCATGATCAGTGTCGCGATCGGGTGACTCGATGAGCCGCTTGGACCGACGCGATATTCGTACAATGGCATTCGGGGAGTGATGCCACTCGCGCAGGGTCTGCGGGGAGTGACAAGATGGGCGAATCCACGCCAGGTGCATTGAGGCTTGCAATGGAACTAGCTCTCTCAGGAGGAAGCAGGCGGTCCGGTGGCGCGGCGCTGTTGATGTCAATCTCTCGTTGGGTCTTGAAAAGCTACGTCCGACAGGCTCGCGGTGAATGCGAGGAATGAGCGCTTGAGCATGGTGGCAGAAGGTGTATACACGCTCAACGTCTTCTAAACCTGACAAGTTTGGGGTGGCTGTGTATCGCATTTGTGGCAACTTACCGGCGACCGGGCCTTCCAAGTCTGACAACTCCTTCGTGGCGCTCGTGCAGTTGTGCAGGATATCATCGAACTTGCATTCATGAATACAGTTACACATAGACAGCTTGGTTTGGTATCTTAAGTATGCTCGTCGGTAACTCGTCCCTACAGAAGCACATCATCCCGGCGCTTGATGCCCACCTTGCAAGTCAGCGGCTTGCGAAGGAAGCCCTCACGGGTCGGGAGCTGGTGAATGGCGTATCAAAAAGAGGGCTCGCGGGCAGTAATCACGGACTACTCACCTCCATATCGGGGTTCTCGAGAACGAAGTGATAGCGACGAAGAAGTGAGGAGATGATGATCTGCAGCTCGAGCGTCGCGAGGTTCTTCCCCACGCACGCCCGCGGACCAATAGAGAAGGGATTGAAAGTGCGCTGCATCAACGCCTGGTCGCGCTCAAACCAGCGCTCAGGCCTGAAGTCTTCCGCATCCTCGCCCCAAACGTCTTCGTCGCGGTGAAGCGTGTAGCTCGGCACGCTCAAAACGGTGCCCTCCGGGAAGAACTGGCCCATAACGGTCATGCCGCCCGCGGGCACGATCCGCGGGAGGCCGAGCGCGGAGGTCGAGTGTAGCCGGAGCGCCTCGTTGATGACGGCGTCCAGATAGGGCAGCTTCTTCACCTGCTCGTAGAACGTCACCTTCTCCGCCGCGTCCGCCCCCAGCGCCTCGTCCAGCTCCTGCTGCAGGCGCGCCTGCGTCGCGGGGTGCCGCGCGAGGTAGTAGATGATCGCGCACGTCGAGTTCGACGTCGTGTCCGAGCCCGCGATGAGCAGCGTGAGCGCCTCCGCGGTGAGCTCCGCGGCGCCGAGCGGCTGGCCCTTCTCGTCCTTCGCCGCCTGGAGCTTGCTGAGCAGGTCGTTGCGGTCCGTCGGCGTCGCGAGGCGCTTCGCGACCGCCATGATGGCGATGCCAGAGAGCGCCTGCACGTCCGCCGCGCCGCGCCGGAACTCAGGGAGGACGCGCTTGACCGCGGGCCGCCAGCGCGGGGGGATGCAGCCCATGGTCATGGAGTACTCGCCGCGACCGTTGATGGTGCGGACGGCGGGGACGGCGATGGTTTCAATCTCGCTGTGGTCCCCGCCGTACTTGCCCAGGGCTTCCTCGGGGCGTTTCGGGATCTGCGCGGCGTCCGCACCAGACAGAATCATACCGAACGGCGCGCCAAAGGCGAGGTCGCCGATGATGTCGAACGCAAGATAATTGGACCCTGTTGTACAGTCAAGCCGTGCTGCACGGCCATAGAGCAGGGAATAGACACTCACAAGGCAGCAGATCAAGCCACAGGCGGCCATCGTGACCAGTCCAGCCACCATCACCTTCGTCGCCAGATCCGCCCTTCAGCGCCAAGTCGTGCATCGCATCCCAGCGGCCCATGAGCTGCTCGACGTACATTCGGACGTGGGGCTCGAACTCATTAACGCTCTTCTGCGAGAATATGTGGGAGACGATCTTCCGCTTGCGGGTATGCTCCGCGCGGTCGCGGGTGTTGAAGAGACCGCGATGGATGGCCACAAAAGCGTCATAGAAGTCTGACTTGAGCGCGCCGTTGCCGTGCGCGTAGACCGTTTGCAGCGCGTCCGGGTGTGCGATGGAGAGGTGGTTTGGGGCAATGCGAACGAAGGGGCCTGGAGCGGGCGCCGGGTTGAACTCGCGGGGAACTGATCGGTGAACATGACGCACGTACCGTACTTCTCGTGCAGTTCGTGCACCTTCTCAGAGCGGTGGCCTCCTCGGGAGAGCAGTGCTAGCCAGAAATCGGAGAACTTGGCCAAGAAGGGGCCGGGGTACCCTCGTAGACGATGGGTATCGAGCGCATACGGAACAAGATGGTAGAGGACAAGCGCGAGCGAGCACGATCCAGCCAAGACACGCCAGTCGGTGAGGTACTCGGTTACGATAGAGGGCGCCATCGTTGGTAGACTCCAGACGCGATGCAGGGTTATATAGCGCGCTTACCGGGCGGCTGTCTCCGGCGCCGCGTGTGCGCTACACTTTACGTTGATTGTTGGGATGGCTATCTGGCGTCCAATGAGCGCTTTTGAATGCGCATTGTAGGGCTTGCCGAGGAGAACAAGCTCCGGCCATTGCACAATAAGGGAGAGACATGTCTTCTTTCGGGGGTCGCGTGACGGCGCGTGGCTGGCTGTACGCAGCTAAGTTTGAAACTCGCAGTCATGGGCTCGCATTCTGCAGCACGCTTGACGATGAACGAAGGGGGGAGGGCCCTGGTGCGATGGACGCGGCCGATGGGGAGAAGGGTGCGCTCCCATGCGGCGCGGCCGTGGACACAAGCCTCAGGATACAGCTTCGAGGCCGTTAGCTCGCACACACACACACGCAATCGTAGGCGTTGAACGCGCTGTGACGTGCCCTTCTGACAGTACAGGACCAGCAGGGCAATAGAGCAGGGTGATGCATCTCGCTCATGTGCCTCCAGAACACGCCACTCAACCAGCTATGGCAGGCTATAGATAACACGTAAGTAAGGACACCACTATAGCTCGCCCGCAGACAGGGACACGAGCGTGAGCGTCGGACGCGCGAATCCATTCACAGGCGTAGTATGAGACCGGGAGGATCGAGGAAGCCATCCTTTGACGCCGCGTCGCTCTAGCCGGGTCCGAGGGGTGCCGATACAGCGAGTCGGGGTAAGATGATTGCTTCTATTGCTCGTAGGACTTCCTGTACCCTTGCGGTGCCTTTCTTTGCCTATAGTGGCCTTCCTTACATTCGTCTTCCCAATCCTAAAGTATGTCTGTCGAGCGAGGAGGGAAACTGCGCATAAGGACACGTCATGGTAGATCTCGAAACGCTGAAGTCTCGGAGGGGTTCAGAATGAAAAAGGATGTTCGATAAAGTCGAACATGATGGTTGGGAAAGAAAGGGAGACAACGAGAAGCAAATGTTGAGTTTGCGTCATCGACACGTGCAAACACGTGGTTACAATTAAATCCCACGGTGGTGAGAATCGGGATCTTCCGAAGGTCGACCATGAATTCAACCACCATGCTCTCCCGTCTCTATCTCCATCTTCTGTCGTGGGTGTACCTCAAGTCAGCTACATCCCTGCCCTCGACAGGTGAACCAACAGACAGCATCCTCCATACCATCATCCTCTGACCGGCGCTTACCTCCCCATGTGACCTCCGTTTACGCAGTTGACTCCGAATGCGCTGGCTGTATCACTTACCAAGGAAGGGTACGCCGTGCGCGTACGACGGAAGCGGACGTCGCTACCCATACAGTCATGCTATCGATGGTTATGCGGCGCAAGTACCTCGTTCATCTTGACTGCGCCGAGGCTCGGAGTGGGGTACATTGCCCACGGTGCACAACTTATCAGGCCGAGCGCTTACAGGGTCACTGTGTAAAGGGGATCATGGCAGTAGCTGACTCCGCACTGGCCTGCTTATCGACTCTCGCAGGCGCCCGATGCCTCGCAGAGGTGGAGTTGCCTCGATTTGCTGTAACGCAACGCCGCCTCCTTCTAACCGGTGCCAGCATCTCAGCGATGAGGATAGACGGCATTACCTTTCTTGCTCCCGGGTCTCACTCATGGTGTGGCTTGAGGTCATTGCTAACCACACTTCCAGACGTCCTTCTACACTTTCGTCGGCGCATACGCGATCCCGGAACCGGGGGAAGGCTTTCGGTGAGAACAATCGTGCTCACAACGGCGAACCTTACCCAGAATAGGCGGTATTTTGGAAGCAAGGTGGAGGATCGACGCCTTCGTATTACACGAACTGCCTTCGTCTCGCATGACTATGACTGTTCACCCATTCAGCTGAACAAGGCCCTCCACTCGACCCCGCACGCTCACGCTCCAACACGTAGCTCTTCGCTCTTCCTCCGGGGCTCCGCTGTCTTCAAGAAGATGTTCGCTACTGCGAGTCCGTCGCGCATCGTTCCTTCGTTCGGTCAGGATCGCACTCTGGAGTGACTATGGACCGCCTCGGAGCTTTGTGCTGCCCATTGACCGCCTTATGTCCGCTTCGAATTCATGACCAGCAAAGCTGCGTCTCGGGCGAGGGCGAAGGTCACCATGCCCGTCACATAATACAAGATGTTGCTAATGTGGCAGTCTGCTCTCCGCCTGCCGGTCAAACGTATGCACGTCCCAAATATTGCCCGGATACTGGCGAGGAGAACGGTTGGGAAATAGAAAACGCACGTCTGCTGGCGAGGGTTCAGATTACAATCCTCGTGTGATGTCTGAAGGACGACAATGGCCGTATGTCAGCCTACTTTGAGTATTGGGCTGACAATATTGCAGATATAAGCCAGTTCTCCTGTATGTTCATTCGTGAGAATACGACTGCCCACAGGCCATCGCGCTTGCTGTCATGAACGGTGATATTTTGCCTCAACGTTGTGCTCCCCGTCGCCACCTTGTGGCTTTCGCCAAAAAGTTCTCCTCCCACGTTTACTAGAGCACCCAGCCCGGCCAAAATCACGATTTCCCCCGATATCCCTTGCACCAAACGCAGAAATATTGCCACTCGTGATAGCCAGGGGACGCGGAAATCTCAGACTTTCTGCGGCTCGGAACTATATTCCCCGCCCCTCAGCGCACATCCGCCACCCCCCAGCGCGCGCTGGAGTGGGCTCGCCCGCGTACGGGGCGCCGATCGCGCAGGTGAGACTGTCTAGGCTGCCAGCGCGCTGTGCCGCGGATGACAATGCGGTCCTCGCAGACCGCATGTTTCCTGCCGCTCAGTAGGTCGCGTGTTTACTGCAGGTCAGTAAGCGCCTACGTAGGCGCTGGTATAAAGCCAAGGCGATGTCTCAGTGATGAGAGACACGATACGACTGCCCGCCCCCTTCGCCTCCACCGTACGGTATGTAGCGGCGTCCTCCCCCGCAGAGCGCCAATCTGATGGTGCTTTCCCAGATTACGAGCACCACTCGAGAAAGCGTATAGGCAGATTCACGGCTCGTAAGCCAGTTTCGTCGTCATACTATATAGATTGTGCGTAGTCCTCCTTTACTACCTAAATTCATAGAGAACTGACGGACTTTCAGGCCATGAAGTTCACCCTCTTCCTCGCCCTCACGGCCCTCGCGGCCAGCCCCGCCGTGCTTGCAGCGCCCACCAGCGGCGACGCAATTCACGTCGCACGCTCGCGCATCAGCCTCATGGGCCAGAAAGTCTCCCCCCACCCCCACAAAGACACGACCATCCCGGGCAACGACTCGAGCGTCGACGCCCAATTCGCTGTCTGCGGTCGCGGTTTCCGCAACTGCGGCTCGAAACCTTAGTACGTTTAGTCAAAGAGCTGAGCTTGGCGTTGCCCCTCCCCCCTTTCACCACGACCCCGATTGACTCGTGCTACTCACATCCATTCCGTTTCCGTTTCTTGGCGTCTCGAATGGTTCATGGCAGCAGTAGAATAAACCAACGCAAAGTGTATACTAGCTTCTATCGTCTACTCGACGCAGTCGCTCGTTAGACCATCTCATTCCTTACTGACATTGTGGCCGCTGTCCGTATCATTGTATCCTTAGAAAATTCGCCCTCGGGCACCAAACCAAATGCCATCTCTTGATTCCTTCTTCTATCGTATGGGCTCTGAACTCGTTCACCCCTTAACACCGCTCCCATAAACCCTCAGCAAGCCTCTCTTCTTCGTCTCCACCATCGTACTCCTCAGCATCCCCGCATCCATCTGCACCCCACGCACCACATCCATCCCCCTCGGATTCGCCAGCTCGAACTCCACCGCCTTCAGAGCAGGGAAATCCTCCTTGCACTCCCAAAGCACCCTATCGACCTCCGCCCACGGCGCATAGTCGTACATGCTCAACGGCGTGTTAGGGTCCTCGTCGGGGTTCGCGTACCAGCGGCGGGGCGGGACGAGCCGGGTGGTGAGGCGGGTGAGAGCGGTGGGCCCGGCGCGGGAGGCTAGGAAGGCGGCGAGCCAGGGGGCGGGGTCGTAGCTGTCGACTTGGCTGTTGACGAGGGTGAGGGCTTCGAGTGCGGGGAGCTCCTTGAGGGTGATGGAGAGGCTGGTGCGGGAGGATACTGCAAGTCTAATGTGAATTTCCAGGATAAGATATGACACACGAATACATACGGGAGATATCCACAAGCGCGCAAAGCTGAAGCTCTCGCAGCGAGCGACTAGACGCCCGAACCAGCGGCAGGAACATCGAGAGAGACGTCCAGCTCGAGGCGATGCGCTGCACCTTGTGCGCCTCGACGCACGAGTATTCGTTCGCAAGCCAATTCGCCAGTGCGCCGAACTCTGCTCCCCGCATCACAGGCGACGTCTCCTCGAGTGCAACGAGTGTCGGGCGCTGCGACGCCGGACGCTCGCTCAAGGCTTGAAACTGAGCACGCATGACATCGCTGAGCGCAGCATGGTATACAATGTCACCTATAGCAAGCGCCTTCGGTCCTGGCCCGAGGCGCGCAACGAGGATAGCGAGGTCGAGGAAGGTCGGGAAGGTGATGCGGGACAGGGTAAGCGAGGACATCGTGGGATGCTCGAGGACGGTTATGAGCGCGTCGCGAACATCTGACGCAAGTCCTTCCCAGACGATATCCGTGAGAGTCACCGACTGCACAGCGCGCAGATGGCGGAAGACGGTGGCCAAGAGAGGAGCGAGTGGTGTATCCGCGCCGCAGGACGCCGACTCGAGAGAGAAGCTGACATGCTGAACAAGTTCGCCGACATACGGCGAGCGGTTGAGCGCGTCGTGTAGATGCTGCACACGCGCCATCGTAGCGTCCGTATCGAAGATGGTGCCCGAGTCCGAAGTCTCGACCTTGACGGGTCGAATATCGATGCGACGGAAGATGTGAGCACGAGTCCTCTCCGTCCACGTAGGAGCAATGAGTGAACATGTAAAGAGATCCTTCTTGTCAGCAAGGACATAGGTCAAGACCTCGTCCACCAGTTCTGGTGGCAGGTCCGACGCCGTCGCCCAATGTTGAGTATGCATCTGCGTCGTTTGATGAGAAAAAGCTAGCTAAAGTGCGTCGTAACCCACTTGCGACGCAGAGGCTGAAGTTGAACTTGATGATGGTTCGGGACAACCTTCGGACATCGGTCCGACGCCACATGCTGTGATGAAGTCGAACCGTGACACAACTGTGACAATCAAGCATGTTTTGAGTTCTCGCCTTCCACCAAGGATCAGAAGATATGACTGCGCGTCGTCCAAGCGACTGCTCTCTGTTCAGAACTTGAGAGAAAAGAAAAAGTGTGACGAGAGTGGGATTCGAACCCACGCCCCGAAAGACCAGATGATTCGGTGAGGAATCAGATGCGTCAGTAATTACTGACTGATCCTTAGTCTGGCGCCTTAGACCGCTCGGCCATCTCGCCTTGACGTACCTTACTGGCCTGACCAGCTATTATGACGCGCACGTCTGCTTTGCCGCGATCAATGGTTTCAAAATCAACCATAACTTGCCTTCTACGCTCATGCTGCGATACGAAACGCAGGGAACTTTCCCATCGCTTAATCACTTCATGGCTTCTGCTATCTTTTGCGACAGAGA